CTTGTAAGATTGTTGGTGAAGCTTGACTAGAAGAGAATTATTGATTGGATGAAAATAAATGTGTGAAATTATGATGACAGGCGAATTATTTCATCAAAGACAGTTAAATATTCATTGGAACTAACTACATTAAAAACACTTACGTAACATTCATCAAAACAGCTCTCAAATTAGTTGGTGAGAGTGCAGCATTGTTAAAGTAGAAAGCCCATTCATTAGTTGGTAAAATTCTTCCTTCACAAACTTGATCGGTAGGTGATGTCCATTGCCATTGTGTTGCATTATTGTCCATGGCTTGTGATTGAATAACCAAACCATCACTTTGTCTAACATAGGTACAGTTGAAATTAAATGTAGCTGACATCTTTACTCGAGTGGATTAATATTATTTAGAATTGTTTTTTTTTGAATTGTATTAATACTATTTTATTCATGGTGTTGGTGCTTTTAAACGTGACAGTGGGTGTGGAATTGTGAAATGTAGCGTTATTTTTGGACCAAAAAATCCCATTTCAACTTTGTTTTGGAAGAATCTTTCTTCATTGAACTGTAAATTATTGTAAAGGTAATCGTTGGGCTTGAAATTTGGCTCACCAACATGTCAAGAAATATTAGTTTGTTAACTTGGTGATTTTTCATTTTTGTACATGCTTATCTACAGTTTTTATATTTGGTGTGATTTTAATAAGACTTATTAATGATTACCCGCTCAAATTTAATATTTTTAACATTTTAAATAAAAAATGACCAACAATACTTACGTTCCATCCATATTTGCTCGTCCATGGCATTTGTTATTCTTTATCTATTTCTTGACACATATTCCAGCCAGTATTTTCATTGATGCAAGAGTAGGTATTATTTTACTATTATATGATGATAATAATTTAAATTCACAATTAATATTTATATAATCAACAATGATGATTAAATATCATTCAAAATTTTGCTTCGGAATGATGATGGAAAAATTAATAGGCTGTTCTTTCTCCACACTTTCCAAATTTTCCACCAAAGGCTGTGACAGATTTCTTTATTGAAAATTGGGTTAATGCCTATCAAGGTACGTTTTTACAAATAATAATTTTACTGAACTTGTAGATAAATTGATGGAAACTTTTCCTGTTTGGTTTTTGAGTTTGGTGCATTGTGAGATTTTATTTCAATTACCATTCTTTTTTGTTGCTTGTTATGCCTTGATTGCTGGAAGCAATTGGTGCAGAATTCCATTCATTATTTATTGCAGGTATGTGTAATTTTCAATCAGTAATTATTCAAATCATGAAAACAGCCATACAATGACTACCTTAATTCCAATAATTAGTAGTTATATTTTCGAGTATCAAAATTATCACCCAGTTTTGATTGGAACTAATGCCATTTACTTTTTTGTACCATTATTCTTGTTAATTAATATGGTCATGTATGAAAAACCATTTGATTATGAAAGACCAAAAGTAAAGAAATAGTAAATATCAAATATTTAAAATACAACATCTATAATTGATAATCTTCATTGACTTTTTGACTTGGAGAATAATTTATAATAATTTCATCTAGAGAGATTGGACCATATTTGAACAAGTGCCCACTCTGAAAAATACATTGAGCGATTGAGGTCCATAAGAGATAATTAATCGGAACACCAAATATTGATTTCATTCCACACGGATATCCAGATTAATCTTTGATGGCGAAATTTGGCAAAATACATTGTAAACAATTGTATGTTTATTGCCTCTTGCTTAATACTGAAGTGTGTAAAGACAGATTGAAAAATGAAACAACAAGCTCTTGCTATATTGCTTCTACTCTTCGTTTTGGCTGCCTCTTTCATAGAGTCCAGCACAATGGAAGTAGAAGACTTGGTTTCTCTTGCTCTCACTAATCCTGAAGCAGCAAGATCCTATTTGAAAACAAGTAACAATGTTCCTCTGGAACGTTTTACCAACTCTAGATTAATGTACATGAGTAATGGAGAATTTATTCTCGAAGGCAGTGGATACATGTATAAGGCAATTCCCTTGAGTGAACCATTTCCACGTAGAAGCTTTCCTCAATCTAGTGTTGAAGGCTATAAGGTCAATGACAGAGTAGTCTTAATTAATTCAATCCCAATTGTTAGAAGAGAAGCTCCTGGAGTAAGTATATTATTATGTATTTTCACTCACACACATTAGGTTCCGTTGTATAAGGGAAATAGAAGAATGTTATTTGCTTGGCTAGATTGGTCCAATAAGCCTGCTGTTGCAGGAGTGTCAAAGCCAACATTTGATGAGCTTAATTCTCGATTTGCAAGTTTAACAAACACATTGAAGGTTGGTTCATTCAATCAGCTCAATATTGTCAATTATACTCTCATTCCAGGGTATGTTGTTTACTGAATTTTTCTTTTAAATTTTGAAATAGACCTCTCAGAATGAGTCAAGAATCCTCAAAGTATCCACAAGATGGAGGTGGTCCTAGTGCGTTGATGGAAGAAGCTAAGGCTTTGTTATTGAGTGATTATGGAATTGATGCTGATACTTATGATTTCTTTGGTATTGGGTAAGTTATTGTAGTGTTAAAATTATGTTTGAAACTAGACATGTGTTTATGGAAAATTAGATTCCCAACTATTTACAATTGGGGAGGTGTTGGTACATCAGGTGGAAGTCGTGGTCTATTTTGGTTAAACGGTGGTTATACTAGTGACCGTGTCTTTTTGCATGAAGTAAGTTTATTATTGTTGAACTAATTTTTATTAATATATCTAAAAGATTGGTCACAATTTTGGATTTGGACATGCCAATTCCATAATGTGCTCAACACCAAGAGCATACGGTGGAGATACTTGTTCCAGCGTAAATCAGAATGAGCCACATGATGTTATGGGTAATGGTAATTTACAATACAACCTTATCCATAAGCGTTTAGTGAACTATATTGATGATTCAATGATTATGAACATTACAAGTCCTGGAACTTATGACATTTACCCATTTGACGAAGTTGGTTCTTATGGAAAGAACATGGCTTTATTGATTTCTCATGATCCTGCACAAGGAACCTCCTATGTTGTCTCATTCAGAAATATTGACGGTGGTTTATCTATGCTCAAGTATGGAGCCGTCGAAATTCACATGATTACTGGAGCAATTGATAGTAGTGCATCTACAAACATGCTTAATTCACTTTATCAAATGGAATATAATTATCGTTTCAGTCCATTGAGATTGGGATTTACCTTTTTTGATGACTCTGGATCTAGAAGAGTATATATCACAATGACTAAACGTACTTGCACTAATGGAAAGTGTGTTGCCTCAGTTCAAATTAGATTTGAAGATTTAACTGCTCCTGAAAATCCAATGTATACAACCACGATTGCCACACCAATGGTTGGATGGAATTACTACGAAGTACCATTCCCATCCGATTTAAAGTTAACAACATGCAACGGATTAACCACAAACTTTGAATATGCTTTGAATGGTCCATTCTCCAGTATCGTACACTTTTCTTCACCTATTTATATGACTGATTGGTTCCAAGACGAAGGTTTTGTTCCACTCCACCATCAAGAACCTTTCTATGGACCTAGTGGTCAGCAATATGCCTTCTTTGTATTTTCAAACAGTAATGGTCAAAATTATAGACCTTTAGAATGGAATTGGAAAGCAACTTGTGGAATTACTGGTTTGACATTGAGTACTGTTGGCGGAAAGAGTCTTTCAGCAACTCTTAACTTGGGTACAACTGGTAATTATACAGGTTGGTATATTATGTGGAATGAGAAAATTGCAACCTCAAAGGATAATGCAGCTTTTTCCAATCAACTTCAAACAACCATTCCAACAACAGGCACTAATTTCAGTTTAGCTGGTGTCCATACATTTGTTTCAATTGTTAAAGACTCACTTGGCCCATACGCTTTCAGTTCATATTCATCTTATTATGAAGAGTTATTTACCTCACTCCCTGTTCTTACAATTACTATAGTTGATGATAAGAGTCATCAAATACAACTAGTAATGAGACCAGCCCCATCAGGAAAGGCAGTTCACTTAACTGCTCACATGCATGCATCAACTATTTCACTTTTCAACCCTTCACTTATTAGTGGGAGAGATTACTCTATTATCAATTTAGCAACTGTTTATTTATACAGAGTTGCCCAATTTAATATTCACAACAAGATGACTTTATCTAATACTGCCGAAATTGAATTGGAATACATGATTCAAGGAAAATGTGCCATGTTTGGTATTGGATTAGCTCCAAATTCATACATTAGTGGTATTCAATATATCATTTATGGTAATGCTACTTCATGGTGTCCAGGTTGTAAGGCTGCCTCCTCAACTAGTAAAGTTTTGACTGGCGCATGGAATGGTATTAGAATTTCTACGATTGGATCAGATGTCACATCCTACAACAAGAAGATTCAATTCATTCAAGTCTATGCTCCACTCTGTGAAGTATCTGTTAGAAATATCAGAGTTTTCCAAAGTGTCTCAACTATTACTGGAGCTGTTTCTAATCTTTCCCCAAGTCCAAGAGATTTGAGCTCAGTTTACGGCACCTCTGATGTATCAACTAAATCAGTTGTTTCTGCTGTTGGAACTTATTCACTTTCTGCCACATTGAAAGGTGTTACCTATTCTTACAATGTTTATGTTAAGGATATCAATGCCAATGGTTACATTTATGCTACTTTGGATGAGAACGCTGTTGTACCATCACAAAACCAAGCACCATGTGATGGTCTTACTGCCGATTCTTGTCAAACCGACGCTACTTGTGTTTGGTGCAATTCCACTCAAAGTTGTGAATATAGTTCAACAACTTGCAAGAAACAAAGCTCTTGTGTTTCAAACGATATGAATTCATGTAATTCAGATTTGTCATGTCACTGGTGTTCCTCTGGGTCATATTGTACGCCTCTCGATCAACCTTGTTCAGCACCACTAGTTTGTAATGGTTTTTCAATTTCAAACTGTACAAATCCTCAATGTAAGGTATGCCCATCAACACAAACTTGTGAGCAAGCAAGTACAATGTGTATACCACAAAGTGCTTGCTCATACAGTTCTGCATCTACTTGTTTGGCTGACGCTCAATGTAATTGGTGTCCATTATCTCTTAGTTGTTCACATAAGAGTAAGGAGTGCAATCCTCAAGGTAAATGTAATGGTACATTCGCTGATACTTGTACCAGTGACAACACGTGTCAAGTAAGTATTTTTGTTTATTTAATCAATCTTAATTGTCTTCACATTAGTGGTGTTCATATACTCAAAATTGTGCTCCTTTAAGTCCCTCTGGTGCTTGTTTCAGAATGAGCACTTGCACAGCTACTACCACAAAGAGTGAATGTTTGTACACAAATTCAGTGGATTGTTGGTGGCTTCCAACTGTTGGTTGTATCCTTAAAAAATATGGTAATCCGATGTATATCAATTCATTCTTATGGTATGGTTCAGTATTTTATGGAACTCCAAGTTGGGAAGAAAGACAAGTTACTACCTTGGTAAATGTTGCTAGAATGAGTCCTGCAACATTTGCTACTGCCTATACAGGTTTATCATCTTTGAGTCAATCTGCTGTCGACCCATTGTACGAACACTATGAATTAGACAGAGCTGCAAGATCCCATTCCACTGACATGAACACTAATGATTGTTTCAGTGATAATGACTGTAATGGATGGAATAATATGGAATCTCGTGTTAGAAATTATTATACTGAACCTTCAACTCAAATTGGAGAAGTTATCGGTAATACTGAAACAAATGCTGTAGCAACAGTTAAGAAATGGTTTGAAACTAGCACCTCTAGATCAACAATCATGAATAATTCCTATAGAGTTGTTGGTTCTGGTTTCAAGTCAAACAAGTGGACTGTCAATTATGCCACAGGCACTCAAAACATTACATCAATTGTTAGCTCTGGTACTCACTTTTTCTTAAATACAACCCATATCACATTCATGGTCACTGTCTATAATGCTACACAAAACTCTAAAGGTTTAGCACCAACTGTCAAATTGAGTTTGGATGGCACTTTGTATAACATGAAATTATTGCATCCATATGGAGATGATCCAAAATCTCAATTTGGTACATTTGGATTATCCATTTCAAAGATTTCTTCTGGTACTTGTAGAAACTATATCTTTATTGTTACTGATGCTATGAATCAAGTGTACTATTATCCACAAGCAGGTAGTTTGCAAAGTAGTGGCGAAGGATCATGCTCAACCTTCTTCTATAATTGTGGTGGTATCTCAGCTAGTGGATGTGTTGACGATTTGTGTAAATGGTGCCCAATTTCTCAATCCTGTTTGCAAGGTAAAATGTCAACATGCCCAGCTCAAGGTGCTTGCAGTGCGACAGCCATGTCAAGCTGTTTGTCTGATTCTACCTGTCAATGGTGTAGCTCATCTAATACTTGTACTGCCAAGACAAAAGTTTGTCCAACAACACAAGTCAATTGCAATGTCTATGACAATTCTATTGATAATTGTAGAGCTGAATCCAGTTGTGTATATTGTAATATGTCACGAAACTGTGTTTCAAAGGCAGTCTATTCTATTTCCCAATGTGAAATTCCGACACCAACACCAGTTGTCGATCCATGTTTAAATGTTAAATGTAACAATGGTAACTGTGTCAATGGAGCATGCAATTGTGCTATCAACTATTACGGAACTAATTGTGAAAAGAAGCATTATACTTGTTTTGGTTTACAAGAAACAAGTTCAAATGTTTGTTATGGTAGAGGAAGCTGTATAGCAGATAATGTTTGTAAATGTCAAGAAGGATATGGAGGTAATCAGTGCCAAGATCCAATTTGTTCTACCACCTGTAAGAATGGTGGACAATGTAATGCTCCAAACTCATGTGCTTGTGCTGAAGGATTTACAGGATCGGACTGCTCTTCATTCATGCCTAAAGGTGAATGCGTTGTTGCAATGAGTTCTCAAACTAGTCCTTTCTGTTTTGGTGTTGGTGTTGCTCCTTCATTGTATAGCATGACATACTCTCCAAGCAATGTTTCTTTCAGTAATAAGGCAGAATTTGATTCTAAAATGAACAACTTTGTTCGTGAAAGGGATAATTTGGCTAAAAGTAATGCCAACTCACTCTTACAACAATTCTCCAGTTGTACATCTTTAAGTTGTATTAAGGAAGTGAAGAGATATAGTTGTTATTCAATTTTCAATACATGCCAAAACACCACTCAAACCTCACTTGCACTCTGTAAGAATGCTTGTGAAATTTTGGTTGACCAAGCTGAAAGCTTGAACACTACTAAGGAACTCTTTTGTGCAAGGTTCGCAACATCAGGTTGTACTCCTGGTGTATATGTTTCAAATACTACAACTTGTTTCGGCAAGGGTATTAAGGATGCCTCTGTTTGTTCATCCAATGGAAAATGTATTGATAAGAATACTTGCACTTGTTTTGCTGGTTACACTGGTGAACAATGTAACTTACCAATGTGCTTTGGATTAGCTTCATCTGACTCTAAAGTTTGCAACCGAAAGGGTACATGTATTTCTCCCGATACATGCCAATGTAAGGGATATGCTGGTGCTCAATGTGAAGCTCCAACTTGTAATGGAAAGACCGAACAAGCTGGTGGTTGTTCATTTAATGGTAAATGTACTGATATTGATGTTTGTCAATGTAGAGGTAACTTTGAGCCAAGCACCTTCTGTTTGAAATGTAAAGCTGGATATACTGGTGCTAATTGTGAAATTCCTATTTGTTTCAATACTCCAGCTACTGATAGATCAGTATGTAATGGAAAGGGATCATGCCAAGGACCAAACACTTGTCTATGTTTATCTGGTTTCAGTGGCTCTTCTTGTCAATTATACTCATGTTTTGGTATTGATAGAGCTAGTGCTCAAGTATGTGGCGGACACGGTAAGTGTATTTCTGCAAACTCATGTGCCTGTGAAACTGCTTGGAACGGAGCTCAAGATTGTTCAAGTTGTAGTCCAGCATTTAAGGGAACAAGTTGCCAAGAACAAGTTTGTACAGATGTAGGTACATGTGGTGGAAAAGGTAAATGTCAAGGTTTAAAGTGTGCTTGTTTTGATAAATATGCTGGTAATTTCTGTGATAAGTGTATTGATGGATGGGTTGGTGGTAATTGTTCAATTTCTTGTAGTCCACAAACTTGTAATGGAGGATCTTGTAAGAGTGATGGATCTTGTGAATGTAAGAATGTTAATGCTGATCCATTTGCCAAGTGTGCTCCTGGTAAATGCATTAATGGATTTGAAGGTGATGATTGTGATTACAAATTCGATAATACCTCCCTTAAATTCAATGCCAATGGTGACAAACTTACAGCAACTGTTTACTCAACCCTCAAGAGACCACTTCCATGTAATCAAGTATTCCAAGATGTTTCTAAATTTGGTGATCAATCCAAGTGTCTGTTTAGCTCTGAAAAGAGTTCATTGGAAGTTATTTTAGGACCAAATGCTGATTTGGTTGACGGTAACACTCTTAAGGCATTCAAATATCCAGGAAGTAAGGAAACTATTAATGTTGAAGTTTTGAGTGGTTCCTTTATTGCTTCCACACCGACTTCCTCACTTATTGGTGATAAGAATGTTGTTTCATCTTGTGATGATTTATTCTTAAATGCTTATGGTTCAGTTTCATTGGATCGTCGTCCATTGAACTTTACTTGGTCAGTTAAGTCAGGTCCAACCACTACAGATATGGAAACTCTTTCAAATCTCATTAAGGCTGAAGTTAGAGGTGGTTTGAGAATCAAATTTAGCGGACTTGGTTTGTCAACTGGTACTTATGTTGTTCAAGTTACTGTCACCAGTAAGTTTGGAAAATCAGACAGCAAGACATTTGCGTTCTCTTTAATTACTAGTGCTGTTCCTTCAGTTACCATTAAACAAGGTTCTGAAAGTAAATTCATGATTGGTTCAGTATCTACCATTACACCAATTATCAAATATCCAGTTTGTTATGGAGGCAATGGTGGTGTTCAATATGAATACTCATTAGACAGTTCTCTTTCAAAGGCTGCTGTAGTACCTGTTGTAAAGAATGGTTTATTGGTTTTAGGAAAGACATTCACAGAAATCAATCAAGAAGGTGATTATTACTTTATTGTCAAGGCAACTGCTAATGGAGCTGATGCAGTCTCAATATCTTTCAAAGTTACAGCTATTGCCCAACCATTGTCTCTTTCCTTCTCTATTGATGATATTGTCCAATCTGTTCATGACCCAATTTCTTTCACTGTTAAGGTTGTTGACCCTAGTGGAACCACCGATTCCCAAGTCATTAATACCACCTGTTATGATTTGACTAATGGTAAAGATTGCTCCATTCAACCAGGTTCTGTTGAAACATTCACCAGTGATAAGTTCTCTTCTGGTTCCTATATGTTCACTGCAACTGTATCTAAGGGATCAAGAAAGGCCACTCGCTACTTGTATGTTACTCTTCTTGATCAAGCTAAAGATTCTCTTCTCAAGGTTTCTATTACTTCCAATGTTGATTTGAGCGTTGTTGATCCATCAAAGGATTTATTCTTGACCTACACAACTTGGGGTGTATTGTTGTCAAATCCATCATTTGTTTGGACAGCTGAAAACTTTGCTCTTGACTCTAATGCTACAACTACTTTGAGTTATTTGAAAATTCCATCAAGTTTGCTTTCTCCTGGTGATTCCTACACTGTCTCATTGAAAGTAACTGATGGTGTAAAGGAAGGTTCAGCTAAGGTTTCATTCACTGTTAATTCTCCTCCAACTCAAGGTCAATTTGATGTTTATCCAACAAGTGGTAAAGCATTGAGTGATATTTTCGATCTCAAATGTGGTAATGGTTGGTCAGATCCTCAAACCCCATTAACCTATCAATTCATGTATTATGATAAGACCAATAGTAAGTGGAATGCTTTGACTGACAGAACTGAAGAACCATCAACAAGTATTCTTCTTCCTCAACCAACTTCTGGTAATGTTTTGACTGTTAAGGCAATTGTATATGATTCTTTGGGAGCATCTTCATATTCAACATTTGATGTAACAATTACCAAACCAACTGCTGAAGAATCTGTTTCTGCCTTATCTTCAATTGCTTCATCAAAGGGTACAGTTACCTTGTCAGCAGCCTCATCAGCCATGTCAGTCATCAGTAGTGTTGATATTTCAAAGCTCAACTCTGAACAAATTGATTCAATCAAGCAAGCTGCTGCTGCAATTGCCAATTCATTCCTAGAACAACAAACCAAGACTGAAAGTATTACATCTGTTTCAAAGACTTCTGCTGAAAATGGTTTCTCTTTCACATCTTCATTCAGTGCCTCCGTTGCTTCTGGAGTTGTACCGGATAGTACTACTTCGAAGGTTGTTGAAAAACTCTCTTCTACTGCCTCTTCTGTTTATACGAACGGAATTAGTATCAGTGCTGAAATGATTGAGAATGTTAGAAAGTCTGCTGACAAGTTCCTGGATGTTATTCAAAAGAATATCCAAAGAAAGAGGGTTTTTAGTAAGGTTGACTTGACTAATATTAACTCTGTTTATGATTCTTTGGCCTCATTATCAGTCAAGGATACTGTAGCTGACTTGCCTTCTACAATTGTTAATGCTGGTGGAGTTACAACTCTTACTCGTAAGGTAAACGTTGCTACCTTGAACTCACTCTCTGAAAAGATTCTTGGGAACAATATGATCAAGTTGTCTTCCAAATTTGCTCAATTGAGCCAAATTGCAGCTCTCAAGACTGTAAGCGTAGTTGCCAAGATTATGGATGTAGTAGATGTCAATAATACAGTTACAAAGGCTATTGACTTCAAATTGGTTGATAGTAGTGCAATCTCTGTTTCTGATAGTAATTCTATTGCCAATTTAGTATTTGGAACTATCAAGAAGAGAAGCACTTTGGGAACAACTTACAAGTGTAAGGTTCTTAATCCAACAACAAACACCTATTCAACTACTTCAGGTTGTACTGTTAACACCAATAGTGATGGTACAATCACAGCTTCAGTCTCTAGCACTGGTACCTATATTGTTACTTCTGAAACAACAGTTGACCCAATCAAGAGTACAGTAATAGGTGCAAGTTCTAAGATTGGTGTTTCACATGTCATTACTTTACTTTTATCCTTGTTTGCTATTGTCATGTAAAATAAATACATTTTTTATTCAATAGTACATAGTCTTATTGTTGACTGAAATGAGATCGAATCAATTCCTCATCGTAGGTTTCATCATAGACAACTTTGGCTCTTTCTGGACCACTTCTCTTATATTGTTTTGGAAGTAAGTATTGTCCAACAACATCTTCTTGATCATAAAGAAGTCCAACATATGGCACAACATTCCACCTCAATTTCAAAGTGATAGTCTTGTCTCTTAATTCATTTCCATAATCAATCAATGTATATTTTCCATTCAAAAAACCATATCTTAAATGAGCTGATTGTCTTCCTTCCAAAAGGTATTTTCTTTCCAAAATATCATCCCATAAAATTACCTGATTTAATTCATTGGAATCTGTTTTATATTCTGCATAGAGCATTACATGAAGTACTTTAACATTCCAATGGAAAAGTGGTGTCAAATTTGAATCAAAATCAAATACGAAAGCAGCTCTATCTGGGCTATAATTACGAACATAATCTAATCGGTTGCTGCATAATAAATAATTTAAATATTTCCGATGATCAATCCTCATCACTTACAATTTAAGTAATTGTTTCACTTTTACACTAATATCCATATCACTTGGTTTTGTTGCCAAAAAGTATGATGAGGCTCCGTAACAAATGGCCATCAATCCTAATATCGAAATTGCATCGGTGATGATGCTACTCAAACGATTAGACCAAGAGAACATATTTTTTTTAATTTTGAATTGGATTTATTTAATTTATTTTTAATGTAGAGAAGCTGAAAACACGTATGATAATTTGTGTGACGATTTTATGGACAGTTAGGGTTTTTGTTTACAATTTGTCATCATAATCATCGTAAGGATTCAATTCGTGTCCGGCAATACTGGAGCCAATAGTTCCCATACCAAACTCTCTTGCTACAACACTAAAACCATTAGTAGCGAGTCTCTTGAAGAAGTTATCACGTTGTTCTTGCTTACTTAAAGAGCCAGGATTGTATCTTCCTCCTGATTCTTTGGCACGTTTGAGAACTTCCATTTCATTGAGGTGAGACTTGTTCTTTTCTGCACATTTTGGACATTCATCCTTCTCCAAACAACGTTGGTGATAACTGTGCATACACATAAAGTGAACAGCTGGTAAATCAAGTTGAGAATTACAGAAAGAGCATTGAGTAAGTTGGAAAATTTTAGCACTTGTTCTCAATTCTTCAACTTCATAACTGAGTTTTTGAGTTTCTTTTTGTAATTCCTTGATGGTTGTTGTTTGATCTTTGATACTTTCTTGTTCAGATTTAAGTTTGATTTGGAGATATTGCTTGATAGTGGAGAGTTTGATTTTACCATTTTGACAAAGAATGTCAACAACCATGAGTGGAGGAATTACGTCGTTATCCTTAATTTCATCTAGTAGAGATGTAAGATACTTTTCAGCATTTGGTTCCTCACTTCCAGGACCCTTAGCATAGAAAGACAAAGCTTGTATCCAAACATTTCTATCATCTCTACACTCCTTTTCTCTACATCTTGATAAAATATCTTGGAATTTTCTATCTGGATCCACACCATCTTTATCCATATGGTATTGAATAATATCGTAATGTAATCCCAAAACTTGATACAGATAGAGAATACCTTCTCTAAATTTAGAGGATTGAACCAAAACTAGGGCATGTTCACGATCATATTTTGGTTTTGAATCATCACCATATGATCTTTGTTGTAAAATGTCCATTATTTTTCCTCTATAAGATGTACTAATATCAGTTGAGTGAACTGGATAGACTTTGTAAAAGTCGTTACTTTCATCTACACGAGGTATATAAATATTTTCGGTAGGACTATTAACACCTAAACCTTCTCCCTTATAATCATAATATTGTCCATTTGTAATACTGAATCCTTCATCAGCATTTTCCTCATTATTAATTACCTTTGAAGTTGTATTCACAGAATTTTCTTTTGACCAAAATTGAAGATACAACTCTAGAAGGGTATTATACACAACCTTATCCATGTTAAAATGAAGACTATCCTTGTGGTAACTGGTGACAACTTCAAGGAAAACCATTAACCAATATTGGTTTTGATTGTGGTCTTTATCAGCAGCATAGCAGAAAATATAATCCTCAGGTGCTTGATCAAATGTCGAGGCATCATTCATTCTATTTACAGCAACAGACAAAAGATCATTATCAGTTAAATGTAATTCGTCACAAGCTGATTGTGTCAAGAAAATTCTTCTCTTGTCATCAATATTGTCTGCAACTTCTGTCATTTGTGGAATCAATCCATTCACTTGCTTTTTAGCAGGAATTGGTCTATAATTAATACACATTCTAATTAATAAATTAGTAGATCTTTCAGGGAGGTTTGCAACCAGTTTTTTACCATATCTTCTCATGAACTCTTTGCTTTGATCAAGGCTTAGAGATTCTATGTGACGAAGAGCCTTTTTAAAGTTGAGTTTGTATTCTGGCATTTTTGGATTTTCATTCCATTTACCAAAATCTTCAATATAGATACGTATGATCCAGTCGTTAAGAATTCTTTGCTTTTCTGGATTATTGTTGAAAAGTGGAGCTGTACTTTCGGCAAGTTTTAATGCTTCATCTCTAAAACCATTTTCTCTCAAAACTTTGATTGCTGTCTCAACATCATAATTCAAGAGTTTTGCATTCTTTGGATGAATAAATTCTTCAAATATCTTTGATTTGTCTCTTCCATCAACAAGTTCCATAAATTTAGCCATTAATTGAGCTTCTACTTCCTCTTCTTCCATTCCAGTATCATCTTGTGCGTCATCATCGTCATCCATTAACATATCCATACCCATAATATCCTTACTATCCCTAGAAGCAAGATTGGCTCCAATACCAGAAGGATTTGTCATGAGTTGAATTTGTTCTTCACTATGATCGTCTAATCTCATGAAACAGTTCAACAATAAAGTAGTGTGATCTCTATTGTTTTTACGTTCCAAGTGAAGTTTTAAAAGATATTGGATGAGGAATGCATTTTTCTGAGAATCAAGGAACTTTCTAATGACATAGGATGGTTCAACGAGAGGTATTGTTTGCATGTACTGACGAACAGCTTGTTGATATCTTCCCTGAGAGAATAAATAATCACCATATTTACGACGAGTTTCAGAGTTGAAAGCATCATAATCCAATTGTTGAATGGTTTTAGCCAATTCAATTGCATAACGATATTGGTATTTTTTGATGAGAAGTTCTAATTTGCTTTGAGGTGGCTTTTCTTTGAGTTGGTAAATGAAATTTTCACTACCTGCCTCCTTTCCCATTGGACCTTCTCTCTTGACAATTAAAAATATTGTTCCTGTATCTACTCCTTGTTGAAAAACTGGAACAATGTCAATAAATTGATATTTCCTATTTCTTTCAATTGTAGAAACAGCATTATTACCTTGAGGAGCTGAACCGTTTTGAGTTGACATATTGTTAGCCATGTGGAGATTTTGAGTTCTGAAATCATAAGTAATGTATGTATTATTGAGATCATACATATTGAGAACAACATTTCCTTTCTTACTGTTAACAGAACCATATACGCTTGAAGGTGTATTATTCTCTACACGAGCCATACCTAAATAATTTTGATACCAAAATAATTTACGACGTACAATACTTTGGTTGTGGTGAGATGCATGGGATGGAGGGAGTTTTACAATCTTGTCATTGGTGTTTGCTGCATTGTCAGAATTGGAGGTAATTGGTACATTTGGATTATGGTTGTATTTGAAGGCATGAATTTCGTCACCCTTGAGTACAATAAAGGCAGAGTGATACTTGCCAATAGTTGTATCATAGAGCATATTTTGGTTATGCAATCCTCTACTGTGTGAATTGTACTTGGCATCTTGATGTTCTAAAAATGATGAAGCAAAGAAAGGTGTTGAAGTACAAGTGCAACCGTATTCAATTGGATCAGAATTACCAACAAAATTTACAACAGTACCATCTTGATTAGTATTATTTTGATTGGCAGACGAAACAAGAGTTGAACTTGAGAGTGGTATTTTCACAAATCCACTTCCCAAAGAACGAGCCAAATCCCATCTGTAAACATCATTCTTATCTGTTGCATACAATACCCAATTTCCTTGTTTATCTTGATTTGAAAGGAAACCAAGAGAATTGATAGAACTATTCGAAGGTAAGGCTTGAATTGTTGGTGCTCTCTTATCATTGGAAGAACCAAAGTTGAAAAAACTTGTAGATGATGTAGATTTAGTTGAACTAACAACACCTCCAGTTTGATTATTTGTAGTATTTCTTTTTCCAACATCATTATACAAGTAGACATATTTTCCTCGTGGAATTGCAAGATATTTCAAATCAGTAGTAACCTCGAATTGATCAATAGAATTAATGATCTTATCCTCCTTATCATATTTTGGTAGAATTATTTCTGATTTTGGAATACTCAATAAATCAGAATTTTTAAAGGCACCTTTCCATTCAAAGACTTTGATTTTAACTTCTTCTTGAAGAATTGCTTCTTTTTGAAGGGATTGACTAACTACAAACTCTTCATTACTGGTTTTATCACCATCACCATTTTCTGATCTTGTCAGAGAAGAGAGGTTATAGTCTGTTCCTACAGCAATAAGGTAATTACTTTTAACTTTTTGTTCATCATTACTATTGGCATATTTTCCATCTGTTTTATATTCTGTGCCACTCTTTGGTGTAACAACTCTAATAGAATTAAGAGACTTGGAGAAAATTCCTACAAAACAAGTATGTTCCTTTTTGTGAGTATCAATAGTGTGAATGTTTCCGTGATCATCAGAAAAGAACAAAATATTCTTACTGGCTGCAACAGATGTAATATTTGATTTGTCTAGTCTTTGAGAATCTAAAGCTGATGTACTTGAATAGAGAACAGATAAAACACTATGTTGTTGAATAATAGCCGATGCTGATGATGATGTTGTGTTATTACCAGTTGGAATAGAATTCTTTTCTTTTGATGTTTTACTTCCTGTTGTTATACCTGTTTGCACACCTTGAGGAAGGAGATTGGCTATTTGTGGGTGGTGAAATACTTTACTCTTCTTTTGCCATCCATCTAATCTTGAATGATCAAAGAAGGTAAAAATGTTGGAGAAGGGTTGTTTTTTGTTGTTGCTCCTAGAGGAACGAAGAGGCAATGAAGGAGTTGTTTGGGTAGACATCATCATAGGATCAATCTTTCAAAATGTTTAAATATTTTCTTCTCAATACCAATAAGTTGTATTAAATAGATTAGATGATGGAGAAAGATTGTTTCCTTTGTTGTTGATGTTGTTTAATGTCCTTTATAAAGATCAAAAAGGGCGGAAACAACAGGCTGTAGAGAATTTTTTTTGATGAAGAGTTTGAAATTTGAGAAGTTATTTCATTTGCAGTTTATTAGGACTGAGTATCATCTAGATCAACAAAAGGCCTTTCCAGCACCAAAGTATTCTTGAACCTTGCGAAGGAAGCAGTGTTAATGATATAATCTTCTCTATTCTTTAAACAATAAATTATTTATTAAATTACTCTGAAAAACCGTCATTCTCATCAGATGAAGCATCTGCTCCTTCAGAAATTTCAACCTCAGAGAGGGGTGGAGCTAAACCTTTACGATTGTTATTGGTTGTAACTGTGTTTGAAACAGGTGATAGCAAGTCTGTTTGTGGTAGAACTTCCATTTCAGCGCTGGAAAAGGCCAAATACTCTGATTTTGTTCTCTTATGAGCTTGAGCTCCCTCTCTTCTTCTCATATTAATAATTGCTGCTCTGGGTGTTGGTCTTGGAGATGAAGGAAGTTTTCTGTCAACAAGAACATGTGGAGGTGGTGTTGCAATTTTGGAAATTGGGATTGATATTGGACTTATGGCAGGATGTTTATCCATCAATTTCTCTGAAGAATTTACAATGTTTGGAGTGACAAACTTTGGTTGTGTGTAAGCAATTGGATTAACATCCTCAATTTGCTTTCCGAGTGGACCTTCATTCCATTGAGAACCATCATCATATTCATCATGTGCTTGGGAAGAAATTGGTGAAATAGAAGTAGGAGTTGTTACCTTAAGAGATTTTGAATTTCTTTGAGAATCTATTTGAGAAAGTGGTTTGGAAGGTGGTTTAGCTGGTGAATCAATTTCAGATGAAAGAGAAGTTTGTGAAATGCTTGGTTGAGGTAATTTGGTAAGAAGGGAAAGATCAACATTAGGAAAATTTACAGGGAATAGTGGTCCAAATATCACATCTTTAGAAGACAATGGTAAAACAAAGGCTCTTCCTCTATTTTCAACATTGTGATAATTTCTTTGTAAAACATCGGAGAAAGACTTTTCCTCAGCTGAATTTGTTTTAGATTTACAAATGATATTAATATCTGGAAGGGCAACATAACCACTTGATAGTGGAATGAGTCCAACTTCAACGTGTAATGGTGATAGATTGATACTTTCATCGAGAACTATTCTACTAGTACCAGATAAAACCCAATGTAGAGGATCTGCCTCGATTTCCAAAATAAATGCACGATCATTGTGGAATACTAATGGCTTGGTAATGAATAAATCCAAACTCATTTGACAAGAACGCCCTACAACAAGAGCCTTTTGGGTTCCCTCTGTTTCATTTGTAATATCTTCCTCTGCTGTTGAAGGAAAACCCATAAGAGGTGACAAGGATTCGTTCTTAGTTTGGGCAAAGCAGTTAACATCAACAGAAAATTGAGGGTCAATCTCTTCATTTATACCAATGGATGGTACAATAAAATGATAAACTGCAGAGTCTTGGGTTGGAATTGAAAATTCCAAATTCATAACAGGAGGAGTGAATGGTTTTGAAACAACAGCTTCAAATACATAAGAAATAAAATCTTCAGCAAATACTTCCATTGGAGATGTAGTAGTTATGAGATGGGTATTGAAATCTTTGGTAATATTAAAAGAGTCTGATGAAGTAATTTCGTATTTGGATATCTCTAACGGTTTTGGTGTTATGCACTTTGTTAAAACTTGAATCATATAGATACTCTCTGACATTTTAGTAGAAAAGCATTCACACGAAAATGGTTGATAAAAAGTAATTTCAAACGTTTTTTGTAATTTGAATGATTCTCTTGTAACTTGTTTAGTATAGTTAGCTCTAAAGCTCATATTGTAATTCTCTGTAAGTCTTTCTTTGGAAATTTCTGTTGCAATAATAGGTATCTTGTAGGTAAGACGCCTGCCCGTTCCTAATTTTGGAATTGAAATTGAACAATCCAAAATATCAATCTCTTCTTCGGCTCCCTCATCGACTATAATAAAACCCTTCTTATCTGGGCAAACACGTAAATTTTGAGATAGTGATGTAATAGACATTGATCCACATTCAACAAGGTCTTGTTTTGTATCGACTGTAATACAGAAATAGTGAACAGAGTTTAGAAGGAAGAGTTGCTCTTTGACAGTTTCTATAGTCAGTGTTGGTCTAGATTCAAGTACCAATAATAGGAAGGCATCCTTTAAACTATCCTTCTTAACTGCTACCATTGTAGTGGTAGTGAATGAAGAAGAGTCATCATCGGCAAACATAGTTTCCATTTGACTTTCAATTTCAGATTGTGTATCAGTATCTTTAGTTCTTGTAAGTCTAGATAGAAGAGAGTTATCACTCTTTGGTTTAACCTTTTCTCTATTGGTTTTTTCTGATGACACAACAACGAATGGTCTATTATATACCAATTCTTCTTCCTTTCTTTTAGTTGGTACAATAAGCTCTAATTTACCAAATTTGATGGAAATGCGCTCCAGACGGAAAGAGCCAAGGCGTAGCATCATTTCATCTATTGGAAAAACATTTTTGCCCCTTTTTAAAGGTGTGTTAGAAATATTTCTTGAAATGACAAGTCTTTCATGATAAGAATCCTCATCAACTTGAATAAATGAAAGTGAAAGCTCTTCAGCTGTAAATTCTTCAAGTAGTGAATCATTGAAAATGGTAACGATTAAATTCAATTGTTTACCCATTTCTAAACATGCTTCATTTTGCTTTGTTGTTGTTACACAGGTATACCACATGGATGTATCCTCTATTTGTTTTGAGATAGTATTTTCATAGTTTTTAAGAGTATCTGTCATTTCTCTCCAGTAATAAAGTTTTTGGAGATTATTTGTATATTTTGAAGTAATTAAATCTACACATGATGATACGTAATCAACTTCAGATTTCATATGTTTTGTACATTCTGCCATTTTGATCAATACATCAGTTGCAATACCATACCAGCCATCAGTAAGATACATGGAGAGTTGTCCCTTCAAATATTTAAAGGATTCTACATATTTTCCTTGTCTGAAATGTATAGCAGCCATGTCTCCATTCAATTTCTGATAGAATCTATTTCTCAGTCCATTATTGTAACAATCTGCAACAGATGATATCACTGCTAACATTCTCTCATCAAATTCTTGTTGGGTTGATAGAGCTTGTTTTAACAGAGAGGCTGGTAAGTAATTAGTGTTATAAACAAGAAGTAATTTCTTTTGTTCAACGTCCATATTTAGCGTATGAGCTAGTTTAGAATACTCCACTTTTGTTATAAATGGAAGATTAGTAACCAGTTCTGCAGCTGAATCCACATGTTTTAAACTCAAATCAAAAACAGTGTCTGTTCCTCCAGTACATATATTATCCCAAGAAATATCCATGTCAAATACTGAACCTAAAATTTCTAATTCATATCTACAATATAAATAAATATCACCACATAATCTGTATAATGTTCTTTGAACATCGTCAGACATTTCCTTCACTCTCTTATAACACTCTTCAGCTACACAAAATGCAGATGCATAAGCCCATGCGTGAATATTCAAGTATTTTGTCAAGGTATTTTCATCCCATGAAGTGGCAAGTTCATTGGTTTCAGTATTAGAGGTAAGCAATTCTTGTTCCAATCTCTTTACTAAACTAGAAATGTGTAAAGGAGCAACTCTAGCAACTTGATCTGACATATGGAGCTTAAAAAACAAGTGCATCTGTCTAGAAAATACATAATTTTGAAACTCAAATTCTGAAATTAATGAATTTTTCATACTATCTCTAAAACCATCATATTGGTCTTCCAAAATGTTGACAATTTTGAATTGTTTCTCATCAAAGAAATTGGCATATTGAACCATTTTTCTTTCTGATGAAGCAAACCCAAGTAATTGATTGTAAATACCAAGAGAATTAACAAAAAGTCCAAATTGTTCTAGTAAAAAGGAAAGACCTTCTTTTTGAATAAAATATTGAGAAAATTGCCAACCAGGAAGATGCATATTCATCTCTGTTTTTTTGATTTCCTCTTCATATTTAGCACATCTTCTTGAAAACTCATGCAAAATTCCTTCATGAATTCTTGTGTACATTTCCTTCACAACACTTGTATTAGATCCACTAGTTGATAGTAATGAATCATCTTGACTTGAACTGCTACTTGCACTTGTATTTAGTGTGGTACCATTACTATTATTTGCTCCATTGAGTGCATGTTGAAGACCTAGTTTAATCACTCTACTTGCAGAGCTTGATGAAGCAATACTATTCGATCCATTTGATGTAGCCTTTCCAAAGTCGCTCTTTAATTTGTCATACACCTTACTGAATAGAGAGAATTTCTTAAACAAATCTCCAGAAGATGTGTTACTCGAAACATAACAAATTAAATATTCGTAATCTCTTTCTGTCATGTAATCAACCCATTTTTTAAGTTTAGGTTTAATATTACTCTTATAGATTTCCAAATCTTCTGTTTGTACAATAAATAGATGGAAATATGGATTTCTATACCAGCAAGACCAGTGCCTAGAGTTACAATCTTTAATCCTCGAATCATTTGATGTGTAAAAGTCAACTTTATACTGACTGATAGGTTTAATTAAATCCAAATTTGGTACAACTTCCAGAGGTGTACTTGTAGTAGTAGAAGCTGATCCGGAATTACTGGTTGTTGTTGTTTTGTTTGTTTTGTTGGATTGAATTTTTTGTATCTTCCCCTTTACAACTTGAAGAGTTGAAAGTCCACTGGCTTGAAATTGTTGATTATTAATACAAAGTCTTTTAATTTGTCTATTCCATAGAGCATATTTAGTGTTTACTATTGATGAGGATGATGTTGTTGTAGTGGATGTGGTTTGTAAATTGTTTGATGAAATGGATCGTTTTACACGATTTAGAGGTTGTTGTTGTTGTTGTTGCGAGGTTTGTTGACTCTGAGGATCATAATAACTTGGATTTGGATCATCTTTGAAATTATCTTCTGACAACTCCCATACAACAACATACGGGTTCAGAAAATAATGATTTGGATTCATCATTTTTGATCTTGCAAGAGATGAGCCTATCAAAGATACAGGTGTGTAGATCCCACAAACAAGACAGGATGATTTTTTTAAATATTTAAATAAAATAATTTTATTTCATCAAATAAATAATGCGCCAAACAAAAGCAATGCGGCATCCTTAATAAAAAAATGCCTTCCTCATCAAACTCAGCTGGTTCTGGCCTTCTCTTAGGTGAAAAAACCGTTATGGAAGGAGAGGTATTGAGAAGAAGTCTCTTTTCAACTTGGAGGAAAATGTATATGGTTTTAAAGGATGACGGAGTATTATTTCAATATCCAAACAATCCTCAATTTTATCCAGAAGTTTCACTCAAGGAAAGTTTGGTTTTGAACAACTCATCAGTTATACAAGTGATCAATGCAGAGAAAATCACTCACCAAAATTTTACCATTCTCCTGTTCCTTACCAATAAGGCTCCAGTTTTATTAAAAGCAAAAGATGGTGTGGAACATCAAAGATGGGTAACCTCACTCACCAGATATGCCGAAAAATATAAATCCAACTCATTCATTCAAGACTCAATTTCAACAATACCAACCCCGAGTTTGGTAATAGGAAAGGATGAAAGAATCAAATTTGTGAATAACAAAGGTCAATCAATCTTTACAAATGCAAAATTTGGAACCAATATCAAGTCAGTTTTATCGTATGACCCTGATTCTAATTCTCAATCTCTAGGAGCAATACCATTCGAAGTTAGGATTCTAAAAACAGCAAGCATCAATAATGACATTTTAATGTTGGCATCAAAAATAGAATTGGATCAACAATTTGTATTCTTCTTTCACGATGTATCAGAGTATGATTATTATCTAGATGAAGAGCTTGAAGAAGTTTTTGATGAAGTATATCAAGCTCAAATGAATGGTACTCCTGAAACAGTTGACGATTCGAATCAAACAATGAGACTGTTTGTTAAAATTTTAGGAATGTCTCCTTTTGTTTTGAAACTACACCATGGTCTTCAAACTCACCATTACCAAAAGATTGTTAACATGTATTATAGTGACAAATTGTATAACAAGAAGCCACCTGGACCAATTTATCTCCAAAAGATTATCAACTTTAAGAATGGGGATAAATTAATGGAATTTTCTAGAAAGCAAGCAGCTGCTGATAAGTTCAATATGGAATCTCAGGTAAAGACACCAATTTATGATGAACCTCCAGCCTGTGATGATTCGATAGTAATGCAAAAATCGAGTGTTCCTGATTTATTTAATGGAGATGTTCCAAAAGTTATTGATATCAATCGTTTAATCATTCTTTTAACAGATGCATATTCACCACAATTTCTCTCTGATGTATTTTGGTATACTTTTAGGTATAGTATGAAACCAAAGATTGTACTCGATAAGATTTATCAGAGATACTTTGTTCCAGAATTAACAGAGCAAGATCTTTTATTCAATGATGTTGAAAGAAGTTTCTTCTCCAATGTTGTAGCAGTAGGAATCAAAAAAAAGTGCCTTTTATTGATATTGAAATTTGTAAAGAGTGGCATGTTTGATTTTGATAATGATATGGTCAATTCTTTGGACGCTTTCATAAGAACTGCATTCGAGTCACTAAATGTTAACCCTTCTTCTAATATTATAACGAATCTAGATCTAGGAATATCATCTACAATAACACATATTAAGGAATTGATGGCCAAACAAGATAGAAAACAACCATGGCAAAAAGCTAAGGATATGGATAAGATTTTCAACATTAAAGAAAATAAGAAAGCAAAATTTGTTGGTGGTGGAACACAGGGGATTGACCTATCAGAGCTAACACCAAAAGAAATTGCTGAACAACTAACATATATGGACTATGCTCTTTATAACGAAATTCATTTTACTGAAATTCTTGATCAAGCATGGAATAAGGATAAGAGAAGACATCAAGCTCCTCATGTCATGTTGAATATTAACTTTTTGAATAAGGTTAGTACATGGCTTTCGGTCAAGATTCTTACAGAGGAAGATCCTCAAAAGAGAGTAAGATTTGGTAAAAAGATAATGCAAGTTCTTGGAATTTTGAAAGAAATGAACAGTTATAATATGCTAATGGCAATTATTGGTGCTCTAGGATCAACACCAGTTCACAGATTGAGTAAAGTTTGGGATGAAATGGATGAAAAACTGAATGAGGTTCAAAATGCTTGTAATGAACTCAGTTCTCCAAAAGGTAACAGCAAAAACTTCAGAATGGCAATGAATGAATGTTTTACTAATGGAAAACCTTGCTGCCCTTATATTGGTATTTATTTGAGAGATTTGGTTTTTACAGATGATGGTAATCCAACAATTATGGATGGCAAGATTAACTTTTCCAAATGTATCAATACTTATAATGTAATGTACCAAATTTTGAGATTCCAAGGAAGACCATATGAAATTGAACCGAATAATGATTTTATCAAGGAAATGATTTCGTTCAATGAGAAGGAAAGAAGTGAAGAAGAGCTGTATGAGCTAAGCTTGCAAATACAGCCAAGAAAATAAAATTATTAAATTAAAAAAATGTTCAGTTTGAATACTACTCGTTCATCAGCCCGTTTATTATTAAAGAACAAGAATCAATTTAAATCATCATCTTTGATGATCCGTAAAGTTTTTGTTCAATCAAGACAATACACAAATTCAAGAATAATTTTTAACCAACCTGCTTCATCTTTCACTTCATCTACAACCACTAATACCTCCACAACAAGTAATAATACCTTGGATATTAAAACACTCAAAAGATCAATTCTTGATGCTGCTGTTGATAAATATGTTCCAACTCTCGGATGGTCAGTTGATGCTATCTCTGAAGCCTCAAAGGATTTCGGATTGAGTCCAATGGCATCTTCACAACTTTTCGCAACTGGTGCCACAAGTTTAGGACCAGAAACTGAATTGATTCAACACTTTTTAACAAAATGTAATAGAGCTATGAGTGTACAAATTCAAACAATGGACAAGACAGGGTAAGTCCTTACCATTTATCAAATAATATAATGATCAATTAATTAACATTCAGAATGGATACACCAACAATTATTAAAAAAGCTATTCGTGCTAGACTTGAAATGGTTGCTCCATTCGTCAAGTGTGGAAAATGGACAGAAGCCATGTCTACCTTTATTTTCGGACCAAATCCACTTGTTGATGGTCCAACCCAAATTTTCAATCAATTAACTGGTTTCAAAACATCAGGAACTCATAGTGGACTTGGACCTGTTAATCAAGTTCATGGTTTAAATGCTCTTTACAATGCTGCCATATTGTCTGATGAAATTTGTCATATTTCTGGAATCCGTGACACTGATATTCAATGGTACATTAAGAGAGCTGGTGTTGGAATGGTTTATACTAGTTGTGAATTTTTCATGTTGACTGATAGTAGTCCTGATTTCCAAGATACATGGAATTTCTTAGATAGAAGAATTGACGAATTGACTGTTTTACAATCTGTAAATGAAGGTGTCTCAAACATTTTGGGAGGAATTTTCTCTGCTGTTTTTGCAATGGCCTCAGTTCCACCATCAACAACTAACACAACTACTCAACAACAAACAGAACAAACTCAACCACCTTCCACAAACTAAATATTGGATTTATTAAAGCAATAATTGGGTCTAAACAATCCTTAATATCAAAATTAAATCAATTTTATTTTTTAGAATTTTAAAAAAAAATGGTTTGTAGTATCAGACTTCAACGTATGGGTGTAAAAAACAACCCATTGTACAGAATTGTTGTTACCGACTCTCGTCGTGCACCATCATCAGGTAAAATTGTTGAGAAAATTGGAGTTTATGATCCTAGTGCCAAGAGTATGGACTATATGTTCTTCCAAAATTCTTTGAATCCACAAGAAAAATTCAAGACTTGTTATGTTGATATTGATAGAGTTAAATACTGGCTCAGTCAAGGAGCTCAACCATCTGACCATGTGATGAAGCTTTTATCAAACATGGGCTTGGTTCCTCCAAATCCTCAAGTCATTCCGAAGGGATGGGATCCAAAGGTTTGGGATCAAAGTTTCAGACAAGCACATTTATATTGGAAGAGAAAGAGTAAGATTGAAGAACAACTCTAAATCAAACAACAACCCTCTAGTAGAAGAAACTAACTTATTCAATTTTCAAATTACGGAATGTACAACAACAAAAAAGTTGATATTATTTTCAGTTTGATGATAGCAGCAAATATGGACAATAATATTGTTTTTAATTTTATTAAATAATAACAAAATATTAAATACGCTTTGGTTAAATATTTCTTAATACTAGTAATCTATAAACAAGAAGACTGAAGAGTTAGTTCATTGATAATACTCTGGGATGCGACAATAAAAAACTAAACAAAGAGAAAAAAAAATGCAAAGCCAATCATCAAACAAGCAAAGCTTGGCAATTGCAAACGCTCTCAAAGATAAACTTGCCTCTGGTGAATCTATCGTTCAAAGACAAGCAATCAATGGTCTTTATGTGGAAATTAAAAATCCAAACACTCCTGCTTCTATGGCTAATGATATTGTTCAATTGCTCATCACAAATATTCGGAACAAGAAATCAAATAGAACAATAGCAACAACATGTTTGGATGTCATTGTTAAAATATTCACCGAGTTGGATATTAAAGCTCATCAACAAATTAAAGATATACCAGTTCAAAACGTAATGGATCAATTGATCAAATTTTCAATCCAAATTCATCCAGCACTCATCCCACATTTAACACGTTCAATTTTAAATATTTATCTAGGAAAATTTAATGATGGTGTTGTTAATCACAAACAATCAAAGGAGCCATCAAAATTATGTTCACTTTTAACCTCATCATCAGCAGGTTCTCCTCTAGTAATGCTCGTTCAAAATAGAAACGAATGTCTTGTTGAAATATTGAACCAAGTATTCACTAGTTTGACAAGATCAGATTCTCATCAATTTTCTAAATTATTCAGATTTTTCTCTCCACTTTTTGCTCACTTCTTCACTAACAGAAAATTAATCCACGAAGAAGGACAACAAGATTTACCAACTAATTTATCAAGTAATATTGTATCATCACAAGACGATCTCTTTGCAGAGAATGACGAGGACAGCACACCAATCAATCAAATGAGGGGTACCCTATTGAGAAATGATATTATGAATGCCACCCATCTCAAAATGAAGTTATTGAACGAGTTGAAAGCAATAATTCTTTATAAGATAGAAAAATCATACTCACTTCAAGCATCCGATTCAGACAGTGACAAGAAATTAAGAGCCAATCTCATCAAACAAGGTTATTCAATAGTTTTATATCTTGTTCACTTTTTACCTTCCTTTGAAGTTGATTTGAATTCTGATGTGGTAGCATCTTGCTTTGCTCCTTTGAAAATTATTTTGGATTTGGTTTTGCAATTTGAAGAAATTTTTGCTACTATAGAAGAGGAAGAAGCAGAATTTTGTGAAGATTACTTGTCACATATTGGTAATGAGTTTGAGCAAATATCTCTTATTAGATCTATGGTTTACAGATATATAATGTCAATTTATAAGGAGATTACCCATTATCAAATTGATATTGAAATGTATTTTAATTATTTATTTGATATTTGTAAGAATAGTTTGGAGCATTTTGTTGAGTTTATTCCTATTATTTGTAATTCAATTTTATCTTCAGAGACAGAACTAGAGTCAGATTCATGGCTCAAGGTTCTCAAACAACTCGTATTCTTACTTGTTGAGAATGAGGAAAGTTTCGAAGAATTTTTCGACTCTTTAAATTCTCAACATAGAGAAAGTGCATTTTCTAAATGTTCTCATCTAGTTGTAGTTTGTTCCAACTTGCTATACTCCCTTACAGTATTATTGCACGTTGTAACAAGTGGATTGTCGAGTGAAAACAAAACTCTTGCATCTGTATGCATTCAAAAAATCGAGCAATATTTGGCTGACAAGTTTACAAATGAACAAGAAATGGAAGAAGAAGAAGAAGTGGAAGAAGTAACATCACAACAAGATGCCACATTCGGTAAATTATTTGACATTCTCCCAATTTTCCAAAGATATGACCTTTCTTTACTCTCTTGCCATTATAGACTGGTTGGTAAAATGCTTTCATCATCTGGTGATAGGGTAAATGTACGGGCTGAATATTGTGCACAATGGAGCTCTTCACTTCCCTCACTACTCTCCAAAGACTCTAAAACGATATACTCTGCAACAGGGTTGTGCTGCTCTATTGGAATGGTATTGATACTATCTAGAAATCAATTCACTCCCAGTGATTCTCTCCGTACAGTAATATTAAGTGCCATTGAATCAATCACATCAGACATTCTTTCCTTGAAGGGAGGATTACTCTTACAACCACTGATTTTCTATGAATTACCAAAGGAGGAAAATCCTTCATTCAAAACTTCAATGATGCAACTACTTCCAAAGTTGGGTACCAAGAATGATATTAACGTTACTCCAATTGTGAAACTATTAACCAACATGACATTTAATAAGGATTTACTTCCAACAGTTTTGAGATTATTCACAGAGCTTTGGAAACAAAACGAAAAGTTCTTTACCAAGCTTAAGGGATTCTTATTCTCATTTTCCAAATACATACAAAGTGATTCGAATACCCAAATTGTACAAGTTGATAATTATGATCATTTGAATAACTTTGATTTGGAGACGAGACTTGCAATATCATGCTCAGTTTATGAAATTTGCAGTAGAAAAATTGAGAAGGGAGCAGAGTTATTACCTCTTGTAACTAGAATTTTATGTCAGGAAAATAACTCTCAAGTGCTCTGTTATGCCTTAAAGTCAATGGCTATTCTTACTAGGAATAGAGTGGTTGATTTTTATACAGTTTGGTACAAGGTAATCAGACAAAACATTGTCAATAATTCCAAACAAAGTGCTGATGTTCTCAGAGAAATGTGCTTACTTTTCCAATGCACTGTTGAACCAATTTCGTATGAAAGTTTAACAGATCATCAAAAGAAGGCAAAGGAAGAGGATGAATACAATTTATTTGTCGACTTTGAATCAATCTACAAGAATGAGGTTAAGGAAATTATGGATATTTTGTGGATACATACAATGGATTCTGATGAAAGTGTAAGATGTGCTGCCTTTGAAACACTTGGCATGTATCCACTTCATACCTTGCTCTATGCTTTCAAGGAGGAAGAAAGTGACGATGAACAAGAACCACAACCAGTTGGATCAGAAGTTCTAGATCAGAGAGAGGAGAATATTTTTGCTAAACAAGAAATAAGAAGAGGATGGTTATTACTTTTGTGTGAAGCTTTGATTAAGAGACTTCAAAAGGAAACCTCTTTACGTGTGCTCACTTCAGCCACACCAATCATTCAATATATTTTGAAGGCTGAACTGAGAAAACCAAAGAATACTTCTATTGTTTCAAAGGATAAGAAGGCTAGCTCGCAATCTATTGGATTAACATCATTCGATAAGTTTGACTCACTTGCTGATTTTGCTGTAAAACAGTTCGAAAGTAAGAAGAATATGCAAGTAACTGCTAGTGCTGTTTTATGGCAAGGTAATTTGGCCAAGGTGAAGACACCAATACCAGAGACAGAGGCATTCAAACGTCTCTTGAATGATTTAGCAATGGATATTGTTGTTGGAAGTAGTCCAGAAGACTTCTTCTCTCAACTCATCCTCACTCAAGGATTTTACTCTCTCGCAAGAGATTACTACAATATAGCTGTAGAAACTTCAAGAGAAAAGGAATCACAAACCCACTTTGATACTGCTTTTGAGACAACATTTTCCACAATCAAGACTAGTATTGAACAAAGTTCCGTTCCTTCCACAACAGGAAATTACATTCTGGCAATGGCTGGTTTGTGTCTTGCATTGCCAATTAACGCACATCATCATGTTCTCAAGATAATTGAAATTGTCAAGAAGAAATTGAGTTCTTCATTAGAGGCTCAAGAAGATGTCAAATATGCTTGTAATATGGTACTTGCAAGTGCATCTTTTGAACTTCATATTTTCTCTCAATTATTTGATTTGTCTTCCCTTCTCATTGCTCAACTTCACTCAATGATTAATGAAAATTCAACTCATGATGTTTCTTCTGCATCTTCCGCAATTTCTTTGGGTGTTATTGCAAGAAATTTATGTCTTTCTAAGACAGATAATTATGAAAAGGGTCTCTACTTGTTAAGACATATTGCTAACAACTTGTTTAGTTTGTGTTTCAAGACTGAGAGACAATTGTTCGAGATTACTGAGGATTTGTCAAGTCACAAAACAGCTTTCAAGAATGTTTCTAAAGCTAATTTGAATTGGAAACAAAAATCTAATCTATTGTTTGGTATTGTTCAGGTAGCCGATACACTAGTAAGAGTTGGTGAGGAAGAAAAAGCCAAACTAATTTTACAAGAATTGAAGAAGGAAAAATCCATTATTGATGACTTTACTAAGGATCCAAAAAGTGTCGATTCTGCAATCTTGGATCTTTGTGTTCCAAGTTGTATGATTATTGGTCAACTTGTTCTCTCATTCTATCATGATGGATCTTTTGGTGCTGAAGAAGTGATTGAGTATCTTCAAATGTATGAAGAACTTTTCAACAAACTACAAGGAAAGAGTTTGGCTGTCTATTTGAAATTGTACATGTATACCAGTATTGGATATGGTACACTTTTATTTGGAGCTTTATGTGAAACTATTAGAAAGGGAGAGGAGGAAACAGAACACGGTAAACAATTCCGTAGATTATATCTAGAGAAGTTTGCCAACTTGATTCAACAATACGAAGATGAGTATGCCGAGAGTGATCTTTCTCAATACCAAATCGGAACCTTATTATTTATTGCTTGTTTGTTGGGTGCTGACCTCTATACTCCAATTACCAAATCAAAGGTTGATGATAGTGATGTTTTTGGTTTGAATTCTTCTGAGAAGAGACCTCTTTCAATTGCTACGTTAAGAAGCATCTTCTTTAACAAGGTGCTCATGCCAAAGAATTCTGTTAAAAAGCTAGCTGGCAGAGCTATTGATATTTTCAAGAGTTCAAGTACCGAGCCAAAACTTTCTATCAAGGTAAGAAAGTATGCATCCTTCTTTGTAGGCATGTTCAGTAGCATTTATAGAACTGATGACAATATTCTTGAAAGCTCAGACAGAATTCCAGTCAAATATTTGAGTGAAAGTGGACTCGTCATTTATTTGGTACAAAAATTGACAAAGGAAGATTCAACAGTTGACTTGTTGAGAGAAAATATTTCTCTTCATAATTTGCTATTGACAGAAAAGTTACCAAAGATTACTTGGTCTAAAGTAATTCAGAATGTTTTCAGACTTTCAACATCAAGCAATGAAGATATTGCACACGAGGTACAAAAGAATTGTATCAGAATGTTCTGCAAGGATGCTCAAGGAACAACCTCCTCATCCAATAGTATTAGTGCCATATCCAGTTTGTGTGAAAGCCATTCTTTCCTCTCTCTGTCTCATACAGTCCAAATGGAGTTTGCAGAAATATTCCCACAATTGATTGCCATATTCCCTCCATCCAGAACATGTTCTCTCATTGATGATTGGGTGAAACATACTTTCACCACCAGAGAACTAGATGAAAGAATTTTATTTACTGCTCTCAGAAAGATTTCCAAATGTGAAGTCAAGAGTAATATGCAAAATGTAAAGAAGTACGTAGAGGAAGAAATTTTGGAAATTATCGAATCACAAATGGCCTCTTTACTTTCAGAGAATAAGGAAAGCCTAATCAATATTCTGAATAAGAATGAAGGTTCTTCCTTGGATCCATTCACTGTAAATATTTCAGTACAATCCGGAAAGCGTGTTTTAGATATGGTGGAGCTTTTTTCAAGAGTTTTTATTGAAAATCGTTTGGAAAGCCACAAACTTTTAACTCAAAATACTCTCAGTGAGGATTCCAATAGAATGCTGCTCAATTTGTTGCTTAGATGCCAATATACCAAGATCACTAATGATATTTCCACTCTTAAGATTGTAAGACAAGTTGCAGTTAAGGGATTTACTAATCAAGATTCTCAACAACATGTTGACAATATCCTTTCATCTATTTTAACTTGGATTATATCAGAAATTCTTTCAAAGGGAGATGCTATTTCTTCTTCAAATAAGTGCAAATTCATTCAAGATACTATTGATATGCTTTCATTTGTATTTAACGATTTAGAATCAGTTTACTTTGGATCCTCAACTAACAAGATTCCATTCGCTTTGGAAAATTTGAGAAGAGCCCTATTATTCCTCTCAAGTAACTCACTCATTCTTGGAGCTACAGATATTTATGCCATTCATCATTCACATGATTTGTTCTTCTCCAACAATCCAATAGAAATTGATTCTGAATATTTGAACATGAATTTATTAATCCATGGACTTGCCTCCTCATTCAAGAATAGACACTTTGATTATAGTACAGAACACAGTTTAATGTCTAGATTGTACTCTGTTTTGGCCAACTTTACAGTAGCCTCAAATAATAACGATAAGGTCAAACAAAATAATTCCAAATATGAATTATCCAAAAAGACTCTCGAAAGATTACTATTCCAATTTATTGTTCCACTCTTGATTCAAATCAAAGTTTTTAGAGAAGATCAAAATGTTTCACTCACACAAGTAAGCACAATTTTGGAGCATCATGCCCTTAAGATTTGTACCAAATTACAACAACATTGAGTTAGTTGGAAATTCAAATAAATAATTCAATTCGCAATGCACAACGCAACACTGAATCCCTTAAGTGCGCTCATAACAGACAAATGATAATAATAATTTAATATTAAAAAAATGCACCGATTGCCAAGAATCATTCTCAACAGAACAACAAGTACATTGTCCACACTCAACAAGAGTGGCGTATGTCTCTTCCAAAATTTGAGCCCATCATCTTCAAATAATAGTTTATTGAGAAGAATGTCAACCTGTTCCAAAATTCCAGACAAGGAATGCCCAAGATCAACCCAACCATTATCATCAAATAGCCTTCATCATCCATGTTGGAATTGCTCCGAAGAATTGTCTTGTAATGACTTGTTTTGTGCTCACTGTAACAAAATACAACCACCATCATGTAATAACAACTCAAAGGTAATATCAACATCTGGCGAGGACATCTCCATAGATTATTTTACATTGATGGATATGCCAAAGGAATTTTCAATCAACCCTAAAGTATTACATGAAAAATTCAAGGAATTACAACGAGTATTGCACCCTGATAAATTTGCAATGAAATCAGAAGTGGAAAAGAAAATTTCAATAATGCAATCGGCTATTGTTAACACAGCCTATCAAACTCTTAAAAATACTAAATCTAGGGCAGAATATTTATTGAAAGTTAAAGAAATTGATTTACTGGGACCTTGTAATTACAAATCAGTCAATGATGTTCAATTACCTCCTGAATTTTTAATGGAAATTATGGAAGTGAATGAATATATTAATGAAATTGATTCAGATAGAGATCAATTGACAGATTATCATATGGATTTCAATGAAAAAAAGAGGCTCATTGTAAAATCAATTGATGAAGCATTCAAAAAGGATGATTTGGATAATGTTCGTATCAATATTGCAGAATTGAACTATATTGAACGAACTCTTCAACTTGTAGATAACAAACTTCATCTCTTAGATTTGAAAGAACACAGACATTTTGCCAATGAACCTTGCGCAGATTGTGAACATAACAAGTAGAATTCTCACCCACCCAATTAACTTCACCACTCTTTGATTTGTGTTTCCCCCTGACAACTCATGATTGTGTTAAAAACAAAATCTAATTAATTTTAAATTCATTAAAAATTTGAACAAAAAAATGGTTAAAAATCTTCTTGTTAATCTTGACTGTGCCTATTCTCGGGATTTATTGTTACGTGTTTTGAGAGATCCGGAAAGTACTTATCACAATCTCTACAATATCTATACACGTGACGATGTTGTCAATTATCATAAAAGTACAAACCCAGAAGAGGAATTTAATTATGAAGAAAGTGTTGCTAAATTCATCAAGGAAAAGAATATTGAAATTCAATGGGATGAATATGAAAACGTTCCTTGGGATACTGTCATGTCTCAAATAGAAAATCCACTCCGTTGCAATTATTATTGTATTAGAAAAGGTCTTATTAGAAAAGCTCAATTTGGTAGTATTTTGAATAGATATGTCACCAAAAAGTTGAGTAAGAATGAAAAAACCCACCTCAAGAAGGCCATCCCAGAGACACATATTTATGAATTGGATGATGTCGAATATTTTGACGAGAGCTTGTATGATATTTATGAAGTAGTTCAATCATTGGAAAATAATGAAAAAATTGAACAAGAAGGTGATAGAAATGGAATTGCTACATGGATTTTAAAACCATCTCTCACCAACAAGGGTGCTGAAATTTTCATTTTCAATTCTCTTGAACAATTGCAAAACTACTTCACAACTAACTTTGAACAACAAGAAGATAATGATGATGAAGATGAAGAAAGCAACGTTCTCGATCTTAGACAATTGAGAGAGTGGGTCATTCAGAAATATGTTGATAGACCACTTTTGCTCTGTGGTGGAAGAAAATTCCACATGAGAGTTTATGTCTTGGCTGTTGGTGCTCTTAAGGTTTATGTGTACGATCAAATTTTGGCTCTTTTTGCTTTGAGACCATTCAAAAAGGAAAATATTTCAGATACCTTCTCACATATTACCAATACATGTGTTCAAGTGAAAGAATCTGATTTCAAAGAAAGTGAATCTGTTAAATTATTCTGGAATCTTGCAAATGAAGATTCAACAATCTCAACATCTCAATTGGAACATATTTTCCAACAAGTCAAGGATGTAACAGGTGAAATGTTTGATGCTGTTTCAGGAGAATTGGCATTTATGCCACTTCCACATTGTTTTGAATTGTTTGGTTTGGATTTCCTTGTTGATGAAGATCTTCAAGTTTATTTATTGGAAGTCAATGCTGGTCCTGATTTTAAACAAACAGGAAAAGAATTGGATTCTGTCATTTACAATTTATTCAACCAAACAGCCAATTTAGTTTTAGATGGTGGAAACAAAATTGAAACCAACAATGGTCGCGGAACTTTACATCAAGTGCTTGACAAGACTACCTTTAGAGGTTTCTAATAAACTTTACATATGCCTTAATATATTACCTTGCATTTTGTGCTGGATATTAATAATTTTCAATCAATTAAAAAAAATGATTAAAAACACCTCTCGTCTCCTCATCAATAATGGTAGAAGAAATTTGAGAGCAAGCACTAATCTCTTCGGAAATAAAACTCCAACACCCCTATCATCTATAATTAATTCAAAATTTAATAGTAGTAATAATAGTAACATTGAATATTGTTCTTCTAGAAATTTTACCACTAGTAGAATAGTAAAATCGGAGGAAGGTAAAATTACAAATGTTTCTGATTTGATACCAGAATGGTTTAAAACAGCCTTTCCACACGACCAAGTCGAGAAAAAGTTGGGAAATTTCGATGTCAAATTTTATGATAAACCATTCATTAAAACATTCCCTGATGTTGTTGAAGGATTGAAAGGACAAGCTGTCTCTGCCGACAAGACAATGTTCCACCTTCGTCCAGATATGATTTCCGATGCTGATTTGAGTAAACTTTGCTATGTTCCAAGAGGAAAGTCAAAGGATTATATTTGTGTTGGTGAAGCTTACTACTTCCCATTGTACAGAGATTTGCCTGTCCACTATACTCCATCATCTCCAAGTTTGTTGTATATTGAAGTTCCAGACAAGTCTGGTAAGGAAAGTCAACCAAAAATTCTCTATCAAATAGCACCATTTGTTCCTCCAATGTTTTGGATCCCATTGAAACCTTCCATTGACTCTTTGAATAGACTCTTTGAAGAAATTATGGAAATTGAAAGTAGTAATGTTTCTAGACATTTGGATTATCAAGAAGATTTACTTGCTAAAATTGGTTTTAATGTGGAGAAATTGAAAGAAATGGATCCAACAGCCAAGACAACTGAAAAGGAATATAATGATTTACATGCCAAATTCTTGGACTATATCAATAAGACTTTGGATCCAAACAAGTTGGAATTTAAGGAAAGAGTTTTACAGGAATACCCAAATACTGTTTCTCTCTTTTTGGGTAATGTATCTGCCCTTGAAGACTTGGAACAAACATTTATGAATAGTCCATTTGTTTTCAATACTCCTATTGTTTTAGGTAGTGGCAATAGATTTTTAGCCAGTGAGAGTATCCAAAGAAGCATGTTCCACACAGTCTTTTCCAGATCCTTGATTATTATTGAAGCTCGTTATGATTTACACGTTGATTTTGGTAGCAATTCTGCCGATAGACTAATTCCAATCTTTGCCAGAATTCACTATCCAACCAATCAAAGACTTTCCAAACCATGCACAGACAGAATGAACAAAGTATTTGATTGCCACTTCCCATCAGATATGCCAATTGATGTTTGCCTTGCTCTGTTCGGACAAAAGAATACCAATGCTGAATCTATTGCTGCTGAATTGATGAGAATTGTTAAGGAAGACGAAGAATTAATCAAGTCAGGTGCTTTGGATCAAGAAGATTTGAATAGTTTATTCAATCCTTCAATTCCAATTGCTCACTTGTCTGTATTGCAGTATGACAAGTGGCCATCTGAAATTTTTGAAAAATTCAAAAACCATCCTCTTCCAATTGTAAGAATTGCATGTGTTAAGGGATGCGTAGAATTCTTAATGTTAGAGAAACTGAAAGAAATGCAACAAGTTGAACAACATCATGAAGTTCTCCAATACATTAATGAATCAATTGCTCGTCTCGAAAAGAAGATTGAACTTTTAAAGATGAAGAAACAATACGAAGACGAAGAAATTGAATTAAAGAAGAAACAACAAGAAAAGGAAGAACAAGCAATTCTCGATCAAGTTGAAAAAGACATGAAATAAAACAACATTACAGCTCAACAAAACGACGCTCAATTTTTGATTGGATTCGGACATTGCTCAACATATTATCAAGCATTCTTTCATACTCCTCTGAAATGAGCGCAATAAGAGGACTTGAAAATGTTCAACCAAGAGCAAGTAAGAAGTAAAAGAGAACCAAGACATCAACACCCAAAACCAATTCAAAAAAAATGTTCCGTTACGTATTGAAATCCACAAATCCTGTTTTGAGAAATATCCAATTTGCCAACAACTCTCGTGTATTTTTCTCTTCTAGTTTGCAACAATTAAGTATTGGATATAAGAATCCAAATGCCGAGTATGTTTTCTTGAAGTTAATTCCGAAACAATTCACACAATAATCAAATTTTTAATTGGTGATGACAACATTTAATAGAACTGTCAATATTAGTTTTGTGGATCCAAAGAATAATTTATCAAAGAGTGTGAAGGCTCCAATCGGAGAAAATATTTTGGCTGTTGCCCATGCTAATGATATTGATTTGGAAGGTGCTTGTGAAGCTTCTCTTGCTTGCAGTACTTGTCATGTTTACATTCAAGATGAATTTTTTGAAAAGATGCCAGAACCTGAAGAAGAGGAAGAAGATATGTTGGATTTGGCTTATGGATTGGCTCACAATTCTCGTTTAGGATGTCAAGTCATTGTTTCCAAAGATATGGAAGGAATGACTGTCACTCTACCAAGAGCTACTCGTAATATGCAAGTTGACAAGAAATAAACTCAAATTTTGAAATTTAAATCTTTATTCACCAAAAGTTAAAAAACACCATTCTAGTGTGGAATTCCTTAAAAAACTATTTAATTATCCACTTATTTCTTTCCAACAAAGTCAACCTTCTTGGCATTGGAGTAAAGCTTGTCATGTTCGAGTTGTCTTTCAATTTCTTCAGGAGAAAGAACAGTGTCTGGCTTGAACAAGTTACGATCAACGCTGTATGTATAAACTTGCTTGTTTTCTCTTTCATCAAAAGCGTATGAAATCTTACTTTCCATACCCATACCATAGAAAGGACCAACAGGTTGTCCAGGCATTAACTTGTACTTGCCCTTTTGAGCATCCTCTATAATTTCTTGTCTGTATACGATGGTATCAAGATATTCTGGATTCCAACCTTGTCCTCTACGGAAATCTTGTTGATAATATTTAATGTGGAAATCCTTGATGAAAGCTTGACGTGGGATGTTAACGTCAGGTTGAGAACTAGATATTTCCAATTATATTGTTGTTGTTATAATAATATTTAAATAATAATATTCATTGATGATGTGATTAAATATTAATTTTCATTCATACGATGACAACAGATGATGAAATAATGGCACGGAATGTTATTATTCTGCTCTGCAACTTAAAAAACTTACGATGGAGCTGGTGTACGATAGGAATCTTGATGTTCTGGGAGATAGTGTCTAAATTCAGGATCAACGCCCCACCATCTTTCAAGTCTTTGGGTAAGTTGTTTGCCCCACTTTGATAACGTGCTGGTAGACTTTGGCATTATTTTAATATTTTTTCCAATTTATTTTTATTATTTTTTCTAATCATTCAAATAACATTCTCCCAAATAACATTACAGTAGTTACATAATTTTGTTAGTAAAAGGTAGAATTGATATCGAAAGTATTAAAATACATTAATAATTAAGACAAGAAAATGAAAGGGAAAAGAACAATGCAAATGTGATACGTCATCAAATACTTAAAAAAATGAGCATTCAACAACAAGCCTTGCTTGTAGAGGCTGTCGGGAAGGCTTCAAAACTTCTACCACCATCAACAATATCAAATCAACAAGCCTCCGATCGTAGGAAGAGTCCTCACAAAGTAGTGGATCCATTCTCTGATTATCAAGATAATTCCGAATTAATTGATGAAGATGCTAATCAAGAATATGAAAAATTGGCAAAACAATTGAATAATGCTGTGGTGTTTATGGACAGTGTGAGTGCTGAATGCTTTTCGTGGAATCAGTTCGGAGAGGATCAATCACTCACATCTAATCATTTGTTAAAGCTTGGAGTTTTGACAATATTGGATCTAACATCGGATCAAGATTGGCCATCAATTGATAAACTTAAGGATTTGAAAGAAATGAATTTGAGTTGGAACAATTATGTATCGAATAATGACAATACAGAAAATTCAACAAATAATCTAAATATTAAGGAATCAATTGATAGCGAGGAAGAAGATGATGAATTTGAAAAATTCTACAGTGACGAAGAGGATGAAGCACCAACTGTAAATACTAAAAAGTCAACAGCACCAGAGAGCTCTGAAAAAATTGAACATTTCATTGTTCAATCAGATATGATTACCCCTCAAATGCAAGACACACCTAATGTACAAAAAGCAGTCTTTTTTGTTTGCCATTTGACAAAAACATTGGAGCAAGCTGTTAGAAAGAGTGTGGAAAAGTACAAATTCACCCATATTTATTTCTACTGCCCATTTAGTGAGGGATTTTGTGAGTATTATCAGTCTAAGGTTTTGGAAGGTATTGAATTGGATGAGAATTATGTTCCTTCTGTCGGCTATTTCAAAGAATATTTAACCTATTCAGATCTCATTGAAAAATGTAGACTGATAATATTTGAAACTCAATATAACCTTCACAAAAAGGAAAATTCCTCTAAAAAATTTGAAAATGAAATTAACAACTCAATGTAAGTAATTGAAAATACTAACAATTCCAACCAATTCAAAGTCATGTAGAGGTCAATCATTACTCATTCAACATTTCAGCAATCATGCCAAACATTTTTGTTACTCCAACATGTCATGGTGTATTTCCAATTTTAAGTCTTGCACAAAGGTCTCCAGCAGTATCGTCTCCAATCAAATCATCCAGCTTACTATCTGGATTTACTATTGGAAGCCCTCAGAAAGAAAAGAAATCAGAGGTTTTAATGGCCTTTGATGAATTGCCAACACCCTTCCAACTTCAATTCAAAATGCTGGCAGCAACCTTGAGAGATTTATTGAAGAATATGAGAATGAGTGTTGACGTATACTCTCTGGGTCAATCTTCCAATCTCATTGCTCAAGATCTTCAAAATTTGATTAGGGAGGAATCTTTCCGTACTACTAATTCTTGTACTTTGGTTCTTGTTGATAGATCACTTGATTTAGTATCTCCAATGGTACATTCGGAAAGTATATTAGATAAGGTTCTGAATACTACAGAAAGAAAAACAGGTCTATCCACAAATGTAAGATTTGATGGAATGACTTTAAACTCATCTTCATCTGAATTAAGAAAATGTAAGTGCTTTTGAATTCTTATTAATGAAATTTCGTAAATTAGTAAACATGTCTGGTCTACTCCACCATGGAAATGAAAAGATTATCAACCTTATGAACTCAATAATTGAAAAGAAGAATTCGGAATCTATCGGAGAGATGAAAGTAGTTTTAGACAAGTTACAAAACTTGACCACAAAGAAAGGTGAGCTCTCCTTCGAAAAAACCACACAAAGTTTGAAAAATTTATTGAAAGACCTGGCATTATCAACACTGTCAGATAATTGTGACGTTATACAATTTTTATCCACAATTATTCATGCCTTAGAACTCACACAAAGTAATACAAAGAGGGCAGAGTTAGCTAGTGCTGAAAAATTGATTCTCTACGAGTGCGACAATAACCAAGATGAGTTATTGACCTATATTATTAATATTTTAAAGAAGGATGGTTCCAAATTCTCATTACAGGATGTATTACGTTTAGTCGTGATGATATATTCTGTGGTAACACCTGATTGTTCCTTCAAAATGGAAAGAGACCTCAAAAAATTGCTCGCTAAACATATTGTCGATAATTACAAACAATCCTCATGCATATCATTTATTGAAAGTATTCTCTCTGATGAAACATTGGATCAATTGCAAAATCCAACAGAGGAAGAGGAGGCATCACCTGTTGAAGAGGAGGAGGAAGAGGAGGCAGATTGGGACAATTGGAATGAAGATTTTGATGACGACAAACCAAAAAAGAAATTCGACATTAAGGAAAATATCCAAAATCTTGTAGAGGAAGATTTATCCATAATTTTCAAATGTTTGAATGCAGTCAAAAGACAACGTCAATACTTCCAAATACTCAACAAATTGGCTGCTAATGATCATGTATTTATATTCGAAAATGAGAGTGGTAACTTGGGAAATACTGAAACACCTTTCAGGTCTCTGTGCAAACAATTGGCCTATGTATTAGGTGAAACTGAACCATGCCCAGATCTTGTACATAATGCCTCACTTTTGAGCACTATTTCCAACACATTCGGATTCATGTTCCAATCCAAATCGAAGCCAATTAAGAATGAATCTTCCACTATGATACTTTTCATTGTTGGTGGCATTACCTTTGGAGAAATTACCGACATTAAACAAATGATCAATAACAACCTCAGAGAAAAAGGGCAACACTCACCATACTTTGGTAAGAAGATTATTCTCGGTTCCACTTGCATTACCTCTGCAGAAATTATTCTCAACCATCTCTTCTCTCATTAGAAATTTTGAACAATAAATTTATGCTAAAATTTGAAAAACAATGTTTATTAAACAACAATAGAATTGGTTCCTTAGAATCCATCAAAGTCAACTTGTTGAAGCTCCACACAATTCACAACAAGCAAAAAAACAATCAAAAACTTGAAGATAAAAAAAAATGAAAAAGCAAATCATTTCCCTCCTCTCAAGAAATAACAACATAACCCTCCTCTCCGGAGCAACAACAAGTAGTGTATCGTGTTGTTTCTCATCGACACGTTCAATGAATGGAAGACCAAAAAAGAATCCAGCTGACATTACTACAGTACCAACTATTAATAATGAACAACAATTAAAGAAATCAAAGACTTCTATCACTTCGGAAGATGGTAATACTGTTGTTGTGGATAGAACAATTTCTCTCGAAAAACAAAATGAAATTCTTATTCAATCTATGGATAAACTTTCTAAAAAGTATGAAAAGATGGAAAAGGCTCTTGCTGCTCAACAAGAATTATTGGGAATGATGTCCACAACCTTGCATGTAAGTTGTCATCATCAAACATTTATTAATCTTTTTTGATATATTAATGAATCATTGTTATATGAAACATGATAGGTTATTGGAGAACAACAAGTACAAAACAGAGTTTTACAATTATTGAGACTTTACAAAATTATTCCAGCACAAAATTCAGCAAATGCACCAAGTCCATTCATTAGAGTCAATACTAAAGACAAATTGGAATCACTTGTAACAAGTTTTGTCAATCCACAACATTTGCCAACAGCAATTCAAAGCGTCAAAAAGTAAGTTTTCAAACCCAAAAACATTCAGTGTTTTAACAAAACCTTAAATAGATCTATTCCTCATCAATTATTTGTTAGTGGAATTGATGGATCTTTACAATCATATCTTGATATTACAAATCCTAATTGGGTTCATCATCAATCTGGAGGATCAATGCAAAAATTAGTTAGTGGTGATGTTTGTATGGTAGGAACATTGGAGAATATTACTTTTGCAATTCATCGTGCTCTTCGTTATCCAGTAATGGTCAGAAGATTCACATCTAGAGTGAATAATTTGTTATTCCAACACGCAGATCCAAATCTTTCAATTACACAAGGTATGGAAAAGACAACCTTATTCGTTGTTGTTGGTACACCAAAATCATTCTTTGAGGAAACACTTCCAATTAATTTCTTTAATAGAATTTTAACAGAAAAAGATTTTGATGATTTGGAACAATATATTTTGGATTCATTTGATGGAACTGTTGTCATTCCAGATGATTCTGAATTACAAGGACTTATTTTGGATAGTGATCCAGTTAAAGATCCATTGGGTGTTTGGAAATTATTGTTGAGTGTTGAATATAATGGTCAAAGAATTTTATCAAAGAAGAGATTGGAAGAATTGAGACAAGATGTTGATGGTGATATTTCTGTAAAGATTCTTTTACTTTCCTTAATCAAACTTATCAGAATCCATAACTTTGATTTGTTTTTGGGAAGTGTTGTTAATCCACTCAATTAAAATTTTAGGTGGTTTTATAGTCCAAGTAATTGTTTCTTTTTAGCAACAAATTCTTCTTCAGTGAGAATTCCTTTTTCTTTTAAGGCTGCCAATTTTTCAATTTGAGTAAGTGCATCTTCTGTATTATTGCTTGTTGATTTGTTTGGAGTGCTTACAGAGGCAGTCTTCTTTTCAACAATAACTGGAGGAGAAGAGGTAACAACCATTGGAGAAGATGATGAGGTGGATGATGATGTAGATTTTGGTGGTGTTGATGGTTGTTCTGTACCATGAGTTTTCTTTACAAGTGAATTCAAAGCATTCTTCTTTATAACATTTGGATGGAGAACCTTTTCTTCAGTTTCTACAACAATATCCAAACCTTTTGATTTGTTAGTTTGAGATGTAGTGAGTGGTTTCTTCTTAAATTGTTGATCCATATATTCCTTTGCTAATTTTTCTTGATTGATGAGTGAAATATCACCCTTCAAAATAACTTCATCCATGAATGCAAAACTAATTGAACTCCAACCAGTTTTTTCATCAAATGTTACTGGATCTTCAGTTTCGACTAGTTTCCGATATTATTAAATAAATGCAAGAAGAATAGACTTTCAACCTACCCCAAATAACATTTCTCAAATTCCATTCTTTACAAATGTCACGAAGAGGGATTCTACCTTTCTTTGTTTTTACACCTTCCTTTCTTTTTAATTCTTGTGTTTTGTTAAACTTATTAACAAGAATAACCTTTACGCCTTCTGGCAAATCAACATCGTCCATTTTTTTATTCTTTTTTCCACCCAAGGACAGGTGAAAAGTTTTTAATGAAACGTCAATCAACAACAACTTTACAATGTTGATGCATACAGTTTAATGTTCATTGCTTCTGAACCTTAGAAAGCTAATTTAATGATATGTATAGCAAAAACACAATAACAAGTCACTCTTTACAATAAAACTCGTTCAATAATTTATAGTTGTGGAAGAACATCACTTTTTGGTAATTCAACTGTACCAGTTGAAAGCATGTAGTTTGCAATACATTCACAAACTATGAAAAAAAAGTCAACTTTCAAGATCTTTTGTTTTGCTATTGCCAAAGGAACACCCCAAACTTCCATTGGATTTAGTTCTGTTGCAGCTCTGTAACCAGCGTACAAGAGTGCTCTGTAAAATTCGTCATCAGTTGTTGTAACACATTTTGGATCCATTTCCTTAATTATCGATGAAAGAATTGGATTAATTTCTGCACGAAGGGTATTGAGAACATGAAGACATCTAATTCTAGATACGAAATGTGGCACAGCGCCATCATCACCAGCCTTTCCTTGTCCAAATTCAGGACCAACCTTTGAGTCTTCTAATCCTCTCCATACCTTGAGGTAAAAGTTTACAATATTTACATTCCAGTCCTCATTAATAAATCTACTGAATAGTTCAACTCTCCTGTCTGTTCGTCCAAATTTTTTAACAGACATTAGTAATTGTAAAGCATATTCATCCACCAACTTGTTAGTACCATAAATTTGCTTCAAGTGCTCAAAAATAAATTCAGGTACTGTGATCATCTTCTTTTCCTCATCAGATATACATGCTACAAGTTTAGATTTGTATATACCATACATAAATTTCAATAACCAAGGTAATGGCTTAATCTTTTCTCCTCTCTTTTCTCTTAGCCTGTTGAAAAGTTCAAGCATTCTCTGATTTCTTGGTTTAAGTTTGGCTCTTAATTGTTCTGCTTGATCAAGTTTTCTTAACTGGTTTGGTTCAACTTGTTTGACTTCTTCAATATCATCAAAGCTTGGGCTTTTGGTTGCAGCAAACATCGTCTCATCTGTCTGAACAAATGAACTGACAAGATTTGGTCTTGGTGATCTAGGAGATTTAAAATTTGTGGGTGGTTCGACAACTTTTGATTTGCCATTGTTATTGGTATATTTTCTTGGCGATTCTTCGTAGGGTTTGCTTTCAATAATGTGTGGAACATGGGGGTGAATCGTAGGGATTTGTTCTCTCTTAGTAGCATGATTATTATTTTGATGGGTATTATGATTCTGAGGTTCATTAATCTTTCCACCTTTCTTAATAATTTCATCTTTTTTAATTGGCTTCTTTGTACCCTTATGTGTATCTGCAACTGAGTTGTTTTTAGAGCGATCAGTCGAGTGAGAAGAAGAAGGGGTGTCAACAAAATGTTCTCTTTCTCTCATCATCATTTCTAAAGAGTCATCACTATCATTACTGTATTGAGATGTTTCATCATCAGAGTTTTCTTGTGACCCAGAATCATCTCTATTTTCTGTTCTTGTTGTAAATCCTGAATGTGTATCCTCAAGTCTGTGATCGTCATAACTAGAAAGAGAAGAATGAGAAACCTGAGAATGTAGATTGGTTTCTCTTGTTTCCGCTCTTGTACTCACTGTATCAACTATGCTTGGGTTATTTTCAATTCTTTGTTTTACATTGTCATTTACAACTGTTTCATGGCGAGATGGGGTTGCTTGAGGAGTTTTCACTCTATTCACAGGCTCATTTGTTTCAAGAGTTCTTTCTGGAGGAGTGTCAGCATGATTTGTATTCGGTCTCGACGAGTTCTTTGAAGAAACTATTGGCTTCTTTTCAGTGGATTTGAGGTTTTCCTTTTTCCTTGATCTCGGCTCTTTGGTATTTTTCTTTTTGTGAGGGCTTGGTGATGCTTGGTTTGTGGAAGAATTTGGTTTGGTGGGAGTTAGCCTTTTGGGTATTGACTCAATAGAGTGTCTGATAGAAGGTTCGGAAGATGTAATAACAGCTGGTGTTGGCCAGTTTGATGCTACTGGTTCCTCTTCTTCCTTCTTTTTCTTCTTTCGTTCTTCTTCCTTCCTTCTTTCCTTTCTCAATTTCTTTGCTTCAGATTCCAGACCATTCCTAGAAATTACCTCATTCTTCACTCTTATTTCATTAGCAAGTTTGTCACTGTAAGCTCTTTCATTCTCAAGCTCTTGCTTTAATTTCCAAATTTGATCTTGCAATTTTACAACCTCCTTTTCCTTCTTAATAAGTTGTTCTTTTGTTGTAAAACTCATTTGTGTGTCATCTCTCGAGTCAAAAAATACAACTTTAATCTTCCTCTCCGAATTTTCACGTGGCACAAGTTGTACTCTTAGTATTCTCTTATTGGGATCTAAATCTGTTTGAGTTTCTGAATCTGCAAATTGTCTGACAGCAAGCATATCTTGATGCTTTTTACCAATTCGTTTGATTTCTCCAAGTCTTCCATTAATATCATAGAGCAGATTGAGAGTATTTTGAGCAAGTATTTGGGCATCAGAGTCCATGTATTGAAGTCGCTCAGAATCTATATTAGTTCTAATTTGGTGTCCATGCCCTAAATTTTCAAAATAACCACTCAAGTCAATAGTACTTGTAATAGTTTCTTTGATGTTTGTCCAAATAAGTTTCATAATTCTTCCAAAACTTTTTTCTAACTGGCTAGCAGTATTTCCAGAAACAGAGTCTGCTTCTCCATTTTGACTTCGTTGCTTGGCCATCCTCTTCTTAGGTGTTACTCCTTTTTTATCACCTCCAACTCCATCTTCGTCAAACAAATCTTCACCTCCATCATTAACAAACTCTTCCCATTTCTTCTTATTTTGAATTAAATTCATTACAACTTCGTATTGAGGAATTTGACTGATTTTTTTCTTGAATTCTTCATTTTCAGACACTATTGTTGCACTCTTTGTTAACAGCGTTTCCAATTCTTGCTTCATTTTCAATTTTTCATCACTAACCTCTTTTACTACCTTCTCGTATTGGTTTATGACTTTTTTTAACTCAGTTGACTTTTTTCTTTCTCCCTGTAATAGAGTTCTTGTAATATCAAAAAATTCCTTAAAGTATATGTGGATTCTCTGTATGATGACACCTCTCTCTACACATGTTGAAAAAACCTGTCTAGCAACCTCGAATAAACTATCCAGGTGAACAATAAATGATTTGTTGATGTTTTCAACAATCGACTTGTAGTATTCCTCATTGTTATGAATATTTTTGTCTTCTTTTCTTGCCTTTTTTAACATTGAATCAATTGCCTTGGCAAGTAAGTACACTTCAACTCTCTTTGAAGGGTTGGCAGATGGAAAAACAACCTTCTCCCAGTAATGTCCCTTCTCATTGAAATCAAATTTACCCTCCTTAACAAGTCCCTCATATATTGGTGAATTTGAAAAGATGTAAAATTCCTTTGGGATTGTAGAAGGTGGAATCATTTGGACAAGAGCATTGGCATTACTGGCAGCCTTGTCAGCCATCTCTGTTATTACTCCCAAATACGAATCATTATTAATTTCAAATGCTGATTTTAGGGCTCGTCTCAGATAAGTGTCATCAAGTTGATTTGGTTTTAGTATTGCTGGAGGCTGATGTGACTTTTTAAAAACTGAAATGTCTGTTCCTGCCATAAAATGTTTATCTGACAAGTAATCAAGTTTTTGTAGGGTTTCTTGGGAAAGTTCTGGATTAACCACAATACCACTATTTACAAGATCCTTTGCTGTTTGAACATCAATGAGTGACAAAACTTTTTCTTGGGGTTCAGAATTTTCAATATTGTCTGGTTTCTTTGGCTTACTACTCCTCAATATGGAATCTCGTTTCTTGGAAGGGATTTGTGGAATTCTCACAGAAGGACTGGATGCTCGGGTTGGAGATTTTTGGTTAATTTTCGATGAATCGATTGTAGTTCCATCAAGAATAAGAGTGTGGGGTTGTTGCTGAACATTTGAATTTACATTTCCGACTGAGGCAGGAGAATTCATTGGAGGATTATTTGTTATGACTGAAAGAGATTCTATGGAAGAAAAGGTAGATGATTTGGGTAGTCTGGTTTGCTTATTTAAATCGTCCACAACAATTACATTTTTAGGTGGTGTAAATTCAACTTGTTGAAGAGATGATATTGCAGCACGATTTTCTTGAATTTCATTATTAGATTGAGGAACAGCTCCAACAACAGGCCCAGATTCCCAGGCCTGAGGTCTGTCATTCAATCCAGATTGAGCAGCAATTTCCCTTGACTTGTATAATGAAGGTCCTTCATCGATATATTGTATAGATGATTTGATTGTTGAATGGTGTGTTGATGAAGAGGCTGTTGATTTTCTTACATCCTTAGTGTTTGAGGATGACTCGTTCAAACTTCTTGATGTTTGTCTTGGACTCGGGGAAGGAAAAGGTTCCGATATATTATGTGTTACTACTGTCCTTCCTCCTCTCATTATGTTGTTGATTAAAAAGATGATGATGTATTTTAAAAAATTAGAGGACCTATTGATCCTCTACTCTACAAACAACAAAAGGTTGAATAATATATAATACTATGTCGTAGTCAAACACAATGGGCGGTTTGTCCTCAAAGTCTCTTAATCAAATGCGCGGTATTTTTTTTAAGGTCTGTAGAGAAGTTTCTTCCATCACCATTAGTCAGTTGAGGCGGTTTGACAAAAGGAACAAACTAACTTTTTTCTTATGAAGTTTACAGTTTCGATTATTAATTTTTCCATATCTATACAGCTGAAATAAAATGAATAATTTATGGAATTGATCTTACTCTTCAATATTTGTGAAATAATATTATCCAAGAGGACTGCCACCTGGTCTCCTATCAAGAACATTTCTAATTTCCAAAAAGACAACTGGTGATTTTTCTGGAACCAAATCTTTAACATTGACTGGCTCAAGTGAAATGCAAGCACAACATACATCTCTTCCTTCTTGATTCAAAACATTGAAGGTACTGACAGCACTCACTGAATTCATTTCCTCAATAACAACACCATTCTTTCTGAAATATTCATGTACTTCCTGTGGTAATCTAACAATTGACTTACCAGTTCCAACAAGAAGTAAGGTAGGTGTTGGATTTAAATGTTCAGCCAATTTTAAACTTTCAATTGTAATTTGACTTGGATCCGAGATATCCCAAACAAAAACTTGTTTCTTTGTTGCGAATATACTTCCGAAAATTCTGGTATTTCCAACAAAGAAAGATCGTTGACCATATCCTGAAATAAAAGTCACAGAACTTTGCGATGTAGTAATTAATTATTATAATTATTATTATATTTTCAACACATACGAATCATATTGCATGACGTTATATTGTTCCAATGGTGCAGCTAAAGGTGATTGTCCTGGCTGTTTTTCATAATCATCTTCTTCATTTTGATTAAAATTAAATGTTGCATAATTTCTCATGAGGGAAGAAGAACAAGCCACACAACAATTCAATGAAGCAGCTTTCCGACTTGCAATTCCGATTCTATTTAATTTTTGAAGTGGACTGGTTGATGATTTAATTATTTTTAACATTTTTTTTAATTGATTTTTTAAAATTGAGTTATCAAGCAGGTTAATTGAATAATTGAGATTAATTTTGAATTTACAGCTCCGTCTTTGCTCTTTGATAATTTTCCTTCTTGAGGTCAGCAAAAGCTTCACTACGTTCTTCAATCTTACTCTTTGATCGAGCAATTAAAAATCCAACAAAGAAGAAGGCAACACTAAAAACAAGAACGGTCCACAAGAATAGGATACTCTTTGAAAGACCAGCATTACCTCCTAAATAATCAGCAAATGCACCCATAGCAGAAGGTGAAGGGAAATCACCAATAGCGTGAATGACAAAGATCTGAATACTCATACTGTAATTTCTCAAGTTTGGAGAAACAACTGACAAGAAGGAAACATTTACAGGACTGGTAATGCAGAAAATGAAGAATTCAGCAATAACCAATAAGGAAAAATAGAGTGGAATATTAGATGTACTAAATGCTCCATAACCAAATGGAATAGCAAGGAAAATGAAAATAGCACATAGCATTAATCCTCTAGCACTTCCAGCCATTCCCTTAGATCCACCAATCTTATCCAAAACTATACCTCCAACCATAGAACCTACGATACCAGTCACAACACTGATACCAGAGAAGGCCAAACTTGCAATAGACATTCTAATGTGAAGCCCCTTTGAAACAAGAGTTGGTCCCCAGAAAGCCAATGCGCCAATCACAAATGTATACATTGTATAACCCAAAAGAGCATACACGTAGACAGAGTTTGTAAATAAATGGTAAATTGCTTGGAAAATATTATAGGTCTTGTCCTTTTCAACATCTCCAAATTGACTCATTGCATCACTTTCAGTAACAATGTTAGATTCAGATGAAGTTTGAGGAATTTGGTTATTGGAATCATTATTTTCAAGAAGAGAATTGTTTTCATTGACTAATCTTTCTCTGTCTTCCTTTTCCATTCTATCTTTTCTGTATTGATCAGATGGAGGAACCATCAAGATCAATAAAGCAAGAGGAATAATCAAAATACCTTCTCCCATAAAAACGAGTGACCAATCCAAATAATCAGCTACAACACCACTTACACCATACCCAATAGCAACACCAACAGGCATGGCAAGATAGAAGAAGGACATGTACATTGTTCTACTTTTGGCAGGAGCAACATCATCCAATAAGGTTGGTGCAACAGGAGCATAGGCAGCTTCACCAACACCAACCAAGCAACGACAAACAGCCAACAAGTAGAAACCAGTCTTTGATGTTACAACACTAGTAAATCCACACAATATTGTTAATACAGACCAAATAACCAATCCGACAAAAATAACAATCTATTTCAATATTCCACAAGTAATTTAAAGTGAATGTCATTTCCAATTATTATTATTATTATGTATTTAACAGAAATATATGTCATTCCGATGAATAATTCATGTGATGATAATTACCTTCATTGGAATTTTAGAGGCTAACTGAGCAAAAATTGGTCCAAAAATCATATATCCAACCATAAAAGCTGATCCGAGTGCTCCTTGTTCAGTTTGTGATAAATCCCACTTTGCTTCCAAAGCACGTAAAATACCCTATATATTATTTTCATAATCATCATCCACTTTTTAATTTAAATAGATCAACTTGAAACCTACAGAAACAACACCTCTATCAAAATAAATAAATAAATTCACAATGAACAAATACACAAGCAGAACCTTGGGACCAAATATCATCCGTCCGAACTGGTTGTATTTGTCAGCAACCTTCCTAGCGACCACTCCGATCTGAAGACAAGTGGAACGTAGAGTCATTTTTTCCTTCTTTTTATTTTTGAAAAGAAAGGAGATTTAGAGGAGTCAACTCCTGTTATCAGACTCACTCTGGATTATTTTCAATGAAAGTAAAAAAAATGAACCTCACCCCATAAGAATATTGAAACTAACACAAATGGTGTATTGAAGAATTTACTAAATATAATAATTTGTTTTTGAATTGTTCATTGAAAGCCACTGAGAAAAGGTGAATCAATTTATGTTGAAGAGAGTACCAGACAAGCAAAAACCCATAAAATTTTGTAACCTCTTTGAATGGCGCCCAATTTTTTCTGGCTGATTCTTGAATTTTTTTTTTCAAACAACAGAGAGAAAAAATGCCTTCACACCACTTTGACGATGAATGCCATCACGGAATAACATCAACATGTAACGGTGTTGGTCAAAGAGGCTCTCGAACAAAAGCCTCTTCAAACTTTTTAGGAAAAAGAAGCCTACAAAAAAATGATGATCTAGAAACTGGTATGGAAGAATATGATGAAATGATGTATGATCAATCATACGAAGATCAATCTTGTTCATCATCGGATGATGATACGGATTTGTATTCATCAAAACCTAGTAAGAAATTAAAGCAAGTTCATGCAGTTTGTATATCGATTGGAAGTAGTAATCAATCAAGTTCTTCTTCATCATCCGTAACGTGTTCATTCCCATTTTACACTTGTCACAACAACACAGGTTCTAATAATTTCATTTCTAATACTCCACTTTTTAATCCTTCAATAATAACATCACCTATGAATGCCATCCAACCATCAACTTCCTCCAATTCCCCACCTTTTGTTAATATCAGAACATTAACTGGACAATCCATGCGTGTATATAATTTTAATAATTTAACTTTACATCACTTAAAAACTGCAGTGAGAGATATGTTGCAAATACCTTACGAAAAACAACGTTTTGTTTACAAAGGAAAGATCATAAATGATGATAATATGGAATGCAATTTGAGTCAATTTGGATTTCAATCATCAGACTCATTGTTCGTAGTTTTGGACTTTTTCCATAATAGAAAAGTTATGGATTCAACTCCAAGATATAACGATACTGTAATACTACCAGATTATTACTATCATGGTGATAGTCAGAACATAACGATAATACCAAATCAGGAAATTGATGCGATAGATGAATCAGAAGATTAATAAATTAACTTATTGTAAATATCAATAACATTTTGCTGATTAAATCATGTATTGAAATGTTTTGGAATGCAGTTGACTAATCCTTTCAATCTAATATTTACAAACTTTTAAAGTCGAGTTTCTTTAACAAATATTTCAAGTCTCTTGGAGACAGTACTTTGAAAACATGAAGATGGGGATTATCCTCGAAATGTTTCTTCATTCCCAAGTCACGTTTCTTGGCATCTAACATACTGTTAAATTCATACAAAAACAGAGAGTCCTTTCCCAAATGATTAGACCATTTCTCAACATTTCCATTACAACATTTGGTATTGTAAATCCATCTACTGACACACCTCACAAACAATCTCCAAAAAGTGACAATGAGTGCATAATCCATGATTATTAAAACATTTGCTTCTTTAATTATGGATGGTAATTTCAAAACTCTGCCGTCAAAAACCCAACCCTTATCCTTAAATTGCTTCATTTCCTTCTCGATGGCAGAAATATACTCATTGCCACTTTTAAGTTTCCACTCAAATTCATGAGCAGGATAAAACCGAAGTAAATCTGCATCAATCAATGGAATATTTAATGCTGTTGACAGTTCTTTTGAATGAGTTGATTTTCCAGAGGCACAAGGTCCATGTAGAATAATCTTGATTGGTTTTGATTCGAGTGATTCAGAACCCTTCCTGAGATAGGGTTGTTCAGATCGAATATTCATGTAATAATGATAAGAGGCAACAAGAGAGAGAATTAGCACAATAATAATCAAGACAACTATTTCAAACATTTTTTTCTAATATTTTCACAAACTTCACTTTTAAAATGGAAACTTTTTAATTTTTGAATTTTATTTACTGTAACATCCAAAACTATTTTATTAATTTGGAACGAATTTACAACATAGTTATTAATATTATATTATTTAATAAATTGTAAATAACTATTAATTAATAATAATTAATGACGGGAGTCGCCATCCGCGGCAAACAAAAATTCAAGCCAATAAAATCGATGTGCGCTCATGTTAATTATTATCAAAATTAATAATACATAAAAAAATGACTAAACAACCACTTCACCCAATGTATGAGGAATACAGAGATCCTGTCTGGCTCTTTCCTATCACCAACATCATCACATCAATTTTAACTTTTGTTGAATATGCTTTAAGAAGCATTCCAATCTTCGGAAGAGTGTACACTTATTTTTCACCAGTCACAAGAGTCGCACCAATGACTGCTAAAACTAATCCTCCACCAAAACCTCACAAATTAAATCCTCCACAAACTAGAGAATTATATGAACCAAATTCAACAGAACCAACCAAGACTAACTTGTCGGTAATTAAAAATTATGATTTTGATATTAATGAATTGGTTCCAAAAAAGAATTAATGGAATTTGTAAATAAATAATTTATTTTGAAAATATTATTGCCAAGTGAAGGTTGGTATTGGAAGAAAGTCTCCTAAATTACATGGAGAAACATAGGTGAGATTTTCATTTTGTTCTAGTAGTGTATCAATATGTTCCTTCTTGATCTTGACATTTCCTTCCAGATTTAGTGCATTTAAGTGAACTAGATTATTTCTTACTTGATAATCATCATGATCTGTACTGAAGGATGTTGTCACGTGCCTTAAAAGTAATAGAGCTCCCATATTATTAAATTTCAGATTGAGTAATTCTAACTGATCCATATTAGATAATATAGGTTCCAAATGATATTCTTCCAAATAGCAATGTGGTAATTCTAAATGTGTAATACTCTTCGATTGAGACAGGTAATCGAGGCAATATCTAATTTCCTCATCATCTCCCTCAAATTTTACATTTTTCAAGATGAGCCACCTCAAAGATGAGCATCTACCCAAAGCAACACAAGCATCACTGTTGAGTGTGACTCCAGATAACTTGAGTTTTGAGATTGTACTGTTACCTGAATTGAACTCATCCTCTAAAAAGAGGAAACACTGATTATATTGATCAGTATCCATAACTTTAAAATCAATTTCAACTTCTGACAATAAGTTATACCTCTGTTGTAAAAGGAAATGAATTAGTGATTGGTCTATTATAATCTCGTCATTTTGATTGTGTATGTTAAGTTTGATAATTTTAAGCTTAGGTAAATTCAATTTCTTCTCATTACTTTCAGGGTTAGAGATAAAACCAAATGTATCGGTCAGTACTTTTAAAACATCCTTCTCTATTGATTCCCAGTTTTCACAAGGTTTCAGAGAGAGATTAATTTCTAATCTTTCTAGAGAGGACAACTCGGAAATGTTACTCCAAAACTTGGTCCAACACCGCAAACAGTTTGTGGTATTGAAGGAAAAACTCATGTTTAGTGAGAGGGAGCTCAACAGTACAGTTTGATTTTTCGAATATTCAATTAGGGGTCCAAATGGATTCAAAGAGCAATAGTTTGTGTTGTTAATATTGAAATTCCTTATTTTGAGAGATGTCAAGTTTGGAAATTTTGGTAAAAATCTGCTAGACATCATGTTTAGAGTGTTGCAAATTGGTTGATCTGAGAAAGTCCACTCAACTGTAGAAACAAATGGAAATAAAAGGGTATGATTCAACAAGTTTTCATCAATCTCATAATGAATAGGTTGAATAAATGTCTCACAATTTCTTAATAATGGACAAACACAAGTATTGTCCTTAGATATCATGAATTCTAAAAGGTTATAGTCTAATTTCACTCTCAATTGTTCAAGATTTTTACATAGTGTACCTAAATGTTTTGACCAATTTTCAAGGGGTGATAAATCTCTATCAACCTTTCTCCTTTTTTGTTTTGATTCTCCACTAGTGTCATTATCTAGTTGGGGTTTTGTTATTGTTGGTATTGAAAAGTAATAATTTTCTGATGAATCAACATTTTGACAATGCATAGATTTAGCCTTGCTCCATATTATCCGTATTAATTGATCATCAAAAAGTGTAGGAAATCTTATGGTCATTCCCATGGATGCTGTATCAAAGTAGATGTGAAAATGGTGATATATTTGATGAATCCTAGTCTTATCTGAATCGAATTTTCCATACATTATCTTTAATAGACTCCTCTCGATTTCTTCGATTGGTATTTCATCGGAACTTGTTGATGTTGAATACAGAATAGGACACGTCCTGGGTGATATTTCCAAAATACAATAACTCAAGATGTGTAATTTTAATTCTAGAGCCGTTAAATTACATTGAACAGATGATGAATGTAATAAATCAAATAAATTCCACAAATTATAATTATATTCCTGAAATGATTTGGCATGTTTGGTCAGGTAAAGCCCTACCATATTGTCCTGCATTTTGTTTTTCATCTTGTCGATCAACCAGGTTTCGCCGTATTAAAACCAGGTTTTGTGATTGCTATTTACTTTGAGCAGAGAGAACTTTAAAAAATATGATATGGTGTTTGGATGATTTTAGGAATTTTTAATAGTTAAGCGTTTTAAAAGAGAGCGCGCAAAAATTCTGAGGTGCCCTAATTGAAGGAGATTTAACAAGTTTTTTTAGGATTTACATCTGAAAAAGACTGATCATCTTCTTGAAATATATTGAGTGGAGAAGGAAATGCCTTGTAGAAATCTAATCCCATGAGGAAAGTTCATTGAGGAAATCTTCAGTGTCATCGTCATCTTGAATCATTGACTTGAGCTTCTTGGTCTTTTTATCTTCCATTTCTTTGAATTTTCTCTTGAGGGATGAAATCTTTTTATCCTTAACATTACTTTCAAAAACAACTTGTTTGGTTGGGTCATTTTCAATCTTTTCAATCATGGAATCTAACATGCCCTTGAATTTGGCCATTCTCTTGTGTTCCTTCTTCTTTTTACCTGTTGATGATTGTTCAGCTTCATATTTGGCCAATCTTTTCTTTTCACGTTGTCTTTCTCTGTATGATTTAACAATATCATTAACTTTAGATTCCTTATTGAATTCAAATAATTCTTGTTCATTCTTCATTCTATTCTTTACAAATTGAAGAGCGGCAACGTTGAATCCAATTCTCTTAGATTGTTGTACAAGCCCATTTCTAACAAGTTCATGGAGTGATTGCATCAAGTCAAAGGTTTCTTGGTCACTGTTGCTTTGAACTAATTGCTTGTAGTGAATATGAATTAAAAGTAAAACAATTCTAGTTGACAATTCAATATCTACACTCTTTTGTTTCATCAACTTGTTAACTTGTTTCAAAATGAAATAGGCATGACTGAAATGGATAATTGAAAGCACCATATCTAAATCAGATCTGGCAATACGTGTCAAACACTTCCAAACATATTCCTCAATAGATAATCCTAACAAGAGAGGATTCTTAGGAATTGTAACATTATTAGCAATACTTTCGATAATATTAATTTCTTCATTGATAGCAACATCAAGGTTTTCCATAAGCTTTTCACCATCACGAATAGTTTCCATGGAACGTTGACCAGCATGAGTGACTTCAGCTCCTGCCAAGGACAAATCTTTGAATTGTTGGGAGTGAGGTAAATCCTTTTCAAGTTGTTCCTCTTCAAATCTCTTTTCCTTTTCTTCTTCCAAGAATAACATATCATCAGACTGGGTATAGATAAAGAGTGCTCTTTCGTGGCCAGAAGTAACCATTCTGTGTCCGTCACTGCTAATATCCAAACACCAAAGTGGTGATTTAGAAATATATTGGCTTGTGACAACTTGAATTAATTCAAATTTATCACCATCCCAATACTTGATGTTACCATCCTTAGAGGCGCTGAAGAAATAGTGAGTATCATTGATAAACTTGACTGAAGTAATACCTTGTTCGTGGGCTAATAAGGAACGATGACAATCACCGAAATCCAAACCCCAAATCTTAATGTTCTTATCATCACTACCAGTCACTATCAATTGTTCGTCACTAGAAATATCCAAACATTTGATTGGTAACTTGTGGCCATAGAGTGAGAGGAAGAATTTCATAGTGTCCATGTAGAAAATTTTAACAGTATTGTCCAACAGAGAAACAGCCAAGTATTTAGCATTCTTTGAAACAGTTATGGCAATAATTTCTTCGTTCATTTCGAGAACGTTCTTGATTGCGAGGGACAAATTCTTTCCTTTCATTTCAAATTCCCAGAATTTAACACACTTATCACTACTGGCAGTAATGATACCACCATTGTTATCATTGAAACTACTTGGAGGAACAAATTGAATACTATAGATTGTACTTGAGTGAGCTTGAATAGTTTCAATACATTCCGAAATATTCACGTCATATATTTGAATGTTACCCTTCTTGGTACCAACCAAACAGTATCTGTTATTTGTGTAAGGTATCCAAATAGCACTCAACCCATGGTCAACATCATTCAATGTCTTGATACATTTACCATTTTCCAAATTCCAAATGTGGCACTCCTTAGAAGACAATGACATACAGGTAACATTATCATCTGAAATTGAAATGGATCTCACAGGAGTACCGTGACCTTGTCTTTCAATAGTATTTGTACATGTAATTCCTTGGTATTGATCTTGATTGGATTTGACAATCTTATTTGGTTCAATTTTGTATTCCTCAATAGTGTTACGCAAAGTTGAAATTATTACTCTAAAATCATTCATCTTGGCATTCAAAATTCTAGTTGAGAGTTTGTCTTCGCTGTCTGTAGAAATTTCACTTCTTGTTAAAACTGACTCGAATGGATTAAAGTCCAAAGATCTAATTTCATAATTAGACTTGATTTGTAACCACCACTTATATTCCATGTTAGGTGTTAAAGATTCTGCATTCTTTCTCTTCTTTTCAATTTCCTTTTCATTTCTCATTTTGAAAATTTCTACAATCTTTGAATCTGAGCCAACAATAGCTAATAAAGTACCCGTATGGTCAAATTTCATTTGCAAAACTCTACTTTCATCTCTTCTCTTCAAAGTTCCCATAAAAACAGGATCATTTTCATAGAAATATTGAGTTTCCTTATTTAAAAATACTTGAATATCCCAAACTCTAATTTCACTATCCGTACTACCAGCGAATAACCTATGTTCATCTGAGTCTACACAAATTGACCAAATTTCATTACGAGAACCAATCAATGTTTGAACACAGTGATAAGTAGTCAATTCCCAGACTTTAATCAACATATCCTTACTCGAACTAATCAAAGCATTTGTTTTCTCCAAAAATATCAAACCAGTAATTCTTCCTTTATGTCCACGTAATCTAAATTTTGCTTGACAAGCTGTAATATCCCAACAAACAATGTCGGTATCATCACCTCCACTTACAAGTAAAGAGCAATCGGAATTAAATTGTAAATAGGAAACACTTGAAGAGTGTCCTGTTGTATATAAAACTTGTTCGCTTGTTTTCAAGTTGTAAATTAAAATTTTACCATTTTGATATCCAGCAGCAATAAAATTATTGCAATGTGTGATGAAGGTAATATTACTATACTTCATGGTACCTTCATTGATACTTCCTCCATAGTAGGATTCATCTTGTGGTGTTATTATTGATACTAATTCATTTTCACGTTTGTTCCAAACACCTATTTGGTACAACATTGGTGAATATACAATATCGGATGCTTTTGTTTGATCATAGTGAATTGATGCGTATGGTGATGCAATAGTACCTGTTGTTCTCTCTGGCACAATACGGTAATAGGGTTTGACCATTTTTTTAAAATTCAATTTATTTTTGTTCAACAAAAATTTGACTGTGAAAATATCATCAGGAAGACAAATTCTGTCATTATTATATATTAATACAAGAGAACCAACAAGTCTGTTTCAATATTAAAGTTTTAACACTTAATGTCGTATATTTACTTTTTTTTACTTGTTGATGGAAGTAAGGATAAAATAGCTTGGTCACTGGCCTTCTTGGCATCATTATAATTCTTCAGACAAGAATCCAAGTTGGAGAGAACATTATTCTGATTCAAAAACTTGTTGTATGAACTCAGACCCATCATGTCTCTGTAGGTATCAAATGAAATATATGCTGAAGAGTGAGGTTTTCCATCAAGGGATGGTAACTCTGGTTTGGAAGAGTTTGGTTTGGTTGATGAGGTTTTTGGTTTGGAGAGGATTGACTGAGCCAAACTACTGGTTGGTTTCTTACTCTTTTCTTGTGGAGTACTTGGTGTATTTTGTAGGGAGCTAAGCATTGAGGTTGATGGAGAATTAGCAGTAATACTCTTATTAGACAGCATAGAAGAGTTTGTCGAAGTATTTGCATTTGTTGATGAAGGCTTATTACTCTGTGGTCTCTTCTTAACAAATTGTTGAGGAGTACCATATGGAAGAGAAAAAGAAGAAAAACCTGTTGCCTTTTGTACATATTTTCTCATCTTTCTATCGTATTCTTCAGTCTTCTTTCGTTCCTCCTCTTCCAGCATTTGTCTTAGTTTTTCTTCATCTAGATTGATATTTGCTTTAGCTTGGAGAACAGTTGGATGAATTGGTTGATTCAAAATTTGAGAAGCTGATTGTTGAATGGCATTATTTGCACTGTGGTTGTGAGTCGGTGTTGGAAGTACAGGGAATGAAGGTTGGGCTGCCATAATTTCAGCTTGCCTATCCTTAATCCTCTGAATAGATCGGACCACTTTGTCTTGCTTTTCAAGATTGTCATCATGTGTAAACATCACCTCGACCAGGTCAATCATTGATTGAGTCTTTTCTATGGTTTGAAGTAAAAGAAGTGAACTATCCATAGAAGCATCAAAGAGTTGAATGGATTGTCTGTATAATGAGTCATATCCTTCAATTTCAATCTTGTCTTCTTCTGTCTTTTCTACTTCAAATTTTATACCACTGAATACTGATTGGATATAATCAACCCTTTCTGCTTTGAGATGATTTTTTGATTCAGCCTTCTTTTGTTCAAAAATAGTTTTATCAACCATGTCAGTGGTAACCTCAATAATAGATATAACATCATCTAAGGTACTCTTGATTGCTTCAAGTTCAAGTCTATCCAAGTGATCTACAATATTTAATTCAACTTCTTCTTCAATCAAATTAGTCAAAACTTCTTCCCTGGTCGGTCCGATCATTATCAATTCAATATCACGGATATCCTCAATGTTTGCATCAACGTTGTAAACGGCACACGTCGACTTTTCTAAATCTTGTTCCTGAATGCCAACTTTTGATTTGGACTCGATTTCTTTTTGTTTCCTAGCTGCAATTTCTTGACTATCTTGCGCCTTGAAAAGCTCCAACCTATAATCTCTAAAGGTTTTCTTCTTACCAATAGTTTGATCAAAAACAATCTTGGCAAGTTCTTTACCATTATTTATCAAGTGTAAGATTGCATTGTTGTTCTGCTTGATAGATAAGTATGTTGAAATAACTCGGTGTGGCCACCTAATAATGTAGAAAGCTTCTTCTGCTCTAATCAGTTCTTTCAGTCTTCCTATATTATTGACCTCCTTATTTTTCAAATATTCATCACTTGATGTAGAGCTATCATTGAAAACAGAATTATCAAATAGTAATTGCTTTCGAATGTTTCCCATGTAGTGCTCATGAAGGACAGGATAAAACAATGATAAGTGAATAGCCTCAAATGATATCTCATCTCTCCAAAGAACCCTATTGTACTCATTTCCAATCTGTGAAGTAGTATCATTATCAATAAAGAGGATAAGTTTGATTCTTTCACCGACATCTAAAATTTCATTCGTGTAAAGATAGCCCAAATCTGGTTTACAAATCTTTTGTTGTAACTGGAGTTTGGCTCGGAATACTTGTTTCTCTAAAGTTTCACACAAGTAGTCTGGTGTTTCTTCATTAATATTTGTAACTGAAGACAAGGAGGAGAAATTATTAGCAAGTAAATCCCTCAATTTTCTAATATCAAATTTGTCTGAAATCTTAATGGAAGGAATCATGAATCTAGCTTTATCTTCCACTAAGAGCTGGTAAGAACCTCTTTCAGTCAACTTGAAATTGAAGTATCCCAGCCACAAGCCGTCAGAGTAGGTTTTCGAAGTAACTGACTTGTAGTAATCCATGGCATTATAGACCCATCTAGATCCCGAGTAATGGCTTTCTAATTTTTCAATCACAAATGATTCGTCTAGGTTTTCATATTTTTGATATTGCTTATACTCAAAATCAATAGTTGGATCCCATTTGTACCCATTAGGAATTTCAAACTCCTTCTTATCTACTTGTTTAACCATCAGATAATATAAAATATTTTGGCCCTTCATTGTTACACACTTATCCAACAATACACCCAGATCTACATTTGGCTTGGTTGACTGATTTACAGCTCTATATAAATCGTTAAAAGACCTAATAAAATCAGTTTTAAATACATCTAAAATAATTTGAGGGTTAGATAGCGAAGGGACTAAATCTAAAATTGTTTGAGTAAAGGATTGTTGTCCATGTTTCAGCAACCACTGCCAATCTTGATGGTCTAAGCTCTTGGAATTTTCATTATGATACATTAACCGATCTAACTTAACACTTGGTAAATTGTCATTTCTATCAGAGAGAACTTCTCCAGTCTTGGAAAAGAATAGTACACCAAGAAAAACACCAGAAGGCAACTTTTTTTGAATTATTGACTCTCTCATAAGCTTTTCTTGTTGAAGTTCCTTCTTTCCTTTTGATTTTTGTGTGGCTGGTTGGTATTCCTCCCCAAAAGGAACTTCTTTCAATTTGGCTCTTGACCTCCATAACTGAATAGCCTTAAAGCTTTCGTTACCAGTCTTTATCAATTCATCAATAATGTTATCAGCAATTTTCTTGCTATTTCTGATGTCGTTCATTGTCTTTAAAAAGTTATTTCTGAGCTCAGGCCGTTCAGTAGTTGTTGGGTTTTTGAATATAATATCCAATATTCTTGAGAATTTTTCAAATACACCCTTGTCAATCTTTTTTATAATTCTCTCCATGTACAAACAAGCTTCTTGGATGGCACTATCTCTGTCATTGCTATTCTTAACAGCTGTCTGGAGTAATCTAAGACTTTGATCATATTTGCTAGAAACGAAAGTATCAGAACTTTCTTGGATACTTTCATCTAAAATCTCGTTAGGATCTGACTCCATAATAGATTTGATAATTGAAGAGGCAGGAACATCAACATATTGTTGATAGTAGGAGTTTGCAAACTCGATAGAACCAAGTCTGTAATCTATGAAGGTGTAAACTAATTGTAAATTAGTAAAAACTTACTATGTAACTCCATGTCTGTTTTTGCATCTAGTTCACCATAAGCAACTTCCAGGCCTAGCTTTAATCTTTCCTTACTTACTGCACTAGCTTGTAAAACAAACTCATTCCCATCAATATTTAATGTAATTTTGTCCTTATCTTCATTTATATCTGAATAATCAAGTAGTGGATAAGCAGCTAAAATTACGTTCTTCTTATTGCTGAATTTGTGAGATAAACTAAAATCTTAAAAACAAACCTCTTTCCTTCTTGGCCTGCCATAAAGAGACAAAATGCACCAACAAAATCTCTTGCTAAAATTACAATTCTATCTTTTTTGGTTTTAGGCTATTAAAGTATAAATTAATTTTTTGTAAAAACAACTTACAGTTGAAAAATATGTTCCCTTAAAAGCTGTATGAACCTTAACCTCTCCTCTTCCAGGTAAATTGAATAATTCTTTGAAAATTAATAAAAAAGAAACTTTGAAAACATACCATCTTCGATTGAATCATCAAAGTCGGTTCTTGCTAAATCCTTCTTAGTAAATGAAACCTTCACTTGACTTTGACGTTTTCCAATAAATGATAATCTTGGTTTTGGTTGATTTGGGCCAAAATCTTTAAAATCCTCTGCACCAGCACTTCCACTACTTCCTTGGACCATCGTCATTGCTTTTGGCTTTTGATTTTCATTTTGAGTTTGCTTCTTTTTTTGTTTTGGATCTTCTTCCAGAACTACTTTCTTTTGTTTGGATTCTTTTGGCTCTACTGGTTCCTCCTTTGGTGGTGCTGTTGTTACAGGTACTGGTTTCGATTGCTCAATAACAGGTTGTGTCTCAACAGGTTTAGATTGCTCAACAACTGGTTCTTTTTTTAGCAAAGGCTTTTCTACAGGTTCTTCTTGTCTTTCTTGTTTTGGAGGGGAGGTAATTGATTTCTTTTGGTTCCTGTTTCTTAGGTGACTCTTTCTTAGGTTCCTCCTCACTTGGTGTCGTTTCGGTTTTGCTCTCGACCTTAGTTTCAGTATCCTTAGGTATTGATTCTATCTTTTGTTCCGCTATTGTTTCCTTTGGTTTTTCCTCGACTTTTTCGATTGTTGTATTTTCAACCTTTTTATCTTCTTGTTGAGATGTGTTTTCTGATGATGGGGTGGACGTTGTTGCTGCTGATGCGGATGTTGGTGTTGATTGAGCAGGAGTTGTTGAGGCTGTTGTTGTTGGTGAAGAAGTATTTGTTGTTGTAGTTGGTGTCGTTGGTGTTGTTGGAGTAGTTGGTGTTGTAGCTCCACTCTCAGCTAATGTTACATAGTCAGGAAATTCTGTGTAGGAATTTAAGGATGTCTTGGAAGCCCAATGATAATAGAATACCTTTCCTGTTTTTGGATCTTCTTTTTCTTGCCAAATTTTACTATAATATTATTATATTATGATCATCAACCCTATTCTTGTTTTGCCTTACTTACTCTCTATCAGTTTTGAAAGGTTTAGCATAAAAGTATACATTCTCCTTATTGGTAAACCTTACCCATGGTGTCTTACCAACAGTGAATGTATTCGGAGCTATATCAATTTGAATTTTAACAAGTAATTAAGGTAATTATGAAAATTGATCCCTTACCTCTATCGGTAGACATTTTTTTCTTGCTTTGAAAAATAACGGTCGTTTTTTGAAAGGGAATTAAACAGCCTTTAATACTCAATCTGAAGTATAGTGCTTGCATGTTGTTTCTTGTAGGATATTTTAGCCACATTGGAACCGAATTGCATTGCCCTTTTAACATACATACATGACCTAGAAAGACCAAGTTTTTGAGCTGCTCTCCTCAGTATTTTCTTATCACCTGGTAATGTGGTTGATTGTTGTTGGGTTGGCTTATCATTTGGTTGGTTATTGGTAAAATCAGCCAAATACCATAATGGTTGTTTTCTAACAAAATTAATGAATGGCTCATCTAAAAATGGATTTCTAGATTCTCTTCCATGATCTGATATTACTCTGTCATCTCTTCCCAAGTTTCTAATCCATAACCGCTTAATGTCCATATCCATTTCTTCGTTAAGACCATTCCAACCCTTGTACTTGTATTTTTTAAAATGTCTCTTGTAACCTCCAAGTTGTTCATCACTGCCAATACCACACAAAATGACTCTGCCTGTTGAAGTGTACAAATTTGATGTGTTGGTTGGCTCTGAAGAATTGTAAATGTATCCTCTTCCTCTTGAGGCAAACCATAATGCTGATCCAATATTAAAGTCAATGACAGTATTTTGTGGATAAATGAGTGATTCAATTCTCTTTTGATTTTCTGCTAATTCAGTTGAGTTAATATCAACAAGAACCAATCTGAAAGGTCTATCAGGGTAAAGTCTTGCCAACTCGTCGTAGGATTCTATGGCTTGCTTTCTGTCAGCTGATTGATCCTGTTGCTTTTTATCAACTCCAAATGAGACGTTCAATAAATCAATAGGCATTCCTTTTTCAAGCTTCAAATGAGCCAATGCTGTTATAATTACTGAATCAATTCCCCCCGAGAATAAAACACTAATTTTGGTATTTTCATCATTATTGGAATAGACATTGGTCACTCTCTTTTCAACAGAATTTGAAAGATATGAAATGAACTCATCGACAACACTCTCAAATACTGTATCATTCACTCGCAAATCATCTTCAGTCTTTGGTTCTATCATTTCTCTATCGGATATTAACGGATGTTTACCAGTTCTCTTGTAAATTTCTTCCCAAGAAATCATGGAAAGCAATTGTGAACCAGTTTCATCGCTAAGGGATAATTTGAAAACTCCATTCACACCAATTGACCTCCATTGAGAAAATTCTGGAACGTGACAAGCTACACTAGAAATAATCAAATCTTGACCGTTTACAGAATATAACAAACTTCTTCTTCCCAAAATATCTCTTCCAAACAACACATATTTTTCCCTCTTATTGACATAGACAAAACTAAAAGGTCCTTCAATATTAGCCAAAGTATTCAAAACTTCATCCTCATTTCCACATTTTACCAAATGTTCCAATAGACAAACTGTATCATTTCCATGCTCAATAACACATTCTCTGAAATATTCATTTCCAAATATTTCTCCATTCCATATTATTGTGTGTTCGTCACCAGACAAATCAGTCATGGTAATAGGTTGTGGGTATGGCTTATCACCTCTGAGAGCCAAAATACTAGCAATAAGTGTCACTGTAGAATCTCCAAAATTAATAATTTCGTGACGAGTTTCATCTGGACCTCTTGGAGAAATAACACTTTTAATACCAGAAATAATATCCACCTCTTCCGATTGAGTACTTTGTACAGTAATAGCCTTGATTTTTTCTAATTTCTGTTCAAATGTTTCGTTTCTTCCATCATTTTCTTCTGAGTCGTCATCAACAACAACACTATTTTCGTTTCTAACTTCTTGTTCAACAACCTGTTGTTGATTATTACTATTCACAACCATTCCATATTGTAATAAAAAGTGCAAATCCAACAAATTCCACTTGGATAAAGATGCTCCGAGAGAAAATCTTGCCCCAATACCACACATTTTTTTTAATTCTTTTAATAATTATTTTGAAAACCAACTATGAATTAACAATAACATTTCGAAAATGCACTTTATAAATACATACATGACTTATTAATTTGCATTATTTAAATTAATAAATTAATTATTTTGAATTTTCCTCGGTTGACTTATCAATTTTCCCCAAGTCCGAAAAAATGTCCTCAACACAACAATCATTATCAACACTTCGCACCCAGAGGATTCTTGGTCATCTCTTCCCTTCAAATAATAATAATAACATTAACCATGCTCACATGATGCTAAATTCATCTAGGCCTATTTGTTGCAATGATGATGTAATATTGGTAATGAATCAAACTTCAAAAGATGACAATGATCATGTACTCTCCCAATACAATCCAGACAATCATTGTCTGTGCATTACATTGAATAGACCAAAGAGTTTCAATGCACTCTCACTCTCCATGATCCGATCCTTGAGAAGGATTCTAGAGCAAGCTCTCTCCGATACAAAAGTACACTTTGTGATATTGCAGAGTGCTAGTGATAAGGCTTTCTGTGCTGGGGGTGATATCAAGGATTTGAGAAGGGGATTTGAATATGCCCAACAATTCTTCACCGAGGAGTTTTCATTGAATTATTATATTCATGAATTTTGTAAAGTAAAACCAATTGTTTCCATGTTGAATGGTATTACAATGGGTGGTGGTGTTGGAATTTCAATTTATACAAATTTGAGAGTGGCCAATAGGAAGAGATTCCAATTTGCAATGCCTGAAGTGTTTATTGGAATTTATCCTGATATTGGAGCCTCCTTCTTCCTTACTAGAGCTTGTTCATCAATTGGAATTGCTAGATATATTGGATTGACCGGTGCAAAATTGGGTGCTACAGATTCACTCTTCTCAAAATTGGTAACTAATGTTATTGATAATGAGGAAGTTTTCTATGAATTGAGAAGAGATTTATTTGAAAAGTTTATTCCAACAGAAAATGAATCTAACTTGGAAAAACAATTGGAAAAATTCATTCAAATTTATGAAAAGAAAGGCAATACAGTACTCAATTCAACATTGGGTCAGGTTGATCGTTTTAGACGTGTTATTGATTACTGTTTTGGAGAGGCTCAATCTGTTAAGGAAATAATTTCAAATCTCAAATGGTATAAGGAACATCATCCATGTAGAAGTCAATCAGATAATGAATTTATTGATTCTATATTGGAATTATTCTCAAAGAGAGCTAGCCCTACTTCTCTTGTAGTTACCTTCGAGGCACTTGAGAGAGGAAGAAAGGCAAGCTCTTTGAAACAAGTTCTTGATTTGGATAAGTTACTGTGTACCAAATTGGTTGGGCAACATGATTTTGTGGAAGGTGTTAGAGCTGTTTTAGTTGACAAAGATCAAAAACCAAAATTCAAACCTGCCACTCTAGATGAGTTAAACGTCCACCAGGTTATTAAAGAGATATTTGATTAAATGATATTTCTGCTTGTGTTTTTTACTTGTAACAATAAATAAATTTATTTCAATAAATTAATAACCTGTTCCAGCATTATTACCATAATAATAGTAGTTGCCAGCTCCAGCATCCAAATCAGTGTGTTGTTGGTGTTGTTTACGTCTAGTACAAAGTTTGAAAAGAATTGATCCAACAATTACAGAAACAATCAATAATAATACAATGACACCAAGAGATACACCAATAATAATACCAATGTAAGATGATGGCAATTCTTCACTATAATAACATGAAGAGGCATCTACTGATTCAAAATCACCACTTGGATAACTGAACACTAAAGCATATGGTTGATTTGAGAGTGTCAATGTTTTGAATTTAACTGAAACAGTAACATAAAGAGGATTGGTTCCAGCGTTTGTAATAGAGTTGATAAGAACCTTTTCAACATTATTTTTGGTATCGTATGCGTCTTGCATATTACCAGGAATAACCTTCAATGATTGAATCTTGTCACCATTCTTTTCATAAATATTAACAATCAAATCCATATCTTGAACAAGTGAAGGAACGACAGATACTGAGCTAGGATAATCGTACCAAGCAACAGTACTGGCAAATGATGATGAGGAAATACCGCTCTTCATCTTTAAACACCGGCTATGTTTTTCATTTGATGATGTGAAAGTCTTCTCAATAAGTGTCAAGTTGACAGTTGAATTGTTGCCACTCTTTAATAAACTTCCAAGATAAACTCTACCATGACCTTCATAGGAATTAGGGTTACCCATTGATGAAATCAAAATTCTACTAGATTCATCAGTGCTTTTAGCAACACTTCCAGAGAGTGGAATTGAGCTGTGAACAAGAGCAGCCTTCAAAAGCGGACCAGATGGGTTAGAAATACCCATCTTCTTTTGTAAATATTCTCTCAACAATGCAAGACCACCAGCTGTGTATTTTTCAATATATTAATAAAAAGTAATAATAATTATTACTTACCTGTCAATGGTGTTGCCATACTATTTAATAAGATTTACAAAAATTATAAAAATTGTGAAAATTAAGAGGTCGATTAAAAATAATCATTCAATGAATGACTTACCTAGTACCTTGATTTGTCTATTAAAAATTCAAATATTAATTCACTATGAACTATATAATTAAAACTTACCATTAAAGCAGCTCTGTTATACAAATTTGGTGAAATATTTGAGCATTGATAAGTGGTAGTATCACCATCACTGTGACCTGATACAACATTATCACCAATACCACTAACGTCTGGTTTGATTCTATCACCAATAGCTGGACCTCTACTACTGAAAGAAGCTAAATTGTCAGCATTGAAATAACTTGGATTACTGGAATATTTATCCTTCATAGTGGCTGAACAACAGAAAGCACGAATGGCATCAGCATTACTACCAGTGTAAGAGCAACATTGTTCTGGGGAAGTGAAGGAAAGACCTGCTTCTTTGATTCTGTGCATCATATCTTCATATTGAACTGAATCAATAAAGGCACTGTTTGAAGTTTTGGAAGCACCAATAGAAACACCATTCTTTGAAGTTGCTGGACTTCCAATATTTTCCTTTGAAGAAATTCTACCAGAGTTACCTTGAGCAAAGAGAATGATAGCATCTTGATTATTCCACAAAAAGGTGTCGATATCTCTACATTGAGAATCATACTTATTAACAATTGAACAACAAGTTTGACTGCCGAACAAGTATTTGCAATCAGAATCATAAACTGGTTGACCTTTACGATAGACAGATACAGAAACAGCCCATCTACAATTTACACAGTCATAATCACAAGCAATGAGATTATTTGGTGCAGCACCCCAGGAATTAGAGAAAATTCTAGCATTCAATTTGTAAGCTGGCTCAAAAATACTGGTCAACGAAGCTGGAATCAAGAGTGCACTACTGCCTGTTTTTTGAATATCAGTAAAGTGAATTCTGGCATTTGGAGCCATACCATGATAATTGTTAATAGCTTGTTGATCAGCTGTAATTGGTGATTGAATAGAACCAGCAACGCTTCCAACAACCTGTAAATTTTGAAATTAAAAAATCATCAAACAATGAAATAACTTACGTGTGTACCATGGCCGTCAATTCCATCTTGTCCATCAGAAGTAACAAGACCAGAATTGCCATTAGAAACTGTAACAGTTCTATATTCTACAATCTTTCTATGATTAGCATAAACAGTGTTGGTAGCAATTTTAGTAATGTTTGCATCAGAATAAAAACAGTGATCCCAATCGATACCAGTATCAGAAACTGCAACAACTTGATCATTTCCATAAATACCCATATCATAGAATGGAGTTGATTGTGGTTGAGTTGGAGAAACTGATTGCATAGAAATTGATCCTTCCTTGTTAAATAAAGAATAAATTGGCTTTCTATCTACAAAGTGAACATGTGGATTTTCCAAAATAATATCAGAAATTTGTTTAGCAATAAGAGGAGAGAAGGAAATTTGCATCTTTTCTCTATCTACGACTTGAATTGGAGAGAATTGAGTGACATCAAAAAGTGATCCTATTTGACTGTTCAATTTCTTTGCAACTTGTTCCAATTCATTCAATTCACTTCCTTTAGAAACAGCATCAATGGATGGAATTGTTGAAATGACAAAGTCCATCAAATCAGAGTTAACTGGATTTTCTTCCTTTCTAGCGAGTTCTTGCATTTTAGCAAAATGAAGACTTGACTTGAATCTAGTTTCATATTCTCCAATCCATTCAATGGTATGATGATCTTGTTCACCTACATGATCAATAATTTCTGATGTACGTGCAACAACTGACATGATCTGAGAGGAACCCAAAGGAACAGCACCCGAAATCAATTGTTGAACTTGGCTATTCATTCTCTTTCTTGATGTAACATTATCCTTCAACTTGATAATAAATTGAGTATATGGTTCAACTGATTCTCTACTATTTGTCAATTCTCTTCTCAACATTAAAGTATTTAAACGATTCTTATTATTAAAAAGATTATTAGCAAAGGTCAATTCGAAAATACCTCCGTTATCTTTTTCTGCTTCGCTCACTCTATTCTCCTCATGAATCATGGAAAGGAAAGGAATGCCATTACTACTTGAAGCCTCTACTACTGCACATGATAACAATACTGTTGCAGCAAGAATCATCAGCACAACCAACTTGAATGTCGGTGAATGTTTGTTGTTATCTCCCATCGTAGTCATCATCATCATCATTGTTTTTTGAAAAATAGATAACACACAGTGATGATAATCTCTTCAAATAGATTCAAATAGGTATTTGATTGGAAGTTTTTTTTTGTGTTGGTTCTCCATGACTCCAGAATGTGGAGGAGCTTTAATTAATTTCAAGGCAAGTATCTAGTCTCATCTCATACTTGTAGTCATCAATGAAGGTTACTCTCTAGTTCAAGAGGGTTTCGACTTTTATTCTATTACATTATTAGTTGTGTGAAATGATGTTTTTAAATTGTGAAATGGAACGATATTAGAAACTATTGTTTGCAACCATTATCGAATTGGATGGTCTAGTTCAATGAAATTCACCGCGCTAGAAATGATGAAGCCATGTTAACTACAGTATGGATTACAAAACGTTATATTTTGTTTCCATAGTATCAAGAGAAGAAACACTTGAAGATTGCAAGAATAAATTGAGAAATATGTATATTAGAGATAGTTGTAAAGGTTTTTAATGTATCTTATCTTTAAAATGGAAACTAATCAAAATTATTGGACACTAGAAAAATCTTTGGTCAATTTGAGGTTGCTCTCATTATTGTCCTATCACTTCAAGTTCAATCTACACCTTTCAAGTTCTTTGAAAAAGACACTATTGTGAATCCAATGATGGAATCTAAATGTTCGATCAAAATACAGATTCAATAACTGGAACAATAGGAATGCACCAAAATGACTGAAACTTTCTCCACGAACTCAAACAACTAATATGTCTAGCATATAACTATTAAGGGACGTGACATAAATTGCATCCACCCAAGATTTATTAGACATTTCTTTATCTCGCTCCTAATAAATATTGAACAGGCAACAAAAACACCATATTTTCACTATCCAAATAGGGAGCCGCCACATTTTCATGAAGCAGGTTAACTATTATAAAAATTGACTCAATTACCTTCTTAACATCCAATACTGCTTATCCTGGTCGCTCATTGAGTGTTATCATATGGTGATTGAACTCAACAACTCATCATCTCCTTTATATTAAATTATTGTTATTAAAATATTCCATGAGCAGTGAAATATCATTAAGGACTCCTCCAACAACTTCTCACATTGGGTTTGAGGCTACACCATCTCCAAGTTCTGTCCTTTCAGATGATATCTTTTTGCGACAACGATTATCATCATCACCTGTTCTAACCCCTATCAAGCTTAATTCCACAGATAAGAAAGTTAAGAAGCAATCACCACCTTCTCCACTCTCCATCTCTTCCAGTTACTCTCTCTCAGCTGTAAAATTACCACAAACTTCACCTCAATCATCTTCGGAAAGATCGCACAGTTCACTCTCTGTGGGATCGTCCCCTCTATACAGCATTGACAACAGTGGTATCCTCATTCATCCACCACCAACACTTCAACCACTCCACCACCATGATAAAAACTCGACTATTTCCATCACAACTTGTATGGAGTCTAGCTACATCACAACGAATACATCCCCATCATCTTATAATCAAAAGGCACTGGCAAAGAAGGTCTCATTTCAGAACAATTCTTCAACTTCCTTTATTCAATCGAGAGTTGTAATATCAGAACCTTCCTCTGCCCTCTCTTCTCTGTCACAGTCACCAAGGGCAATTTCTCCTCCTGCCAAGACACCTCTCATTGCCAGAAAAAGCGAATTGAAACATTCAAGAAGTGCAGAGGCTCTATTCTCCACAAGTAATTCCATTTGTAATACTGGACCAACTTTGCCTCATGTGAGAAAGCCTATACTGAGATCCTCAAGCTCAACAACATTTGATATTTCCATGACTGAGAATGGGTTTCACACCAGTGCTGGCTCAACAAACAGCTCTAGCAGATTCCTGTCACCTCCTGAACCTGAATTTTTAAAGAGGAAGGATTCGCGTATCTCATTCTCTACCACTAGGGCTGCATCCTGTTCCAAATTACCTGAGGTGGCACCTTGCAGACTTGTTAATGCATTTCAAAAATTCACAGAGCACAGAAAAACCTTAAAGAATAATCCAACTTTTGATAATCACCTGTTTGAGTACGAAGAAACGCTTGGTCTTGACGAGTCAATGAAAACATCAACAATGCAACTTATGGCCGAGTATAAGAAAAAGCAAGCAAGTGCATCTCAATTGGATCTAAAAGCAGTCAATAGAAATATAGGAAGAGAATATGCAAGAGGAATGGATCCAAAATCATTAGCAGCACTTTGTGATCTGAAAAGAAACAAGATGAAACTGGACAATTTTTTGGAAGGATTGTCCTCTGATATTGGTGCAGACATGTCTAAATCCAAAGTAGAGAAGAATCTAACAATGATTAAGGAATCTATGGATGCTGTCATGAGTCAACAACAAGCAAAAAAGAAAAAGAAATCAAATATTAAACATTAATGATTTGTAAATTAATAATCTGATGAGTAAGCAATCATTTGGCGCTCAATTGTCCAATTACAGTTTGAAAAAATGACAAAAAAGATAAACAAGCATAACCAACAATTTCGTCAAGCATCACCAACAGAAACAGAGAGGGAAGTGACAAATTCAGAAGCCAATAATGCAGCATCAAACCAAACAAAAATTCAACAAGACTCCACACAAGGGACGTCATCTTTAGAAGAAATGGAAAGCACAACCCCTTCTTCATCAATTAATTCACCACGTAACGGTGCCACCACTACAAAAAACAACAACAAACAACGATTTTCACTACCAACCAAAAAATCTTCGCTACTAGATTTCACTCCTGCATCGGAATTACTAACACCAAGAACTCTCATTGTTGGTTACCTAAATTCTTCATCTAAATCTACAAAATCATTCTCTAATCCTAAAATACAAGAACACGTAGAACAAAATATTGCTAGGATAAAGGAGGGATTATCCTCTATTGAGAGTAGTCACAATACAGTGAGAAAATTATTGGATGATGAATTAAAAGGAAGTCAAACATTACAACAAGAAATTGGTCAAATCAGAGACAGATTTGATGAGACAAAGGATGAAATTCAAAAAATGGATAGTATGCTTATCAGGGAAATGAAAGAATCAAACTCTGATATTCTCAGCACTACCTCAACACAAGTTGTGCCAAAAATGGAAGAGAAAAGCTTTCAGGAAAAACCAGATACCACTGAAAAAATCAAAGAAATTTTGGATGAATGGCTCGAACAAAATCTAAGTAAGCAAAACAGAGAACCAAGAACTGACGGAATAGGTTTTTGCCAAATTTTTGTTTGGGTTTTACTTTTTGTATTACTTATCATGTCATTGTTACATATCTTTGGGTTTTCAGAACCTCTCATTGCCAAGATTGCTAATTGGAACCCAACTTACTAATTTCACAATTCAATATATTCAAGAATATGCTTGTTAATGTTGATCTATTGCTGAGATCCTTATCACACACTATCATTATATCTTAACGAACAACAATCGAAAAATCCTTTTCAGAGTGTAAAATTCACTTTATAGAAAAAAATGTCCAATAGCGTTGGTGGTGAGGCAACTACTCTCAAAATTGTTGTTGTTGGTAAGTAAGGCAGATAAAAATAAAGGAGATTATAATTATGATCTTGAACACATTAAGGCGACGGTAACGTGGGTAAAACATGTCTATTAATCGTCTATTCTGGAAAGGAATTTTTGAATGACTATGTTCCAACAGTTTTCGATAATTATGTAGGTTTTTTAATTTGGGCAGCAACATGTACAAACATTAATTTAGAGTTGTAGTGTTCTCGTAGATAATAGAAAGGTAAACCTTACTTTGTGGGATACTGGTACGTTTTTAAAATGTCTTTTTTTGCTAAGCATTGGACTATTCGTGAACAGCTGGTCAAGAGGTATGTGAAAGATCTTTTGGAAAATAGTTATTTAAATATGTAACGGAATAATAATGACAATAGGATTATGATCGTTTGAGACCTCTCTCCTATCCTGATACAAACGTCTTCTTACTTTGTTTCTCCTTAGTTGAACATTCTTCATTTGTCAATGCTAAGGTTAAATGGCACACTGAAATTAGCAAGCATTGCCCTTCAGCACATGTTATCTTGGTAGGAACCAAGCTCGATTTGAGAAATGATGTGAACTATGTCAAGAAAATGGAAGCAAGAGAAGAAAAAATTGTAACATACAAGGAAGGCCAAGAATTGGCAGACTTTTTGGATGCAGCTGGTTATGTGGAATGTTCTTCCAAAACAAAAATTGGTTTGAAGAAGGTATTCGATGATGCCATTCGAGTTAGTTTGTATGGTAGAATGACACCAAAGAAAAACAACAAGAAGGGTGGACTCTGTATGTTATTGTAATATTTCAACACAGGACAACCAACATTGAGATTCACACAAAAAGATAAAAATAAACAAATTCAGATTATCCAACAGTAATAGTGCATATGTGTCATAATATTTTTGTAATATTCAATGCTGTTATTGATGGTGTTGTTCCACCAATATTTAGCACATGATCAAATTCTTCAACTTTAAAAAAAAATGTACGAAGACTATGATGAAGGTTTCGGATCTATGAGTTTGAGTTCTAGTGATTTTCAAAACCTCTCTACTGATCAGGAGAAGATAAATTCACTCAATGAATTGTGTACCTTCCTGTGTATTGGTATGGAGGATTTTATTCAAGGATTTGATGTTTATGGTTGGTCATCAGTTCTCATCCCTCTCCTAAAGGAAAAGGTAACATCAGTTAAAAGTTTAGAAAGTCAACTCTCTGAAGGATCATCAGATGTTTCCGAAATTCAAAATGGATGGAATCAAACCAGGGAAATTGTAACTTTAATTCTTAGAGCTCTTGGTATTGTTCTTGAGATGGTTCCAAGAAGCGTTCCGACTGTGCTTTCATATCACCCAATAGAATCATTGTTAGAATTGTTAAAACAATTTTCAAAATCATCGAAAAAGGATGAAGAGGAGCATTCGAATAGTTTACGTGCAACAGATTTATTTGGAGAATTTGTAAATGAAAGTATGCTGGAAGAAATTTTGAAATGTTTTGACAAGATAAGTATTGAAGAACCAACTGCTCTATTTAATACTGTTTCATCAAACGATAATGATGATCATGAAAACGCAAGTGGAAGCAGTGAAGCAGGTTTTATTGGTATTTTATTGAATTGTCTGGATAGTCCAATGTTTTCATCCAGAATCAAACAATCTGCTTTGAAAACTATTTGTAACTTGTTTAGAAAGATGAGAGTGAAGGAAGATTTTTCCACTTTTATTGAGCAAGCAGGCGCTCTTGATGCATTAATTCGTCAAATTAATATTGTAACAAGCCATAGCATTCTTTCAAATGCTTCAGGTGATGTAAATTCAACAAGACAGTCACTACAAACATTTAAAATCATTTGTGACACTTTTGCTTATATTATTGAGAGAAGTAGATTTCAAAAAGGCACTCTCAAGTCTAAAAAATCAAAAGAAAGCAAATCCAACTCTTCAATTATTGAAACTGTAGCTTCACAAGTTGCGAATACATCCATGTTAACTCAAATGCTGGAAAAATTGAGTGAAGCTACAGATACTATTTCTCATGCATCTGCCACTATATCAAGATATATCGTCAGTACTTTGCATTTGTACTCAGATGCTTCTCCAAAAGTTTTGAATGAAATGGTAAATCCAAACCACTCTGGAAGAAGTTTATTCCTCTCACTCAAAAAGTGGATAGATCCTCAACAACAAGATTATGTAATTTCTGGTAATAATGAGAAAGTAATGGAAAGTTTCAATCTATTGCAGGATTCTATATTATACTTCTTGAGTAATTTGTTCCCAGAAGTTGATGATTCCAAAGTAATTGCACAATATATTTATGGTGCTACTAAATATTATTGGGAGGATGATTATCACAATTTGAATGAATATGACGAGACAGCTAACGCAGAACTTGAAAAGTATTATCGTGAGGGACATGTAGATAGTCAATTTACCATTTACATTGCAGGTAGAGCTTACAAGATTGACCTATTAGAACTCAAACAATACAGTAGTACCAACCTTATGAGAAATATCAAGAGAGATCCAATTCCTTGTTCCTTCTCGAGAGATGTTTGCATGTTAATTGGTGGCTCCACTACTACTAGTAGTGAATCTGCACATGGTAAGGAGAGCCCAACCTCTAAAACACCAGAATCTCCAACCAAAAAGGAGGGTTTCTTTACAAGATTTTTCAAAAAACAAAAACCAAACGAATCAACACCCACAACACCAACAACACCTCAATCTGTTATAGGTAGCAGAAGTAAATCCTCCAGTACGAAACCAACTCTCACAAAGAGCAAGGATAAATTCATCAAACTTAACACCTTCTCAAAACTTGATACAGAAAACAAAAAGCTTATTTCTGAATATGCTTTGGAAGAATTATTAGAGCCTCTTATTGCCCTTTCTACTAATGAGTTTTATAGAAAAGATTGCCTTAACATTATTTGTAAAATTTTGAATAGTTTTGTAAATAGCCATCAAAAATCCTCCTCCAAGATCCCAACCAGAAGTGTACAAATACTTGCCAAATATGCGATCAAAACCCTCAATCAATACTCTCACCACAAGATGGATGTAGATGATACCTCCTCTGCAGGTTCCTCCGAAGATACAGATAGCTCACCAATGTATCTCACCATGTCTGCTCAAGAGTTTTCAAACGCTACAAGACTTGATTCTATTGTAATTACCAATTGCTTGCATATTATTCATTCTCTGCTCAAGCTTGATAGTGGTTTTGACTCTGTTAAAAAGATTATTCTAAGAGAGGGAGTTATAAGTACACTCACTGAATTGATTAACTCTTCCAAAGATTCTCAATCAGAGCCTATTGAAACTTCAATTAGTAGGCTTATCCAATCAAACTCTCAGGCAATTTTAGATAACTATTTCTCTGACAAGCTTCACTACAATCATACCTCAGAGGAGGAAAATAAGCTCCACTCTATTTGTTCCTCTTTGAAAAAGAATTTAATTGATAGCGAAATTATGCAGGAACTAGCCAACATACTTAACCAATCAACCATTTCATCATACTCATTTGAGCAATCCAATTTTGTGACTAGCTTTACTAATGCATTGATCTCTGCATTTGATTTCAGTGTTGAAGATTTGGAAAAGTATATCGTGAGGAATAGAGATGTTTTGTCCAATTTGGTAGAGTTATTACATTCCCTCATTGATAAGCTGGCTCAAAGCTCATTCAAAATATCAGATATTAGTATCACTGAAGCTACAGTGAAAAAGTTTGCATCAGGAGTCGTTTTGAATATTAAACCTACTAATTCAACTCATGATTGGAAGGGTTCCCTCAAGGCAGAGCCACTTATTACTATAAAGACAATAGAGAACTTTATAGCCTCAAAGATTGATCTTCAAGGCAAGCAGATTCAAATATCGATTGATGGGAATTTATGCGATGAGCCTTCACTAACTCTCTTTGAAACAGTTCTAAATGAGAAGAAGCTATCTCTGTGTGAGGAGAGTGTTATTTTGGAACTTTTCAGCAAAGAGTATGAAATTTCATACAAATTTGTTGACAAAACACACAAATTGAAGGAATTTTTGAAAGAGAACAGTCACCAAAATACACACCCAACCAAGAGTCCATTCAACGAAAAATTACTACTATGGATCAAGCAATTTACTGCAGATATGAAATCACATTCACAAGAATTGACAAATTGCCTGATTCTTCTCAAGGTTCTCTTCGAACTAAACAGAAAGAACAACAATATTATCGATCCAAGCAATTTCCAAAACCTTCAAGTGGCTAGCAAGTTCATTATCCAACAAAATAAGGACTCATATTTCATTGGGCTTGTTTTGGCAATGATTAGTGGAACTCTCCCATCTTGGATGTACAATATTGCAACACATTGTGGAACTTTCCTTCTACCTCTTTCTACAAGAAGAAATTTCTTCTTCAAGTGGAGTGGCGTCACTCTCCATCCTTCATCTATTCTTCAATCTCAGTGTGGAGCTGTTGGTGACTCGAATGATACTAGAATTGGCAGGAAAAAGTCAGAGAAAGTCAAAATTATGGACAGAGAGAAAATAGTAGAACAAACTCTTTCCCAAATCAAACCACAAAATTTCTCCTCTAAATCTATTTTGGAGTTCGAATATGAAAATGAAGGTAAGTATTTCATTTTCTTTGTCTAATTATTTCATTAGTCGGAACTGGCCTTGGTCCAACGAGGGCTTTCTTTGATTTACTTTCAAGAGAATTACAAAAGAAGCAACACTGCTTGTGGATGAATCAATCCAGTGACGATTCTGATTATGTAAAAACAGCATACGGTATCTTCCCTGAGCTTGTATCTGAAAATAGTTTTGAACATTTATCTGGTGAGAAACAATTCATGTACTCTCTGGTGGGATCCTTGATTGGTAAGGCCATTGAAGATGGTAGACTTTTGGATCTTGAATGTAACTTGAATATGATAGATATGATAATTTCAAACTCTCCATGCCAATTGAATGACTATTCTTCAATCAATCCTACACTGTTCACCTCTATCACCTCCATTATAAAATATGCAGATATTAAGAAGAATATTCAAGAGGGTTCAGAGGAATGGGAAAAGCTCAAATCTGAAATTGATTTGCTGAGCTTAGATTTCACATTTGGTAATTACAAATTGAAACCACTCGAGGAAATTTCAAGTGATGTAACAATTCACAACATTGATGAATATGTGACATGCTTGACCAATTATTTGTGTAATGAGGGAGTTATGGAACAAATTAATTGTATCAGATTTGGTTTGAGAGAAATAATTTCGAATAGGGGTTTGAAATTGTTGAAGAGCTTTTCATCAGATGAAATATCACTCTTTATCAAGGGAAGCGATGAAATATGGAAGGATAAGCAATCTTTGCTCGATTGTATTCAATGTTCACACGGTTATACCATCAATTCTGAACCAATTCTCTTCTTAATGGAATGGTTGTTATCTTTGAGCGCATCAGAACAAAAGCTCTTCCTTCAATTTGTAACCGGTTGTTCTAGAATTCCAATAGATGGATTGAAGATTACTATCGTCGAAAAGACAGGTCAAAACCCAGACAATACCTTACCTACATCCAATACATGTTTCAACTATTTGAAATTACCTGCCTACACATCGCTCCAAACTCTCAAACTAAGAATGGAAACATCTATACAATTGGGAAGAAACACCTTTGATCTTTCTTAAATGTTACTACTAATAAATTGATTTATTTATTATAATTGAAGGTTTTTTAATAAAACAATATTTATTCTCCATTCCAGAAACGAGCTCTCAAATCTTCACTGCAAGACATGATTGAGTGCATCACTGGAGAAGAGGCTATCCATCGAACAGGTTTAATATGTCCTGATAATTGGTGTGAAATACTGGACATTCTAGTATCCCAAATGATAATATCATTATGGAAAGAAGACATAACACCACTTTCGTTAAAATTGAAACTAGCTTGAACCCTATAGTTGACTTCTTGAGGTTTTGGTGGTTCGTATGACCTCACTTGTTTACCAGTAGAAAGATCCCATATCCTTACAATAGAATCAGATCCACCAGAGAGGAAATATTTAGAATTTTGAGAGAATTGTACAGAGAAAACTGAATTACCATGAGCTTTTGGAATTGTTGTAACACATCTGCCAGTTACACCATCCCAAATCTTGATAGCACCATCCTTTCCTGCACTGATAAACATTTTACCGTCTGGTGAATATCTAACCTGATTTAGTGATTTAAAGTGATTGTCGTATGTATTCGAAGATGTATAACATTTGTAATTATTTGTCAAATCATAAGTTCTAATGACTGTATCATCTGTTCCTACAAGTAAATAATTTCCAGATGGATGGATAGAAATAGTTCTAACATTATGAGACTCCTCAATAGTGTGAAAAGCTTTCTTTACAGTTGGCTTTGTAATGTCGAAAAATTTAATGGAATTATCCTTAGCAGCTGAAACAATAACTGGTAAATATGGGTGGAATTCAACATCATTAATTGGCATGATGTGATCATAAAAAGTTCTAATGACAGGTCGAGCATTTGAATAATCTTCAACTTCTGCCTTTGTTTGATGGTGATAGTTCATTTTAGAAACATCCAATAACTTGAGTGAACAGTCAGAAGATCCTGTGACAACATATCTTCCATCATTTGAAAACTTGGCACATCTAGCAGCTCCTTTGTGAGTTGTAATAAACTTGGTTGTAAAATTACAATGCTTGAGAGCCAAACCATCAGCAGATAATCCTTCCTTTTGTGCTTGTGAAGATGATGATGATGTTGTTGTTGGAACACTCTTGTGAATGTTTTCTCCGAGTGTAATGACATGATTTTGTTGTGAAGCAAAATCAGACTTTCTCTTCTTAGTATTCTTTTTGGATGATGGTTCTACAAAGATATCGTATTTCAATTCCTTTTCCTTTTCCATACCAAGAAGAAGTAATTCACTCAATCGTTGTGGTTCCTTTTCAAAGAGTTGATTGTCCTGTTCCAAGAAAAGAGCTTCAGAGACAGCATTTGCTGCTCCTTGGAATCCATCATGTTTTAATTGGCTAATTCCATCAATAATTAATATTAATCACACAAATACTATGAATACATACTTTACGACCATTTGATATAAAAACCTCTTGAACATTTTGGAACTAGGATTTTGGAAATCATCAACATCTTCCTGAAGTAATTGTTGAATATATTGTTGTTGTTGCTTCATAGAAGCTGAGGAAGATCCAGACTTGACATTTTGTTGATGATGTGGTTGATTAAAGAATGCATAGAACAAATCTCCACAAGCAATTGTATTTCCAGAATTATTCACGATCATTGTTGGATTCAAACCACCAGAAGCAGCAGAACCACCCGACTGTCCTCCTCCACTATTAGCAGTACCTGCCGATGACGAAGCACTCGTCGAAGATGTTTGTTGGTTGGATGAAGAGGTGGCAGAATTATTCATCATCAAATTTTTTTTAAAATTAAAAAATATTTAAAAAAAAGTCTTGTTTTTTTACAGAGTGTTTTATTGTACCTCACCATCATTGTAGCAACAGCATCAGACTGATTATTGAACACGAAGTCTTGTTTTTGTTGTGGATTTATTATTGAAGGCGGAAAATTGATCATCTAGTAAATAGAAGAGTGGAAAATGAGTGATTTCTTATGGATGACAAAGAGTAAGCAAAACAAGTATACATTTCCGTTGGATGTATTTCTTGTGAGTGGTGATCATCATAGATTGTCATCGGCAACAACTCCTATCAAGGAGTTTGATTCTGTTGATTTTTCATTGACAACACCAACTAGTGCTCTAAAACAACAATCATTTTCTGCTGTTGATTTTGTTAATGAGTATAGATCGAGAGTTGATTCATTGGATACACTACTGGAAGAGTTGCAGGAATTTAAAGATTATTTAAAGGAAGAAACAATATCTATTATTCACAAGGAATATTCTTCCTTTATTGAATTTTCTAGCAAGTTGAATACTATTACTGTGGATCAAGTGACTACATCAATGCCATCACTCATTCAACAAATGAAGGAGTTTGAAAGTTTTATTCATAATTTAATGAGTAAATGTGAAAAGGAATTACTTGTAAAGAGAAGAGCAACACAAAAGGAATATATTTCAAAGAAATTATTAGAAATTTATCAATTGGTGAAGTTTAATATATTTCTAAAGTTGAACAGCGAGAAGGAAAAAGTTGATTCCAACAGCACAGATTTCGGCTCCGAGGATTGCATATTCAGCAGTATTGCTGATCATCTTAAATTTTGTACAAACACTCTCAAGCAAATAGAAGGAACTCTTTTAGAATTATCGGAGGAGAATATTTCTACTCATACCAATATGGAAAAGCAACATATGGTTGTTTTATTCGAATTTTACGAAAAGGTAGATGCATTATTGAAAGATGCTGAGAATTTATATTTGGGTCAACTCTCTTCATCTTTCCTGTATTTCCTTAAATTAAATGGACAAACAGGAAAACAAGAAGAATTATATCATGTAGGATTGTTAAAGATATTGGACTGTATGGAATCTCTGTACTTGTTCGGAAATGTTGGTTTGATCGAGGACCGACTTGCTATTTCCATTGTAAATCCACTGTTGGACTCTATATTCACAAAAGAGTGCATTACCCAATGTAAAAACAATCCAGAAATCAATGTAAAAACATTACTATACGATACCATTAATACCAAGTTGGCACTAGTGATGGATCCTATTCTTGAAATTAATAATATTGGAGAGGGATCAAGCCCATTTACTACAACCATTATGGCTGATTACATGATATCACAGGATGACAATCATCTCCATACCTTTATTAAGCGTTACAACTTTATCAATAACAGTGTACTTCAGCCAGTAATTTCCAAGTTACATTCTGATCAATGCAAATTCCTATTCGAATACAGAAATACCAAAACATTTCACACCATGTTTTTAACACAGAAACAATTTACCGACGACTTTTGTAAACGATTTGTTTCAAGACATGAGATGGATCTTTTCACTTACACACTACATACTGTAATCAAAACCAAGTGGCAAACAAAGATTTACTTTGCACTTGTTAAACAGCAGGCGGTTAAGGAATTTGAGGCAGCCCTCTCTCAACAAGTTCAATCCAATCAACAAGAAGTCTCTCTGGAGAATGCATGTGATCTTAGGTTGAAGGGTGTTATGGACAAGATGATAGACTTGGTGAAGAATAGTCTTTTCAACCCTTCATCAACCTTTCTTCCTGAACTCACCCAAGATTTCTTAACTCTTTACATCCAGACAACTTCAAGATTCCAAAAATGGTTATTGGAGCAATATATCCCTCAACTTTTGACAGTCTGTAAAAATTTATCACAGGATGGAAGCGCCACACCAGGTTACTTATGTTCACTCATCTCAAAGCTAGTTGATTTGGAAACAACAATTACAAACATTGATGGATCCATTTTCCTTACAAAACAGGAGGAAGTTTTGAGACTTGTGAAACATTCATATCAAAGCAGAATTACATTACTCGACCATAAGAAGGAAGCTTCACCAGTTTTCTTAATTCTCATAGATAAGATCAAATCATTGTTGAGAGACAAGTGCATTGGTAGTCTTTCTAAGGCTAGCTATAATTGGACAAGTGCTAGTGCCAAAACAACAGTTTCATCATTTATTACTGAAGTATTCAAGCCTTTGGCTCAATTCAAAACAAATGAAGGAAAATCTATGAGAGAAGATCTTGTGAATGAAATATTGGAACAGGTTCTTTTTGATACATGTAGTAAATTCAAACAGGATTGTATTAAAATTGTTGAAGATTACAAAAAGACCCAACAATCTCTGGATAGACTTAGAAAGAATAAGGGTAGTACAAACAAGACCTCTTCTATTCAAGATCAAATTCTTCGTGATTGCATTAAATTAGAAGAAGTGGTGAAAGAACAAGTTACTGACATTCCTAATATGAGGTATTCAAAAGCACTGGAAGAGTTGAGATTATCACTTAGTGCTGATCAATAAATTATTCCAAACCAGTTTCTTTTGCTTCTTCATTTTCTTCAGTATCTTTAGATTTCTTCTTTTTGCTTGTATCCTTCTTTTTTGAAGAAGACTTGGTCTTTTTTTCAGATTCTTTCTTTTTTGACTTTTTCTTTTTAGTCTTTTGGTCAGATTCGTCTTCACTTTCTGCTTTCTTTTTTGATTTCTTTTTCTTTGGTTCCTCTTCATTATCCCTCTTCTTTGATTTCTTTTTCTTGGGTTCTCCAGCTTCTTCCTCGACAATTTGATCATCTTTCTTCTTTGATTTCTTCTTGGTCTTTTTTTCAGATGATTCGGTAGATTCCTTCTTTTTTGATTTCTTCTTCTTTGGTTCCTCATTTTCTTCATCTTGATCCTTTTTTCTTTTTGGGGCAGCCTTCTTTTTCTTTTTAGTAGGTTCCTCTTCTCCAGGTTGGAATGATGTAGCAATATAATCATTGACAGCCTTACTGACCTCGATGGAAACTTTTGATGGAGGTTTTTTGGTTGTTTGGTTGACCACCTTTGGAGTATCATCATCTTTTTTCTTAACTCTCTTTTTCCTTCTCTTCTTTTTAATAAGTGAACTTCCTGAAGGGTCATTCTCCCACTTATCCAAAAATTGAGTGATCTTTAGTTCATCTGTTACTACCAAGCTATTACTTTGACTTTTTAATTCGTCCACAAATTCAGATTTACATAACCCTAAACTTTTAGCAACAGATATTTGTCCTATAACTGTATGTTGATGAGTAATATTATCACTTGATCGTTCAATTCCTTTTACAATATCTTCTTTAACTGTTTGATAGTCAACAGCAACTTGTTTCAATTCTTCCATAGCCAATTTAGGTATGTGACTTGTGGTGGCAATTTTGGCAACTTCATCAGATACCAACTCTTCTTCCAAATTATCATTAGGATCTTTGAGAGAGCTCATTACTGGATCAACATAGGTCATTGCACAATATTCGAAAGCAGAAAGACTTCTCAGTCTGCTCAACACAATATAAGGCTCTGTCAAATCCTTCTCGATAAATTGTTCCATCATATTTACAAGTTCTTTAAAAGCATCAATTGATATTTTGATTTGTACTGGTTTTTGTTTGTGAGATGCTGATTGAATAGTTTTTGGTTGTGTACAATACAGGAAATATAATAAATAAATAACTCCAACTCTAATTCTAAAATTTAAAGGATAATAATCTGCATCTTGATCCGAAAGGTTGAGATCTTCAATTTCCTTCTGTGATAATTTTGTCTCTTGATTAAATATTAAATATCCTATACATGTTGTAAAAACTTCCTGTATATAAGTTTCATAATTTACTTCATCGGGTCTACCTTCATGAATGTAGGAAAACTTGAGAGACTTCCATAAAATTTTAAAATCCCTCAGTGATACTGTATTCAAATCAATGTATTTGTTCAATATAAGTCTGATGTCTCTCGAAAATGGTGGGACATTGTGTAAAACAACTTGTTTGTCCTGTTGTTGCGTTTGTTGTTCCACCACTATCGGATCAGCCATTTTTTATTTAATTTTTAAAAAATTCACTTGAGGATAGGAACAATTTTATTGAATTATACCTGGTTGTCTGTTTCCAAGTTATCTTCTTCACCTCCACTACCAGGATTTGAAAAGATTTGACCAAGAATTGTGGTTAAATGAGGTGTTTGTGGAACTTCATCATCCTCAATGGTAATTCTAGTTTTTGGTGCTGATTGAGAAGAAGCTGTTTCTTTTGCTCTGAATGATTTGGTTTTCACAAGAACAGTTTCTCTCTTTCGTGGCGAATCAGTACTGATGGAAAGTTTTGGTTTGGATGCAGCTTCCTTTGCAGAAGATGTAGAAGTCACGTTTGAAGTATTAATCGTGTCAGTAGTGGATGGAGAAGCTAATTGAGGTATGCGAGTTACTGGTGAGGTGATATTGATAGGATTACCACTTATTAGGATGGAATTCTTTCTTCTTGCTAAATCTATTTGATCGGATGAATTCTCTTCCTCAATATCAATAACAAAGGTTGAGGCAGGTTTTGGATTTTTGTAAAACTCGCTATTGGACTTTCTTATTTCATCTCCTTCAGAGTGAATACTATCGACAGAATAGGTACTTTTCAAGGTTGGTTGTTTTTGTTGAGATGGTGTTTGGATTGGTTGCTGTGATGGAATAGTTATAGGGGTCTTGATCGGTTGCAGTTCTATTGAAGTGTCATGGTTGTCTTTTGAAAGTGCTGCAAAGCCACCTCCCAACATGGAAGAAACATGTGAAAGACTGGTCTTGAGTAAATTTCTTGGATTTAATCTCTTTAGTTTCTTAATATCCTTATCGATAGTGTCTTCGTCAGATCTAGGGTTACAGAAGAAGAAAATATAGTGCAACAATTCTATTAGAGTTAGAAAAAGAATGTTCAAAAAATTGTACATACTGTCTACATTAGTTATTTCCTTTTCCTTTGCCTTGATCATTCTGGAAATTTCGAATGGTAAAGGAATTTCCTATTAAAATATTAAATATTTCAAAACTATTAAAAAAACATACATTAGTAGCACGAAATTCTCCAACATTGTTCAAATGTTCATTCTCCAATCTGATACAATTCCACTGGAATCTTCTCAAAATTTCTACTAGACCAAAACAAAAACCTATCCACTGATCTCCAAGATATTTGCTATAGAATTGTTTCAATAAAAGAACAACAATCCAAAAGAATCTGGCTAAAATATTTGTAACAATTGAAAAATAGTAGAAATATGGGCTGAAGAAAAGCTCCTTTCTCAAAAGCTTATGTTCAGAGTCCTTTTCGAATTGTAGTAAGGACCAATCCATTTTCAAATCCCAAATCAATTTGAAGAATGAGCTAATAAGATTAGCAACAATCCATGTAGTTCTCATATAATTCCAATCACTTCCAGGTAGTGTTGCTATTGTTCAATTAAAATGAATAAAAATGTTGAAAATTAAAAACGTACGTGCAACAATATTCTTATCTAAAAAGGCAATAATGGTAGCAATAATACTCGATAAATATTTGAATGCATTGGTAATGTGTGGGTGAGGTTTTTTGCTGTCTCTGTAACGTCTCAAACATTGCATTAAACGAATATAGTTTGGTAAAATGTTCAAAATTGGAATACCTAAAGATCTAGTATCTGAACAAAAACTATCAATCTTGTCAACAAAAAGTGATGGATAAACGCAATAAACGAATTGAATTTCAAAAAGAAAATCTGAAAGGGAAGTCAATTGATCCGCAAACCAAAAGTCTGCAAATTCTACTTTTCTGAATGGAGCCATTAACAACCTCAGTATAATTCTGAAAAGCCACAATCTACTATGGCCATAAAACCATTTGTATGGGAAGCAAATATAAATAAACAGGAAAATAAATAAAAATATTGGGTGAAGATAGGCATACTCATAAAAGGTGTTTGTAATAATGGAGTACATGTAAATTAGTAAGCTTCCCATGGTAATATTATACATAAACATAGTCATCTTTTAAAGTGGTGAGAATCAACGAAAGTAAAAACTTACTTCAATATATTGAGAAACACTCAAGTGATCTCTTGGGTCGAATCTAAAAATGAAAACATAATTAATACGGGCTTTTTGCCAAATTTGAAGGTTCACACCAACCAATACTGCTAAAATGATAGGCACTAGAGTTAATCTATACACATACATGGTGGCATCAGAAAAAGAGGGAGGATCATTTCTAGGATATAAAAACACATAGGTCAAAACAAATGCTATTGATAAAACAATACCAGCTCCAACAGAAATACCTGAACGAAATGGTGATGTTTGCTTTTCTAAAGTTTGAGGAAGTCTTAAAAAGTCTTTAGCTTTCTTTCTATCTCCTTTAAACATATATACAGAACACTTATACTCGATTTGTGACATCATATAATCCAAAACTTTGGATGAGTAGAAATATGAATCTCTAACTCTCTTCATCAATTTAGTCTTAGTCTTACTTTTAGTGTACTTGTCCAACTAGTTTTATGTCAAGAATTGAAACAATTGAAACAAAGCTTACCTTTTTCAAAATGTTGGAAAAGCCTTGAAAATTAAGAGTTCTAAAATTCATTAATAAAAGAAGGGCTCTATAATGCTCTTGGAATGCACTTCTTACTTTTTGTTTGTCATTTTTGGATAATGGTTCTGTTAAACCCACACTCAATTGCATCATTAATTCGGCATGTCTAACACAAAATTTTCTTTCAGTTTGAAGATAAAATTTGTTTACCTTATCTAATTCCTTTTCAAGTTTGTTGAAAAATTGGCAAGTTTCTTTTGGCACAATTTGTAAATACATTCCTCCCAATCCGTGCTCCTCCAAATAATTAATAAAATTATTTTCTGACTTTTCCTCTACATTGGAACCAGTAGCAGCATAAAACATTTCATCGGCAAATGATGTTAATTCCTTGTCCAAGTAATCGGTGGGTACACCAATTTCACTCGGAGGTACTTCGTTTAAAATCATTTGCAAGTCAATATGATATCTCTCCTCCAATTTAGTTTGAATTCTTTTAATTAATTTTTTAGATCCCTTGTAGTCCATATAGGACAATCTCCACTCGGGACATTGTTCATCACGTAACCTTTTGCCAAACTTCATTGCTAATAAAATTCTGCAATTAATTTACTTGATGATGACGAAGTTTTGGTGATGAGGTATTTTTAATAGATTTTTTTGAATTTTTTAAAATAGAGGCGGTGCGTCGTTGGTTTGTTATTAATTTGGTGGTGGAAAACGCCAGTTCGCTTAAGTTTTTATTTAACAAGTTACAAGGTAACATTTTCAATACAAGTTTGATCGAGAATGGCTTTAGCAACATTGGCTCTTTCAGATTCTGGGATTGGATTAAATTTCAATACTAGAGTTTTAAGTGTAGAATTCTTGTTGGAGAAGTTATTGAGGAAATCCAATGCTCCATCTTTGGTAATTTCATTCTCAGAGACATCCAAAGTTTCTAAACAGGAATTACCCTGAAGTGCAAGTCCAATCTTGTTGAAAACATTATCATTCATTTTGACTTTTCTCAAATCGAGAAGTTTGACTTGTGATTTAGCCAAGAAGGCTTCCACACCTTTTAGACCTTCCCTAGGCTCATTTTCAGATAAAATCAACTCTTGAACACCTTGATTATAAGAAGCTGATGAAAGAATATCCAAATATGCTGCAGATTTGAGGGAGCATCTTGAAAAATTGAGGTGCTTAATTTGACACTTTCTAATAGACTCTCCCCAGTTTTCATGAATGGATCCATTCTTAGTAATGTTATTTCCTGAAATATTGAGATATTCAAGCGTCTTGTTGTTTATCAAACACTCTGAAATCATCTCACCAAATCCATAGTCTAATTGATTGTCATCAAGAATTAATTTCTTAATACCAGTATTTGGTTGAGTTAAGAATAAACAAGCTTCCTTAGCAGTTGGTTTGTCTGCCCCTTTACCAATTTGATTGTTTCCTAGATCGAGGCTTTCAATTATAAAATTTGTTCTACAGGCTCTTCCAATTTTCAAGAAGGCATCTGTTCCAATCTTAGTATCTCTTAGCGTGAGAGATTTAATATTATGATTAACCTCTAAAAGTCCTGCTACTTTGACTCCTCCCTTTGGTCCAATATTGATACCACTCAAATCCAAAATTTGCAATCTCTTGTTATTTTCCAAAGACTTTAATAAGGTTTCGAGACCTTTTTGATCAATACTGGCATTGTTGGAAAGATTCAATTCAACAATAGATAAATTGCCTTCCAAAAACTTTCCAAAATCTAACATGTGTTGCCCATTGAAATCATTTCTTCCAATATCTAGGACAGTAAGATTCTTTTTCCACTTGAGGGTTTCAAATAATGATTGTAAACCCTTATTTCCAATACGGCAATCATTTAAACTAAGAGATCTAATATCGGAAGCAACTGTTAAAGATTGTGAGAGATCAACAGTTCCATCATCCCCAATTGGGGATCCAGAAAGGTTAAAACTCTTGAGTTTCTTTAATTGTCTCAACAAGTCTAAAACACATGAAAGACCATTCTTAATATTGTTTCCTTCCATATTGATTGTTTCAATATCAACATTCTCTTTCCATGGGAAACTCTTTTCTGGCTTGTATTCTAAAGCCTTTAGGAATGACTTTGTAAAAATGGTGACATTACTATCAGTAATACTTGACTTGGAGAGATCAACATCTTTGTAAACCTGTTCTTGATCTATTATTTTGTCAATGGCATGGCAGAATTTTCTGACAGGAACTTCCTTTCCCAAAGCACAACATTCCATATAATATCCCTTGAGATACTCTAATCTACTTCCAAATCTACCTAGGAAAACCCTTTGTACAGGATCTAAATACATCTTAGAATCATTCAACAAGAATGGCTTAGAATTGTTTGGCTTCTTTTGATCGCTCTTATAACTCTCTGGCAAGAGTGCATAATATTCATCAATCAATGAAAGAATCATTTGTTGTTTGAGTGGTGTTGTTACAATTGAAATAGTGTGGCTTTCTTCTTTTTCTTCAAAAGATACATCAACTCCATCATCAGTTATTTGCCAGGAAGAGATAATTTCGAATGGGACTGAGTGTACAAGCTTTAAATTTTGTGAATTGAAGAAAAAGACTCCATCCTCAGACACTCCAAGAAGTAATTCTGTACTTCCATCATCCTTAACTTCAAAGAAGGACATTCCGAAATAAGGTATTGTTGAGGCTGTGTCAATATATTTTCTCATGGCTTCTCTCTTTGTGAGACCGTCATGTAATGTGTGCAAGTTGAATAAACGTTCTTGCCAGTAAGCATAATCATGCCTTGAGACTGTTCTAGGGAGAAAAACGTTCAATCCCACCTTACTATACTAAAATTAGAAGATCCAATTAAATAAAAAGGTACTTACTTCAAGTAACCAACTCGGTGCTTACTAGCATTATGATTACCGAATAGTATTTGTACAGTGAGTGATGCAAGAAGTACTGCAAGTTTTTCAGGGCATGGATATACTTCATTTACAATATTAGATTGAATTTGCTTGAAGAATAACTCCTCAGCAATAGGATCTGAGAATGCTTTAGGTCTTTTGATATGTTTAACCTGAAATTTAAGCTCTGATAATTCAGTTACTCCTTCAGCCTCCACAGTCTTTTCAAAGTCCAAGAAACGATCTAATGTTGTGTTAGTACAGTCTTTAGATCCATCAAATCAAACACTTACCAAGAGGTGCGTTAAGATCATCAAAGATTTGTTCGCAAATTCCAAAATACTTCGTTTCAGTAATATTTAACTTTTCGCAAAGTTTGTCAAATAATTGTTGTACAGTTTCATCAGGGTTGATGGCAATCTTTTTTACAGACTCTCCTCCAAGAACCTTGATGGTGAGTAATATAGGTTTTGAGGACATTTTTTCTTGTATTATTTATATAATTAATAACAACTGTAATCGGGATTATTACAGCTTCGCCTTAATAAATTTAAATACACCCTATGCTTCTCCCTTGTGAAAATTTTCTGCAGAATCCATAAAAGCAAGCAATTCTTCGGCTTCTGGATCATCTTGCATCTTCTTTAAAACTAACTTTTGAATGGTTTGATCGGTCTCAATCTTTTTACTCTTCATTTCTTTGAAAAGTTGCAAGCACAAATGATACTCATTTTCATGTAGCAGTAGTTTTATCATGCAACCATAATGTCTAATGTCGGGTATAATATGGTATTCTCTTTCCATAGATCTAAACATTTGGAAACCTTCAACTAAAAGTCCTCCAACACTACATGCATCCAAGAGACAAACAAATGTTTGATTGTCTGGTGCAACTTTGAGCTCTTGCATTTCTTGGAAGAGCTCAAGGGATCTCTGAGGTTGATTATTTGTTCCATAGCCATGAATAATGGCATTCCAAGCTGCAAGATCCTTCTTCTCCAGATTGTAAAATATTTCAGAAGCTTCATCAAGCATACCAAATCCACAATACATGTGTATGAGTGAGGTGTTGATGTAAATATTAGACAATCCCTTCTCCTTTACAGTTTTGTGAAGTTGCTTTCCGATATCTATTTGTTTCATCTCTCCACACATTGATATGAGAGTAGAGTAAATAAAACCATCTGGTTTGAGGTTTAGAGATTCCATCTTTTTAACAGTATCCAAGGCAAGGCTTACATATTTCATCTTGGCCAATGCTTTGATATAATAATGGTAATGAATAATATCTGGCTTAATGTGATACTTTTCCAATTTGGAAAATATATCAATAACTGACTTGTACATTTCACTATTGGTACAAGCAAGAAGTAAGCGTCCAATAACATATTTTGATGGAGTAGCTCCAAATTCATCCGATCTATTCAATAAATTCAAAGCTCTCTGAGTATTGAAGATTGAAGATTCATCACTAAATTGAAAAAGAATAGTATTCCATTTGAATGCATTCATACTATTCTTCTCTCCTAATGGGAGAGACATGATATAATCATATATATCATCGAGAATTTTGTCCCTCTCAGGATACTTTCTGTCTTTACCGACACTTAACATGGCAGCAATAATCTTCTCATCAATTCCACATTTCTGTTTAATATGATAATAGACAGCCAAGATCTCTTCAAAGGATAAACTTTCGGAAAGTATCAAACGCTCTGCATCTCTACGTTTTGGTGATGATGATTCATAGAATAATTTCAGAGCGTCTGTTATTTTGCTAGATGCGATCAAGGCCTCCACACTTGTCTTCTTCTTTGCCAAATATCGTTTCATACTATTGGCATCATTGGTCAAATTATGAATTACAGAGGTATGATAATTATATTGTTGTTGTTGGCCATAGGTCGTATTTAATTTAAATTCAAATGTATGATAATTTTGATTTATTCCTATTATTGTTTTGGAGGATGATAATGGTGTTGATGATGATCGGAAAAACCTTGTTGTCTTGAGGATTGAAATTAATCCAACTAATCGTCTTCCCGAATAGGTTGATGATGATGTGATATTGTTCATTTTTCTTTAAATAATTTTAATAATAATATTGTCTTAAATCTTCATTGTAATTGTAATTAATCATCTACAGTTTTATTCTATGTATTCTACTTTCGTATTGCGAAATTGGATTCTCTGATTTTCTCATTTCTCAAATGAACAATTTTTCACTCTTGTTCAAAATTCTATTTTCTTCTCATTCTCTCTGGGAATGTGAAGAATAATTCAATTCTGAACTGAGTCTTTAGGTGTTGCCATCTATTATTATTCTAGAAGCAATAAGATCAAAAAAATGATTGCAAACAATAACCCTACCACTGCTTCCCACAGTGAAATTAACAATAGCACCTCTATTACAATAGCAACAACATGTGGTGAAGGTGATAATAGACCTAAATTTTCCTTCCGAATTGAAACTGTCAAAATTAAAGAAGAAAACAATGAACAATCTCTAGAAATAGTGAATGGTAATTGGGATAGATATTCAGGAGTGAATGTTACACTTGATGCGGTAATTGATAATTTTGAAGAGTTGATGAAAAATTCAATTCAATATTGGATTCATAAGAAGAGAAGAGGTGTTTGGGTTTATGTTCATACAGATTATTCCGAATATATTCCAATATTATTGAAAAAATTCGAATTTAAACTTCATCACACTGATGGAGACTTGCTCATGTTGACAAGATGGTTGCCTGATGTATACAACCCAGTTGACACAAACAAAATTCCAAGATATTGTCAACACTATGTTGGTGCAGGTATGTTTTCATTTCTTCATATATTCATTATTTAAATCATTTATTATTGAAATTTTAATGTTGAAAATAATCTCAGGAGGTATTGTTATTGACTTTGCCAAAAATCAAATTTTGCTCTGTTGTGAAAGACACCAAATGAGAAAGCCAAAAGGAGCTACAGATGATTATCATTGGAAAGTACCAGGTGGAAGTGTTGATAATCCAGATGAACATATCGGAGATGGTGCTATCAGAGAAGTTTTTGAAGAAACTGGAGTAAAGGCTGAGTTTGTTGGCATATTTGGTTTCCGTCACATGTTTGGCTTTAGATTTGGAAAATCTGATTTTTACTTTTTGTGTTTATTGAAAGCCAAGAGTAGAAAGATTACAATGGATGAGAGAGAGCTCAGTAGGTGCAAATGGGTTAACTTGGAGGACTATTACAAGTTGGCTCCACTCAACTATGTACAATCAGTAATCAGAGATTCTGTGAGAGAATACTTTAGAAGAAGTGAAGAAGAACGAAAGGCCTTATTGTGGAGTAATTTTGATGTTGGATATAACACTAAAAATTCTGCAGTCCTCTACCATAGTGTTGATCTACCTTTGATTTCTAAGGAAAATCAATATGCCTCCTACACTGAAGATAAGAATTACAAATACATGTACTCATACTTGGCAGAACAACAAGATGAATAATTTATTTTCCTAGGAAACTTGATGTTTTTCTTCTAGAGCACTGTTAATTATTTACAGATCTATTTGTTGTCTACATGTTATCGAATAATACAGTATTTCCACAAATATAATTTACTTGTTATTATTGACTTTTCCATTATCCACAATATCACTAAAAACTGCAATCGGATTCGAATGAATATGTACATCAAGAATTTTAATTTCCTGAACAGGTTTATATTTACCATCCACAGGAATAGCTTCCATCTTATCCAAAACTTTTAGTCCATCAATAATCTTCCCAAAAACTGTACACTGATTGTTGAGTTGTGGTTGTGGTTCGTATGTAAAATAAAATTGACTAGAATTTGTATTAGGCTTTGATCGGTTGGCCATTCCTACAAATCCTCTATCTCCATGTATTAATTCTTCACTAAATTCATCTTCAAAGAATTTGCCATAAATTGATTTTCCTCCCTTTCCTGTTCCTTCTGGATCACCTCCTTGAATAATAAATTTCGGAACATTACGATGAAAAATTGAATTATTATAATATCCAGAAGCACACAATGCTAAAAAGTTTTTACAAGTTTTTGGGCACTGCTCACAGAATAATTCAATTTTAATATTTCCGAGATTGGTTTGCAGTGTAACAGACATTTTTTTTAAGTTTGATTGTTTTCTTGTAACAACTTCAATTATTATTACTAAAACGAACATTCAAAATTGAATTGAAAAAAAATGGCTAACAACAAGAAAGGTGGACTATTGGATAAAATTAAAAAGGTGGAAAAACAAAAGAAGATGCAAACTAATCCGATTGCAGCAAATGCAACCGATAAAAAGAAGAAGGAAAAATTGAAGGAGACTATAAATACTCAAAAAACAAATAATAACAATTCAAAGAAAGTATCGGAAAAACAAGAAAAGAAAGTAGAAAAGAAATCGGAAAATGTAGAAAAGAAAAAGGTGGAGAAAATTGATGATATTTTTGAAAATGTAAAGACTGAAATTAAGGAGAATAGAAAAATTGAAAAATTGAAAAAGAAAGAAGAGGCCAAACAAGCTGCTGCTTCATCTAGTACTTCAGCAGATGACCTTTTCGAAAGTAATGAAGATTTTGCAAGTCAAAATAAGAGACAAGGAAAAAAGACAATTGATGGTTTGATTGTTTATCAAGCTGATGAGCTTAAAATTGGAAGAGGAGGAAATACTGACCTGTGTCCATTCGAGTAAGTGTTTTTTTTCAATTATATTTTTATTCAAAATTTTGAATTAGTTGTGACTGTTGTTTCTAAACTCTGTGTATATTACAAATAAATTATTGTTGCATTGAAAGATAATTTTCACTCTCTGATTGTTTGTATTCTTCAATTAGACTTGAAACAACTTCTTTAGAATCCTCAAACTCATCATTACTATCAAATGCTTCCATATATTTTTGTGTGAAAGCCTTACTCTTATATTGTACCAAAAAGTTTTTGAGAATTGTTTGACATAAGCTGCCCAATGATGTGTGATTTGCCATCATCAAACCACTGACACGATTTTGTGTTTGTACATATGGAGATCTCTTACTGAGTACAACTTGTATCGAAGAAGGACCCCATGGAATAAAGTTTGCCAAATTTTTCTTACGAATTAAACTAAGTGATTTGTGTACTTGAGTTGGGTCAACTTCACCCTGTATAATATTGAGTATGGAGACATAACATCCTTTCTTAATATTCGAGCTCACCATAATATTTTTTGGATTCAATAATCTTCTCATCACATCCAAAACACTGGTTTTTTGAATTTTAGCTTGATTATCTACAACACTGAGTGGAGTGTAACTTGTCATTAAAAAGTGGCATCTTGGTGTTGGCACAAGAGAAGCAATCAGACCCACTAAATCATTATTCATATATCCAGGATACCTCAAAGTTGTAGTTGTAGCAGCCATAATTGTGGAAACCAAACTATTGATATTATCAACACTAGGATTTGGAATTTTAAGTCTTTCGGTAGCAATTTGGTTGAGGGCAGTATTGTCCAGCACAACAACAGAGTCTGCATTGAGAATTAATCTTTTAAGGGCCAACATTGAATTGTAAGATTGAACAACAACGTCACTCGCAGCCTCATATGATGGAAATACGGAATAGGTTTGAATTAATTTCTTTGGATATCTATCGTTCAGTTTCTCCAACAAGTAAGATCCTAAACCACTACCTGTACCACCAGCAATACTGTGAAGAAGAACAAAACCTTCCATAGAATCACTATTATCTGCTTCTCTATCTATTATATCCATTAATTCTTCATGATATTTTTCAGCTGATTGAAATCCATTAGCCCAATTGTTTCCAGCACCTGAACCATCACCTGGCATGTAAATATTTTCTGGATTGAATAAATTTCTATGACTCTTTTTAATACCCTCAATAACACGAGGTTCCAAATCAACAATAACTGAACGTGGAATATAATGTTCATCATCAGCCTGATAGAAAAAAACATCCTTTCGATCTCCAGCTCCTTGTACTGCAAAATCTTCCAAAACACCTTCACTTCCGATACCATGTTCCAAACACAATCGCTTCCTACAAAATTATGTTACTTTATTTTTTGTTATCACATTTTCACTTACCAAAATTCTGTTCCAATCTGATTGCCGCATTGGCCAGCTTGAAGTGTTATTATTTCTCTTGGCATTTTTTTGTGTAGTGTATTATTTTTAAATCTAATTGGGCGGGAAAGTGCATTGTTTTGTATTGCAAACTGATTCAATATTAAATTTAAAATATTATATTCTTTTAATTAAACATGTAGGACATCCTCTTCAAATATATTTGAAGTACTTCATTATATTCATCATCTTGATGGGTGATAGTATCAAACAACAAAAAATGAGTCAACCATCTCCTTCACCTATTGTGACAGAGCAGCAACAAAACATCATCATCTCCGAGACACAATCAATACCCCTCCAATCCTCTTCTGATAATAGTAGTAGTGGTCTTAATACAACTCTATCAGTCAATACCTCTAATCAAAAACAAGAAGCTGAACAAGGAGTAAAACCACGAAGAAACTCATCGAGATTAATTCCTCTTCCTACCCCTCCAAAACCTTCTCATCACCATTCTGAATCAAGTAATATTGATGTAACCCAACTACTCAACCCAAAAAACCAATCAGCAACAATACATTCGAAACCGACAAACTTGTCCTCCAAAGAATTGGAAGGTTTGAATGGCGAACAAACAACTGTTCGCAATGCGAAACCCTCAACAACAGAATTACACAATCCAAGTACAAAGAAAAAGGATCATTCACCCCTACTCCACTCTTCTGCTAGTGTTGGGTGTTTGAATCTTGATCATCAACACTCTCATCCGACATTACTCATCGAACCAATAACAAACATTGTTATTGATAGTAATAATAGTGATAGTACTACTAGTATTGGTAACAGTCCAACACGAGTACGTGCACTCTCTTGCAATAATTCTGAAACAACCCCCTCAATAGAGGTCATTGAACAACAGGCAAAGCCTAGAACTATGAGTATCAATTCCATATCTTCTCTCCTCAGTAACAACAATCAACAACAGCAACAATCATTATTATCAGCATCAACAGAACAAATGCCACAACAGCAACCACACACAAGATCTAAAAGTAATTGTTCTCAGGATCTCTCCTCATATTCTTCCTCCCTTAGTCATCATTCCTGCCCTCTCCCAAATAGTAATCTTTCTCATGATCACCATGTAGTATTTTCACAATCTTTTTCTCCACCCAAATCATCAAAAGTTGGAGTGCCAATAATGAAAAAGTATCCATCAATGAAGGATGATCTTCTAGCAAAAAGCGAGCACAATTATAATAATAACAATGTTAATTCCGTAATGGATGAGAGTGATTATGTTTCAATAATGAAATCTAATGAGACTCTCTGCATGGATTGTAGAAATATTGGTTGTAAATGTATTGTTGTAACAATTTCAAATGACAGTAATAGGGAAGAAAGAGATGTCGCATTGGATCTGATTGGAACAGTTCTACTTACTTCCAATAGAATTGTCTTTCTCATTGATGTTGATATGAGCTTGAATCAGTACCCAACTAATGGACAGGCATTACCAAAAATGATTGAGGTTCAACTGGCAAACATTGAGATTATCGAAAAGAACCCAGAGAAAAACATGTGCATGACAGTTACAGAGAAGAGTGATACTGGAAATGGAGAGTACTCTCCTCCTCCAATACGACTCATTAAGAAGTATGAATTCTTTGCATTTGATAGTACCTATACATTCCAGAGAGCTTTCAAAACATTTAATGATATGCTCAATGTTGTAAGATTGGAAACTGCCAATGGCAAGGTTACAAATCATTTGCAACATGTCAAATCCAAAGATGCCCTTTCAACCCTTAAAAAGAGTTACCTTTCAAAGAAGAGAGTTTCTGTGGATCAGCAGTCAAACTCTGATTCTTCTACAAGCACTTCTAAAAAATTCCTCTCTCCTTTAGAAGAGGCCCTAGCTAATAATTTGATTGAGAGAAAAATCTTCACTCCACCATCAAGCAAATCCAATGCTGCTGATTCAAAACACAGACGTTCAATTTCCCTCAGCTCTCCTGTAAACCATGATAATTCCAAACATTTCTCTAATGGACATAGTGACCTGTCAGATTATGAAGAAAGACGTACATTCATTTCTGACCATGGTGGACATGGTTCAACATCACTCTCAGAACATTCAGCCGATGAGACTGAACCAAAAAAGAGAAGATCCAAAAAGAAGGACAAGTCAGCCATTCCAACTCTTTCTATTGAACCTCCATCCCAAGCGTTTGATGAGCAATTCGATTGTATGGTTGATGAGATTGTACACAATTTCACAAACCATACCCAAGTTGAGGTGAATGATATTTTCAAACCAACTGACAAGAAGAATCCTAAAATGAAGACCCTTGTTACTAAACCTCTTGTAGGCATTTCTGCTGCAGAGGTATTCCAATTATTCTTTGCTAGCAACTCAAACTTTTTGAGACAAGCACATGAAAAGGTTGGAGATCAAGAAATTGAAATATATGACTGGGTTGATTTCCAAATAGGAACTCCATCCGTGAGAGGTATAACTTACAAGGTTGGAGGCTCATATCCTAACTATTTCAGTGCCTTTACCCAGAATGCTTCAAGAATTTTAGAAACTCAAAGGATAGTAGTGATGGAAAATCCTCCAAAATTACAACAATCCAAAACGATGAAAGCCGATGAAATACCAATGTCATATTTCATTTTATTCACGTCTGGTGCTACCCAAGATTTACCTAATAACCAAATGTTCCAATTCGATGTCAAGTATGTTGTCAAGGATGTAAAACCTTCCAATCTTCTCCTCAGAAAAGAATGTGAAATTCAAATCAGTGGAACTGCACAATGCAAGGGAGGAACTTTTTTCTGGAGAAGTAAATCTACTGAATCGAGCGTGCTCAAGGCTGTGAAAAACAGACTTTTGCTCATTCTTAATCTTATGGAAGAGCAAATTCGTGCAATAGTTGAAGAAAAGAGAAATACTCGGGTTGACCAACAGTCAAAAGCATGGGAAGCAACTGTAATGTCAACAATGGTGTCATTGGATGGAGGTTTTCCAAAGGATATGCCTCCTCTTGACAGTTTACTACCTCCACCTCAGTGTTTAGATTCATCTCCTCCTCCAACACCTAGAAAACTTTCTGATGAATTCTCTGACAGCTCTGATGATGACTTAACTTATGGATCTACAATTTCAATGGTTGGAAGTGATGAACCTGTGAGCAAGAGAGTTAAGACTGTTGGACAATCATCTACTTCTCATTTAACTATCACTCCTCCAGTTCATTCATTGAGTAGTAATAGTCTCGATATGTCTCCTACCTTTGATCCAAAAACCAAATCCAGTAAGAAGACAGTAACACCTTCTCCTCTCACAACCAATATTGAGACAGTAACCACGGAAGAGGTTATTGGGGCCTCTCATTCATCGCTCACTATTACTGATGAACGTCCAAGACAATTAACAAGTCCAGGACCTCTATTATCAGCATTATGGGGCTTCCTAATGATGGTTATGGAACAAGCCATGGGTTATATCTCCACTATTTTATCGTATCTTGTTAAGGAAGTTGTTGAACCAGGTATCAAACTTTCGTGGGATATGAGAGACGTTGTCTTTACCATTATTATACTCGTTATCGTTTTCTCACTACTTTTTACAAATAATTCTGCCATTAATAGGCTTGATGGCATAACAAAAGAGGCACATTTGATGCAACGAGAAGTATCGCTAAAGTATTCACTCTCAAAATCAATCATTCACAAGATAATGGACCCAGACAGTACCCAGAAAACACCCAAAGAAATGGAACAATCAATTAGAGAACTTGTTAAAGATTATCTGTTTGAGAACCGTAAACTACATACAGCTGTTGTTCAAAAGAAGGATCTCATCTCTCAAATGATTAATTTCAAACAATCACTCAATGAAAGACGAAACAAGATCAAACCAACAACCAAACTAATAGCCAATAATAATTCCACATATAATACCATAACAGGTTGAACAAATTCTCCTAAACTTTGAATGCCACTTATTAAGCTGTATATCAGCTAAACAGTAATGTTGAACAATTGAATAGAGCTAGCACTACCTGCGCGGAGGTGGTACGTTCGGATGGAGATTTTAATAAAAAAACCAAAAAAAATTGAATTAAAATACTTGTACATTAATATGATAGGAATGTCATCATCATCTTCGGAAGGAGAAAAACCAAAGATTTGGTTTGAAAGAGAAGATCCTATTACCTATTACACAACAACACTTTCAGAGAAACATCCAGAATTGTTGGAAAAAGTTAAACTATCTGTAGAAGTCATTTTGAAAACTTTGGATGAATATACAACACCAATTGCTTTAGGATTTAATGGAGGAAAGGATTCTATTGTTATTGTAAATTTAGTATTGATTGCATTAATTTCGAGACAATCAACAGCTGCCAATAGCACACATTTAATTCAGACTCTAAACAAACATTGTCTCTTCTTCCACTTTACAATACCACACCAATTTCCCGAGATGGACACATTCTTGGAAGAATCAAGCAAACAGTACGAAGTGGACTTGAAGTTAATAGATGCCACTCTGGGATTCAAGAGAGGATTAGAAGTTTTAATCGAAACATCACCCACTAAACTTGATGCTGTTTTTATGGGTACAAGAAAAATAGATCCCGATGGACAATTTATTGGTGTTTTTGAAAAGACATCTGCTGGTTGGCCTGAGATGATGAGAGTATCACCAATATTGGACTGGGATTATCAGGATGTGTGGAATTTTATTCTTGACCTATCGATACCATATTGTTCATTGTACGATTTGGGTTACACTTCACTTGGTAGTGTTAATGATACTCTGAGAAATGAAGCTTTGAGACAACCAGATGATGCATTTCTTCCAGCTTTCTATTTAATGGATGGTTCTTTGGAAAGGGCTGGCAGAATCAAGAAACCAAAAAAAGAAAATTAATAAAGATTTACTCATCGAATGCAAATTCTTCTTCACCTTCATCAGTGGCACGAGATGGGCCTTCCTCATTGTATTCATCTTCTTCATTATCATTTTCATTTTCGTCATTGATAACTCTGGCAGATGATGATTGTGGAACGTCATCAACATCGAATTCATCTCTTTCCTCTTCTTCAGTTGCCTTTGCATTCTTTTTGAGACGTGAATTTTTCTTGGTTTCCTTCTTGTCTTTCTTTTCCTTATTCTTCTTAGGTTCTTTTGGTTTTCTCTTCTTCTTGGCTGGAGCTTCTTGTTGCTCTGTATTTTCATTGTTTTCTGCTTGTAAATCGTCATCGTAGTCTTGAGTCTTCTTTCTCTTCTTAGTTTTCTTTTCTTCATCTTCATCCTCTTCGAAAGCAGTTGTTTTCAGATTGGCCTTGATAGATTCGAGTCTACCGAATGTTTCTCTGAGTTTTTCTTCCTTAACTCTTCTCAATTCTTCTTGATCTTCCAGTTGTTTCTTGGTTTGTTCTTCAATAATCTTGAAGGCATCTTCTTGTTTCTTCTTGAGTTCATGTCTGGCCAATTCTTCCTTTTCTGCCTTTTCTCTATATTTCTCAATCTTTTCTTTAATCTTTGTTTCGAGCACAGTTATAAAGTCCTTAGCCTTGTGAACAACAATTTTTTCATCGAGAGAGAATTCACAACTATTCTTCTTTGAGTTGGTATTTTCTGCAATTTCAGAGAATAAATTAATTATAGTTTGGTTTTGATCTTCTAAAATTTGTACCTTTGTCAAATCCTTGTTGGAATCATTCAAGGTTGCAACTAGTTTTTCATAGAAGGCCAAGGCAATGTTATACTTGATTGTAAGATTGGTAGCATCTTGTTCTTGAATTTTCTTGAGGATATTGAGTGACTCTTCGTGTTTGTTGTTATCAAACAAGGATTTGGCCAAATAGGCCAACACCATAGGATTTTCATCATTGAAGAAACGTTTAGAACAAGTAGAATAGAGCTTTTCAGCCTGAGAAAATTGTTTTTGAATCATGGCCAAATGTCCCAAGTTGATGTATGTCTCAGGAGTATCCTTCATGTCATCTCCAACGCAAATTTCTCTTACTCTCGAGATTAAAGCTTTACCTTCTTCTGTGTAACCATTTTCACACAAAACACAACCACTGTTGAGTGCTGCATACATGTTACTATTGTCAAGTTTAAGAGTCTTTTCAAAGAATAAAAGAGCATAATCCAAATGCTTTTCAATTCTTTCTTGTTCCTTTTCGTCTGGATTCGGCTTTGCAGTTCTGAGAGATTTGAAATAGACATTACCCATTCCCAATAATGCGTAAATGTCATTCTTGTCAATATTTTGAGTGATATATTCAAATGCCTTTTGAGCTTCTGTATAGTTATTTTGCTCAAGATAAGTTTGACCTAGGAATGCCCAAGTAGCAGCATTATTTGGTTCCAGAGAGGTTGCCAACTTGCAGAAATGAATAGCCTTTTCATGATTACCATTCTTTTGTTGAATCTTTCCCAGTCTGAGATATGCATTGATATAACTTGGATGTTGAGCTACAATCTTCAAGTATAACTTTTGGGCATCGTCCAATGATTTGGATACTTCTTTGAAACGAGCAAAGTTATAGACCAATGATAAATGTTTAACTTCAATGGCTTGATGCAAGTCGTCAAGATTGTCCATAACATTACATTCAGCTAACGAGAGAGCTTTCTTAAAATACTCCTCAGATTCAGTGTTCTTTCCCAATTTGTAATAATGTACAGCAATATTATTGTATAATTCATGTGTTACTACAAGCTCTGTTTCTCCCTCTTCAATGATGGTAAGAGCTTCTTTCAAACTATCCAAAGCAAGTTGAATTTGATGTCTTTCATGTTCTCCAATTCGGAGCAATGCATTAATATTTTCTGGATCCTTCTTCAAGACCTTCTTCAAGTATGCAAGACTCTTCTTGGAATCTCTCTTTCTAGCATATAAATTTCCTAATGCTAAATTTGTTTCCAAATTTTCAGGATCAACCTTTAAAATTTGCTCGAATTCTTCGACAGCCTTATCGATTTCGTTTCTTTGAATGTACAATTGACCCAAACCATATCTTGCCAAAGTATATTCTGGCCATAACCTTGAGACAATACGATAATAATACTTGAATGCAGAGTCATAATCCTTCTTATGATGATATGCTCTAGCCATATTATAACAACTTTCGGCTTTGATTTTAGGAGATTTAGTATTATGGAAAGCTGCAAATACAAGCTCTTCTGTCTTGTCAACTTCTCTTCTAAAGAAAAAGTGATTACCTAACAGATTCAAAACTTGAGAATTACCAGGATCTAATGAGTAGGCTCTCTTCAAATAATTTTTGACAGCATTTTGTAAGAGTTCCTCATCCCTAGAATTCAAGTCAATAATTGCCAAGTAAATGAGTGCTGACACATTGTTAGGATCTAGCTGCAAAACACGTTCAAAACATTGTTTTGCTCTTTCAAAATTATCCAATTGATAGTGACAAAGACCCATACCAAGTCTAATATCTGCAGGTCCTTGAGGGTTCATCAATAAACACTGTTCAAATTCACTCAAAGCCTCCTTATATTGTTTTTTGTGATATTTGATGCAAGCCATTCCTAGTTTTGATAATATGTTATCCTTATCTACAGTGATAATATAGTCAAATGAACTTTCTGCCTTGTCCAAAGCTCCTAGATTAAGGTGAAGGACACCACGAGAATAGAAATTTGACAATTTGGAAGGATTAAATTGTTCGGCTTTACCTAACAATTTGTTAATGTCATTCAAGAGTTCTTCCCTTTTGTTATCACAAATATCCTCCATAGCTTGTCTTTCATTATCAAATTGATGAATTCTAACCTTGTTGTATTGTTCGATCAGATGACCAACAAGAATATTTAGGGCATCTGTTCTAGCATCAAGCAAAGGCTTTGGATTATCCTGATAATATTTATCTTCTACTTCAGAATCTTCAATAACAAGATTTAAAAGCTTGTTAAAATGATCCGTCTTGTCAATGTTGTGATACAATATAGCTGTTTTTAAATAATATTCCAAAGGCACCTTTTCATCAACAAGTAAATTTTTAATATCATCGTACTCATCATTCATCAAATCGACAGCAACATCATAGCCGTCCGCAGTGGGAATATCAATGACGGCTGTGCTTGTGTTATCACTCATTTTTGATGGAGAGAATTTTTTTGATTGTTTTTTTTAAAATTTATTTTTATTGTTCAACCTAGTTGGTAAATTGTGCCTAGATGATCATCGGATTGAGAATACAAACATCTTTGTGTTCAGGTTTTAATGAAGAGAAACATTATATTAATACTATTTACTCAAGATAGCACACTATTTATGATTGTAAAATATTATATTTAAAAAAAAATGAGTTATGGATTGGAAAGATTGCATCTAACACATATTTGCCCACTTTGTCGATTGTGTCGTGGACGGGTATGTTTGATAGTCAAATGTGGGATTGGAGAACAATTTGCCATTGATTTATGTATTCAAAAACCTTGGCTTTCAAAGAGAAATAAGGAAATTTACAAAATATTTATGGCTCATCGAAATAATTCGATTGAAACGAGACATTTTATAATTGTCATTAAAGAAAGAATGAAGGAAATATTTCAGTATTTTAGATTATTGAAAAAACAATCACACGATGAGTATAAATTTCTGTTACAATATTATTCGGTATTGGATGAATTTTATAGTGATTTATTGGATGAATTGAATTTGATTTCATCACAATATTTAAAACCTCAAATGAGAAATATTTCTAGGATTGACATTCCCAAACAACCAAAATTAGTTGATCCCTATCTACTTCCTATAAGACCAACAGATTGGAATGTTAATAATATTGAAAACAAATTAAAGTGGGATTTTACTCTTTTGCGAGATGACAATACTATTCATGAGCATGATGCTTTATTGGAGGAAGGAGAGGATGATGAATATCATGTTAAATATCAATCATTGATATTGTCAAATAGAAAGGCTATTATTGAACCATTGAAGGATTGTGATATCTTTTCATTTAATCCAAAGAAGAGGAAATTATCAGTTTCAACATCAATAGATTCTTCATCTGAATCTGATGAAGATGACTTAAATGAGTCACTTTCAAAAGAATCAAAAATTACAGATATTGGCAACGAGTTTGAAATGGATTTATATCATAATGATGGATAAATAGTATGGAGTGGTAAATAATAATGAGAATATTTACCAGCCTATTTTAATGATGATAAATTCATTGTAGATGGAATAGTTTGAAATATTGATAATTCAGAGAAGATTGTTCAACATGACAACCAGAAGAAGAAACTACAAGCAACAGTTTAGAATAAACTCAAACAAAATTTAATTACTGAAAATAACCCATTAATAAGTGTAGAAACCTCTACCAGTCTTCTTACCTAACCAACCAGCTTCAACCATCTTGACCAACAATGGAGAAGGTCTGTATTTAGAATCAGCAAATTCAGTGTACAAAACTCTCATGATAGCCAAACAAGTATCCAATCCAATAAAATCAGCCAAAGTCAATGGACCCATTGGAACATTAGTACCCAATTTCATAGTCTTATCAATATCTTCCTTAGTGGCAATTCCTTCATGCAAAACATTGACAGCTTCATTAATATAAGGCATCAAAATACGATTAGCAATAAAGCCAGGAGAATCCTTGATAGAAAGAGTGCAAGTCTTTTGCATTGCTTCTGCCAATTGAACAGTACGTTCATAGGTAGCATCTGATGTTTGCAAACCTCTAATCAATTCAACAAGTTTCATAACTGGAACAGGATTCATAAAGTGCATACCAATAATAGTTGTTGGATCCTTAGCAACAGCAGCAATCTTTGTGATAGAAATAGATGAAGTATTAGTAGCAAGAATTGTTGGAGATGATGATGGCTTGGAGTGAACAAGTTCGGAAAGATCCTTGAACAAACCCAATTTCAAGTCAGTATTTTCAGTGGCAGCTTCAACAACAAATTGACTATCAGCCATAGGAGAAAGATCAGTTCCTGATGAGAATGACAAACGTTCTCCAAGAATAATTTCCTTTTCTTGTTGAGTCAATGTTCCCTTTTGAACATATTTATCCAAGAGTGATTCAATAAATTTCTTTGATTTTTCAATACTTGATGGAAAGACATCGTGAATATTTACAGATGGAACCTTGGCATTCATGGCTGCAACAACAGCAATACCAGTACCCATTTGACCAGCACCAATCACGGAAAATTTGGTTGGGAGTGTATGAGTAGTGGTACTACTGGACATGTTTCTGACGACATGTTGAGAGACGGAGATGAGAGTTTTCTTATTGGTGTGTGAGAGCATTTTTTTCTATTTTATTAATCTGCATCAAGCCCGAATAAAGCTTTGAAATAGCATCAAGTTTACAATAAATTTATTATTGTTGAAGGTTTCACATATGCGTATTTAACCTTGCTGATTGGCAATGTAGGGTACTGATGTGGTGGTGATGAGGAGGAATTGGTGTTTGAATTTAAAATCTCAGATTGGATTGTTGTTGTATTGTAGCTTCATCTTGTTGCTGTCTCAAATAAAGTTCCAAAACATCAAATCCATCTTGGTGAACCATGAGTGGGTCAAAGTATTGTAATTGAGGTTGATGATGGGAAGGATTCATTTGGAAATGTTGTTGTTGCTGATGAGGAATGGTGGAATGGTTTGAAAGAGAATTGTTTGGCATGTTGTGATGATAATTATTTGGTTGATGCACCATTTGATTATTGGCAAAAATCATATTATTTGGGTATTGCATAGAATTGAGAACAGGATTATGAGGTGTGGTTTGGATTGGAAGGGTATTGGAATTATTGGTCATGGATGGAATATTTTGAGGTTGAATATTGGTATGGAGGTTATTTGTCATAGTATTGTTGCTATTGATGTTACTATTAATGTTGTTGTTTGAAGAGGTTGGTGGTGCCATGTTTGGTGTGTTATTGGAGAGAATTGGCTGTTGATGTTGGGCTGATATGTGAGAGAGTAATAGCTCCAAGTCTGAAAGAGATTGCACATTAATTTCGTTAAGTTTAGTCTCCAGATAGTGCTTAAAATTGCCTTGTGATGACCCAGATGAGGAGGAGTTTGAGCTGGTCATTGAAAGAGTTGGTGATTGACTACTCTTATTTTCAAAAGCATCTTCTATTCTATTATTGAATTTCAGCAAAAAGTCTTTCATTGCATTGTAAAATGAGCCCACCCGATTCATTTTGTTTGTTTCAGTACCTTGCCTCTGAAGCTGTTGATTTGGAATATAAATAATTTCACCATTTCCATTAATCATGTAGGATGGTTCTTCAATAAATGGTTGTTGTCCCATAATTGACCAAAATTGTTGCTGTTGATTGATTTTGTTTTGTCTTTCAGATAGACTTCCCAAAAATTCCTCAAGTTCCTTTGTGTATGGAGCAATGTATCTATATCTCTTACTCATTACTTGTAGAGCTCTCAGATCCTTTTCCACAACAGAGTAGTAATCAACGAGCTCATTTTCTTCGTAGTGTTTTATCACATTTGGTAGACTGATTCTCTCCTTTTTAGGTGGTATAGGTTTTAAATTTTCTCTTTCACCTCTCTCAATCATTTTACCTATTTTAAATGAATATTATAAACTATTAATTCATAACTTACATATTTCCAAGTTTGTTCTCACAGCAACCAATAAGAATGAAATAAGATATGGACAAATGAATACAAATAATTCATCCTCTGTCAGTTTGCTAATAGTGAGAGCAGCATATTCCAATAATTGTACTTGTTCAATATTTTCCGCATTCATTGTATTATATGCTGTGGAAATATCACAACCAGAAATTAAAAGATATAAAATTCGTAACCCATTCACCAAAACCAGAAAATTCATGTGGTGGATCTTGACTGAAAACTCTGATCTAAATGTTGGTCTAACTGAGTAATGGAGCAACCCTACAAATACTTCAAATGCTCGTAAAGTTTCGTCAATATTAGATGGGTTTAGGTTACTGGTTGTAAATTGGTGAGTTTTGAAAAAATCTTTCAACTGATCGGGCAGACTACAGCCAAGGATATCCATAGATATTCTCTCCAAAGTTTTAATGTCTGGAACGGGATGAGTTTCACAAGAAATTAATTCAACAACCATGTTCTGAACTCTCAGATTTGGAATATTCATTGTAATCCCATATCCTCCTGCATTTTCAACAAATGGTTGATCAGTTGTCATGACAGCATTTGGATTTCTTTGTTTCCAGTTCACTAAATATTGTTCACATAAATGAAGATATCCTCTTGCTTTGCATGTTTTACCAATAGTTGCATTAAAAAGAGCAATATGTGTATATGTACAGGCAGCAAGTGGATTTTCAAAATCATCAAAATAATGCATGATTAAATTTCTTGCCTTGTTGAAAGATTCTTCTGCCAAATCCGAAAATCCTTTAATATTGATTTTTGTAAATTACAAAACTATTTTCAAGGATTTGTACATACCAAAAATCAATTCCACACAACCTTGAATTGAAATCATTAGTGCCAGAATATCCTTTCTTTTTAAAATTTCCTGTCCATTAGTTAAGAGTTTCGACAAATCCTCCGGTCTGAAAGGTGGAGAGCCATTGCAAACAATTAAACAGTATGCTTCTATTGTATTGTGTTTGATTGAATGAATGATTTGTGTAGCACTCTCGTCCAATTCTTGTTGAGAGTTGAATATTGAAATGATAGGTCTATTAGTTTGTTGTTGTTGTTGATAATTTAAACTTAGGAAGGGATCGGCAGATGATGAAACTATTTGTGTCTTTCTCTTAAAGACTGGCTCCTTGTATTCACAAACTATCCCTTTTTGTGCACATCGGGAACAACTTGGGAGCTTTTTATCTAAATTTTAATTAATTAATTACTTGTTGTGTTGACTACATACCACACTTTTATGACTGTTGTTAAAAATCATATAATCAAATAACTAACCTTTTTGTGGATACGATTACAAGAGACACAGGCTATGGGCCAAACGTTAGGATCATCGGTTGTTGTTGCATCTCCATGTGAAGAGGTTTGTTGAGAGGACATGAAGCGATTTTTTTGTTGATGTCGTAGTTCCAAACATGGAAGGCATTCACAAAATTTGATTTTATTACATTTTATTACAAGAAACAAACTATCAAATGCCATTGATTACAACAGAAAATTTCAGAAGAGAATTTGGTTTTTATTTTCACTATTTATAAAGCGAATATTTACACTCTAGATTTTTCTTAGGTTTGTTGTTGTTGAGCAAATTTTCAGTTTGAATATTGTCTCAAGTTGCATTTTAACTTCCTCCTTGCTCTTCTCTCTGCTCATATTTCCAAAATTCATGAACATCTATAAGAACACCAATTACTGTGGAGCCAACTTCCAAGCTCTTAATGAGATCATCAAGGAATATGTCTTTCTTGTTACTTGGTTTCACCATTGAATATATTTCAAAAACAATATCTGCTGTCTTGACTGGATCTTCAAACTCATCCCCTCCAAGAGAGTTTTGAGGAGTTGATGATTTTGCATTTTGACGAATTTTCTTTAACATATCTCTAAAATAATAATTAATTACGAATGGTGTAATCATTCCAGTCTTGGAATTATCTAAAATCTTGAAAAAGTACTTGATTGACGGAATCGTCTTCTTATTTTCAAACGCTAAAAGGAAGTCTACAAAAGATTTGTAATCAAGTTTTCCATTCTTGAGACCATACTCTTGGAACATTCTATTAATGAAAGTAGAAGTTAAGGAGTTTGCGTTAAACTTGGAAAACTCATTCTTACTCAATAGTCCACTTCTTGTAAAATCTAATTGTACAAAAGCATCATTGACACTCTTAACAGAGGGTATAGAAAACCAATTGTTCATTTCTTCTTCTTGGGAGAGATCATCATTTTGTAGCTCATTAAACTCAACCATTTCTTTACTTCCAACAAAGTCTTCAATGCAAATCTTTCCATTATTGTTTGCATGGAAAAATAAAAACTTTCTCACACTTGTTTCTATATAGACCTTTCTGAAATTCTTATCTGTTTTTAAAATTGGGTTTGTATGCAAACCAGTGAGATAATCTATTGAATTATCTACATATCGTTCCAAATCTTTTTCAGTTAAAAATCCATCATTGTCTGAGTCGTGTTTCATCAATGCAATCCTATTTTGAACTAGTGCTGCTTTTCTCAATATATGATTAAATAACACTGGTATACTAATTCTTCCAAAATCATCTTTTGGTAATCTTAAGAATAATGACTGATTAAAATATTCTTTTGCTTTGAATTCAGGAAATTGATTTCTCACTTCCTTAAATCCTGTATAGTTAATTTTTTCATTTCCTTCCTCTTGAGTTTTATCTTTTTCCAATAGAAACTCCCACACCTTATCCAATTCTTCAGAGGTGAAAAGTTTTGATTGACAAAAGGTGAGGTATTGACTCTTAACGGCCTCAGAGAAGGCTTGTTGGACCTTGTCACTTGGACCTCCCTTCGGAAAGAAGAACCTTGGAATTATTTTGTATGATTTATCTTGTTGTACAACTTGCTCATTAATTTCATGTTCAATATTAATCATTGATTCATATTCTACTTCGGTTGGATCTGTTCAAATACTCAATAAGAGCTAACAGTTGTTTTACTTACCAGGAAGAACCTCTGTTGATTTTCTCTCCTTGATGAAACCTCTCAGGTCTGTTATGAGTGATTGCATTTTTTATTAATTTGCTTTTTTGTAGATGAAAAATGGCGCCAAAATATTGTAAATGGACGTTACTTATCAACCTAATTATCAGATGGTATATCTCAAGATTTTGGATATATGAATTAGCTTGTTGATAATTTAAAATGGTTTAGGGAATTGTACAAAGAAGTGAATAACTAAAAAATCACATCATTGTTTTATTGTAAACTTACAATCAAAAACAAGAATAAAATGAACAAACAATCTGGCCTTCTTTCTCTCATTAGAGAAAATTGGATTCCACTCACAAAAGATCTTTCCAAATCTGAATCTTCTTTGACTTGCTACGATTCACTCTTGAAAGCCATTGGTGATTCGAAATTAGTACTCATTGGGGAGGCATCTCATGGCACACATGAATTCTACGAACACAGAGCAGCCATTACAAAGCGTCTAATATCAGAGAAGGGTTTCAATTGTATTTGCCTTGAGGCTGACTTTCCCGATACTTCTAGGGTGAATGAATTTATCAAGCACCAAATTGATTGCACTGGTGTTGATTCACTGAGTGGATTTAAACGATTCCCAACTTGGATGTGGAGAAATGTTCCCACTCTCAATCTTGTGGAGTGGCTGAGGGAGTATAATACACAATTCAATAAGGAGAAGGATATGGTTGGATTGTACGGTCTTGATTTGTATAGTAGTGACAGAAGTATGAGGGTCGTTCTCGAATATTTCGAATCAATTGGTGATCATGAAGGTGCTAAACATGTGAGGGAGCAATATGAGTGCATGAAAAATTACAAAAAGAAGGAGCCAATAAGAAAAGTAATTGGTGGATCATGTCAAGAAAAGGTAATGCAGGTATTATTGGATTTGCAGAATAGAGAAACAAAGGAATTACAAGAAAAGGACCATCTCTTCAATGCCATTCAAAATGCAATGGTTGTAAAGAATGCAGAGCATTATTATAGAGTTATGTTTGTGGATGGAAGTTGGAATATTCGGGATGAGCACTTCTTTGAGACACTGGTTGAGATTATGAAATATTACTCCAATAGCTATGGAAAAGAGGCCAAAGTTATTGTGTTTGCTCACAATTCTCATGTTGGAGATGCCTCACAAACAGATAGTATCTATGATAAGGGCCATGAAATTAACATTGGAAGAAAGTGCAGAGAAAACTTTCCAGATGATGTCTACATTGTTGGGTTTTCCACATTTAATGGAAGTGTAACAGCTGCTGATAAATGGAATCAAGATCCTGAATATAAACGTGTCAACCCTGGTATGAAGGATTCAATTGAAGAATTGCTTCATGATGCAACAATCGGTCAAAAGACCAAAGACTACATGCTATTATTTAAAAGCAAGGATCCAAGTGTTGAAACTAATGCAACTTTGAGAAGGGAATTAGAAAAGGAGAGACTAGAAAGAGCTATTGGTGTTATTTACAGACCGAAAACTGAGAGACAATCTCATTACTTTGAAGCAAAGGTCGCAAAGCAATTTGATGCCCTTATTCATTTCAACACCACCACTGCAGTCCATCCAATAGATATGCAACATCAATGGGCTAAAAAGCGACTTGAAGAAACCTATCCGACTGGTCTTTAAAATCCAACCTAATAGGACTTTCACTATGTTAATAGGAAAATAAACGAATTGCACTTAGCTTACTGTTGACCTTAATCAGTCATATTAGAGATGATTATGATAAAAGACTACAGCACCACAGGTTCCCAAGTTGTCTCAAATCGGGATGAGGTGCATTCATCGTGATATGGCCGTAGCCATTCTTTAACTTAAATTGAAATTTACAAATCAACTGAGATGCAATTCTTATTGATTTAACTGTTGACATTAACAGAGTTAATGTTGTAGTGAACACTCGTTTCTATTATTCAAATAAGATGTAAATTTGGCGCCAAATTATACATAATTATTGGCGCCAACAGTGTTACATTTTTTAAAAAAAAAGAACCAACTCCCTTATTATTATTTATTGTACATAAAATGTTAGGAACAACAACACCAAAAACACCAATATCTCCTCTTAGTGGAATGCCAACACAAGGATCTTCTGATGATTCTCTAAAACAACTTCAACAATCGTTAGGAACATCACTTAATCCCAACTCTTCCGATTCAATGCTCTTTTACGCCTCACAGTCTCTGGAGAGAGGAACGAAGGTGCTAGACTTTGCTGACTTTTTTAAATTTCAGTTGAGAGAATATGAGAAGAGCTTACAAACTGTCAACAAGTCTCTTCTCCCACTCGATGAAAAAATATCAACTCTTGACGTTAAGGATCATAAGGATTTACAAACATTTCTTGCTATTCTTCACCAAGGATTCATTTATACAAATAATCAAAATGTTATTCTTCAAGAACGAATTGACAGATTACAATCGAATGATATAGAGAGTTTCTCAAAAACATGGAAGCTCATAAGAGATTTCAATACAGAATATGTGAAAACTCAAAAAAAGAATATTAAAAAGAGAAGAAAGGTGCCAACATCTGTAGATGATCAAATTAGAGAACTTAGAGAAAATAGAGGATTGAAAAAAAAGCTCTACGAAGGACTTGGAGATTTGAGGACAGTATTTGAAGAGTTTGTTCATTCTCAACTATTTTATCACAGTAAGTGTATGGAAATGTGGGCAGCTGTTTGGGAAGAAACTCAAAAGAATAAGAAGGAAGAACAAGCTCGAAGAAGACAAGAAGAGGAGGACGATGAAGAAAAGTTGAATGAATTGCTCAAAGCCTCAAGTGTTTTGCACCAAAATTAAAAATAACATTCAAAAAAAATTAACTAATTTAAATTATTACATCCTTGTTGTTGGATATTTTTTTTAATCACGAATCGGAGCAGAAAGAAGAATAATTTTTTCTTCTCATCATAACAACACAATAACATGCTAAGTAATAGATCGGGTTCAATTCCCAAATCATCTTCTGCACATGGCCCATCTGATAATCAACCTAAACAAATATGTATTTTAATCGACACAACAACAGGAATGAAGACATATTTTGCCTACTTTTTAAACAGAGTCATTGTGCCCTACATGTTGTATTTGAGAAATAAGAATACGGAATTTTCTGCTGTTTTATTTCAAAATTATCCACCAAATGGTGATTTTTTGGTAAAGGTAATTCCTTTCATTAAAGATTATTCCACATTTTACCAAATTTTGGAAGGATTGAAGGAAAAATTCTATGCTGGTGGTATTGCCCATAGTTGTGTCAGTGAAGCTCTTGCAACTTCAATCACTGATTTGGAATGGGACAAGGATGCTTTAAAGTATGTGATGATTTGTTCATCCACTCCATCAGAGCACCCTTGCATTTTGAATGGAATGTATGTTGGAAAGAATGCAATGGAAATTGTAAAAGATATGGTCAAGAAGGGTCTTATTATCTCAATACTCTCCCCTAGCATTTCAAGAAAATGGAAAAAAATAACAGAGGCTTGCAAGCTAGATCCACAATCAATGGTTACCTCTAACACAAGTAATTCTACAGATCCTTTCAGTATTAGTGAAGGATTATCGAGACTCATTCTAGATGCTATGAATTTACATTATCCCAATACAGAATATGGTCTTTTGATAGATTTGAGAGGAGTTGAAAAAGACAAACTCAAACTGCAACCTTTGGAGAAGAATGACAAGAATGAAAAGAATGATGATTCAAACAGTAATGCCAGCGCTAATACCAACAATAGTAGCATCAACACAAATGCCTCCAACACAACCCATATCAAAACAGAAAAGGATGTTACTCCAAAGTTGCCACCAAAAGCCAGTGTTGCTAAAGGTGTTGTAATTCCTCCTGTCATTACAACTGTCACAACTCCACCACCAAGCTTTCTGGCTCCAAGTACTGCACCAACTACAGTTAGCTCAGCAACCAATAATACCTCAACCACACCTCCAACCACTGTAACCACTCCCAACAATCAATCAACTACCACAACTCCAACAAATGGAAGTACTCCTACCAATTCAACCACATCTGGAACTACTTCAACTCCAAATTCTACAGGAAGCACACCTAGTGGAAATTCTACATCTAGTACTGCTGCCAAAACTATTAATGACTACACAATTGGTCCTAACCATGTACAAATTCACAAATTAACATTCAGTATTGATTCTCCTAACTCTATTATTGGACATTTGGAAGGTTATGCTAAAAGTGAAATTGTTGTTGATTCCAGTAAATGGCCAAAAGATATCAAGATTACCAAGAATCTCATGTCCCTTAAAACTAGTATAATTGCAAATCTTGTAAAGAAGGATATGAAAGTTCATTTATGGAAATTAACACCGTCAACCCAGGCAACTAAAATTCCAACTCTATTGAACAATATGGCCAAGAAGAAATATTTCATTACTGCTCCAATTGATGACAAGTCATCCCTATTACTATTCCCTTATCAATACTTGAAGATATACTTTGATAAAACAAAGGAACAGGAAACCATCACCGCCAACACCATTGCCTCTGAACCTGTTTTTGTATCATTCCCAATAGGTACTGAACTGATTGAAAAATGTTCAGAAAAGCCACCACCAACACAACCACAACCATCTCAAGCATTACCACCAAACTTGAACCCTCCCACAGCACCAACAGTGCCAACTACAATACCTGGTTATCAAAATACACAAGGATTAATCTTGTCCAATCCAATGCCATTTCCATATAATTTTGTTATGCCATTCAACATGGCAAACATGCCAAATATGCCAAACATGCCAAATCTTCCTTTCAATCAACCAATGTATATGGTAAATGGTGGTATGAACCTTATGAATAATCCAAACAATAGGAATAATGCCAATAATAATAACAATAACAATAATAATAATAATAAATAGTTAACTTATTACAATAGTACATTGGAAAGATTTTTTGGATTAATTTTAAAGTTTACAACAGAAATGAGTACTCACATATTTTACCGCCAAAATAACTGTAAAAATGTTATTAATAAGGAATTGTACTGAACCCGCCAAATTTTTGTATTTTATTTTGGCGCCACAATATTACAAAAGGTTGTAGTTTTGTTTAAATAACGTAACAGGGTTGCTTGTTCTTAGAAACAAAATTAAAAAAAATCGCTCGTCCTCCATTATAGAGAAACTTGCAAAATACAATCCTTAATAATACAAAATGAGAGAAGTTATTTCAATTCACATTGGTCAAGCTGGTGTTCAAGTCGGTAACGCCTGTTGGGAACTCTACTGTTTGGAACATGGTATTCAACCTGATGGTTTGATGCCATCCGATAAGACTATTGGTGTTGAAGATGATGCTTTCAATACCTTCTTCTCTGAAACTGGTGCTGGTAAGCACGTTCCAAGAGCTGTCTTCCTCGATTTGGAACCAACTGTTGTTGATGAAGTTCGTACCGGTACTTATAGACAACTCTTCCACCCTGAACAATTGATCACTGGTAAGGAAGATGCTGCTAACAACTATGCTAGAGGTCACTACACTATTGGTAAGGAAATTGTCGATTTGTGTTTGGACAGAATTAGAAAGTTGGCTGACAATTGTACTGGTTTGCAAGGTTTCCTTGTCTTCTCATCTGTTGGTGGTGGTACTGGTTCTGGTTTGGGTGCCTTGTTGTTGGAAAGATTGTCTGTTGACTATGGTAAGAAGTCCAAGTTGGGTTTCACTGTCTATCCATCTCCTCAAGTTGCTACTGCTGTCGTCGAACCATACAACTCTGTCTTGTCCACTCACGCCTTGTTGGAACACACTGATGTTGCTGTCATGTTGGACAATGAAGCTATCTATGATATCTGTAGAAGATCATTGGATATCCAAAGACCAACCTACACTAATTTGAACAGATTGATTGCTCAAGTCATCTCCTCATTGACTGCTTCTTTGAGATTCGATGGTGCTTTGAACGTCGACGTTACTGAATTCCAAACTAACTTGGTCCCATATCCAAGAATTCACTTTATGTTGTGTTCTTATGCTCCAGTTATTTCTGCTGAAAAGGCTTATCACGAACAATTGTCTGTTGCTGAAATTACCAACTCTGCTTTCGAACCAGCCTCAATGATGGCTAAGTGTGATCCAAGACACGGTAAATACATGGCTTGTTGTTTGATGTACAGAGGTGATGTCGTTCCAAAGGACGTCAATGCTGCTGTTGCCACTATTAAGACTAAGAGAACTATCCAATTCGTTGACTGGTCTCCAACTGGTTTCAAGTGTGGTATCAATTACCAACCACCAACTGTCGTTCCAGGTGGTGATTTGGCTAAGGTTCAAAGAGCTGTCTGTATGATTTCCAACTCTACTGCCATTGCTGAAGTCTTCTCCAGAATTGATCACAAGTTCGACTTGATGTATGCCAAGAGAGCTTTCGTCCATTGGTATGTCGGTGAAGGTATGGAAGAAGGTGAATTCTCTGAAGCCAGAGAAGATTTGGCTGCCCTTGAAAAGGACTATGAAGAAGTTGGTACTGAATCCCAAGAAGGTGATGGTGAAGAAGGTGAAGATGGTGGTGACCAATAAATTAATTACTCCATTGAGACTTTTTCAAAAAATTATTAAGATTATTCTCAAATCTGAAAAAATTTATATCAGCTCACAAGTAGCTTGATATTGACTCAATTCAAAAGCAGGATGCAAAGTTGATTTCAGCAATTCATCTTTGAATAATGTATTTGGTTGACCATTAATAATTAACGAAATTTTACCCTCTACCTTGTTATGAATCATTTCTAGTGTTTGAATGTTAGTTCCAAAATAGTAATTTTCAATTTCAGAACCCGACTCATTTTCTGGCCAATATTTGTAAATCTTGATTTCGTTGTCCAATTTATGCAAACAGATCATATAGGAGCAGACAGAATAGTTTTTTCCTGACAAGTAAAAATCATCCTTAAATGCATATCCAACAAATAAATTATTCCAACAATTATTGGTGAATTTTGTTTGAAATCTAACAATGTCAAAATTATTAGAATCAATTATGTGATCTGGAATCAGCCCCATACAAGCACATGGCCAATCATCATTATAAATTTTCTGAACTGTTCTATTGTCATTTAGTACTTTCAATTTGTTACTAGTATATTCCGTATCAAATTCAGTGACATTAAAAACCCTTGTTGTGATAGTTGCATCCAATGATGATAAATTATTTAAAATATTATTTTCGCTTATTATTGGAGAAGATTGTGAATTGTTTGATAATATTAACTTTTCCAAATCCCTTTCTCTCCTTTCTAATTCCAATTCCTTCTTTTTTAATCTTTCTTCATATGCATTCAATTCACTCAACTTCCGATTTATCATGTCAAACAAATGGTTTGCACAAAGTTGCAGTGATGGGTCAGTGTTTTGGTTGTTCATCATTTTTTTTATTCTTGCTTTGGTTCCTTTTCTTCTTGTTGATTGTTCTCATTATCTGTTTGTCTCTTTTGTGCTTCCCTTCTACCAATATCTGCAATTTCTTCAATTTCCTCCAAGTTCAATTTATGAGTGATAAGATCATCATAATTGCCCAAGAATGAAATCCTCAATAAATCAATCTTATTTCTCACCAGAAATTCAAATAATTCACTTCCAGAAACAACAGCAATACTGACAGAGTTGTCTTTGGCTGTTTTCATAAAGTTGTGAATTTCCAATGCAGCTACATCTGGAGCTGAATAAATGTGAACAATCTTCTTAGATGGATCCTTTCGAGATGGGACAGCAAATTTATCGACCTCACTCAAACTTTCATTATCCCTCTGGGCAACATAGATCTTTTCAGTGAGATAGAGTCTGGATTTGTATCCCTCTGATTTAGATTCTTGAGATTGCAAGAGTTTAACTTTTTCATCAATGAGCTTTTGGTACTTATTTTGCATGGCTAGGTATGAGCCCTTATTTTGTTTCAAATCATGTGAAACATTTTGCAATTGAATATCCAAATCTTTAAGCTCACCAGCTGTTTGATTTTGCTCCTTTATAGATTTTATCAGTACTGAATATAACAGCTCTGACCAAACAATTGAAGTCCAATCCATAATTTCTCTCAGTTCCGGTGGCGATAACTTGATAGTGTCATCAATGGTGGCAGTCAAGACATCAATACTTGATGTGGATGAGGTGGCAGCCAATATTTGAGCAATATTTGGTGCACTTGACACTTTTACACTTGCATATTCCTTTTTGAGTAATTTTGACTCAAATCTTTCCAGATATTGATCATATTTAAGCTTACTCGAGAATATATTTACATTTCCTAAAATTGAAGGATCCATTGAGCTTCCAGCTTCCAACATGTTCATAAATATAAAATTAGGATATTGAACTATTTTTCTTAAAAATTCAATTTGCAATTTTTCATCTTGTTCCGATAATTCACTCTTTCCTTTCAAAGTAGCATATTTTCCAATTAATTCTTGTATTTTGAGTGTTTTTTCCAATTGAGTTTTATCCGAAATGTAATCCTTTTCATTTCTTTGTTGAACTTGTTGTACCTTTTGTTTTTTGATTTTTTCTTGAGATTTGGCAAAGTTTGATTTGTTCTTGGCCTCTGCCTTTGGTTTACTCACTTGAACACTCTTATTCCTAATTATATTGAAATTTCATACATTAGTAATATATCAATTAATATTATAATTTAAATAATTGTATGAATACTTGAGAAAATTCCAAATTAAAAGACTTACATGATGGTTGCATAGAATCTTCTCTCCCATTGATGAGAAAATTCGTTAGTAGTAAAACAATCACGATTGTTATTGATTGAAGTAACTATTGGAGCATGGTGATTTGCAAAGGCTTTCGGAATTTTCATCCAACAAGATGAAATGTACAAGGATTTCAACGATGATTGTTTAAACATTTTTTTATTAAATAATTCTTGCATTAATAGAATTTGAAGTTTTTAATCTTTTAAACATGATCTATAATCTCTTATGCATTGCATTGGGTAATGATGATTTTTAATAATATTAAACTATTGGATATTTCGGAGTTCTTCATCTCCGGAATCTTAGGAATGAAAAAACGTGTTTCCTAATTATCCACACTCAAACAAATTCCGAAAAAATGTTGCAACAACGATTGCAGTCATCCTCTTCAAAATCCATATGGATGAGAATAAAACAATCATCAGCATCATCATTACTTTTACTTTTGATTGTAATTTCCTATTGTTGTTTGCAAGTAAATGCTCTCGATGACAATCAATTCAAAACTTCACCCTCTTTTGCACTCCGAGATGTTTTTCAAATTGATTCCTCTTTAAATAGTAGTTTTATACAATTACAAGATTCAATTGCTGCTGTTTCTCTTGCTGGAAATCAAGAAGAAGAATTGAAAAATATATTCATTGATCCGAATCATCATGCTCTCTCATATTATCACAAAGTCTTGTCAGAGATGGATTTACTTGTTTATTTCCATACCAATGATTATTGTGCTAGGGAATATAATTTATATGCAATGAGTTTACTTGATTCAATTGTTAATACTATTGAAAAAGTTAGAGCAAAACATGGAAAGAACTTTAATTTGCCAGATGAAACTCTTCTCACAACAAGAGAATCCAAAGCTGTCAATCTCAAAGTTGCTCAATTCAATTGTCTCTCATCTGAATATAATGGTTTATTGTGTGATAAAATTCTTGGTGATTCTTGGAGAAATAGTTGTAAGCAAGATCTTCCATCATTCTTTGAATTGTCTCTAGGAATGAAGACTTCATTGAATGCTGACAGAGTCAAAGTTATGGATGAATATGTTGTGAATAGATTGAGATTTTTGCCTTCAAAGAAGAGACCAGAAACTTCATTGAATGGAATTGCTAATGTTATTCGTGTCAATAAGATTGGAAGACAACAAGATGAAGATAACAAGGTTCAAATTAGAATCACTGCTGACTCTACACAAGAAGAAATTCTGAATGAAAATAATGAATATATTCGTAAGGGTTTGACAATTCCACACCTCGTTTCAGATCTCAAAGACTCTATTTTACAATTCCTCAAATCTCAATATGAATTTACTGAATTTGATGGTGATAAGGAATCCATGTTGGCTACTAGACAATTCCCAAGATCCTATCTCTTCTATGAGGAATGTGATTTTAAGGAATTATTCAATCAAACTAATCCAACAAAGAAGGTTCGTCCAATGAATTTAATGCTCCTCCATAAGGGACCAGCTGATCATGAATTCCCAAGAACTATTATTTCCAATTATATTGAAGTTACATCTGCTCTTTTGAGAGAAATCTCTGCAGGTCTTGTCTATGTCTGTTCAGGAGAAGCAATCAAAGCTTTTGAAGCCACTAGAGACATTAATGGACAAGGTAATTTTGGTACCATCCTTGTCCATAACTTTTTATATGGTAAGAGACAATCTGAAATTCAAGACAGAGGACTTTTATTATTCTACAATCCAGTCATTACCAATATAACAAGCAGTGAACAATTGCATTTATTCAGAGGTGAACCATATGATGCTCAATTTGTCAAGGCTGATAGTAAGGCACTCATGAAACATATCAATCTCATGATGAAGCAAACTAAGGCAGTTAATAGTTTCGCAGATTGGAGAGATACTAACTTTTTCATGTTGAGAGGTTTAACCCCATTGAATGAAGCCATTTATCATTCCATTAAGACTTGGCTCATTAAATCTGTTGAACAAGAACAAGATTTAATCTCTATTGAAAAGGAACTCATTCCATTCCATAACTTGATTAAGGAAATTTTGACCAACTCTACCATTTTGAGAGATTCAAGAGTTGTATCAAAGGAATATCCATCCCAACTTCCAGATGACAATATTGAATATAGTGACAAGATGATTGAAAGTTGTACCATTGTTGATGAATATTTGACTGAAATGCTTGCCTCTTTCAATAGAGCTGCACAAGTCACCAAGAAGGATTTCTGGAGCTTTATTAATGAAAAGATTTCTCAAATCCAACAAGAACTCATCAAAGCTAAGAAGACTATGGGAGAAGAATGTGGAAAAGTCTGTGAAGAATTGTATTCTAAATTATTTGTCATTAACTCATTCAAGATTAATGAAGAACAATTAATGACTCTCTAAATTATTTATTAAATATTATTAAATCATTACAAAAATTATCTTTAAATTTACAAAATTTACAATTATTTCAATTATCTTCTTCCTCTTCTTCCTCTTCTTCACTCTCACTTTCAGCTGGAGGTGGAATATATGGTCCTAATGGAGATGGAGCAGTAGGTGTATCTAAAAAACTGGAATCAGTCAATCCTAAATCTCTCTTAATATCCATTTCAAGTTGTTGTCTTGGAGCTCCCACTTTGTAGAATAATCTGAAATATCTGGCCAATCTTGGATCTGTTTCACAAGTGTACATATTCTCTCCGAGTACATTACCAGCATCATCATTATGAGCTTCACTCTCTACAGGTGATGTTGCTGTCGAATAATTATTTGTTGTTGCTAGAGGGAGAGGAGGAACCATTCCACTCATCATCATGACTGGAGGAGGTGGAATACCCATACTACCTGAAGAAGACATTGAAGGAGGTGGAGGAACAAAACCAGCTGATGATGGTGGAGGTGGGACGAAACCAGCCGAACCTGGAGGTGGAGGAACAAAACCAGAAGATCCAGGTGGAGGAGGGACAAAGCCAGAAGCTGATGAAGGTGGAGGAGGAACTCCTGATGAATTTGTTGTTGTTGTTTCCATTGTTGTTGTTATTGTTGGATTAGAGACAGTGGTGGATGAAGATTCGAATTCTTTCATTTTGCTTTCCATTCCATCAACAGATTTTAATTTACTTTCCAAGAGGGAGAGTGTAATTTCAACACGATGTAAATCATGTTCCACACGGTTTAGTTTAGTTTCACATTGGAGAGAAAAATGGTTGAGCAGAGAAATTGTCTGAATAGTAAAGGAATTGATCAGATCGAGAGTTTGATAAAATTCTATCGGAGTGGCTTCCTTCTGACGAAGACGTGACGTTGAACGATAATGTGGTTGGTTCACTGCTGTTCGAGGAGTAGCAGGAGTTGTCATTTTTTTATATGTTATTCGAAAGTGACTAGATATTTCACAAGTCCATTATCAAAATAAAAAGCTTATTATTCTTTGATTCTCTACTGTGAGTCTTTTTCAAAATAATTGAAGAATAAGCAAATTAAAAGAAAAATTGATTTCATGCCACTTGAAAAAATTAGAAAATGAATTTTTTAAATATTGCAATAAAAATTAAAAAGAAAATATTTTAAATCCATAGGACTGATGATGATGCAGAGTAATCTTCTTCGTTTCCGAAAGACACTTCATCCCATGATGATGATGAAGACTACTCTACCAGTATATGCTTACCATCATTCTACTCAACAACAACAACAACAACAACACTCAAGAAAAGTTGTTCATAATCCGAAAAAACAAGTATCATCTTCATCGAATAGTACTATGAATACAAGCCCAATTACAAATAATACATCTCCCATTAGTAATAATAATAATTTAAGTTTGGAAAAATTACCATCTACCATGTCTTCATATTATAATTATGTTCCTATGGAAATTCCAATGGCTATTCAAGAAAAACTGCAAGAATATGAAAGAAAGAACAATGTAAAGATTTTATATTGTGTCGAGACAGGAAGTCACTCATATGGATATCATTGTGAATCACTTTCCGATTTTGATATTCGTTTTGTGTATTCATCATCATTGAGAGATTATTTAAAATTGAGGAATATGCTTGCAACTTATAGAGGAGGAGAAAAGAGCAAAATTCCTACATCAATTCAAAACATTTTTAAATGTAATGTGAATCCAATCCGATGCGTTGATATACTGGGATGGGAGTTACGTAGATCTTTTTCATTCATTTGGTCTGGTAATTCTTCAATTCTTGAATGGCTTGCCTCCGAAAGAGTGCTCGTTTCTCGAACTAATAATATTGACAGATTGAAGAATGTAGCTGCTAAAATTATTCATGGAAGTCCTTATACAGTGGCGTATGCAAAACTTAATACTGCAAAAAAGAATTATCACAATATTTTGGATAGCAAGGACAAACCACCTACATCACAACGAGATGTTTTGGATGTGAAAAAGACTCTATTCATTATTCAAACACTATTGAGTGTAAATATTTTGGAATGGAAGTATTTAATCAATACTAACCACGCTGATGTTGCTGAACCATTAGAAAATATAATAATTTTGAATTTTAGAAGATTATTTGATACTGTTAAAGCACTGAGAACAATTGAAATTGAAAAAGAAATTGAGGAATTATATTTGTTAAGGCAACAAGTACCAAATGTTCCATTATCTTCATTACATTTTGGACAACGAGTTGAATCATGGATTGTTTATGAATTGAATAGAGTTAATGCTGTTTGTAGTTCACTATTTGTTAAACATTCCAAAGATAGATGGGCTCAACATGACCAAGCTATCACTGATGAATTGGATGCACTCTTTTTAGATCTTCTTTTGGAGAATGACAAGTCGTTTACATACCACCCAAACAATGGACAATAAAGAGTTCTATTGGCGCCAAATTTGAATTACTTCCTCAATAAAAACACACAGAAATTGCAAACAAAAAAAATTAGCATACCAACAATAACCTTACATTGCAACACTTGCTAAAGCAAATTGAAAATATTCCTTGTTTAATTTAAACACCAACAACAATATAGAAAATATGAACTTGGTAAACCATTCTTCCTACTTGGGTCTTAAATCATTGACCCTAGCAATGTTGTTTTCTTCTTCGGTCTATTGTGCACCAAGTAGTAATTTCCTGCTTGATACTATTAGTAGTAGTCTTTCATACCAATCAATTATATTGACTACTTGTATTGCTATTCTTTTGGGAGTAGTTTTCAGTCTGAAATCCGAAAAGGAAGCCTCAAAGAGAAAACTTGAAGAACAAGCAGAACGCATAAAGGCTGTGGAAAAGGAAAACAAGAGTATTCAATCTAAATTGTCCAACATGGAGAAAATCAAAGATCAACAAAAGGAAGAAATTGCAACATTGCAAAAGGAAATAACAGAGAAAGATTCCAGAATTGCTACCTTGATGAAGGAAAAGCTTGATTTGAACAATGCCCTTACAAGCCAAAAGAAGGAATCAAAGATAATTAAGGAAGACAAGAAACAACTCAAAGAAGAAAGAGAACAGTTTGTTAATGAAGTATCAAACATGAAGGTGGAGCTTGAAAAGCTGAGAAATATCAAATCCGAAACAGAGACTAAATTTGCTTCCCTTGAAAAACAAGTCTCCTCTAAAACTAAGGAAATTACCACATTGAAGGATACCGTTATCGCAAAGGAAAGATCCGTTCTTGAGAAGACTAAGGAAGTTGAAAAACTCACTCAAGCCAAACAAAGAGATGCCAAGGAAATTGCTAAACTTTTGAAGGAAAAAGAAGAATTATTGGCAAAGATTCAATCATTTGTTCCAGCTACTTCTCCATCTCCTTCTACTGAAGTTGTTGAACAATTAAAGAAACAACTTGATGACACTAAGAAGGAGTTGTTACAGAAAGATGAATTGCTCAGAAATTGTAATCTCGACTTGAACAAGGAGATTGAAGAAACCTCTCGCAAATTCAAGGAAATTTCCAAAGAGGTTGAACATATCAAGCATGAAAGGGATGAGGAAAAGAGAAAGAGTGAATGCTTGCTTGTTGAAGTTACCAAGCTTTCTTCCCAAGATGAAACAAACCAAACAAGAAACAAGGAACTGGAAAAGGAGATTGCAGAAAAAGAGGAAATAATTGCTAAAAACATTCAGGCTTTACAACAAACAAAGACGGAATCTGAGAGTAAGGATAAGGTAATTTCTGATAATAAGGATTTGATTCATGCAAAGGAAGAAGCTATCGAAAGTTTGGTTTTAGAATCCGAAGGTTTAAAGAACCAATTGTTGTCATTAACCAATACATTGGAAGAACAAGAAAGGATAATTTATGAAAGTAATGAAGTGTTGAAGAACAACGAGCAAGTCATTGAAACATTACAAAAGGAAAGAGAGCAACACAAGAACGATATTGAAAATATCAAAATGCTCAAGTCAGAGCTCAAGACAAGAAACTTTGAAATTAATCAAATGAGAGTAGATGTTGATGCTGGAAAGAAGCAATTAAAAGAATGCACTGACAAACTTACAACCACTCAAAAAACCACCAAAGAAAAGGAATCACAGATCCAAAAGTTGAATCAAACGGTAGAAGCACTCAAATCAGATTTACAAAAAAGAGATGAAACCATTTCTTCAATTAATGATCAACGTAAAAAGAAGGAAGATGCTCTTAATTCCACTATGAGTGAAGTTGAAAAATTAAAGAAAGAGGTTGCTCTGGGAAGTGAAACTGTTGCAACATTAACAAAGGAATTGATTGCTGCCAAGGAAAAGGGAGAAGAACATTATAGAGAAATGCAAAAGTTGAATGAAACCTTAACCACTCTTTCAAGGGAGAAGGAGAAATCTACAGAGATGATCACCAAATTAGAACATTCTCTCCAAGAAACAAGCAACATATTAAAGGAATTAACGGAGAAGGCTTCAACTGAAAATCAAGAGCTCAAGAACACTATTACAACACTCCAAGAAGAAATTGAAATTCTTAAACAAGATGATAACAAAGATTCCGAGAGCAAAGTTGTTGCTTCCGAGAATATTGAGTTGAAACAACAAATCAAATCTTTCCAAGAAGAGATTGAAAAACACAAGAAGGTGGCTGAACAACAGGCTCAAATGAAGACTGTTATGAACACTGCCATGTCTGAAGTTGATGAGGTTAGAAAGATGATGGAGCAATTCAAACACTCCAATCAAGAATTAACCAAGATTGTAAAAGAAAAGGACGCCAAGATACTCGAATTGATTCAATCAAAGGCTTCCGATACTGTACAAAATTTAAAGGAAAGAGATGATATTCAATTGCAATTAACAAAGGCTCAACAAACCCTTAAAGAGTTGCAAGAAGTTTCTGCAACAGAAAGGGAACAATCTCAAACGAAGGTTGAACTTCTAGAAAAACAATTGTCCGAACAAGACACTTCTTCAATCAAGGAATCTTTTGAAGCCCGTATTAAGGAAATGCAGGCAGAAAGAGAAGAAATTGAAAATCAACTCAAACAAAAATCTCAACAAGCAGAAAAACAATCATCAGAATTGACAGAAGTGAATAATAGAGTGGAAAAATTAATGAGCGAATTATCAAAGAGACAATCAGAATTTGAAAAGTTGAGAGCAGATTTCGATCTAGTTTGCTCGAAATCAAAAGACTCAAAGGATGTATCTTCATTTACTAAAAGAATTGAATCTCTGGAAAAGTCTCAATCCTCACTCAACCAACAATTGGACAAGGAGAAAAGTGCCAAAGAAAAGGCTCTCAAGGAAGCTAAGGAAAAACAAAATGCTGAAAGAACTGAAAGTAAGAAGAAGATTGATGCTTTGGAAGCAACAATTAAGAACTTGACAGACAAAGTTAGCTCAGCCGAAAATTCATCTGTAAAGGATAAGGAAGAAATCAATGAACAAATGAAGGTTGTACAAGACCTCTCACTTAAGGTTTCAATTTTGGAAAAGATGAATATTGAACTGGAAGAATCTAAGAAGGCAGTTGTGGAACCAATTATTGTTAAGGAAACATCATCTCAAGAAGTTGAGGAATTGAAAACAATAATTGTCAAGAAAGATATTGAGGTAAATGATTTGAGAGAAAACATTTCCAAATTGATGGATCAGCTCAACATTTTGAAGAGTGGAAATGCAGCTCAAGTAATGGCAGAAGTTGAAAAGTTAAAGAAGCAATTAGCCCTCGCTGAAGATTCCAAAGCCAAAATTACAAAGAATTACAATGAAGAAAAGCTCAAGGTTGAAAATTACAAGAAGGAATTATCCAGACTCAACAAGAAGAAATAAAAAATCAAGAGTGAAATTTTAATTTTATCTAAAATAGTTCACTCAACTATTAAAGTATCTTTTATGGAAACGATAATAAAAAACCTCAACTATTTTCCACTCTCAAAAAAAAATGTTTGAACAAGAACTAGAGGACAGATCATCTTTAACAACCAAGAGCCAGGTACCCTTATTAACATCATCAATGAGCAGAGGTAAAATGTCATCACTATCAACAACAACAACATTAGATGAACAGCAGCACCAGCAAATCAATGGAATTCCTACTCCATTATCTAATAGAAAATATTTTGGAGATTCCGAACTAGTAGATGGTGCATCAACACCAAAACAACACCACCATCATCATCACCACCACCATCCAACAAAACCTCCACTCACCACAAAAGCAAAAAAGATTGAATTGGCTAAAAAGATTGGACGTGTTGTTTATTCATTGTTTTTATTAATTGTGATGGGAGGACTAATTACATTGGATGTTATAACACAACCAAAGAATTCATGGATTTCTAGAGGTTCTATTGTGATTGCTGTTACATTGTTTGGTAGAACTATTTATGAATTTCTGTTTGAAATTTTGTATGAATGGATTTTGGACTATTTCATTACTGAGGAAATAAAGAAACCTAACGAAAATGTGTAAATAAAAATTGTAAAGTAATTTCTATTATATTGAAAACTGTAAATTCCGAATATTCAACCATTCGAGACAAACAATTGAATTTTCATTTCATTATTCAATTTTACATTTTCATCATCTGAAAATGTCAGAGAGTGCAATAAAGTATTTGTTAAAATTATCAATTTCTTTATTGAATTTTATAAATGAAACTCATAATATATACAATTAAATAATTTAAAAGAAATAACATTGAGCAAAATCTGGTTCAACTGGATAAGTGTAAACTGGATTGTAATTGTAAATCAATGAGGCAAGTTCACTTTGTTCATTTTGGAATTTGTGTTGACTCTTTCTAGCTTCATTGACAAAGAATTGAGAAAAGTACATGTTAGCTTGTAAACTATCAAATGAATGATCGATATCTTCATGACACCATTCAAAGGCAATTTTTTCTGGATGGAATTGACTGGCATAGATTGGATATCTCTTGTTTTCATAAAGTGAAATAAATCCCTTTCCATTTCTATCCTTATTAATTGCTAAAAGTAAATTTTCAGAAGTGAGCTTTTGATTGGTCATCCAAGATGGAATAGGAACACCATAATGATGATTATTAAGAGTGACAGGTTGAGTTGCCAAAGTATTCATGTATGAAATTGGACAATTATTGAAAATTCTACTCATCTTTTTAGTGTCTGGAATTGAATTTGTAAAATTCAATGGCATTGAAATGTTATAACTATCAAATCCACCAGCAAGAATGTTAGAATCACCAGACAAGATAATTGTCAAGGATTGCATTCCCAAACAAGTTCCCCAAATTGGGAAGGAATCTTGATTTTTATCATAGGATTCCATTGACCACTTGACAAATAATCCTAAAGTTTTTAAATATGGAGTCCAAGAACCATCATTATTGGTTAAATCGGTACCACCTATATATTTTCATTATACAAATCATGTATTTTCATTTATGAATTTCATATATTTTCATATATTAAATTCCAATTTAAATATTCAATATAAATTTCATTCATAAATTTCATTGATCATCATCATCAATATAAATATTCAATTATTCACATCATGAAATTTCAAATTATTAATATTTACCTCCTGGAAAAACAACACCATTCAAAGATTCAAATAATGTACGTAATTGACTTTCAGGTAAATTATATGGAATTGGAACAACACGAGCACCACCAGATTCAACATATTTAACATAGGATGCAGCAATATAGGTGTTACCATATCTACTCAATGTACGTCCTGTTGGTTGTGCAATAATTCCTATAATTGGACGATCATTGGTTTTTAATAATTTAATATTGTGTTTCAACTTGAAGCCGAGCTCGGCTCCGTTGATAATCAATGTATTACATCCACAAAAGAGAATGGCAAGGATGAGAATAAATGTACGTGGATGGAGTAGCATTTTTTTTTTTGATTTTTTAAATGATGATTATATTATTGATATTTCGGAGTTGTCATGTTGAATAGTATGGAGCTTTAGATTACAACTTTCATGAAAAAGAATGAAATGTGCTTTTGTTGTTGCCCACAACGTAATTTTTAATATTAGGATTTAGAAGAATTCAATTTTATAAGATATTAAACGTTAATATAAATTGTGTATTAATGTACTTTAATTTCAATTTTCATTAATTCACTCCAACAAATAAAAGACTAGTTACACTACAGTGTTTTCAAAAGTAAATTAAAAAACTGACGACAAGTCTAGAGAATTTTCACGTATACGAACATGTATAGCGTATTGTAATAAAAAACTAGAGTGGGAAAAACATTTTTATTCCAAGCTAGAATTTGAAAATAATTTTATTAGTCAATATTTTTCATCCTATCAATGAGGTAAAGTGAAATTCAATTTTTTTAATAAATCACCACAGGCTGTTTAGCTCAGTGGTAGAGCTTCTCTCTCGTAAGGAGAAGGTCGAGGGTTCAATCCCCTCAATAGCCATTTGAATTTTAATCTTTTGCTATTTTCACCATCCTTTTACTTTTTCGATCTTTCAACTTTCTATATCTTCACATTCACATGCTGTGCTACCTATATCTGAAATATTACCTTCCATCTCCAAGTAGTTATCGAGAACGAGCTGTTCTAAAGTGTCGATAGGTTTTTGGCTTGAATTTTTCTTTTCGGAAATTAATTCCGATTTTTTAAAAATTTTCAAGTTGTCATTCAGTACCAAACGTGTAATTCTTGTAAATTCTTGTAAATTCGAAATATTTAAGATGCCACGTTTTGAGATTAAAATTTAAAGCAAAAAGGAAATTGTAGTGTACTCCATTGCTTAAAGACACAACAGGCAAACCTGGCAAGTGAGGTCTAATTACGGATCCGCAATTACTAATTCGATTGCAAAATGGATAATATTCATTTTCAACAAACAAAAATTTTCATTTTCACATTTTCATGTTTTCATTTGACTGTTGTAAAGTAATCGTTTGCTTGGTTATAAAGTCTATTAATGGTTGAAAAATTTTACAGAAAAGCTTATTATATTTTTTAATTAACCAATTTATTTTATTATTTTCAAAAAATATCTGCAATTAATTTAGCAAAACCAATCAGTGTGCAATTGTACAATGTGCTTTGTTGTGCAAAACCCTGGCTGCTTATTTTTCCATAGACAATACTCTCTGAAAACTCAACAAGTTCATCATTCTCTCCTTCATTCCTAAATCAATAACTTCCGATCTTGCATGCTTTTCCATGTGCTCAAAATAATGGCATCCATCACAGAGCAATTCAAATTCCTTCAACTTTTCTAATTGTTGTTCTTCAGTCATTGCAAGAATTAACTTGTACTCATTAACATTATTGGCTATTTCCCTCTCTTCATCATCAATATCTTCTGTTGCTTGGGCTCTCTTCTTCACACCATCCCTATTCTTGTGATGCACATGAAAGATCTTTCCCAATTCTGAATTGGATTCAAAAGACAGACCACATTCCTGACATTTTCCTCCCATCAGGTTGATCATCTTTTCATGACAATATTGCCAATTAGAACCACCTTCAACATTCCTTGCATGTTCCAAACCATGACAAGGTCTACACAATACTTCCAACTTTTCATTCTTCTTGAACCAATCAGCACCAAACTTTTTGAACTCGGGAATGAATTTTGTTGTACTCCTAAATGTCTTTGTAAAGTCGTGATCCTTATACATGACATGATGAAGAGTGAATGCATTAACCTCATGTAAATGTTCCATTTCAATACGACATCTATTGCACTTGATTGACAAATCATCCTTCTCCAATACTTCACTTAAAAAAGTTACGACCTAAAATGTTGTTTTTCATCAAATAAAATTATATGTGTTCAACATGCATTTTTGAATTTCTGCCAAGTTTCCATTCTCTTTTCATTATTCTTGAATTTATCTGGGAAATGATCATACAATTCTTGGACATATTCAAGATAAGCCCTTGCCAATTTCAAACCATATTCATGAGAAATATTGGATGAAGGTCTTGGAGGACACTTGTTGAGTTTAACATTATCCAATATGGGAAGGAATTCTTCCAAGATTGAATTGTTTGGTTGGTGGAGTTGATTCAATGGTAGAATCCTTTCTCTTACTAGTAGTTGCTATTTCACTAATTCATTAAATCAATGTATTCAATGTACTACCTTCTTTCAAACATTCTTTTTTCATATATTGTGTTTATGGCAAGGAATTCTTGATAAACTATTCCATTCAGGCATTTTTAACAATTCCCAATTCTTCAAAAAACCAATTTCTTTACTTTCATTTCTTTTTCGAAAAAAATATCAAAACAAAATGGATGACTTGCTCTCCAATCTCTCACCCGAGGTTTATCATGCTCTCATGACAGAAATGCGAAACGAAATGGGTGATCACGGTCTACACAACTACACAGAACAAGCCACTGCCTTTCAACCTCCAACTACAAATCAAGTTTCCAAGGAAAGATTTACACGAGCAGCCATTCTCAAACATCATTCAACAGCATTGATTAAATATCGACCATCGGAAGGGGATGTTTGTGCATGGAAGGATAGAGGACAAGTGTGGAAAGGTCAGGTTGTGAAAGATTTGGAAATTGTAAAGGGAATGGAATTGATTCAGATTGAACAATTGAAACTCTCACCAAATAATTCACCAAATCATCCAAATAGAGGGAAATATTTATTTGCTAGAATTTGTCAACCAGTGTTTAGAATGACATCAGTGATGACTATTGTAGAAAATGGGTTGACTGATTTAAATACTAATATTGTTCAATTAGCTATTTACAATTATGGAAAAGTTAATATATCTGAAGAGTTTAGAGTTGGTAGATATGTCATTATTAAGAATCCATATTACAAAATCTATTCGGATGAATGGCCAGGATTGAGAATTGACAATCCTAATGAATTGTTTTTTGTGGATGATCAGAAAATTATTTCACAACTGAAAGAATCTCACAAACAAAAAGTAGAAGAGTTGACTGAACCTCCAAAATGGAAAATTATTGTAACAGATTATGTAATGACAGAAAGAGTTTTACATTCTGGATTTATTTACAATGATTCTTCAATTTTCTATTGGGGAGGTATTTCTCATACAGAAAAGGATTTGATTTCTCGACAAATGAGTGAAACTTTTGGTGAATTAATCATGTTGGATACTTACTCGAATATACTTATTACTCCAGTGGTTAGTGGAGAAATTCCTGAAGCTGGAAGAAGAAATGGACATGTTTTCATTTCTGATTTTGAGGAAAAGTATGCTTATTTAATTGGTGGAGGAGATGATGGAGTTAATGATGGATCCTTTCGACTCTGTTTAAAGACATTCGAATGGAAAAAGTTAAAATTCAAGTTTAATTTGGTTCTTTCATGTGCAGCAAGTGTTCCTGGATTTATTTACATTTATGGAGGTAGACAGTATTCAGGTGAATTATGTAAAAATGTTGGAACCTTTTTCAGATATGATATCAAGAATGAAAAGCTTCAAAAATTGAACATTTCCAAACCTTGTCCTTCAGACAAATCAAAATCTTGCATGACTAGTATTTGCAATGGAAAATATTTGATTTTATATGGTGGAGATGGATCAAGATTGGATTCTTTGAACGATATGTGGCTATTTGATTGTTCTTCTCTCGAATGGATTGAAATTTCTAACATTTCCAAGACTAAACCACCTCCAATGACTCACTGTGGTTGGTCTAAAGTGAAAATCAATGGAAAGGACAGGGCTTTAGTGTTTTATGGGGGTACAGGAATGAATGGAGTGGCAAGTAATGAAATTTGGTCACTCGACTTGAATACATTCAATTGGGAAAAGGTTCTGACTACTTCAAAGAATATGGAAGCATTAACTGGATATTGTAATCATGTTTCAAAAATGAGATTGTATGTTTATGGAGGAATGGATAGATTGAAAAAATTAAGCAACAAGATTTATTGCTTTGATTTGAGATATCACTTTAGAAATTTGAAGGATAATTTGGAATTGTATGATTGGCAATGTGTGGAATGTCAAAAATACACAACACAAAAGACCAAATGTGGAAAGTTTTCATGTTGCTCTGGTAAATGTGAGGAAAATTATAGCAAAAAACATCCAGAACCTGTTAAAGATATTCCACAACAGAAAATTCCTGAACAATCAATGAAAGAAATTAAAGAATCATCAAGTGAATCATTAAGAGAAGTGGAATTAAGAGAACAAGTGGAATTGTTACAATTTGCATTGAAAAGAAAAACAAATACAATGCACCAGCTCATCGACCAAGTCTCTGAAATGGATAATTTGAAGAAAACTCTTTCAGACAGAGAATTTCAAGTTCAGAATTTGGAGATTTCAGTAAAGGATTTGACACTTGAACTCAATCGATCCAAGTTCAATTTAGAAAATATATCCAAAGAGTTGATCACATCCAATTTAAAGTATGAAAAGAGAATGGAAATTTTACACCAAGAAAAATCACGATTGGAAAATGAAAATAGACAATTCGAAAGGAAAGTTAAGGAAATTGATTCAAAGAAAAGTCAACAAGTGGAAAAGAAAGTTCAACAATTAGAAACTAAACTTAATGAAATGACCCAATCTAACAAGCAATTAGATTTGGAAAAGGAAAATCTCAAGAAAAAGACTGTAGAACAATCGAATATCATTCAAAATCTTCGACTCTCCAACACTAATCTCGAACAACAAGTTTTAAAACTTAATAGGGAATGTACTCAATTGGAAACTCAAACTCATCAATTTTTATGTGACTTGGAGGAGAAGGAAAAGGAAAATCAAGATTTGATTGGAAAACTTGCTAAATATTATGAAGATTTAGAATCACAAGAACCCAAAGTCAATAATCATGAACATTTACATCAACAAGAACTATTTGAATGTATTATTTGTATGGATAATAAGGTAGATCATGTGAGTGTTCCGTGTGGACACTTATTTTGTTTGGATTGTATTTCCAATCAAGTCAATTGTCCAACATGTCGAGGAAAGATTGAATCCAAGGTAAAAATTTTCCTAAACTAGTAAATTTACTGAAAGTTTCTTTCAAAATATTCACACAACCATGGAAGAAGATTTTGCTGTTGTGCTTATTCATCTTGTGAAAATTGATTGTCTAGTTGACTAGAAATATTTCCAATAAAATTTCATTTTCTATTTTCATAAATAAATTTAAATTTCCTATTGTGAACATCAATAACAACTTGAGAAAATCCCCTATTTCTAAATTCATTTTCCTTCAGTCTCTTCTCTTGTTTTCCTCTTTTACTTTGCAAATCATCATTTTGATTACAATTTCCATCATCCGAAGCTAAAACGATCAAATCAGAAAATTTGGAAATTTCTTCAAATTGAACTGGGCGAAATAATTTTGTTTTAAAGCAAAATATAGAGTTACTTGTTAAAACTTCTTGGAAAGAGATTCCAGCATTGCCTACGTGAATAGAAATAATTTCTCTCATTTTTTTGTGGTTTACAATTTATTGTAAACAATTTTATAATATTTACATAAATATAATTAATAATAGAAGAGTATAATCAATTTTACGGAATCAACAGTAGTTGACCACAGTATTTCACATACTATTTATTTTCCAAATTGCAGATTGAATAAGCCCGCTCCAAAAAAAAATGTCATCACCATCTTCCCACACTATTCTCTGCATTTCCACACCATCACAAATTGCTTCTTGTCTGGCAACGTATCAAGAATTACGTCCACACCTGATAGATGAACAACAATTCGTTTTGCAAATTGAACATCAACAAAAACAAGATGGTTTTAGATTGAATGCAATTTCGATCGGTGATGAAATTGTTGCACTCGTTGGATATAGAATTATGACAACAACTGCATGGGGTAAAATTGTGTATATTGATGATTTGGTTTGTAAGGAATCTCATAGAGGAAAAGGATTGGGAAGTCAATTGTTACATTTTGTGGATAATTTTGCAAAGGAGAATGGATGTAAACAAGTTCATTTGGATTCTGGATATCAAAGAAATGCAGCTCATAAGGTTTATTTGAATAATGGATATATTTTAGGTTGTCATCACTTTATTAAAACTTTAAATTAATTTCATTATATTCTAAATCATTATTGTTCTGTTTAAAAAAGACTACAGCACCAGAGGTTCCCAAGTTGTCTCCAACCTCAGTACTGATGTGGCTCGACGATGCTTAACTTCTCAAATCGGACGGGATGAGGTGCATTCATCGTGATATGGCCGTAACCATTCATTAATTAAAAATAATTGTCATATTAAATCAATGGCAATTAAGTCTAAATAAAATGATTGTTGCTGGTTTAACACTTGAAAAACAATTGCAGCTCTTATGTATTTACATTAATTTTTAGTACTTCTTTTCCTTTTCTTTTCCTCCACTGGATTATCTTCTTCATCATCAGCCTTTTCATATGGTACAACAATATTGTTACTGTTTAATTGCTCTCTCAGTAACTTGAATTTACCTCTCTGTGGAGAACGTACAACAGTTCTGAACCGTGGTGACTGGAAGGTGAGGAGAAGTGTTGTGTCATTATAAATATTTACATTGAGTCTGAACTTGTCTGTTACATTGTCACTGCTTGTTTCTCTGAACCTAAACTCCAGCTTGGCTTTGTTGTATCCGTGCTGTAATTCATTGTATTAAAAAATTGTAATGGTATAAAGAAAGTTGACAGGTTGAACAAAATCCAATAAAAGAAATCATGAAAATGAAGAGTTAATTAAACATGGAATGCACCTCAGTTTAGCTTACCTTTGAAACGTCAAATTCTTGATAACATCTACCTTTAATACCTCTCTTGCCTTTTCTTTCCTTTTTAACACAAAAAATTGGAGTATTGGTATTGCCACATACTAATTCAATTTTTACCCATAGATTGGGTAAGCCACAATTCACAGTGCACACACGCAATGTATACTTGAGTGAGCTCAACAAGTGATTCTCTCCATTGTACTTTTCAAAAACCAAATTCTTTGTTGAGATGACAACTTCATCAGGTGTGAGCAAGGGTTGTTGATCAAAGGGATCATAATTATGCAAACCAACAATGCAGTCTGCTTCGGAAAAGAAGGAAGGTAAATACTTTTTAGAAGATCCTCCAGTGTTGTACTTTTTCTTTGTTTCACCACTCTCTGACATTTTAATATAAGTAGGGATTCTATTCACACAAACTATTTAAATTTTAAACTATAATTGCGTAATATATATTGTTGTTGTATAGCTATTTGCACTACAAATTTCAACAATAGGGACGGAAATTTTTCAAGATCGTTTAAGAACGTGCTGGTTACTATCACGTGATTGTTTAAATCAAGACTGCCGGCAACACAAAATGAAACGCGCAACAACGGAATTTAACTGCCAACAACAAATTATTGGTACTCTAGATTGGGTTGGTTGTTTTGTGTTAAACCTTCCCACAACAATAGGTGATGCAAATTTTTTTAATGTTGTGATGGCGTGTTCTGAGGACGCAACTGAGTCACAACATGACAGAAGGGAGGAGTTGTTATTGGTTACCATGTGAGGAGGGCGTCCAGTGTTTTTGTACGTTGCGTCTACCGAATTTGCTAAAAGGATTTGTTGGATGGTGATGTATTCATCTCTTTTATGTACCTCATTCCTTGTCAATTACAAATAAGCTTGGATGGTGGTTGCTTTAATTTGTATTTCAATAAGCTTGATGGGTATTCGTTTACATTGGTAATAGTTTACAATATCAATTTTAATGCTTTTGATGGCAAAGTTTATTTCGCAATCAGGTCATTCAAATTCTCAATGAGATTGGATTAAACAATTGTGTATTAAAGAGTGTATTTGGTGTCAAAGTTGAAGAGGTACCGACAGATGGTTTAACTATGTATTAGAATGTTATCCTATCGTACGTTATCCTGTCCTAATAACTCCTTTTGAATACCGACAGATTTACAGAAAACCAAACTACAATTTTTAGTTCGCCAAGTTGATTAAAGATTTGAAGAATTAAGAACTCAGTAGGGCTTGTAACAATTTCATAATTGATGAACTAAACACGTCATAACGGATAGCTTTCTGCCATTTTAAAATTCAAAGTACTTTTTCTTAAAATCCAATTTAAAAAAATGTCAACAGAGCCCATCACCCAACAACGACAATTTACATTTGATCACTATCGGGTGAAAATTCCAGCTGAAATTTGGCTTCAAATAGCTCAATATTTACGTGTGCAGGAATTGAATGAGTTGGCGAGGAGTGACAGTGCCATGTTTGATTTTATATTTTGTAGGAATTTAAAGAATGAAAATGGTCTTGTTCAAGGGTTGAAGAATTGGTTTAATCTTGGTTTAACGACTGAGAAAGCTCAAGAATTAGATGATTACACACTCATTCAGAGATTTATTTGGAAGCGATTATTAATACACTACTTTCCAAGATTCAATCCAGAAATTAATGTAAAGAATTATTTAGCAGTTCTTCAGAGAAGAATTAAACATTTGCGAAAATTTCCAAAAAACAACTTCTTACATGTTGATGATGATTTTATTGAGAATTGTGAATGGGTGTACAAGTGCCCAATCAATTTTACTCTAATTGGAGAAAATTATCAGGAAACTGCCCTGTGTAAAGTTTGTAATGAAACTGTTTTCAGAGTGAGGCATTTAGAATCATTCAAGTATCACAGTGATGCTGGACATTGTGTGGCATTCACATACAAAGGAAAAGTTAGTCGAGGTTGCATATTGTATTAGAGTTAACAGGTACAGTGTATATTTTACCATTTGAGGGCAGTTGGCGTAACAATATTCAACTTTTCAACAGCATGATATTGAGTGTGAAGGATTGATTTTGCTTGTACAGAACCCACAGACCCCTTAATCCAATTGTAATATAAATTATTCAAACCTTCCTTGACAAGATTCGAATTATTTTCACAAAGAGATTTGATGTTAGAAATGTCATCCCTATAAAGCTTTTCAGTTTGGGCCAAATGCTGCTTTGGGGTAATGGTTACAGAAGAAGGTGAGTCGATATCCAATGTGATCTTTGGTTGTTTGACCTTCACTTGACCTCCTCCATTCAGGCATCCAATAGGACAAGCCATAACTTCAACAAAATGGAAAGGTTCAGAATTGTCTGCTTGTTTCATTCTTCTTACCAAGTTTTGAATATTTCTAAATCCATTTGCAATTACAAATCTCAATAAAATCTTTGAAGAATCAGTTGGATCAACTAGTACAGTTTCTCTATAGTCGCTATTTCTCTTGCTTTCAAATATAAGAGTCTTATCTCTGAGGTCAATTCCAAATAATTTCTTGGCAGCATATTTGAATACAATCTCACAATAACCACCAGATCCTGTGGCATCACTTTCAGATCCAAGCCATTCAAGTAAAGTGGCATCCTCACTAATATCTTGGGTGGAATGATGTGTGGATTGAGACAAAATTTCAAAAATGCTATCCAATTGATACTTTTCGTTTTTGATGAAATTTTCTGTGTTTCTAATGAAATCTTCAGGAGTTTCTATTTGAAGTTCCTTCTGAAGGAGTTCTGTAATTTCGCTACTAGTCAATACCATATCAACTTTATCGAAAGGATCATTGGTAAAGTCTGGTCTGCTAGCCTCTAATTTCTTATCAAAGCAAGGCATTACAGTAGTATGGTAAACCTTCAAATTTTCAAGTGAAATCTCATTGGATAACTGTTTCATGTTGCTGGTTATGAACTTTTTGACAAAAGTACCCATAATTTGTTGGGGAGATTTAACTGTTGAAATGGATGGAATAATTTCAGGTTGAGTTTTTTCTGCATAACAAATCCACCCAGGGCAAGCACTAGCAAAAACAGGTCCCTTGCCTTCCTTGTATCGATTGAGAAAATCTTCACACAATTCCAAATGAGAAACCAATCTTGCAAGGGTTGAAGTCTCAAAAACTGCAACAGCTCCAAACTTAACCTTAAACAGGTATGACAACCGAGAGAGACACTCTCTCACTGATGAGCACTGATAATAGGAAGATAATGAGGCTGCACTTTGTTGAGAAATTGTAATTACAAATATAGAATTTGGTTGTGGTTTCACAACTCTTTTCGATCCAGACAATAGGATCGAATCAAGATCATCTTCCAAATCCGAAACATTCACCTTATCTTGAATTTTCTCAATAAATGGGGAAAATAATTTCATTTCCTTTAAGCTTGTCAAGAATTGTTCCACACTTTGTTGATTTACCAAAACACTTTCTGCAGTAGTAACACAACCAGAACAAGCCAAACAATCAGCCAATTCAATTTTTGCAATTTTCTTTGGTTCGGCTTGTTGACTATTGTTCAAATTAATGGTTCCTCTATTATTGCTTCTTCCGATTCTTCTTGTGGGATTTCTATTTATCGAAACTCCTCCCACAGAATCATCATTGTCAAGAGAAACACTGACTGCAGCAGTACCATTCTCCGATGTGATGTTTTTGCTAGATGTTGTTGAATCTGACTTTGAATTGGTCATGAGAAAGGGTTTTATGCAATCTTGTCTATTCATTGGTAGAAAGTCGTCCAAATCGGCCAGCATGAGTGCTGTCGACATGGTTGGTTCCTGTTGAGGAATGTAGGAGGACATTGATTATTGTTGTGGCGTTTTTTTCTTCTTATTAATTGAGGAGGAATGGACACAGACCACGCATTTCCTTCATCCGACTCTGTGATTCTTCTTTTTCTAATAATATTAATGGAGACCAACCGATGTTAATGAAAAGAATGAATTGGATCAAAAACTTGCTCTTAACCTAGCAGTCAGATAATAGTGGCAGTTCGTTTTTGTATGAAAGTGAAGGCTTTTAACTATTCCCGCCAAAATAGTATCAAAAAAAATGAATCCAAAACAATACCCTTCATCTTCAACTTTTGCACCAATAGGTTCCAGAAGTGTTGCTTCTAACAGTAATAGGACAAATGCAAAGACATCTTCATCATCAGATGCGAACACAACATCTGCCACAACATTGTACAAATTGGCCATAGTGGGATCCGAACAAATATCGATATTAGAATTGAATACATTGGATGGAAAATTGAGTCCTTATAATTCGTTAAATTTCCCAAACCGAACAATTAATGACACCAAATGGAATCACAATAGTATGTATTTCAATTAAAATATTTGTAACCAATGAGTGAAAACAAGATAAGGTACTCATTTCGTGTAGTGATGATGGAAGTGTAATTATGGGAACACCTGAAGGTGAAATATTTGGAAAATTAAATATTGAAGAACAAGTACAATCAATTTCTATAGGAGAATCATCTCTCAAACTTTGTTCGGGAGGCAGCTCATGTATCGTAAAAATTTGGGATCTGAAAAAGAAGGAAGTCATCAATACATTTAAGGGACATAAGGAAATTATCACGTGTGTCACATTCAGCGAGGGTGATCAACATGTTGCGAGTGGTGATGCCAGTGGTACAATTCTGATTCATAATATTGTATCGAATACTCTCTCATGCACCCTTTCGAATACACAACAATCAATCAAATTTTTGGAATATTCACCTTTTTACAAAACCCTATTGGCAAGTGCCAGTGATGATGGAAGTGTAACAATATGGGATACCATCTCTGGAAAGCCATATTGCTCATTTCCTAATCAACATCAAGCTCCATGTGTAGCAGTACATTTTTCAAAGCAAAATGTTGCTCTCCTTGCTTCAGCAGGATTGGATAAGAACATTTACTTTTATGATATTAAGGAAAAAAAGTAAGCATTTTCATATAGTTTAGTAGAATAATCATATAATTTTAAAATTAGGATTGTGGAAAATATTCGAGTTTCTCAACCAATATCTTCATTTTCATACTTGGATAATGGATCAATAATGGCTGTAGGAACATCTAATGGAAGTGTTTTCCTTTATGATTTGAAAAAATCAACAACGAGTCCAATTACTGAACTTACTGTCGATATGGGATATATTAGAACACTAACCTTTCAATCTAAATCTAAGAAATCCACTGCTAAACAGCAGACAGCTCAATCTGAAGTACAAAGACCACGAGAATCCCCAACCATTGAATCCTATTCATCTCTCAAAAAGCCATCAACCCCTCCTTCCATTCCTCAAGAAAGACAAGTTAAACCACCTACACTTAACATAGACAGAAATCATGGTATGGATGTTTTCTCTCCTGTTAAAACAGGTAAAAGTATTGAGATTGGATCTACACAATTTCCAACACTGGAGGACATCAAAAAACAAGCTCAAATGGAACACTTGAGTTCCAAAATTAACACAAAACTCTCCCTGGAAAACCCTTTTAAACCAACCACTTTCAAAAGTCTTGATCTGAATAGCAGTCAGATGTTAGAAAATTCTACAAATAATCGATTATCCATATACAAATCCCTAAAACCAACTCAGGATGATAGGTCTGTATTTTCTCCCTCAGGACCAACCAAAAAGCCTAAATTTAACTCTCCCACTGTCGATGACACCAATAATGAGAATATTCTCCCACCCTCTAACTATCATCCCCAAACTCCTCCCTCACTCGAAAATGTTGATGAGTTATCTTTTGAAGACAATCAAAAACACAATGAAATGATCGATGACGAATCCCTTCCATCCTCAATAATAGCAACTAGTTCATCACCACATCTATCTAGACAACAGCAACAACAGAAACAAACTCTCTCGACTGGGTCCCCAGTTGTGTCAAATAGTATTTCTGAGGAAAGAATGAAAGATGTGATGAAGGATGTACTTCAAGAATCCATTTTCAATCTTCAGAGTTCAATTCACCAAGATCTCACCAACATTCATGTAGATGTTTTACGTCAATTCTGTATTCAACAAGAGCAGACATTCTCTCTAATTGAACAACTTTCAAAACAAGTAGAAAATTTAACCGAGGAAGTGAGATCATTAAGAGAAGAAAATAAGCAACTCAAAAACCTATTCTAATTTCAATAAGGTATGAAATTGAAAATTAATGTATGCCATTCAAATGCAATTCCATTTTATTTTTAAAAAATAAATTTAAAAAAAATGCCAGCCCAAAAATCCACCCTCATCAACATCTGCAAGGCTTGTACAAAGAAGTCTTCTTCCGTTCTTCCTTCAAGAGTCTTCCTCTCATCACACTCTTTCCACACCACAACAAGATCTCTTTCTATTACACCATTCGGCGAAGACGAATATAAAATTGGATCCAGTTCTTTCAAACAACAAGATGCCAAGAAGGTTTTCGACCTTGTTTATGAAGGAAATTGGAATGGATTGGCCGAATTGAAAAAGGAAAGAGAAGGAAAGGTATCACGTGGTGATGCTGCTTTAGAATTTGCCAAGGCAAGCGACTACAAGTCTCTCATTTCTCTCAAGCAACACTACGATGCTCACCCACGTGATTTGGAAATTGATGATATGGCCAAGATTATTGCTGCTTTCGGTCAAGTTGGTAGCGTACCTGATGCTGAACTTACCTTTGGATTATATATTAAGAGAGCTTCAACTGATAGAGAAGTTGCTTCCTTGCGTAATGCTTTGCTGTACTCTTATCTTGTCAATGGAGAAGAAGAAGCTGCTCAAACTTTCTTTGTTCAATATCCAGTCAAACCAACCATTTCCACCTACAATCTTGTTACTTCTCACTCATGGAAGAATACACCAACCAAGCTCAACGAACACTTGAAGTCTATCATCGGAGGTAAACAATAATTCTACTCTACCACCTTTTAACACCAACAATAACAACAATATTAACCAAAATGGGTCTTTGTTTTGGTTGATTTTAATTTTCGACACCTTTTTCAAACAATAAAAACTATAATATAATATTAATTATTTAATTGTCGTCGTTCATAATATCTAATAGTACAACAATTTGTTATCATCACATCAATTAGATACATGAAGAAACAATTATAATAATAAAACAACACAGATTAGAAAAAAATGTTTAAAAGTAATAGTCGTTCTCTCCTCTCACGATTTTTAAAGACAGCCAACACACATCATCACTGTAAAATTGTCTTTTCATCATCGGAAGTATTTTCACCAGCCTTGTGCCATCATACAAGTTTATTTTCATCAAATAACAAGAATGTTGGGCTCCAAATGTTCTTCAACAATACAATCAACAACAAGTGAGATTCTTCCACTCTTCACCAAAACAATATGGTCTATTTTCAAACTTGACCTCTAATATGTCTGATGCTTTTACTAATCTCTTCAAAAAGAAGACACTCACCAAGGAAGATGTCGAAGAGGCCATGCAAAAAGTTAGAGTTGCCTTGTTGGATGCTGATGTTGCTGAATCTGTTGTTTCACAATTTGTGAAGGAAGCCACTGAGGATGCCATTGGTATTGCAGCTGTTAAACAAGTTGAATCACAGGAAAATAAGGGAATACTGTCACGTATTGCAAAATGGGTTGGTCCGAATCAAAAAGCTGAAGAATTACCAAAATCTGCTACTGTTTACTTGATGGTGATGGATAGACTTTCAGAATTGTTGGGTGGAGGTGTTGCTCCTTTGGAATTAATTCCATCCACTGAAGGTAAATCAGTTATCATGGTGACAGGTATTCAAGGTTCTGGTAAAACCACATCGAGTGCCAAGTTGGCTTTACAATTAAAGAGAAAGGAAAATAGAAGAGTCTTGTTGGTATCACTTGATACTTACAGACCTGCAGCTCAAATGCAGCTTCAAACATTGGCTCAACAAATTCAAGTCGAATCACTTCCAATTATTCCAGAACAAAATCCAATTGAAATTGCAAAGAGAGCTATGGAATATGTGGGTCCAAATGGTGAACAATTTGATACTGTAATTTTCGATACAGCTGGTAGAATGCACATTGACGAACAACTCATGACAGAATTGGAAGAATTAAGAGCTATTGTTCAACCAAATGAAACCTTGTTGGTTGCAGACTCTATGCTTGGTAACGACGCTGTGAATATTGCTACTCAATTCCACGATCGTGTTGGTTTATCTGGTATTGTTTTGACAAGAATGGATGGTACTAGCAGTGGTGGTTGTGCTATCAGTATGAAACAAGTTGTTGGTTTGAGTGTTAAATATATTGGTATTGGTGAAAGGATGGATGATTTGGAAACTTTTGATCCCCAAAGTTTGGCTAAGAGAATTTTGGGTGGAGGTGACATTATGACTCTCGCTCAAAAAGCTAAGGATGCCATGAATTTGGATGCTGCTCAAGCTCAACAAAAACTTGTTCAATTCAGTAAGGGTGCATACACATTCAAGGATTATCAAGATCAAATTCAAATGCTTAAAAAGATGGGATCTCTGAAAAATATGGCCAGTTACCTTCCAGAACAATTTATTGGTAAATTCAGAGATAAATTGGATAATATGGACTTGTCATTCATTGATAATCACGAACATATCATTAGTTGCATGTCTGAACAAGAAAAATTGCAACCTCTCTTGGTTGAATCATCGAGTGCCAGAAGATTGGACTTGGCTAAGAGAGCTAAGGTTGAAGTTACCGATGTAAACAAGATGCTCAAGATGTACGAAAAGATGAAATCATTCATCAGTAAGGCTGGTTCAGCAGCCATGAAGGATCCAAAGAAAATGAGTGAACAAATGATGAAAGATCCAATGTTCTTTGCCAACATGTTCCCAATGAAAGTGAAGAAACAATTGATAAGGCCACCAAAGAGATAAATTTTTATTCTTTTTCTTCGACAATGTAATTGATTACATATTGATGTTTCATCTTGTCGACGTGAATAATCTTTTTGAATGTTTCATTTTGTTCCCTCTTGATAGCAATAACTCTACTGTTACTCATAACAAATGATTCAACAGCTGTTTGTCTTTCAGAATTGTTGGCAATCTTTAAAAGGGACATTGGAATTTGGAGCTCGTCTCTTCTCTTACCGTTCACTTGCACGACACAGAGTTGACTCTTCTTTTCAACCTTAATTTCGCTTGGAGTAACAGTTGGGAAGGCAGTTTCGAACACAGATGTACATTGTTTGAGTGGGTGATCTTTTGGTAAATGAGCTGTCACTGTCTTGAAGGTCTTTTCAGCAAATATTGGTGTGAAAGGGGCCATAACAGATGGTAACAAAAGCATTGCTTCTTCATAAGCCTTAGTATTTCCAATCTTTTCTTCATATTCTTGGAGAGCAATACCATATTTGTGGAGATTAGAAACACAAACATTGAATGTATAACGAGATGTCACACCTTCACGTGTTTGTTCAATGAGAGAATAAATCTCCTTCAAGAATTTGAATTCATCATCAGATGTTTCCACTTCAGATTGTTGTACATTTTCAGATTTACGTTTAGCAAAGTTGGAAATCAAACCATCCAAACGAGCAAGGAATCTTTGTTGCCCCAAAATTTGATTTTGTTCCCACATCAACTCCTTATCATATGGAGCTTTGAATAGAATGTAGAGACGAACAGTATCTGAACCAAATTCTTTCACAACAGCTTCTGGATCTACACCATTATATTTGGATTTGGACATCTTTTCCCAAACGCTTGTCAATGGTTTGAGAGTATTCTTATCTACAACTGTGCCATCTTCCAATCTTGTCATTTCTTCTGGTTTGTAATACTTATTGTTATCCAAATCTTTGAATGTTTCACCTTGGACCATTCCTTGAGTGAGGAGAGTATCAAATGGTTCCTTATGTTTCATATATCCTTCACTGTGGAGGAATTTGTGAATGAATCTAGAATAGAGCAAGTGAAGAATGGCATGTTCAATACCTCCAATATAGATATCTACATTCATTTCCTTATCGGATTTTTCTACACTAAATGCCTCCTTATCATTCTTGGCATCGGTATATCTGTGGAAATACCAAGATGAATCAACAAAGGTATCCATAGTATCAGTATCACGTTTACAATCGATACCCTTTCCACATGGACATTTGACATTAATCCAATCTTCAACTTTGGCCAATGGAGATGGTCCCTTACCAGTAAATTCAATATTTGTTGGCAAAAGAACTGGCAAGTCCTTTTCAGGAACTGGAACAGGTCCACATTGAGGACAATGAATGATTGGAATTGGTGCACCCCAGTATCTTTGTCTTGAAACTAACCAATCTCTCAATTTGAATTGGACAGATGGCCCACCAAAACCTTGTTCTTTAGCAAATTGAATAATTTTTGGTGTAGCTTCAGCAATTTTCATACCATTAAATTGTGCAGAATTAACGAGAATACCATTCTTTTCAGTGTAGCATTGATTTTCATCGACAATATCATCGAGTGGTTTGATTACTCTCTTAACTTGGATGGAGTGTTTTTGAGCAAATTCAAAATCTCTGGTATCGTGAGCTGGGACTCCCATAACACATCCCTCAGCAAAGTCAGCAATGACATAATCGGCAATATAAATTGGAATACGTTCTTTGGTGATTGGATGAATAGCATCAACACCAGTATAACAACCTTCTTTTGAGTTGCTGGCAACTTCATTTCTCTTCACACTTGTCAATGATGAAAGACGCTTAATAAAAGCATCAACTCTAGATTTATCCGATTCTGGAACCATTGCAGCAATTAATTTATCATTTTCTGGAGCAACAGCTAAATAAGTGACACCATAAATTGTGTCTGGTCTTGTTGTAAAGACAGTAATCTTACTTCCACTAGTTGTTTCAAAAGAAAATTCAGCTCCTTCCGATTTTCCAATCCATTGTTTTTGCATTGTTCTAACATTAATTGGCCAATTTTCCAAAGTATCAGCATCTTCCAATAATTCCTATTATTAATATTATTCATCCAACATTAAATCATCAATTAATTATCATTAAATCAGAATTACAGAATAATTATTAATAAATTCCAAATTTAAAAATCATCATCACTAAATAATACTGAATCATATTGCATTAAACATACGTTTGCAAATTCTCTAATTTTGAAAAACCATTGTCTCAAATTCTTTCTCTCCACCAAAGCACCAGATCTCCAAGATCTTCCCTGACTATCAACTTGTTCATTGGCCAATACAGTATTATCAATCGGATCCCAATTTACCAAAGCTTCTTGTTGATAGGCTAATCCCTTCTTGTGGAGTTGAAGGAAAAGCCATTGTGTCCACTTGTAATATTCCGGATTGCAAGTTATCACTTCTCTCTCCCAATCAAAATCAAAATCCAAGGCTTTAATTTGTTCCTTCATGTGAGCAATATTCTTGTGAGTCCAATCTGCTGGAGAAACACCTCTCTCAATGGCAGCATTCTCTGCAGGTAATCCAAAGGCATCAAAACCAAATGGATGAATAACATTGTACCCTAACATTTTATGAGTCCTAGCAATGAGGTCCGAAATTGTGTACACTCTAACATGTCCCATGTGCAAATTACCACTCGGATAGGGAAACATGGAGAGGACATACTTTTTCTTATTTAAAAGTTTTTTCAATCCAGCCATTTTTTATGTGAATTGATTTTTTAATTTCTTTGCTGTTGGGAAAAGAGTAGATTCTAATTGTGATTTGATATTATTGAGGAAGGAAATACAGCGAATTTAATGAATGAGAATGAAGAGAAAATATCCAAATAGTGCTCCTGCAAAAGTGTCCAGTATTGAATGTTGTTTGGTGAGGACACAACTTATTCCAATTGCCAATGGATTCAATAAAGTCCAATATCCAAAAATGTGGAGTTGAGTGAGTGACAAATAGGTAGCCAGAGAGCAATGGCCTGATGGTACTGTGTTGATATTCAGATCTGCTTTGTGCATCTTTTCATAGAAATACTTTGTCAAGTTGTCCAACTTTCCGTTTTTTGACTCATAGTGAGCTATGCTATCCCGATAGAAATCTGGAGTATTGGATGGGAAAATTACAAAGAAAATACATTGTGTAATTGTCACTAGAAGCATTCCAAATAAGACTCTAAATAAATATTCCAAATCAGGTGAGGTGGGTATAATCAGAGACATGATAAATAAATCTCCAAAAGAATACAAATAAATAGCATGAGGAATAAAGGGTATCCAGTCATCTAATTTACAATGTAAATTGATAAAATCTCTAGGTTTGGCCATTACAATTCTTTGTGACTGTGGATAATTAAGATATTGACCTATCAATCATAATCACTTACTTTGAAATATAGTTCAAATCCTCCAACAAATGCAAATAAAGAAACAACACATGTGGCAAAGTATTCGTATAAAGTAAAGTTATTATAATTTAAAAAGAATCCAATCAAATATTGAGAAAAACATAATACTATGATAATACCAAATCCCGTGATGACATCTTTCACCTCTTCATGTTGTTGTTGTTGATTCTGCTGATGATGAACTTGGAAGAGTTGTTTAGCCATTTTTTATTTGCCATACGCATCTTCCCTGCCAACAATTTCAAGGCCTCTAATTTCAAGGTCTATCACGATTATTAAATAAATTGCCGTGAGTTGGGCTGATATATGGTAGTAACAAAGTATCTAGTTCAATATTGAAGAGATCATTTTCAATTCCTTACAAAGAGTATTATATATCTTCTAAGAATCCTGTAGATCTGAATCAAACAAATTAATTTATTAATACGTTATCGTATCATAGGATTGATATGGTTTGTCCTTAGAAAAAAGAACAGGCCCTTTGTTGCCGTTGAAAGGAGTTGGCGCCAAATGATTTAAAAATTTAAAAAAAAATACGACTAGGACGATTTAAGGCACTACTTAATTTGATAGATCAAAACATCATCTGCACCATTATCATTGAAAAACATTTTAAATGTCTAGTTTGTTGGACAATAGCGAGTTGGATTTGTTTGATAATCAACAATCCATTGAGGAGATGCAGCGGGAGATGGATACCAATCTTACCATGCTCAAACAAACAAGTATTTTGGATGATGAATTTGATGATTTGAATGGATCTTTAGGAGGATCTTTCTTTGATCCAACAGGAAGTAAATTATCACCTCTTGAAATGAGTGACATTTTGCTTTCTCCAACAATTCTAACGCCGAGAGCAAACCTCTCAATGGGTGATGAAGAGAAACGTTTTATGGATGGGGAATTCTTTGAAAAGGAGATAATGGTAAAAAAGGAGAGGGACAAAGCATATTATATTACAAAAATGGATTCTCTAATGCCAGACATCAAATATGAAACTCCAAGTGGAAATCTAATTGAAAAGAAAGGTGTAAATAATTATTTAATTAATGAGAAGTATATTCATTACCCTTCTCCGTTAGGAAATTCTGCAAAACTACTCAACCTTAAACCTGGATCTCAAAAAGACCTTCTAACAGAGGATAAGGTTTTACCCAATATTAGTGACAGAAAATCTGTTGCTCATAACATTAGATTGATGGCTGCCTCAAAATTACTGAGCGAGGCTCAAGAAGACGAAAGTGGAGAGTGGCTTTTTACTCCTAACATTCAAGGCAATCCAAAAACTCAAATAACATTCTCAGTGCCCGGCTCCAAAGTAGAAAAAAAGGAGGAAGACGACTTTTTAATTGGAGATTCTTCTGAGGATGAGTTTTTCCAAGCTTCCCCAGTTCTTGAAGACGAGTCAAAATATGTAAATGATGAAAAAGCAAAGAAACAAGCCACAATTGAAACAATTAACCAACCTCCACCCCCTCAACCAGTAATAATAACAAAATCTAAACCAAAAACAAAAACAAATGCCGTTGATCCATTAAGGAGATCGGAACCTTCAAAACCAATTAAGGATATGGGATATAAGCCTCAATTTTTCAATCCAACCGATGAAATTAAATGTAAAGAACCCTCAGAAAAGAAGAAGCAACAGTGGGATAAGACAAGTACAGCCAATACATCGAGTGGTAGTATTGGTTCAACTGCTGTTAAGAAACCAAGTCTTAAAGATGCCATACCCACAAATTCCACAATGTTTCCACCACCATCAGCCCAAAATTCACCTCGAAGAGGAAGTATATCATCACTTACATCCATAGTAACTGATGTAAGGAAGAGTGTGGAAAGAGTTCCTGTAAATACTCAAATACAAAGAGTGAAAACTCCAACAATAGGGGACATGAAAGCAAAGAAGAAACCTTCTAGGCCCAACACAACTGGAAATTCTAAAAGTTTCACCACATCTCGGCCAAACAGTCCTCTTACAGTTGCAACTTCTTTGCCTGAAACTAAACAAGAGCTAGATCAATATGATGTCACTGATACGTTTAGTGAAATAAGTACTGCGGAGAGTGTTGAAATGTATGACAATGATTTTTCTTCTTTTGAAGTGCACGATAGAAGCCAACCAAAAAATTGGAAACTAATGCAGTGGAGAAGGGAAAACTACAAGGAAAGAACACGATCATCTTCATTCTCTAAAATGAGTGGTGAGTCCAAGTCTAGTACTCCAACACCAGTTGGATATATTTCTGACGTTTTCTATTCTCCTCCAACCAGTCCACAACACAAGCCCTCCTATGATTCCATAGTTATAGCTCGAGACTTTGTTATGGAAGTAATAGATATGAGCTTTAACAAGGCTATTGAAAAGAGATCTATTGAGCAACATTCAATAGCATTTTTTGGAAAAACTGATGTTACCAGATACGTTGATGATATAATATCTTCCTCACACCATAATTCTTATAGACTTATACTCAATGTCAGTATTTCTCTTTTCCTTGACAAAAAGCTTACTGAGCTTGATTGGGTTGAGGAAGATGTGCCTTGTTTTGTAGAGTTTTACAAGATTTTTGAAAATGACCCTTCAAGAAATCAATCATTATTCAAAATATTTGCATTCTACTATTCATTTGTAAACGTGGGAGGAGGATCTAATTTGTTGGAAAGAGATGAGCTGTCCAAATCCTTCTATTACAATATTGATGTTGTGCAGAACAATAGAACTATACCATTCGAAAGAGGAGCCAAATATGAGTGGAAATTACGAGAAAATCTCTATTTACCAGTACCTTTTGCTGATAGAAAACAAAAGTTGGAGCCACACCCAATGGATCCATCCCTTCAGTCTACATTCTTTTCTCTTTTTCATATCAAGGATTTGAAAGGTCCAGAAAATGAAAAGTACATCACACCATACCAGCTATCTCCTCCACAAACTCCAGTCAAGGAAAAACCCTCCTCCAGTAACAGTGCTCTCAAAACTGATGAGAATATTTTTGCAGTCAACCTTAATGCTTCTGAGTCCAACTCTCCTCCACTCACTAAACAGAATAATCAAACGAAGAATGTTAATGACACTCTTCACACAGATGATATTCAACTATCTCCTATTTTCATGCCACCAACACCACTCCCAAATAAGAACCCAGGAAAACCAGTCCAAGAAAAGGAGGCTAAGTGTTGTTCGATCATGTAATCAAAATATATTTCCTCTGTTTTAAGTCTTGATAACAGTTGGGAGGTTGAATAAACTTTCCCGCCAAAAGTAGAGTACAATTTTCATTCAAATAAAAAAATGTCGACAAGTAAACAACAACTACAAAAATCGTCATCAAAACAAGAATTAAAATCAAAGGAGATCATCAAAAAAAAGGAATTGGATGAAGAGAATAGTAGCGGAGACGAAACTCCTCCAAATATTGAGGATTTAGGAAACAACAAACCATCATCCTATGCCAAGTTGGATAAACTTGCAATGGAAGGCTCTCCAGATGTAAATAAATCTCTCCTAGAGGAGCTTGAAGCAAAGGAGAGTGAAATACGAGATTTAAAAGAAGTTGTGGAAGAGTTGAGGAATACAAACCGAGAAGTAGAAGCTTTGTTTTTGGATGGTATGTAATATTACAACAAGATTCAATTTAATGACTTCATGATCAAGATTCGGAGGAATTAATAGACTTGAGAGACAAAAAGCTCATTGAGCTGGCAAAAAAAAATAAGAATATAATTGTAAAATTGAATAAGGAAAAGTCTAAAGTTGCAGTTCTTACTCAACAGGTACAACAATTACAACAATCGAGTCGATCAATAACAGTCACAAATAATAACAATCTGAGACATTTTAGTTCTAAGGTGAGGGAAAACTTAAATGAAACCAATTCAGGATCTGTGGAAGAAGAGGACGGAGAGGATGAAACAATGAAATTACTTAAACAATTTAAAGAAAGGGCTGCAACTTATGAGAAACGAATGAAAATGCTTAGAGAGCAAGGAGAAAAGCACAAGAATGAAAATTTGAAACTGAGAGCTCTTATTCAAAAAGAAGTTGGTGATGACTTGTCGATTGATTCACTTCTTACCAATAGCGACGGGTTTAGAGGAAGAGCTCAACAAATTTATTTACTTAAAAATAAGGTCAAGGATCTCCAAAAGAAGTTAGAATCACAAACAATCTCTTCTCCTACAATTTCAAATATTCCAAGTCCTCTCTCATCAACAATTAATAGTATATCTCCTCAATCAGTCTCTGCCAATGAAAACAGCTCCATTTCAACACTATCTACTGTTTCTGTGGATGAGAGGCAAAGAAAAGCAATTGAAAAACTTGAACAAGAAAGAAGGAATGAAGTTGTCGATTTGAAAAAAGAAATTACTGAAAAAGTGGAAGAAATCAAAGCTGTCAAGAATAAGTTGGATGCATCTGTGGCTAGAAACAAAATTTTAGAAAAGACCTACAATGAGATTAAGGCCAAACAGGCCAGAATGATTGAGAAATCCGAGAATGACAACAAGCTTGTCGATTTGTTGAAAGCAGAAATTGACAATTTAAAGAAAAGAAGGCCAAAATCTGGAGCATCTATACCATCTGCTCCACAATTAGAGCAAGAAATCAAAAGGCTGGTAGGTAGTACTTTTAATGAAGCTTTGCTTAATATTTTCTATAGGGCAAAGACATTGAACAAAAGGATGAAATCATCAAATATTTGAAAAATGAGCTTCAAAGCACAAGTAGAAGAGCACTAGACACTCTACAATTTCAAAATACTAGTTTCGATCTCAAACAGCCAATTTCCAATACCACACCGGATGAGGAATTAAGATTAAAACTCACTATTACAACTATAGAATTGGAAAAGTTGAAAGAACTTAAAAAAGTTACTGGATCTAAAATAACAGAGCTGGAGCAAAAGCTGAACGAGACTAATGAAATACTGATGAAAGAACGATTGCAAACTTCAGAACTGGAAAGAAAATGTCAATTCTTGAAAGGAGAAAGAAATACGTTCGATTATCCTTCAACATCACAACTCCAGGAAGAAATAATGCTCCTCAGAGATGAAAATGAAGCTCTTAAACTCACAATTGAGCATAGTAAACGATCTAAGGAAGAGGAAATCAGGACCTACCAAGAAATTATTGAAACACAGAAAAGAAATTATGAACAACACATAACTGCACTCAAGGATAAACTAGGAGAATCTTCACAATTATCTTCGAGCTTTGAGCTACCATCTATTAGACAAAGAACTCCACCAAGATTAGACCCAGAAGCACAACAATCAGAATTAGAAGAAGAACAGAAACGATTACTTGAAGAAAATGATCAATTGAAACGTCAATTAGCAGAAATCAAGAACATGTATAATACACTAGCTTACTCTCAGCAACAACGAAAGAAATTCACTCTCAATAAATAATTAATAATTTAAAATTAATTTAAAAAAATGAGTAAATGTGAACGTACCCAACTTTTAATCAACGAGAATATTGATGATTACTATATTCAACCTGCAACAACCAGTAATGACCCAATTTTAAATTATGATTTATGTATTCAAGAACATAAGAATGGTTTATTTGTGATTTGTTTATCTCCGAAGCACTTTCTTTGCCAAAATACTTTCCGAGTAGTAAAAGTGCATTTTCCAATTCAACCACCAACTACAACAACACCATCCGATAATGCCATGGAGGATGATGAAAAACCAAAGGAGGTCAAACAACAAAATAACAACAATGGAAAAAAGAACAAACAAAAATTACCATGTCACTCAATTCAACCAAACACAATAATTTGTAAAATTGAATATGCCTCAAATGAGTCTCCAGAAACAATTTGCTCATTGGAAATACAATCATATGTGAAAGGAAAATTAGTAGAGGTCAATCAGAGATTATCTGAAACAGCTACACCATCTTTGTGTCAAACTCATCCACTCAATTTTGGATATTTAGCAATTATTGACCCAAATGAGGCTATTAAGAATTTGAAACAAAAGAATGAACTAATGAAAACTTGGAAACCAAGAAAGGATTATTACTCTCAATAAATATTGTTTTCACTATTGATGTGCGTATAGTAAGAATCGTTAAGGTCCTTATCAATTTGTGATTCCTAATTTTCTTTTGTGGTGTGTGAAATATTCCAATAAGGTTTGTTTGTCAGCTTTTTCAATAACATTGTATCAAAATAAATTCAACCCCAGCATGAGTTTTACAAAATTGACTCGCAGAAACAACACAAACACATCCCGTTGCGCGCACTTTTCATTAGTTTACAATTTCTATTCTTTTACTTCCAAACAACCATCCAGTGGCCACAGATAAAAACCAGAAATGTTTGCAAACAGAAAGAAAACACAAGAAAAAATGCCTGAATTTCCACCACTAGGTGATTATATGATCGAGTACAGTAAATCAAGCCGATCAAAATGCAAGTTGACTGGCAAGAATATTCCACAAAGTGTTCTTAGGATTGGAAAGATTGTCAGATCAGAGGTTGATAGTTTTGGTGGAAATTATCCAGAATGGTACAATTTTGAAGGTAAATACTTTATAATCACACACCACCATCATCATCAATAACAAATAATATTTAATTTAGAATATATCAAAGATGATGATTTGGTTGAAAAATTGAAGAATCACGAAATACACGGATTAAAAAAATTAAAAGCCAATGATAAGAAAAGAATTGAGGAATTGTTAAAACAAGAGAAGAAGAGAAGTTTGGAAATTACAATTGATGAAGAGGAAAATCTTTCTAAAAAGATTAAAATGTCAAGCTCAACACTCACACGAACAAGTGCATTGGAAGAGTTTACCAATGATTTGATTTATGAAATTTCAAAGTTTCTCAATGCTGAATCATTTGCAAATTTGGCAGTGTTGAATTCTAGAATGTATGGAAAGTTTAACTCGTGCATTTGTGATATGATGAATAGAAATGAGTTTGTACAAGTGATGAGAAGTAAGAAGGTGGATCCTAGATTTAGTGTTCACCTAACCTCAAATCTACCATCTGTTGTTGAAGAGTACAAGAAGAATTGCTCACTATCAATCAGTATTCTATTCATGGCACTAGAGTATGTTTCTTAATTCAATGAGTTTATTAATTTTTATTCAGTCGATATCCTGGAGGTAATTCAGATGAAATGATTTTGAGTTGGAAACTCAAGGTTAAACCAAACAAGCCAGTACAAATCAAGAAGGGTCAATTACGTAGTTGGGATGGTTCTCTCTCTGGCAATCGTTCAATGAAAATTCAAATTGACCGTTCTCCTATTGATCTCCTCAAGAAAATGATGAGACAATCATGTGATACTCCCAATAAGGATAATTTACACTACTTTACAATAAGGGATAATAGATTTGATTCAGAGGAGTATGATACTGAATGGAGTGGAATCAAAATAGATGTTGCCTTATCAGAAACTAAAGAAAACATTTTTTCCTTTCATCAACAAGCAATTTATACAAACGAAAGGAGAAAGAAGGCAGAAAATGATTCAATTGAGTATCCTTTGAGTGAAAATGCAACATCCCTTGTTGAATCTCTTCAAACATTTTGTGGAATATCAAGAGTAGAGGCCGAATCAGAGGGACTATCTATCTCTTCAAAAGAACCACCAAAATATCCAAAAGCTTACTGTTTTGACATTGAAGAAGCCACTGATCAATATGAACCACTAACCATTTATTTGCATAGAATTTATGAAAAGTAAGCTTAATAAATACTTATTCCTGAACAAGGAGATGACTAATTTCCATCATTGTGTTCTACAGGATAAATACTTTAGTTCGACAAGAGTTGACTTTTAATAGAAACTCTCTGTAGATGATACTTTGCATTGTAAAATCAAATTATTTAAAGTAGTCATTTATCAAGTACATTCTTGAATAATACTTCCTATTTTCGGCTTCATTGTATAAATAGACTCTAAGCCACACAAACAAGATCAGAATCAAACCCTTCTTTCATACAAAAAAAAAATATCATCACACAACTTTAACTTGCCTCAAAGCTTCATTTTTGATTAACACACACAGTAGTAGACTTCTATTGTCCATTAATCAATATGTTATCGAGCAACAGCAGCAGAAGAAGAAGTATCAATCTCATCCATCAAATTCAATCCATCACCAAAAACAATGGAAAGTTTATACTTGGAAGTGCGGCCAACTGGACTACCACTAATTGGAATCAATCTACAAAATTCATCGGAGAAAGAACATTCAGTACTCACTCTTGTTTAAATGGGCCAGAGTTGAAAAAGCAACAGAAAATGGATGATTATAAATATTCGGCTAGAGAAATACCATCCCAGGTCACTCCCACCTATTTTGAAGCAACTTTTGTTGTCAATTCAGTTGAAGAAACTAGAAATTTGGCCGAAAGATTTTCATCCATGTTGGAATCTACAGATGTTGTCTTATTAATTGGTGATATGGGAAGTGGAAAATCTGTTTTTGCAAGACACGTTATCAGAGTATTGGAAAAGGATATGAATCTCAATGTTCCATCACCAACATTTTTGCTAGATAATATTTACGAATCCAAAATGACGAGCAAGAAAGTGTAAGTTTCGTATTATTACAATGAATTTTAATTTAACAAATATAATAATTTAATAGTCCTATTCATCATATTGACCTCTATAGATTGGAACGATTTGATAGATTGGATTTACCATCTGTTTTTTCAAGTGGAATTTCGCTCATTGAATGGGGAAATAGATTATTGGAAGAAGATGTGATGAAGCAACCACATCACACTATCATCAAAGATGCCATGTCAGACACAACCAAATGTCACATTCTCTGTATTATTTTCGAACCAGTCGATACAGACATGAACTCTGAAGTGGCAGATGAGCAAGACGAAAAGAGAATTATTACCTTCCACTCGGCAGATACAGCATGGAAAGATCGTTTGAATTTACTCTCTCATTAATTGTACCATAAAACCCTAAAGAAATGATTTAGATTTTCAATTTACCTTGCAGGTACTTGTGTAATAATTTTCAATTTTTAAATTCACAACAAAAAAATGTTATCACGACAATTTACCAAACAATTACTCCGATTGCCAACAGGATATAACCAAAGATTGGCCACTACCTTCTCATCAAGATGTTTTTCCACTCAATTTTCTAATAGATTATTATCCAATAATACAACAACAACAAATACCTCATCAGAACAATCAGAAAGTAAAGAAGAAAAAACCTCAACATTATCGGAACCAGTGGTAGAAAATTCACCAGCCCAAGAACCTACCACAACAACCAACGAACAACAAACCAATACCTCATCAGAACAATCAACAACATCAGAAAATGTTTTTAATTTGCAATCGACAGCTTCTCTCATCATGGACTCTGCCGAAAGTCTGAAACAAAAGAGAGAAATGTTACAAAAAGAATTGGAATCCCGTAAGGATGCAGAAGTCATGTTAAAGAAGGTTATTTATAGAGGTATTCGTGCATTTGGTGTTCTGTTTATTTCTGTTTGTTTATTGATTTGGGCTGTAAAGAGGAAGAATTTGGAAGCCAAGGTTAAAAAGTTCAATGACAAGATTAAAAAGAGTGAAGAGAAGGAACAAGAATTGGAAAGAGAGCTCGAAGCTAATTTCTCTTACATTAAAAAAGATATTGAAAATAAGAATGGTACTTCAACCAGTCAATAGATGCTAATATTTTAGAATCGGCTTACATCTTTAATTTGAATTGTAAACAGAGCATAACAAATTTCAAATGGACTTTGTCAAACTAAAAATAATCATCAATAAAAAACAAGTAATATTATTTTTTTAAATAAAAAACACAAAAAAATATTGCATCGCATCATCATGTCTGAAATTCAAAACTTCCAAACATTCGATCCTTTCAGAGATTCCGCAGACAACAACCAACTTTCAACCACTGTTACTGAACAAAACTTCGTTCACATCAGAGTCCAAAAGCGTAACGGTAGAAAATGTGTTACTATTGTTGAAGGATTGCCTCGTAATTTCAAGTTTAAGAAATTCATCAGTGGTGTCAAGCATAAATTCTGTTGCAACGGAACAATAGTAGAAGATGAAAAGGCAGGTAAAGTTATCCAAGTTTCTGGAGATCAACGAGGCAATATTTCTGAATTTTTGCTCGAAGAAGGTATTGTCACCAAGGAATCTCTTAAAGTCCACGGTTTCTAAACATTTCAATGTTTAATAATCTCAGATTATTTACTCACTCTCAATTTTCCCTCTCTACCACCCAACACCTTTTCCTAATCATCATCAAACAATAAAACATAATTTAAAATTTATTCGTGTTCTTGTTGTTGGTATTTATCAATGATGTTACACGAGTTAACATCGCTGCGAATTTAATGCACAAATTGAAGTCTTTGCTTGACAAAAACTGCCTCTAAATTACTTGAATGGTTTTGGTCCTGTTGATTTCGTCTTCTCTTTTGTAATCGAAGCCTTCTTTGTTGAGTTCAAGCTAGCGACAGAAGGAGGTCTTGTTTTCTTCTTTAGAACAGGAGGATACCATTCCTTTGGCACTTCTCCAACAATGAGCTCTGGGTGTTTTTGGAAGAATTCTTGTAAGCCTCCACTAAGAACTACAATATTATCAAAACCCTTTTCAAAGAGAAGGTTGGCAGCAGGACAAGCAATCTTTTCGTCCCTGTCATATATTACAATTTTTTTGAGAGGATGATTTTTCTTAATAATTCCAATAAGGTTCCAATTTTAAAGATTTAAACACTTACAAAAGAAAGCATTTCAGGTGTAAATGGATTAACAGTTCTATTCACTGTAGCAGCTGGATATCTATAAGCTGTCTGGATGTGACATACTGAATATTCATCTGTATCTCTAACATCCAATAAGAGTACCATATTATCCACATCATGAACATCTTCCTTCAATCTGGTTTTTACAAGGATTGGATCAGATTGATGCACTGCTAATTTGGCTTCAGAGAATGTGCAAGAAGCCATAGATGAATACAAGCTTTTTGATCCACTTGGTGATGGTGGAGCATGTTCTAGAGGCTCTGTTTGTGAGGTGTTATTTTGCGAATTTAATTTGAGAAGAATGAGTTTCATTAATTCAGTTCCTTTCATTCTCTTAAAGTTTTCAACTTTTTTAAATAATTTAGAATCGCCTGTTGTTAGGAAAGTAATGTTCGGAAACATTCAAGATCTTTGAACTTACCTGAATCATCCTTCTTTTTTACTTTTCCTGTATCCAGTGATGATCTTACATCTTTAAAACAAACACTTGATGGTGCCTTCTTCTCCAAAATCTATTGTTGTTATTTTGATTTAAATTAAAACAAAAGAATAATTAGACCATCATCATCATACAATATATTCCCAACCTACCTTAGCATCACCAATAGGTTTAAAATAGCAGCTCATAATACAACAGTGCAGTATAATGGAGATTAAAAATCCAAAGTTGAATTTTTTTTTGATTTGAAATTTGTACTCTGATTGGCGGGAAACTATTTTTGTTGAGTAGTAACAGATAGCTCCTAGACTGTTATTTCAGTTAGTACTAATTTTCAAATATCTTTACAAGATGTGATTTGTTACAGGGAGAGAGTGTGATTGGACAGGTTGAATGACTTATCAAATGATTTTGAATACACTTGTAACAGAATACAAAGCCAGAAACTGTCAATAAAGTGGCATTTCTTCTTTCCTTCTTACACAATGGACATAATCTTGGGTTTGTTGGTATTTCTAGACCTCCTGGAGTTCTCTCTGGTTGTGAAGGTGGAGGTGGAATGATGATATTTCCCTTTGTGAGAAGTGATGATTCATTATTGAAATACCATTCAAAGAATTTGAAAAGGAAGGCTATTGCTAAGAGTAAATGAGTTGAGTAATCAGAAATTGAGTATAAAAATTTGATAATGTAACCAAAAAGAGATCCAAATAAATTTCCCCCCAATTTTTTGAAAGATTCAATGAGATTATTTCTCTTGATATTCATAGCACTCAAATGTTGTACATGTTCTGATGGTGATAATCTCTTAAGACATAGTCCAATCAAATACATGAAAGGATTATGATATTTGAAATCTCTCTTTAACAGATAGAGGAACATGAAAAAGAAATGAGAGCCCTCATAGGCAGTACTAATATATGGCCATAATTTCATAAAGTATGTCCTAACAATTTTTGAAAATCTATGATATCCCATATTACTTGACTCCTCTTGCAGCATTTCCGAAGGAATAATTGAATTATCCAATTCTGTAGAATTTCTAATATCTGACAAGGCATGCTCTCTTCTCAAATCAACATATAAATTTTCCAATTTATCCTTTATATAAGGAACAAAGACAAGATATGCAAGACTTTGTGCTCTCTGTTTGCTGGTAAGAAATGAAGGTTTTGATTGATTATCAGGTGTAAATTGATTTGCATCCACTCGTTTCAATCCAAATAAATGCTCGGCAAAAGAAGAGTCAAAATTTGAGAGAAAATGTCTCTCGATCACAAGTTGAAGTATTCCAAATAATTCATCATAATATTTCAAAATGTTCAAATATCTAAAATTGCGTTGTGCAGCCATTGACAAGATGTATCGGAGCGCTGATTTTAATCCAGAAATCATTCTTTCCTGTGTCATTATTTCAAAGAATGTTGGCTGAAACATGGAAATTGATGATCGGCTTGATGCCGATGAATTATTATCAGATGTTGGTTGATATTGTGATGAGAGAAAGGACATTTTTTTAATAATTTCGTATTCATCATAAATTATTTAATATTAAAATTGAAAGAAAAAATGAAAAAGATTGGACAAAGCATTCTCAGACTCAATCGTCTTTATAAAACTTCTTCATCATTGACATTTTTCGGAAATACTAGAGTACAATTGAAAACTTTCTCACTTCATCATGGTGGTGTGGTATTAAATCAAAAGCCAGGTTTGTCCAACAAGGCCATCGATACAAATCCAAATTTAAAACCAGAAAAACCATCACACCTCATACAGGCACCATTTCACGAATCAATACTTTCGAAAAAGATTAGTGATGCTGCTAAGAATGCAGAGGAATTTTGGGTTTTAGATAACAAGGATGCCATCAAGTATTTGGAAAAGAAAATTGTTACTTTTTCGGAAGAAATTGATGAAAGTGATGAACATTACCAAGTCAGTATTTACAAGCTGAAAGAACTTCTTGGCACAATGTTCTTTTCTTTGGGAGAATATGAAAAATCAAAGCCATTATTTGAGGAATTAAGATCATTCTACCTGGAACAATGTGAAAAGATCCCAACTGAATCTTTGACAAAATATGAAATTTCTGACATTTGTGTAAATTTACATGATTGTTATGTAGCTACTGGAAATATTAATGAAGCCAATCAAATTCTCGAAAAATCTTTGGAATTGTGTGAAAATAGATCGGTTTTGGCCTCAACTATTATTGAAAAATTATCTTACAACTTGTTATCAATTTCACAAGATAAGAGGTATGACCTCAGTCAAAAAACTGACATGTTGAAGGAGGGAATCAAGCTCGTTTCTGGAGCAATTGAAAAGGACGACACACATTGTGGACTACTCTATGCTAAGGGTATCTTTTTGGAAGAATTATCCAAAATTTTGCCAATCACACGAGTTGAAGAAAGAGAAAATTATCTGAAAGAGGCAGTCAGTTGTTATGATAAGATCTTAAAGATAGATCCAACTGAATACCATGCAGAGATGAATGCTGGTGATTGTCACTCAAAATTGGGTAATGATCAAGTTGCTCTTTCATTCTACAATAGATTTATTGATCACTTTAATTTATTTGTGAAGGATTGTGTTGCCAAAGGAAATAATATTGATTTTAATGCAGTTTATGTGGATATTTTGGTGAAATTAGGTATTGCTTACACAAAGTATGAGGATCATGAAATGGCACGTTCTCATTTCGCATACTGTATGGAATATATTGACACTTGTTTAAAGAAGAATCCAGCAAATGCACAAATATTGAAACAATACAAGGTCAATGCACTTAATAAGAGAGGTCTGTCATATTTCAGAAAGAAGGAGTATTGGAAATGTGTAAATGACAATACTGAAGCAATTAATATTGATAATACCTTCTTCCCTGCTTTCAGAGATAGATGCGAAGCCTATGAGGCATTGGGTCAAACAGAATTAGCAAAAGAGGATAGAACCATGGCTGAATACTTGAAACGTAAATATGTAGCAAATGTAATGTTCTAATCTTGATCACTGTCACTACTATCACCACTACTGCCACTATCACTGTTGTCCTCTACTCGTTTTCTTTTCAATGCTGATGAAGAACCGAGAAGAGAATTCATAATATTCATATATGCCACCATATCCTGTTCAATATTTTTGCTTTCTTGTGGAGTAAAATCCTTTCCAATTCTCAAATTTACAACTTCATCTTTTTCTTCCAATTTTTGTTCATCCTCTGTTGGTCCATCTATATCTGTAATTAGGCTTGTTTTTTGTTTTTGTTCTAATACTCCCAATACTACATTCATCTCCACATAGGGTTTATGTTCGGATTCTTCTTCATCATTATAATTTTCCTCTTGAAGTTGAGCACCATCTTGTTCCTCCTCATCATCATTCTCAATAATTTCAACACAATCCGAAAAGCCTTCAACTTCACCACTTTCTAGCTTTTCGTTTGCTTCTTTAATTTGTGGTAAAAAGCTTTGTAGTCTGGACAAGAGCTCGGAAGGAGCAAATCTAGGCATTCCTTCATTTGTGCCATCTTGTTGCTGTGATAATTTGAGAAAGGATGGTTTACTAATAGGATTTGAATTTTCTTTCTTTTTGTTCAAATTGTCTTCAATATCCAAGAGAAGGGAAGATGATGATGAATGAGTGTTGTTGCTTGATGACATTTTTTCTTTTCTTCCTTCACCAAACATTTAGAGTACAATAAGTTTAGACAAACATAGCAACCAAACTTGAATTCTTTGGTCTAATCTTTGCCACAGTGATAATTTGACATACAAGCTCAACAATCCATTGAGCCATTGACAATTATTTGAAATGGGAACTTATTCTTAGTTGGAGCTCAATTTCCATTCTTTCACCTCAAAACCCTCAAGCCATTCTGATCAATCGCACTACAATAATGTCTCCAGAGTACAATGCGCGGGAATAACAAGTTCATATTCAAAAAAATTAATAAATTTTCATCATTAAGGGATACATAGAGAAGAAATAGAGAATGACCACCGATCAACCTGTTGATGTTTTAGGAGCAGAAGAAGATTCCGATGATGGAAGTGGAGAAGGAGCAAGAGATGAGCTTGAGAAGAAATATGGATACACTTATGGAGAATTTCTTGTAATTTTCGGATGGCTAGGAAGTATTGCAATGTTGGGAGTTTATATGTGGAGTGTTATATCTGGCTACTCTTATCTTCAGACCCATCCTCCAGTATCAGTGGATGTCACTTCTTATTCATCATTGAACTTTCCCAAGACAACATTTTGTTCATCAATACCAGATACAGCACTAAGTTTTACTGGATGCACAATTCCTGGAGGGAGTTGCACTGAAACTCTTTCATCATCAAAAATTACAGTAACACAGGCAGGTACTGTCTACACGTATCAGTGTTTTACATTTAATGGAGATGGAAAATCAAAATACAAATCAAATCAAAGTGGATATGGTGGATCAATTGCTTTTGAGTTTACACTTGATGATTTCTCAAAGATTAATAGTCTTAAAAGAGCTGGTCTTTATGTATTTTTCAATACTTATGATGAAGGTGTTTCTGTCGATAATGACCATGCCAAGTTCAATTTTGCATCAGTTGGAGATGATAACTTTTTCACTCTCTCTTTAGAGAACATTAAGAGATTAAAGACATCAGTCGAGTATAGAACTGATAACACACTCTATAAGGCAGTGAAGTCTTCTGTAAAATTAATTAACTATTCTGATGGAACAGTTGTGGTTTCTGTTGGTTATGGTAAATTGGACATTACAACTAGAAATGAATTCGAGTCTAAAACTTGGACTGAATTGATGGGAGAAATTGCTGGTATGTTGGGTGTATTGTTCGGCCTGGATCTCCTAAAAATGATAAGAGTTGGGTTTATTATATTCGAAGCAGTCAAAACTAAACAACACAGACTGGTCTATGAAGCTTTGAATTAAGGTTTAATAACCAACAATGTAATATAATACATTATGAATTTAATAAACATAATCGAGAAGCCATTCATCTCCCGCTTTTATGTTCAAGTTCATACACTCTCTGTAGAAACACCCCAAATACAATATGAACTACATGCTTAAAAAAATGAATTCAACTGTTCCCGTGCATACTCTTGTAGAAGGAGTTGAAAAGGTTGGAGAGAAAATAGGTATACAAATTTCTGCTCCAGCTGCTCCTAAAAAGAAATGGAAATTTGCAGTAAGGGATATTTTCGCAATTATTGGTTGGTTGATTTTTCTAGGATTTAGTGGCTGGTATATTTATGACGTATCGGATACCTATGAGAAGAGTAAAAACCAGCCTACAACAACAATCTCGTATGTCACTCAGGATAAGATGGAATTTCCTGGGATGACCATTTGTAATTATAATGCCAAGCCTCCTTCCGAAGCTTGTGATTATTGTGATATTACTTTTACTGGAGCTTATTCTTACTCCAGCTCTGGAGTAAAGTCTTCAACAACCATTACAAATCAAAAGAAGGAGATTGTAACTTCTGGACTGAAATTTAATTGTTATTTTCTTAATAATGAAATTAAGAGTATTAAGACAACATCAACTGCAGGATTTGGAGGATCAATATCATTGAACTTTAAAATGAAAGCTCCTACTGCAGGGAAATATGGTGCTCAGATTTCATTCCATGAAATAGCTGCTGAAGCTGACATTTTTGCAGAGACACAATTTGCTTCTCCATACAAGGATAATATGTATACTCTGAATAAGGTGACAAAGAACTTTCTTGATGGGAATTCAACTACACTGTGGGAGCCAACCTTGTCACAAATCAAAATATCGAATGCCAGTTCTGCAGATATTATTATCTCTGTCTCTTATGGAACGCTTGATGTTCAAGTTATTGATGAAGTCCTATCGACAGATATTCCAGGTTTATTGGGTTCTATTGCTGGTATTATCGGTTTAACAATGGGGTTAGATATTATGAAAATGTTGAGAGGTCTTCTTGAGGTTCCATATGCTGTTCACCAAAAGTCAATCAGAGGCATTTGGAAGATTTTCAATTAGCTTATTCAATTAATTAATTTCAATTGAGCTTAACTTTACAAAATGGAGATCCGCTTTTCCTTCCAAAACTAAAATGGTCCATACTCTTGGTTGAATGGAAAAACGCGAAAATTTATTTATTAAATTATTATAAAAAAATGACTTTAAAGACTCGTGCTGTTATTGTTGCCGCTCAAAGAACACCAATCGGTTCCTTCCTTGGTAAACTCTCTGGATTTGATGCACCAAAATTAGGTTCATTGGCCATTCGTTCTGCCCTTCAAAAATCAGGTGTTACACTCTCCGAAGTACAAGAAGTAATTATGGGCAATGTTATTTCTGCTAATTTGGGTCAAGCTCCAGCTCGCCAAGCTTGTATTCATGCTGGTCTTCCAGATAGTGTCGTTTGTACAACACTCAACAAGATGTGTGCTTCTGGTATGAAGGCTGTCATGTATGGTACTCAATCAATTGAATTAGGAATCCATAATTGTGTTGTTGCTGGTGGTTTTGAATCTATGAGTAATGCACCATATTATGTTCCACACGGAAGATCTGGTCACAGATTAGGTGATGGTAAATTGGTTGACTCAATTTTGAAGGATGGTTTGACTGATGCCTTCAGTAATGAACATATGGGTTGGTGTGCTGAACATACTGCCAAATCATTTGGTATTACTCGTGAAGATCAAGATAACTATGCAATTGAATCATATAATAGAGCTCGTGAAGCTAATGAAAAGGGATATATGGCTAATGAAATGTTCTCGATTGCTCTTCCAACAAAGAAGAAGGGTGATGTTGTCAGCTATCTCCAAAAAGATGAAGAATATACTAACATTAACTTTGATAAGGTTCCACAACTCAAGCCAGTTTTTATGAAGGATGGTACTGTCACCGCTGCCAATGCTTCCACACTGTCTGATGGTGGTGCTGCTTTAGTTTTGATGAGTGAACAAAAGGCCAAGAATGCTGGTTTGAAGCCAATTGCTAGAATTTTGGGTTATGGTGATGCTGAAAAGGCTCCAATTGATTTCCCAACTGCTCCTTCTGCTGCTGTTCCAATTGCTTTGAGACATGCTGGTGTTAATATTGGTGATGTTGATTTGTGGGAAGTTAATGAAGCTTTCTCTGTTGTTGCCCTTGCTAATATGAAGATTCTTGGATTGGATGTTAGTAATGTAAACATCTTTGGTGGTGCTGTTTCATTGGGTCACCCAATTGGTTGTTCAGGTGCTAGAATTCTCTGTACTTTGATCAGTGCTCTCCAACATAGAAATCAAGAAATTGGTTGTGCTTCCATTTGTAATGGTGGTGGTGGTGCTTCAGCAGTTGTTATTGAACGTCTTGCTTAAATTAATTCAATTGACCTGGTTGAAAAACAAAATATAGAGATTACAAAATTTTGAAAGCGAATAAAATCAATATTTATTAATAGACTCTGCATTTCATATTTAAAGGGTTATTTCTTAATGTTTTGAGGATATATGATACAATAATAGCTGTTATGACGTGATCTTAGCTTAAACAACAGATTGAGGTGTTTCAGTATTTCCCATCAAAGAATGAGAGTTTTCATCTTGAGATTCTCCATTAACGATTGAATTAGCTAGTGATGAACCCTCTCCAGCTCCACTCATTGTTGTGATTGTCTCTGCCTTTGGAGATTGCACCATTGGTGAGACAGGTGTCATTTCCAAATCATCTAATTGTTGCATTTTGGAAGTAGTTTCAATTTTCAAACTCTTTCTTGTTGCATTTGGATGAGTGTGAGAAGAGGTATCTGTTTGAGTATCATCCAAAGCACGTTGTTGATCTTCAGCAACTTCACGTCTCCACAATGGATTGTACAACAATAAAACGAAAACGACAAAGATTAGAATACCAACAGCTTGGCAGAAATAGTCCAAAATGTGTAAATATCCTGCAAATGAAGAGGTGAGGAAGCCAATAATTGCTGACAAGATTTGAAAGAAGGAACTGATAATCATACCAAACATTAAGCCAACAATCTTCATATAAGGCACATCCTTTTTTTGTTTCTTCTTTTGAGTTGGAGAAACTGCACTGGAAATGTTGCTTGAAGTTTTTTTCACAATACCAATTAATCTGATTGCCACAATTGAAAATACAATGAGTGTGAGGACACTTGTGAGGAAATAAACAATTAAAAGAACTACTTGGAGTGGAATACCAGCATTCTTATCAATAATAGACATTTTCACTAGTAAATTGAGTGTTGCATTAATTACAATGACAAGACCCAAGATGATGGAAGCCACAACTGAGAAAACAATGAGTGAGTAACGTAATCTTCTGTAAACTTTTTTAGACATGGAACCAGCAGCTGCAGCAGTTGTCAAACTAAATAACTTTAATATTTCAACATGAATAAATGTGATAAACTTACAAAATATCTTGAACGAAGGCCATAATGAGTGTGATGGCTACAACGACTGAATAGACAATAGCATTTTCCAAGACACCTGAAATCCACAATACAATTCTGTAACTAGGCAAGTCAGGCAGTGATTGCCAATCGATTTGGTTCATGTGAAGTGCAGTTGCATTGTAGACAACTCTAATGCACAACCCAACAACCTCCACCACAATTAGGATGGCCACGAGAATGAAAAGTAATCTCTGGTTACGTTTCATCTCTTGTCTTTGTTTATAATAAAAGGCAATTAGGATGATAAAAACAGGAACTAAAGTCAATATGAAGAAGCCAGAATTGACCAGACTTCCAATGTTTTCAGCAGCTTCAGGTATTTTGCCAGAAGTAAAATTGATACCTTTGCTGCTACTTGTTGAATTGCTGGCCAGAGATTCAGTTACGCCTAGAAGCTCCAGGTAGGGTATTGTGTTATGGAATGGCTCATTAGAAAGGTGTTGAGTATTCATGATGTTTGAATTAATTTTTTTCAACTTTCTCTATTTGATTTGTTTAAATTTGAATATTGCATGTTTAAGAGGTGAAACATTATAACATACGCGCACTGTCTGTATGACTCTAAACTAAGGGCGAGCATTACAAATTCAATGATTTCAATCCCTTTATTCTCTCTTACTTAAATTGAGATTCACTTGTCATTTTTAAATTTATTTTGACGGAGGATATTTTGAATTTCATTTGGATTTGGCAAATAAAGAATCTCAAACATCCCAAACGTTGTGTGCTAGAGTATAAGGTATAACAATCATCAAGTAAAGGCCACCAATTACAAACTCACAAAATGCAAATAATGCACAGGAAACAACATATGGAATGTTGGCTCCATCAAGAGTGGCTGCAAGAACAACCAAAGCAACAAACAATGGAATGGTAAAACACCATGGACATGCAACAAACGAATAATATGCTCGTTGGTATCTTTCTGGGTCATTCTTATTTTTGGTGGTTGCCTTTGAAAATTCTTCAGTAATGACATCCACTGAAGTGCTTATTGTTTTCTTGTCTAAATTGGTTTTGGTGCAAATTTCCCATGTTATCCACGACGGCAATCCACATAAAAGAATGAACATTACTATCCATAGAGGTACAAACACAGAACTCCAAGAAGATACAATAATCCCATCAATTTTGAGGGGTACCAGAATCATCTCCAATCCTACCATAAATAGTATGAGAAATATAAATACAATAATGGTAAGTGTGGATATGTCAGTAATATCTTGAATATGCATTTGATTATCAAACTCTTTAAAGACAGAAAGCTTGGCTGTCTCTTTCTTTCTTTCCCTGGTCTTTGGTGTTGAAACCATTTCATCAGTTTTTCTTGATGTTGTTTCAGTTTCATCATCAAATGCAGTAGAGTCATCAAAAGTATCCTCAAGATCCTCATCTGTATCATTTCCCATATCTTCATCTTCACTCAACTCTATAAAATCATCATCGTATGGTTGTGCAATATATTTGGCTTTTGAGTAGAATTCTCTTCTCTTATGAGATCTCAGTCTATAAGCAAAATAAAAGTATTCAGGACTATTTACACTCAGGTTGGGTCTATCCTTTCTCATATCTTGGAATTGAATTCTTCTTTTGACATACTTATGCAAAATATATGCAAAGCAAAATCCAACAAACATGATATAGATACAAAGGCATGGAATGGAGAAGGAAGTCCATAAAGAGGTTTTAAACCAAAACCACTTTAAACCAAACAGTAAAGAGCAAAAATAGAATGTGTACTGTCCGAGTACAATAACAAGAAAATGGATAAAGTGAGAAATGTCATAAAATCCATTCTTGCAGAAAATGGTCTCTCTCAAACCAAGTGAAACATTTCCAACAATGGAAAACAGGAATGATGTGAAGAAAGGCAAAAAAACAAAGAGTAAAGTATTTCTATCATTCTTTGGAATTACACCATCCTCTTGTAGGCCAAACACTACAGTGGAAATCATGAAACATATTATTGCAACTAATGGATTCAATACAAATGAGTTGAATAGGAAGTATCTTCTTGATTTTTCGTGTCTGTTTTGAGATAGAAGACGTTGCTTGAGGAGGTGCTTCTTCTTTCTCAATAAGATTAAATTATATCTAAATTTGCTTCTTTGAGGAAAATCAAAATCTTTAGAATATGAAAGAAGCATTGGATTTGCTTGAATTGATCTCGAATTGAAAAAATTAAAGTATCTCTCCTTCCACAAATAATCCAAGCACAACAAGACATACCACCTCTTACAGAGCATGTTGTAATTGTTATCCTCTGCATATTGAATTCCAACAAATGAGAAAATGTGCAGCATAATATTATCTGGTAAGCTTAGAACATTTGTAGTATCCTTATACTTGTCTACATTATTACTTGTGACAGTAGAGGTCTTGTTTCCAGAAAAGAAAATATTACTTCCAATTGATAAAAGATTAGGCACTGAGGCATTGGTGAAGAAATTGCTTGCAATCATTCTTTGATCATCTTCAGCCCTTGGAGAGGATGTGAGTCTCTTGGAAATTTGATGATGTAAATTATTATCAATGATATTATCTTCTTGAAACCTTACTAGAGAGTTTCTATTTGGTGTAAAATCAGAAATGAGAGAGGGAGGTAATTTGGATTGTCTATGAGAATTGTTTGACCTTTCAGATACAGTATTGGTTTGGTATTGTATATTCCTTTCTCTATGTCTTTTAGCTTTGTAACTCGAAGTTTCAGAGTAAGATGATTCAATACTGATAATATCAGATTTGTTACTGGTGCCACTATAATGTCTTGATATATTTACGGTTGGTGTAGTGGTGGTATGTTTGTGTAGTGATGATGTTGGTGTATTATTATTTACATGGTGTCTTGTAGCAGCTGATGAAAAAGGAATCGAAGGAGGAGATGGAGTCGTGATTACCGAATGTTGTTGTTTAATTGATGAATTAGAACTTGTCGGATAGGGATTTGCAGAGGGAGAAACTCTACCATCCTGTATTTGATGATGGGGCTGAATGTTTAATTGTTGAAGAGGAGAGGGTTGGTTACTACTTGTTGTTGTTGCCGTACTATTGTTACTATTGGATCGCGCAGAGTTTGGTTGGGTCGGATTTGATAGAACAATATCATCATAGAGGTTTTCCTCTTGTGTTGAATCTGAAATTATATCATCTTCTGTATTCATAAAACTAGTATTGGATTCACCATTATCCTCAAAGACAATATCTGTAGATGTATTATTATTGGGAATATGGTGAGAATTTGGAGAGGTATGATGTTTGGAAATGGCTACGATAATATCTTCATTCTTTGGAATTATTATTTCCGGAAGGTTAGGGTGATTCCGAGTTGTTGTAGAGGTTGTTGAAGAATGATTTGATGATGAATTTTCGGAATGGTTATTAGAAGTTTGTTGCAATTGATTATTTGTCGTTGAAATTGTTGTTATGACTTCATCCAATTCTATGGAACCTGTCGGTAAACTAGTAGCATGTTTGTTCTCTTCTTCATGATGATCATGTTCGGTCATTGTGTGGCAAACCAACAGTTAATCGGTTTTCATTAGAGAACAAGATATTGTTTGGAATCTTTTTTTGTAACAAAGGAGAAAGTGGGTTTCAAATTAAGTGCGACTCTTTATTGTTATTTGGTGAAAATAATGCTGTAGAGAGGTCCCTTAATTAATGTATTACTGTTACCAACAGATGATTCATCCATGATAGGAGAGGCTGATATTTTAGATCCTCCTTGGTAGGTAGAAAACTTTTGTCCATTTTGACCTAGTTTGCTGATGTAGGCAGTCACTCTCACAAACGTCTTCTTACTAAGTAGATTTTGAGTTGGAGATTTCGAGTCTGATCGCAAATCTAAAGTATTGAATCCTGAATTATTCAAAATTGGAGAGGCTGACCTAGATCCATTAGAGTTAAATGCATCAGTTGAATTGTCATTTCCCAACTTGGCAATTCCCAAACCTTGCAAAACATCATACTGCAATAGTCTCGGCAGAGCATCAGCCTCAATACCAACACAAATATCAGAAAATTGCATTCCCAATATTTGAGAGAGGAATATTTCGTTCTGCTCAGTCTTGCAACCAATTAAAGTGAGGAATCTTACATTGTACTTCCAAATTCTAAATTTGCTATTGAGAATCAAAGTTGGGAGAGCGTATTGAGAAAAAAGCTCGTAAAATATTGGCGGATAGTATACAGAATTTCTCTCAGCAAAATCAATAGAGACTCTTTCATTCTTTGTTACAGGTGTCTTTCTTGAGGAGCCACTGTTCGTGCTATTATTTTGAACCCTTTTCGATTGGTTTACAGTCTTGTCAAGATAGGGCAATTCAACTCGATCTCTTTTAGCTTCCTGTTGGGGCTGTGGGGGTGAAGGTTTTGAAGAGTTCGATTCATTCTGGTTCACAGGTAGTAAGAGTGACTTGATACTTTCTTCCTTCAATCTGAACATGTGTTCCTGTACAATGGTATTGTGAGCCTTTTTAATAAAATCCAATTCCACTCTCATTTCATTTTCTTTAATTTTCCACTCTTGCTTGGCAATCTTTTGTTCCTTAAAGTCTGAAATCATCTTATCCCTTGCTTCTTCCATATTTTTCTCCATTTCACCAACTTTTCTCTCCAAATTTTTGATATACCCCTGTCTGTCATTTAATTGATCTTCCAATTGAGTGGCAGCATTCTTGAATTGAGCTGTTTCACTCACCGATTTCCTCCAACAAGATTCCAACTTTTTAATGTACTCTTCAATATCTTTTGGAACCAGAGCGTTAGTAGGACGGGCAAGATTAGAAACTGGGCTACTCGGACTTCCAGGTGTCCTCGAGTCTTCCAAATCCTCAAAAACTCTCATTGCATTTTGTGCATAAACCCTAGTGACATTGATCCTGGAAAGATCTGTATTTTTATCATCCTTTTCTTTTGCAACAACGGGAGTATTGGATCTTCTTCCAACAAAAATTGAATAAGGTAAGCAATCTGCTTCGCTTTCGAGAAGGTCAGATATTATTGTCGAATATTCATGCATTTTGGCTTCGTCCTGAATGTCATAAGGTTCAATTTCTTCTAGATTATCTGGATTTGGTGTCTTATTCATAATTTCCAAAACTCCAAAACAATTATTCATCTTCTTTGTAATGAGTGGATATGAAATTGCGACCTTTGTTTTAAGCCCAGTATCTTTGTCTATTTGTCTGTAATGCTTTTTGAATGTTGGAACATCGAAAATATTCAAAGCAGTTGTTTTTGCAAAGGTCTCTCCAATGATTCCTTGATTTGCAGGAACAGATATCTGCTTTGGGAATGCTTTTGGTCCTCCAATCAGTATATGTGTATTATTCGAGTATTGTGTTGCATTACTTAGATTCTTATTTTCCACTAATGTATACAATACTGGATTGTTAAAATCATATTTACAAACAATGCAAAAACTTTGCAATTCGTTAATCCTAGGGTTATAGAGAAATATGGTTGCCATTTGTGAAGAGAGAGAATCCGCCATAGATGTTAACAATCTTTGGGAAACAGCTTTAAGCATCTCCAGACGTTGGGGTTTAGGAGAGATTTCCTTAGACAAAAGATTTGTTTTTGTCATTCTGTTTGGTGTAGTGGCAGGTTCGACCTTACTTGTCATTAGTGAAGGAGTTTCAGAAATTGGAGGGTGGGTTTTGTCAACTTCGTCAGTAAATGCATTTAAAGAAACAGATGTTGGCATTTGAATGTGATGAGGTACAACTGGTATTGTTTCACTTAGTCTAACTAATCCATAGAGTGAGTCTCTTTCTTTTCTTATCTCTTCCTTTTCTTTTTGTAAGCTGTTCATGTCAGAGATTACATCTTGCCATCTCTTTTGCAATTTATCATATCTTTCCTTCCACTCTAGTGCTTTTACGTCCTTCTCTTTCTTTGCAATGGTCAATTCTTGTTTCAGATCATTAATCTTGGTGTTCAAAATAATCTCCATCTCCTTTAAACGAAATGATACTTTTTTGGAACATTTGGCAAACTCATTCCTACTCTCAGAGAATATGTTTGGTTGAATAACTTTACCAATATTAACTTGATGGTTTCCTCCATTATCTTTTGATTCAATTAGTTGCCCAGTCTTGAAAATAAGAGTTTCGTCAAAAATAGATAATAATCTATCCATTGTTTTCCCCAGCTTTTCGTGATTGTAAAAGAATTCCTCAGGAAGATTGTGGACATTCCTCAATCTTGGATCTTCTCCAACAGAATTTGATGTTAAATCCAATTCTTCATCACTTTGATCTGAATCTGTTTCCTTATCCAAATCTACATCATCACCTACAAATTTCAAATAATCACTTGTTTGTTTTAACTCCGATTCTGGTACTTTAAATTCTGGATATTTATCTTCCTCTTTTTTATCTGGAGTTTGTTGATTATTGTCATCAAATTCGTTATCTTCATCATGGAATGAAAGTGGTGAGAGAGGTTGTAATGTTGTCTTTTCCGTAATTCTCAACTCACTACTACTTCTTGGTAATTTTGTACCAAGAGCCTGTTTTTCTGTCAATGATCCTGTAGAGGATGATGAGACAAGCTTCACGGAATTTCCTCCTCCTACTAGTGTACTCATTTCTTATTGTTCAGAAACAATAATCCAATTATTGTTAATGATTAGTATCAATGAATTTTATACCAAGCCCGAATAGAGGTTGATGATAGTTCTTTTTTTTCTGCTGTTTTTTCTCTCTCCTTAGATAATAGTGAAACTGTAGACAAAAAGTCGTTAAATCTGTTGTTGTTGCTAGGTTTATTGTCTTTGAGAATGACAATCACTGAAAAGTTTCGTAGAATATATTAAAGCAATCTAGATACCAAGAAAATCAAGTGAGGTTTTGCTAGGATAAAGTCCTGATGATGTCTTCATTCCACTCACAAATAGTGAATGTAGTATATGCAATTATTGAGAGAGAGGAATAATGTACAATTATGATGATGTGAGTAAACTTATAATAGTTCCAAAAGGTTTCATGAGAGGCGTTGGCGCCAATAGACATAGAGATGAAAAACCGTAAAATTTACTGCCTTTCAATATTTATAAAAGAAAATATCATCATTGGGCAAGCTGAACTAACACGCTGGCCATTTCATCATCAATATCCGAACAACAAACTAAGGGATTGGCAATAATCCTTTTTCGTGTATATTAAACCTTTACACCCTTGTAGTAGTATTGGTAGTATTATTGTTTCATCATGAATCCACCAAATTCAAATCAAGTCGTTCCTTCCTCTCCAAATAATAGGACAGCGAATGACAATGGAGTTCGAGCAGTACAGCAACAACAACAAATAGAAGTTGCTCAACAACAGTCATATAAACCACAAATACCTAGATTAATAGGAAAACGATTTTTAGTAGGAGCAAAACTAGGAAGTGGAAGTTTTGGTACTATTCACGCAGGTAAAATAATAAGTAATAATCAAGAAGTAGCCATCAAGTTTGAAGAAGTAAAATGTAAATTCCCTCAATTGCTTGCGGAGAGTAGAATCTATAAAATTCTTTGGGGATTACCAGTCTCTACAAGCAGGAAAACTCTAAGTGCAGCCTCAGCTGCTTTGAATACATCTATTGATACTGCTTCTTTACATGTGAACCATGGAAATAGCCCTAATAGTACAGGTATTGGGACATCAAAGAGTCAAGAAGTACTCTCTGTTACACAACATCATCAAGAAGAAGCCACTGTGATAGGAATTCCAAAATTGTATTGGTATGGAGTAGAAGATGATTTCAATGTAATGGTAATTGAATGTCTTGGCCCATCTTTGGAAGATTTATTTAGTTTTTGTAGTAGAAGATTTTCATTGAAAACTGTTCTTATTTTGGCAGATCAATTAATTTCAAGAATTGAATTTTTGCATTACAAACATTTTATTCATAGAGATGGTAAGTTTTTTTTAGTAACTAGCTCTAATCCAACACCTTAATAGTTAAACCTGAAAACTTTCTAATGGGAAGAAAAGAAAAAGGTCACCACGTCTACATGTTAGACTTTGGTCTCGCTAAGAGATATATGGTTGAAGAAAAAGGAGAAGGTCTCAAACATATACCAATGAGGAAGAACAAATCTCTTACAGGTACAGCAAGATATACAAGTACAAACTCTCACTTGGGTTATGAACAGAGTCGTCGTGATGATTTGGAAAGTATTGGTTATTTATTTGTATATTTCTTAAATGGTAGTTTACCTTGGCAAGGTCTCATGGCAAACAATAGACAGAAAAAGTATGAAAAGATTATGGAAAAGAAGATGAACACTTCCATAAATCAATTATGCGCTGGCTTGCCAATCGAGTTTACTCAATACTTTCTCTACGTAAAGAAACTGAAATTTGAGGAAAAACCAGATTATGATTATTTAAGAACAAAATTTGCCAATCTCTTCAATAGAATGGGTTACAAGATGGATTTCGAAATGGATTGGATGAAACTGAGGAAAGAAATTAATTAAAATATTTTCAAAAATTTATTCTTTTCTAATCAACGTGAAAACAACAACATTGCTTTCTTCTTGAGTTAATCTGTCAACATTCATTTCTTGTTGAATGATCAAATCCTTTCCAGAAGGAACAGCTTCAAAGAAGACGTCCATACCCTTCAAATGTTGAGCAAGAGTGGCAGAGTGCTTCTTCAAAACTTCAACTACTGTTTGAGAACTCTTACCAGTCAAGAAAACGTCAACCTTATCTTCAAACTTGAGACGAGCTTCCTTTCTCATTTGTTGGACTTTACTACCAGCTTCTCTGACGAAACCTAATTCCTTCAATTCTTCTGACAAGTCAGTGTTCAAAATCAAAGTACCAGTACCACATTCATCAGCAAAGTAATTCTTTTCAGTACCAACAAACTTGTTAGCCACAATCAAGTCTTCATTGTTGATAGTTTCACCGCACAAAACAATTTCCTTCTTCATCAAGAATGAAACCAATTCTTCGTGTTTCAAACCAGTAATTGCCTTATAGACATCCTTGAACTTCTTACCCAAACGAACACCCAAAGCCTTGTTATTTGGAGTAGCTTCCAATTTAACACTATATTCTTGAATGTTGCTTGTAGCAATAACAGATCCATGAATGTTGAGTTCCTTCTTGATAAAGTATTCCATACTCTTAACTCTTCTAATGAAATCTTCATCAATGTTACAAACAATGTAGGAAGATACTGGAGTTCTGGAAGGAATGTTCTTTCTGACACGCAAAGTTCTACCAACCTTAATGACAGCTTGCATAGCTTCAACAGTTCTTTCAATTTCCAAATCAATCTTGGATTCATCACATTCTGGGAGCATTTCATAGTGGACAGAATCTTCACTCTTTGTGAGCAAGTTCTTAAGATTTTGATACATCTTTTCAGTCAAGAATGGAGTGAATGGAGCCATAATTCTAACAACATTATACAAAGCAATGAACATAGCAGACAAGGCAGACAATCTATCTTCCTTAGTTTGATCCTTTTGTTCACCCTTCAAACGCTTGTTGTTAATCTTGACATACCAACGAGTAAGATGGTCAATGAAACCTTCCAACTTTGGTGTAACATTATACAAACGATAGGCCTTCATTTCAGCACTAATATTCTTCAACAAACTGTTGCTAGAGGAAATGATCCACTTGTCCATGATATTATCAATCTTGGCAGCATTGGCAATATCACTGTTAAAATCTTCACCAGTTTCGTCAACATAACGTTTGACAGATTGAACAAAGAATCTGTAAGCATTGTACCATTGCAACAAGATTTCCTTGACGACATCGAAAACACCATCTTCCTTGAACTTGAGTGGTTCAGCTCTAACAACTGGTGAGTTGATCAAATATAATCTCAAGGCATCAGAACCGTGCTTGTCAATAACAATTTGTGGATCTGGATAATTCTTCTTACTCTTACTCATCTTGGAACCATCTTCAGCAAGGACGAGACCGTTTACAATAACATTTTGGAATGGACACTTGTCAAACAAAGCAGTACCCAAAACCAACAAAGTGTAGAACCAACCTCTAGTTTGATCCAAACCTTCAGCAATGAAATCAGCTGGGAAAGAGTCTTGGAACTTTTCTGGGTTTTCAAATGGATAGTGGTTTTGAGCATATGGCATAGAACCAGATTCAAACCAACAATCAAAGACATCACTGACTCTCTTCAAAACCTTACCAGGTACCTTTTGGCTAGGAATAGTAAGCTTGTCAATGTGTTGTCTGTGGAGATTGTTAATTCCAGTGATACCAGTCAATTGTTCCAATTCAGCAACAGAACCAACAGCAACCATTTCTTCACCATCCTCACTCATCCAGACAGGAATTGGAGTACCCCAATATCTACTTCTAGAAATGGTCCAATCCTTACAATCAGCAAGCCAGTTGTGGAATCTACCTTCTTGAACGTGTTCAGGAACCCAATAAGTTTGCTTATTGTTTTCAAGAAGTCTATCTCTTAAATCAGTAACTCTAACGAACCAAGATGGAACAGTCTTGTAAATCAATGGAGTATCAGATCTCCAACAGAATGGATACTTGTGGGTAATACCTTCCTTCTTGAAAAGTCTGAGTCTGCTTCTCAAATCTTCAATAATCAATGGATCAGCATCCTTGATGTACATTCCCTTGAAAGTTTCAATTGGTGAAACATAACGACCAATATCATCCAAAGGACATGGAGGTAATCTAGTCTTGTTATCAATAATTCCAAACTTGGCACAAACACGGTTATCGTCTTCACCAAAACCTGGAGCTTGATGGACAATACCAGTACCACTTGAATTTGTGACGTAATCATCGGAAATAACTCTAAAAGCATCAGCAAATTCTTCAGCATAGAAATTATAGAGAGGTTCATACTTCATACCAACCAAATCACTTCCCTTAAATTCACCTTCAGTTTTGACCTTCTTGAAATATTTAGAAGCCAAATCCTTCAAAACGATAAAGTACCATTTCTTTTGTTCATCATAAACTCTAACATATGTGAATTCAGGATTAACACAGAGAGCCAAGTTACTTGGCAATGTCCATGGAGTAGTTGTCCAAACCAAAAAGCTTGTATCCTTGAATTTTTCATCTTCACTCTTAATTGGGAAAGCAACTGTGATGGCAGTATCTTGGACATCTCTGTATCCTTGTGTGACTTCAAAGTTGGAGAGTGGTGTTGTACAACCTGTACTGTATGGCATGACACGAACTCCTTTATAAACCAAATTCTTATCCCATAATTGCTTGAAAACCCACCAAACACTTTCCATAAATGAGAAGTTCATTGTCTTGTAGTCATTCTTAAAGTCAATCCATCTTCCCAATCTTGTAATGATTTGTTCCCATTCGGAAGAGTATTTCATGACAATAGATTCACATTTGTCATTATATCTGGCAATACCATATTCTTCGATATCAGCACGACTCAAAGTCATTTCTGAAATCTTCTTTTTGATCAATTCTTCGTTTTTCAACTCTTCTTCTGACAAGAGTTTTTCCTCGAAAATCTTGTCTCTCTTCAAAATCTTTTCAATTTCAAATTCAATTGGAAGACCGTGACAATCCCAACCAAATCTTCTTTCAACATAGTGACCAGTTTGGTGAGCATATCTGGTAACAACGTCTTTAATAGTACCTGCTAAAATGTGACCATAGTGAGGAAGCTGAAAATAATTGTAAATACTGATTGAATCACCTAGTTAATACTTACACTATGTAATATAATTAATAGATCGTCATTATATACAACAACATTTAAATAGATTGTTAGGCTTTCCAAGTTATGATGATTTTTACATACCCTGTTGCGAATGGTGGACCATCATAGAAGGAGAATGGCTTCTTTCCTTCCGACTTTTTCAAGCTGGTATTGAAGGCGTCGATTTCTTTCCAATACGACAAAGTCTTTTCTTCTTCTCTAGCAAAGTTAATACTTGCGTCTACTTCTTGGAGTTTACTCATTTTTTATTTTAATTTTCAACAATATGAATTGCAATTTTATTTTTATGATGGGCACGTGATGACAATATCAAATGTGCACCGGCTACCTTGTTCAACGAAAATCCAAAAGTATTCATATTTGATAATGATAACACTCTCTTCACAAACAGAATGCTCCCTTCCTTTATATTTAGATTAACAGATTGGGAGAATTATCCTTAATAATTATCTAAAGTAAGAAATTAATAAATTCTAAAATCTATCGGTGATGTTTATTCTAATTCCTAATTTCAAAATATATTTGTCTCGGTAAATCCTATGTTTCCATTGTTATTATGATTTAATACTAGTAGTTAAATTATTGTTGTTGGACCAATGACTTGGATTCTTGAACACGCTTAGCAAAATCCTTGATGAAAATAGCAACTTCTGGTTCGTATTGAGTTTCAGTTAATGAGAGAGCAGTTTGTTTAATACGTTCGGCAAGAGTTTGTTCATTATCTGTTTCTTGAACCTTGATGGCTGTTTGTGTTCCGTCATCTGTAATGTTGTTGTTGTTCTTGATTAGTTCCGCATAATAATTACTTACCCAATTCAATGACAATTTTAGCAAAACCTGAAGTCTTGTTATATTTAACTCTCTTGCATTCTGTTTGTGGGTTGAAATGTTGAATAGCTGGATAGTGTTTAACAACAAAATCTCTAGAAATAGAGTTTACCTGTCCTCCGTAAGAGTTATAGATGGTCGTTATTTTCTTCAAATTAGTTGGAAAAACAACTCTATTATCGAGAATATAATTCAAACTCTTGAAAGTCTTTGGTGTAATTGATGGTCGTGGCATTTTTTAATAAAACTTTATTTCTTTTTTGATTCAACCAGTTTTCTCTTTCTTTTTAAATTTCATTTAGGAATTAATCTACCACTGAGAGGAATTAATATCATAAATTAATTAAATAAATAATGGAATTGAGTGGATGGTGATTTTTTTTGGAATGAATAATAGTGTTTATTTGAATATTATTCATTTTGTTTCAGATCTTCAGTATTGGTCAACTCTTCAATCACAACATTGGATTGTACTTTTGTAGTTGATGATGATGTATCCTCTTCAGGGGTTTGAATTTCCTCTTCATCATGATTTAATTCCTCTCCCGTATTTATGAAATTGTAATAATCTGAAAGAGTTCAAATATTCGAATTTTATCAAATGCACTCAATAAATAATACCTACCTAAGCAATAGCTTTCTAAAAATTCAATGAAAAAAGCTTCTTCCAAATGTTCTTTTCCCATCATTTTTCTCGTCACATACTTAAATCCTTGATCATTAATTAAAACTTCCAATGATTTAGCTTCACACTCCAACAAATCACATCTCGGCTTCATCTTAATTTCATCTCTATACTCGGAAATATATTGTATCAATTTAGAATCAAAAACTAATTCTTTAGGTATAAGTGGTGATGGTCTATTATTTTCTCCTTCTCCCAAAGTTTCAATTTCCTCGTTTATTTCACTCTTCCCTTCCTCTGTTACAACTATTTGCTGCTGATCATCATTTGTGGTGATGGAATTTAATGATTCACTTTCCGACATTTTTTTAATAATTTGTTTATTAAAAGATTTTAAATTTAAAAAATAGAGCAACCTTCATCCCTTCATCCTTCATCAGCATTATTTCCTTCTTCACTTCCATTTTCAAAAACTCTAAATTAAAATAGGAGAGTGAATTAAACAATTATTTTGGAAATTTAATATTTATTTGAGGATATTATCTAGATGGGATCATCACTTGTAAGTATATTATTAATCGGAAAGATAATTAAAATTGCAATCATTTAATAGATATCACTGATAGCATCGCTTGTCAGTTTGCTTTCCTATCGTTTCTTGAGACATTTACTTTCGGAACATGTAAAGAGAGTAATTATTGGAAGTCCAGCACTTACAAGTTCGGAATCACTCTTTGCAAAATCTGCAGAGCAACAAGCCTTGGAGAGGAGAATAACCAATAGAGAGAAACAGAAAAGAGCACTGGAAGATTTCTTCAGAGATACTGGAGGAAAGGTTACTGATTTGAGAGTTTTGAGAAGTGCCATGTTTTTGAGTGATGAAATTGATAAAGCAGTTAGAGGAATTGATGATGAGGATGAGGATTCAAAACATACTAGGTCATTTGTATCGTGGAGACCTTACAATAGATTCTATGCAGAGGGAACTGAGGAATTATTTACAAATATACCAACAGGTCGTTCACCATTAGTTATGGCAGCTCCTTCTGCTGATAGACAAACAATGTTGAAAGATTTGGATTCTGAAAGGAAGCCTCTTCCAATTGAGTATCAAGCTATGCGTAGATCTCATTTAAAGTTGGTCGGAAGACAATTAAAGGAATTTGAACAGGATCAATTGAAAAAGATGTCTAATAATCAAACTGTTGAAAATGAAAGACAAGAAACGACTCAATCCATTCAACAAAGATATTTGAAGTCGAGTAATAAGGCACCTCTAATTGTTCCAAAGAATGACTATAATGAGCCATCATATGTTTCACAAGATTTGAGAATTGGAGCTTATCAAAGATATCAACCTTTGGATAAAAAGACGTCAGTCAAAAAACAATTGCTTAAATTTGAGGGTGACATTTCAGAAAGACGTCCTGATCTCGATTACAAATTTGAATTGGACTAATTTTGAATACTTTAGTTTAATTGAATAGTTCACAAAGAGGAATAATTATTTTAAAGGATGTTATGATTTGGTAACCAATAATAACCATCAGCCAAACATCTTTTGAAGATTTCACTTGTCACAGAAACGATATTAAAGAAATGACAAGAAAACGATCTTCCGCCAATAAATCATCAAATTCATTATTAATCACAAACAACTCTCTTGTGTAAATGTAGAGGAAGATTCCAAAAAGGATGCAACAAACTCTAACTGAGATTGGATGAAACATGGTATTTTTTGAGTTAATTTCACATTTTAGATATTCTGTATTTTCTAGAAGCAGCTACAACTTCACTATCATTTTGAAGCTCTTCAGAAGCAAATCTGATGGAAAATTCATTCTGTTTTACTGCCTCCATTACAATCATCTTATTACTTCTCAATTCCTTAGATGCAAACTGGAGAGCTTCACCATTTGATTTGACAGCTTCCAAAGCAATTTCAAAATCTCCTTGTAATTTATCAGACGCCCACTTGAGAGCCCATCCATTCACTTTGACAGCTGTCATGACAATCTGCCAATTATCATACAATGTTGGAGTATGATATAGTGCATTTGGATATGTTTTCACTGCCTCCATTGTAATAATCTCATTATTTCTCAATTTTTCAGAAGCATACTCAAAAGCAAGCCCAGTACATTTAACAGCTTCCAAAACAATCTCAAAATCATCTTGCAATTCAACAGATGCCCACTTGAGAGCCCATCCATCCAATTTCACTGCTTTTAATATGAGCTCTCGATCATTTCTTAATTCATTCGAAGTTGAACTAATTGCAAAAAATGAATTACGCTCCACAGCAATATTCATCATCTCCAAATCGTTATTTAAGGGAAATGGGATTCCAAAAACAAAACTGCAACATTTTGATGACATTAAATCCTTCCAGAATTCTCTGTCTTGCTGTATTTCTTTGGAACCATTTTCATAAGCGACCATCAAATTCGTTCTACCTGCCATTGCAATAATATCCCTGTCACTTTTCAATTCATCAGGGGCATAGTACAAGTCACGACAATTTCTTTCTATAATTTTCAAGATTAATTCCTTGTCTCTTTTTAATTCATCACACAAGTAAGGTAATATTACATGACACTTTCCAATGACATTCTCAATAATAAATGACTTGTCACATCGCAGTGATTCATGTGAAAATTCAAACACCTCATTTTGATATTCATCATTCAAAGCAGAACTAACAAGATTCTTATTTCTCTTAACATTGTCATTGGAATATTTCAAAAGATATCCTAAACGTGTGACTCCCTCCTCCATTATTGATTGATTATTTGGGAAGGGATTCTTTTGCATGTAGGCATCCACCAATTCAGTTTTGAGATAGGATCCAACAACATCTGAATAACAAGCCTCATTGATCATATTTTGAAGATTGTTGAGGTAGGAGGAGGAGTTGTTTTCAACATTTTGATTGGAATGTGATTGTCGGAGCGTAGGTGTGTATCCAGAGGGCAAGATGATCATTTTGAGAGGAAATTTGTTGAAACGTTTGAGCATTTTTTTTAAATTCAATCAAAGAACTTGTTTACAAAATTAAGAATACAAATAGTTATGATGTTAAGAAGTTCATAATTTGGTTCATAAAACTGAGGTCAACCAAACATCTTTTAAAACAAGTTTTCATTTGTCATCTCGGTGGAAACGACATTAAAAAAATGACTAGAAAACGATCATCCACCAATAAATCCAACCATCAAATTCAAACTTCGGAAATTGGTTTTGCAAACTCTGAATCTCTCCTCTCCGAAGATGACTCACCAATACCTGTCACTACTCATGTTAGTCAATCTCGTAATCAATTATTGATGGAAAGACATGATGTTGATGAAGAACATATCACAATCCAAACTGACCAGCCACCTTCTCCCATTATAAACAATCAACAACGAACCAATACCAAATCACCAATTGCCAGAATTTTTCACGCCCTCAGTTCTTCATATAACAACAACAATCACAACACCACCACAACAATAATAATGGAAAATAGAAATGATGATTCGGAGGAGGAAGGAACAATTATATTGGATGGTGCAAATCATCATCATCATCGTCATCGTAATAATAATCAACGATTGAAACCTGTTGAATGGCATAATTTTGAGAATATTATTGCAAATGATATTTTGATGATTATTTCAGAGTTTTTGGATGATTCTTTGACAATGGTCAATTTATCACATACTTGTTCAATGTGGTACAATTTTCTGGATAGAGAACAACGTTTTTGGAATAGATTATATCAAATCAAGATACGAGAATTGAAATTATTATACTTTAAGGATTTTGATATTTATGTGCAGGAAAAAGTTGTAAAGAGAAGAATATTGGCAGTTAAGAATTACTTTTTCAATAGGAAGAAGGGTGGAAATTTAGGTCAATATCATTTAAATTATTTAATGTCGAATGGAAAGAAGGTGAATACGAAACCTTCTCTATTGGACTTGGGAGGAGTTTGTAAAATAGAAAATTCATGTTTTTCACCACCAAAAATTATGGAATTTATTGAGGATATTGAATCTCCACGTGGTGAGAGAAACCATCAGGAGGTAATTTCAATTGAAATGGATGAGTTTTCGAATAATAGTGGTGCTAGCCAAACTGCTCTGATTGATCATCAATTATCAGAAACTCTTACCTCAGAAGAATATGTTTCTGAAGAGGAAGAAATGGAAATATTGACACTAATTAATGAATCAGATTGTGATAGCGAGGAATCAACTGTTCAGATACCTCCATCTATGTTTAAAAAGTACAAATCGGTAACAATTGAGGGAGTGAATGATATTATTTTCGAGAAGGATTGTTATTGTGAATGTTTGAAAACTGAAAAGAAAGTCAAACAATTTGGAATTGACATATTTAGAAAGATTGAAAAGAAAAAATCAGATCGTTTCACAACTATTCCACTATCAGAGCAACTCATTTTGGATGACATTGAGGGGCTATCTTCTATTCACTTTGTATTTTCTGCACCCTTGGTTTACATCTTTTTCACATGTTTCATATTGGGATTCTCCATTAAGGGAGTGTTGATGAATGTTGGTATTGATTATGAGAATGAGTGGAGTTGGATTGTGGTATTCTTTCCACTCTATTGTGGAATGATTAATATTCTCGTATCGTCCATAATAGAGTTGAGACTTTCAGCGAGGAAACTTGGAATTGCGCTCAGGAATAACAGTAAGAGAAGGGAAAAACAGAGGAATATCTTGAGTTTGAGGAAGATGTTTTTTGATAGTGTCATGTCATGTATTGGATTGTTACTCTTATCTATTTGTGGAATTGTTTTTGCACTTGTGTGGAATTTGTACTTGTGTCTGCCTCATTCTCAATTCAGTCAATCTCCATGGTATTTGTTTGCCGTTTTTGGTGGACTTTCGACAATCATGCTGATTTATTGTTTTATTTGGTTGATTGTGAGAAGTATCAAATTCAGAACAGTGATTTCCAAGCTCACTTCTACTTGCAACTCTATCATTTTAATAGTGGCATTTTGTTATAGTATGCTGTGTTCAATCATGATTACTCATCAATTTTCTATTGAGTCAGAGATTGATTGGGCAGTGGCTATGATTCCACTATTTGTAGTAGAGTTTCTCTTGTTTGCTGGAACGATATTTATTGCCTTTTTGTGGTGTTGCTTGGAGTGTAGAGCTCTCTATTCGAAAACCAAACGTTGTTTGTACATTAACATGTACATTACCGTACTGTGTAGTCTGATTTGTTTATTCGTTCATCATGCCATTATCATTGCTTATCCAGAACAGTACTCTTTTGGGTTTGCCACATTGTTTTTGCTTCCTCTTCCCTTAATTTTGCTTCCTTGTTTGTCTTGTTCGGTCAAGTATATTGATAATAATTCTGGAAACTATTTGGACTTGGTGAAATAAATATATTTATTGAGTTTCAAAAACATCTAATGGAATATCTCTAATTCTGAACCAAGTACGATACAGATTGATATATCTTTCATCTTCTTGTCTATCTAGTGCTGCTTCCATAATACTATTGGCACCCTTACCATACAATTGTTGATCTTCAAGACTGTTGAGGAATTCAGCCAATTGTTGATATCTTTCTGCTCTCTTCTTTGTCAGCATAAACTCAGCTTGTTTGACGAGTTCAGAGGCCAAATTTCTATATTGTTGGAATCCTTGAGGATCTACAACATCTGTAAAATCATCACCATCCAATTGCAATTGAGGTTTTTCAATCATCTTCCAATATTTGTTGACTGTTTCGAACAATTGATTTTCAGTAAAGTTTACAGGAATATAGACTGCTCTGGCGCCCATATCAATGATAGTATCACCATATATTGTCATTCTTCTCATTAAACTCTTAACATCGGCCTCTGTCTTGACATGAGGAACTTGTTTGAGTGGAAGTTTGAAACCTTTAGGTAAATCCAAAGTATTGACCAAATAGAAAGTATGTGTGCTCCAATCATAACGTTCCAAGAAGAGGCAACATTCTCTCAATCGTTTCATATATTCGTGGGTAACTGGGAGAGTTTGATACCGTTTCATATTGGATTCGTTCAAATCGGCATAGGTTGTCAAATTGAGTTCTTTACATTTAAGTTTATCAATGAGTTCTTCACCGAGTGAAACACATGCTCTCTTAAGATTGCTGAGAGTTCTTCCCATATCTTTGATATTCTTGATTTTTTGAGCTCCTAAATCTTTCAAAAATTCGAACATATTGTCCTTTCCATTGTGCATAAAGTTCCAATGAATTGAAATGTATCCATCTGGACTTGCTGAATACTTGTTATCAATGATGATACAGAGGTCTTTCAGTAACAATTTCATCTTGTCATTACTTAAGTATCTCTTTTCAAAGTTTTCAATAAATGTATAGAGTTCTTCTGAGGTCAATTCTGGTGAAATGGTTAAATCAGAGAAACCAACTTCTTCAATAAGTTTTTCTCTAATGTTTTGAATAGCTTCGGCCTTTTTTCTTGTCAATTCACGTTTTTCAACGAGGAGTGTCATGTTCTTTTCGTTGGTAATGATTTCCTTGACAAAATCGAATGGAGTAAAGTCATAAGGAATGCAAATGAACCCATCAACAGGATCATTTACAGCATACTTGCCAGTTTTTTCTGTAATCATTAATGGAATATCACTCCATTCATAATATCTCATCTCACCAAGACCATTCTTCAATTGATTCATAGCTTTGATGGTTTGTTCTGCTGTAATATTCTTAGAGAAGAAGAGCATGCCGTGTGTAACCAAGTGTTCAATGGATGGCAAGTCTTTATCCCACCACCATTCTTCATCATCTTCTTCACCTCTTCTTAATTTTTCAAGGTTGACTGCTCCTTGTAAATTATTTTGGAGAGCCATACGTAACTCTTCTTTCAGTGATTTATAGGTCTTCTTACCCTTTGAACCCACGGACTCTTCCATTTCTCTGTATTGTTCCAAAGCAATGTCTCTTCTTGCTTTAGCTTCCTCAGCAGTTATGATTTTTGATTTTTCCAAAAGTGAAGTTACTAATTCTTCCAAACGTTGAGTTAAAATCAATCTACTCTTTAATTTTCCATTGAATTGAACCTTCTTTGGTAAAGAAAACAAAACTTCAATTCTAAATGGTTCAGATTTTTGTCTTCCAGTTTCCTTAACATAGAAAACAAATGATTCATCAACGCTTGGAATAGGACCAAGTCTATTCAATCTCTTTTCCAGGTCAGCTATTTCCTCTTCATTCAAATTCTTATTATCAAGTGTTAATTGGGTATATTCGTTAGTCCAATTTAAAAGTTCGTTCAATTTTGAGAAGGACTCCTTGTTTTGTTGTTGTTTTGGTGGATCTTGTTGGAAAAAGTCAGGGTGAACCTTTAAGAAGAACTTTTTCAATATTTTAGTATAGGATTCTGTAGTTACATCATTCTTTACTTCCTTTGGTGTTTCAATGTTATCCATTGGTTGATATTGTCTATCACGATGATTTTTAAATTGTTTCTTGTTATTATTTGATAATTCCGATAGACGATTTAATTTTGCCAAATGATTATTATAACATCTGTATTGATGGTTAATTATTTTGATTGAACTATTAGTGTTGAGTACAACTCCCGATGATGATGGTGTTGATGAAATACGACCACAACCAGCATAAAGTGATGAAATTCTTCTTGTTGATTTTTGAAGCATTTTTTTGATTGGATTTTACCAATAAATTGTTGAACAAGTTTATTGTTTCATAATGACTGCTCCCAAACCAATGAATCGATTGATCCAAGTTGAGGCAATACTGTCGTTTTCTGTGCTATAGTAAAAGGATTTACCATCACTATCAGTGAGTAAGAAAGTTGTAGGTGATTTTTTGAATATCTTACTTCCCTTGATTTGATAGGAACCTTTCATGTCACCATTGGGCTTGTCATAGTATTTTACACCTCCCATGGAAGATAATGTATGGAATCTAGTTTTCTTGCTCAAGCCTTTGGATTTTGTGAGGTAGCCTGCAAAAATAATCTTTTCCTCTAGTGGAGTGCTTGAATTTCCTCTTCTTCTTATTCTTGCCTTTGTTAAGCTGGAATTGAGTTGTTCATTGATTGCAGATGACCACACTTTTTGCTCTTCTTCAGAATCAAATGTGATATAACTCTTTTCATTCTGAAAGGAAAGCATCACAGTTGTGGATGAGATTTTGGTTAGTTCAATAAGATTACCAGCTTTGAGAGGTACCTCCTTAACTACTCGTTTCGATTCATTTGACATGACATAAACTAAAAGGTCTGAGAATAGATATAACTCAACTATGGTGTCACCATTATCTACACTTCCAACTCCTTCCCTAAGGAAGGTTCTATCTCCTCTTACCAGTTCTTTTAGTTTCAGCTTTTTCTGGAACTCTAACAGAGTTTCCAAATTATCTGATTCATTCTTCTTCTCGATACAATAAGCGGACAGGGATTTCATTTCATCAATAACTGCGCTAAGAGAGTAATAGTCATCACCATCCAATGTTTCCAACAAATCATTGAATAAGAGGTAGTACTTAGTAATTCTTTGCAGAGGTAACGCAATAAAACTCCTCAGTGGAAACAAATGAACTCCGTTCACTTTAGTATTTCGTTGAGATTTCTCCCATGAATCAAAATTATTATCTTTTGACAAGATTTCATTCAAACACTTGATTGCACTCGGGTAACTATTTACATATCCTACATAGAGCTTAATTGCTGGAATTCTAGAACTGAATATCGACGCAATCGACTCTTTTGGTTTTAGTGAATAGTATGCTTTTTCGAATTCTGTAAGCAATGTAGTATTAATTGCTAGAATCATATTAATGTTTTTGAATACTATCTGATAGTTTTCTTTTGATAGAATACCAACTTTCCTAATTGGCAATAAATAATACTCAAATAAATGTACAAGATTTCTCACATATCCAATCTCTGTTTCCATTATTTCCTTCTCTATAAACTTTTTCCTTCTCAATATTTCCTCTGAATTCTTATCCACAACAGGGGAATCAGATTGGGAACTATAGCACGAGTATTCATACTCTCTTTCCAGAACAGAATCTGAAGTATCATTATTTTGGTTTTTTGAATTTTCCATCAGTTGGTTTCTCATTCTTCGTTGCTCGTCAATATCTTTTTTTCTATTATATCTAGATACATCTCTGAAAGTTTCTATAATTTGAAAATCTGTTAATTCCAATTTAAACCCTGTTCTGCCAAATTGGTCATCTCGAAGAGGAACATGGGCAATTCTATATGGATTTAGAGGCTTAGGTGTTTCCTTAACCAGAGGAATATTGCTTACTGTTGCTGTTGTTGTTGGTTTATACTTTTTTCCGAATAAAAGAGATTTTAAACCTCCCTTTGGAGGTGTTCCTACACTATTAGTTGATGAAGGTGGTGTATTAGGGGGAGAGGCAACATCAGAATCATCTGTTGTTGAGGGAGATTTTTCTCCTGCTGTTTCCTCTAAGGAAGATGATGAGAATAAAGAGTCGAAAAGCTCATTAAAAGACTTTTTTTCATCAATTACTACACTTTCCGATCTTTTCATTTCTGATTCTTCTTCTGGTTGTATTTTAGGTTTAAAATTTGGATTCAAACATTCTGGTAACTTAATTGAACCCTCAAATGCCCATGATTTGATGCTGGATACTAGGTTTTTATCAACTTCAATGGTTTCTGCTATTGAGGGTGAAGGAAGACGTTGTGTGGCCTCGCTATTTCTTCGGACATTGTTATCTGTTTCCACTACTTCTGTTGTTCTCTTAATAGGAAGGTTGAAGGACTGAGTAAATCCTCCAACAAATGAAGAACCTCTCAAAAATGATTTTCCAATATTATTATTACTATTAGTTTCATTAGTGGATGTAGGTGGAGGAGGGGTGTTTGGTGTCGAGTTATTAGAAGAAGATGAAAAATCTCCCAAGGGTTGTCGAGATCCTGTTGATCTTATGAAGGATGAGGGACGGAACATAATTCCTGTCGAGCAGCTGAATAGGATGTATTATTATTATTGTTATTATTGTTATCAAAATCCAATTTTAATGTTTACGTTTGCTGCTTAATGTTTTTGTGCAGTCTATTGAGGCGACAGTGTAAGCGAGCGGTTGGATGGTGAATTTTTTTATAAGAATAATAACTTATAGAAGAGGTGGAATGCCGGTTTGTTTATTTGCTCAGAGTCAGACAGCATTATAACAAACGGTTTGGCCAAAGAAAATTCCCCTTTTTTAGAAAAGGTAAGGAATGAGTACTTTGCGCTTAGATGGGAGTTTCTTTGGGAATTTTGTTTGATACCAACGATATGTTTCAATTGAGTGATAACCAAGGTTAAGTGAAGTGAATGCAAAACACAATCTATTACTCTAAGATGATTTTCTAAGGAGTATTAACTTACATTGAGGGAATGTATGAAAAACATAGGATAATATTGAGTGAAAGGTACATTCCGATTTCTGTTGAGTAATGTGGACAATATAACAAATCAAATAAGTCACCATTTGGAATCTGATACCCAATGCTTGGATTCTTGTTTTTTTCTCTTGCAAGCGAATAGAGAATCTTGTGACATTGGTATTGGTGATAGCTAGTGACCATTCAAATAATTAATTGTGATTAAATATTTAACAAATTACATACCAGCAATAGATAAAGAAGAAAGCTCCTAAAATATTCAGCGGATACCTCTGCAAATCTGTACGCTTAAGGCATCCCAATAAGAATGTAATTGGAGAGATGACATAATACGAAACACCACTCAAGAATAGAAATGATCCAACAAATCTTGGAGGATTGACCCATGGTTGTAACCAATAGACTTCAATGCATCTCTTGAGGAGATGAGCTTCATACAGTACAAGAATCAAAATTGTTGACCACTCTAATCCATTCACAGAGTGAAACACATAAATTCCAAAAGTATTCACAACCAATCCGACTGAGTATATGCTTCTCCAATGAAAACTTTCCGTCACAATAGGTTTCATAATAAAGTGTGAAATTTTGTCAAGAAATTCATTCCTTGGTTGATTGGTGTGAGGAGAGTTATCCGTACTCGTTGATGAAAATCTTCCATATTGAAATGATGAATGGAAAAAATTGTTGAAAAATCGGAGACAATACAAGACACTTCCGAGTATCCAATATGCAATCACTAATTTTTCTATCCAAAATTGATAATCTTCTAGCAATTCATGAGGTGACATTTTTTTAGAGTGTTGATACATTAATCAATGTACTGGTCGAGCATTTCATCTTCACCAGATGAATTTTCATGATAGCAATACCTTTGTACTTGCCTCTTTGGCCTAGCTCTGCCACCTCTTTTGCTACTTTTTGGAGGTTCTTCATCACTCATTTCATCCTCCTCTTCTTCTTCTGAAATAAAATCATCTTCATTGAATTCTTCCTCCTCTTCAGAAGTTTCAGAATTGGTTACAGCCACCTTTTTAGTGGTTGATTTTCCATTTTGTTTGCTGTTAGATTTCTTATTGGTTTTAGATATTGTTTTAGATTTTACAGTGGTTGTGGCATTCTTCTTATTAGATGTTTTTCTCTTTGGCTTCTTCTCCTCTTCTGAAATAATTTCAAATGATTCTTCATCTGTTTCATTTTCTTCAAATTCTTTGTCTTCACTTTCTGGTTTTTTCTTTGTTTTTTTCTTCCTCTTTGTTGATGAAGAAGTGGATAGTTTACCACTAGTATTGATTTTTGGTTCAGGAGTTGTGCGAGCCTTTTTTGTTGAGATTTTCAATTGTTTACACTTTTCTTGCAGTTCTTTTGCGTCCCAATTCGGAAGGTATTTCAAAATTATGGCTGTCCAATCATTTCCAAACTCATTAATACCTCTTCTCAACAATTCTTCGTCTGTCTTATTCCAGGTCAGTGTTTTCAGACAATCCATATTAAAAATTCTGGAAGGATCTGGTCTAAAGTAAGACTCTTCAATTTCACCATCCTCTGTTAGCATTTCTGGAGGTGAGAAGAGCATTCTCAATTTTTTACATTCCAATTGTTTTTTGATTAATCGTTCTTTTTGAATTACTGCTGAATCAATCACGTGATTGCTACTGCCATTATCAACATTACTGATGACATCTGTAATAATACTTGAATTGTCATTAAAATCATGCAAAACAACTAAATCATTAGGATCCGAATTTAAATGAGTATTTTGCAGATGGTGATGAATGGTCGGAGGCGATGACGAATAGACTTCGTCTTCTCCTTCATCACCACCCAACAGGAGTGAAGTCCACGATTTTGCCAACATTCTCCTCGTATTCACTGCAGAGTCTCCAACACTATTTGTCGAGGAAACAACCAAGGAATTGAAATCTACAAGGTTTAAAGAGAGACCACTTTCCATTTTGTTTTGATTTTCAATTCGTTTGATATTTAAAAAAAGGCGGCAAAAACTTTTGATTCCAACAAGTGGTGAATGCTATTCCTATCTACTAAAACAGCTTTGTGTTTCACCTACATTAAATATCATCATCTCTTCTCATTGTAAAGCAGAGTAAGCCACATGTGGCATTAAATTTCATCTACCCTCTTTTCAAAATCATGCAATACGGATAAGAACAACAATCAAACTGGAAATTAAAGTTCGGAAAGGAATAAAAATAAATTTTAAAAAAAATGAAAAATCACATCGTGAAAAGGGTTTTCAGGCCAAAGACTCTTTCTTCATCTTCGTTATTGGTTACCAACAATAGATCATCATCAATTAAGCATAATAGTATTAATTGTTTGAAAACAACAACATCTTTAACTGGCACTTGTTTTAATTCCTATCATTATGATACAAACCTTGGTCAAGCAAATGAATATCATATTTCCGATTTAAATGATGAAACTGTAGCAAAGTGGACTCAAACTCATTTACAAACTCTTATTATTCAACTCTATAGCTGGAAGAATGCTACAGATGATAAGAAAGCGCTCACAGAGACACTCACCAAAACAATAGACGGTATTGTTTATGTTTCTAAACAATATATGGCCGATAGACCTGATGCCGAAGATATATATCCACAACTTATTGCACTCCAAGTAGCATCACAATACTTGAAGGAACATGAATTGTCAAAGAAGGATGATAGTAAATTGGCAGATTTATCAAAATTGAGCTTTTCCACAAGCAAGTTGCAATCATTGATAAAGAGAAAGACAGACCTTTCTCATCTTCCTGAAAATGTTGAAACTGTTAAAAAAGCTAAAGAGGAAATTATCAAATATTTGAACGAGATGAACGGAATTTACAATATTCTTCAATGTACATCATTGAGCAAGATTATTCTTCAAAAATTACTCTTCTTCCAATATGATGCATCATCATTCGCAACCAGAATTGTTGTAGAATCCTTCTTGGAGCAAAAAAGAAATGAAAATCTTGTGATGAGCATTTTTGGTACATATTTCCAACTCTCAGCTGTTTATGAACGTGAAGGACAATTGAGAAATGCTGTAAATACTCTCATTGCTGTATACCAAAAATTGGAAGAGGTTCTAAATATTCTTAAAAACATTTCCTCAACTCAAGACGTTATCAAACATATAGCATCTACTGAACAGTACATTAGAGATTTGGATAAGAGACTTTCAATTCTATTCGAAAGAGTGCAAGATTTTAAGAGTTCAGCTGATCACCTTAAAAAGCTTCTTCCAAAAGAGAATCCTGCATCTATTAACTTTGCATCTGATAGCCTAAACTTGTTCGAACTCAAGACATCATTGCTCAAACTTGGATATTTGTACACAATGGCAAATGAATGGAAATCAGCTGATTCTTGTTACGAAGATTTGACTTTTCTTACTGCTAGACAATTGAACAGCTTACCTGCTGCTGAAAAGTCTTTGCATCCTAAATTCACCAGTCAACAAATTGTATTAGATTCTGTAGTACTTTCCTATGAATGGTCAATCTTTTTAAGAAAGATGCTCCTTGTTAAACAACGAGAGAAACAACCTGAACAAGAAGAAGAAAGTGAAGAAGCTCAAAATAATGCACTAGATATTCCATCAAGATTAAAGACAATCAAGAGATTGCTTGACATTGGTACAGGTATTGGTCAAAGCATTGGAATGTTCTCTGATGAAATTCCAAGTGTTGGTGATCAACCATCATCTGCCATGCTTCAACTTCTCAAGGATAAGGTCGAAATTCAAGCATGTTCTGAACTTTGCAAACTTCAACTTTCTTTCATTAAGGGATTTTTGAGCGAAGAAAGTGAAAACTCTGGTTGGGACGAATTTGCTCAAGTTTGGGATAATTTATTAATGTCAATTACTCATGTATTGACATTTGAAACTAATATCAAGGAAAATCACCCTCAAATTTGGAATCAATTATCTGTACATTTCTTCAACTTCAAGGAAGTTATTATTAATGAAGCTCTCCACTTGTTGAGATTTGCTGTTACTCAAATGAGGGAACACTCAAATCATGCACTCAATAGAGAGGAACAATTCGAATCATACCTTGAAAATATTGTAATTATTCTTTCAAGAAATGAAGACTGTTTTGAAAACAAATTCAAGATTTGGGCTCAACTCAGATCCATTCATGGTAGCTACATTATTCATAGAATGAATAAGGATACTGCCACGGAAGAAATTACCAAATCATTAATAGAGAAGGAAAAGATTTTCGATTATTGTGAAAAAGTTGCCAGACGAGACTATAACTTTGATTTACCTTTCTTGCTTCACGATATTTTGGTTGAAGTTTTCGAGAATCTTTCTGAAGATAAGAGAAAGAGTTTATACAAGCGTGCCTATCGTATTTTGGCTCCAACAAAGGAAATTGCTCATGCTAAGGCTCTCCAATTTGAAAGTTGGGTTTTGGAAGGAAAACAAACCTCTGCAGTATATGAAGGAAATCAATTAGAGGCTGAAATTGATAGATCAATTGAAAATACTGAAAAGCAAACTGTTCTTTTCTTAAGGGATTTAATGAAGGAAGAACAAGATGGTGGGGAATACTTGTTTGCTGGTATTGTGAATACTTCTGCTAAAGCACTAGCTCCTTAAATAAAACTGTAAAATGTAATTAGTGAAATTTGTTTCTCTAATATCCTATTATGTTGTTAAATAATATTATTTATTGCCTAGATCTTCTTAGAATGACATCCTTACACAAGATTTCATTTACAGACGTTTCAAACCTGCTGGTTTTTTGGCAACAGTAGAAGTATTGGTTGTGGTGGTAGTTGGCTTTTTGAGTAAGAGGAGTGGTTTCTTTTGTTGGGTTTGATTTACATTACAAATATTTTCCTTAGCATTTTCGGAATCAACAACAGTTTCTTCAGAGATGGTCTTGGACACTTCAGGTTCTGATTGACTTGTGACACCTTGTTGTTGTTTGGCATAGATATCTGTGAACATCTTAGCCTTGTTTGAATAACCTTCATAGTTATCTTGAATAAGTCTACCTGCTTCAGCATTGAGAGCACTATCAGGATTTGGTTCAATCATCAAACAACGAATAACCATGAGAACATGTCTGAAACCAAGAGTAGACTTCCAATCTCTCTTCAATGTATTCACACAAATTTCACCTTCACGTGTAGAAACATTTGGGTGGAAAATCTTGGTAACGAAATATCCCTTTGGTGGCTTATTAGGGAATTCGTGATCCAAGACCAATTTGATAGTAAATTTACCTCCTTCGAATGGAGTACCTTGTGGACCATCAATAGAAGCATAAATCTCGCTCAAATCACTCAACAAGTCTACATTTCTAACAGGATCATAGGTGAGAATTTCAATTCCATCAATCTTGTTCTTTTGAAGGTCGAAAATTTCCTTGGTTACTCTTTGGAGTGTATTTGGTGGCAAGAAAGTACTCATTGTATTAAATTATTATAATTGTATAAATAGAAGAGATGAAGATAGTCTTCCTAAAATTAATAGTCGTCGTCAAGATGTACTGCAAACGACCTTTGAAGAGTGTTGTAGTTTTTTTTTGAATTTTAAATAACGTCTGATGAGCATTTATTCTTGGCGCCAATTCCAAACCGTTACGTTTTGTCTTTTCTCCTAAGATTTGGATAACCGTAATGAGTTCTTCACACCTTGAAACAATATTACAATATCAGTTCCTCACCTTGATATTTTCTTTAAATTCAAGATTTATTAATTATTGGAAGTCTTTCTTGACCTATCGAATGAGTTTTGTTTCTCCCTGAAACATGGACACAATCTTCGTTTGCCATCCATTTGATTTTTACATCTGAATCTGCTTGGTCTTGAACCAAGAATGCAATAGTCTCCATCAAGGAGAGGTGAGCTAGAGTCCAAAACAGGATTTCTCTCATACATGCACTTACAATTTGGTGCATATCGTTTCAACTCATCACATCTATTAATATAGGAAAAGAATTGAGGTTCACACACTGAGCCCAATCGTTCACAACATGTTGAACAACTCTCTGATGCATCACATGGAACACTTCTCACTTTCTTCAATTCAACCAATGGTAAAGGATTTGAGGATGAATAGGAAGGCAATCGAAGAGTATCATGTTCAAACTCATAGTCCTTATCGTCAATATATGGAATACCTCCTGCCATACTTGACTTTGGAATTCTTTTGGTGAGTGTATTGGATCCAGTTAGGGTATCATTACACGGGAAAAAGTATGAGTTTGGACATGCCTCTGCCTGGAACAGTACTAAAAGTTGAGATTGTGTTTGAGGTTCCATACAATTTGGAAAATCAACATTATTTCTCTCAATATTTCTCTCATTTCCAACAGACGATGTGACACCAATGTGTTTCATTAATTGATATCTATAAATATAGAATAATCTGTCTTGGAAACGTAATTTTCCATAATGATTCAATTGATGGAAGTATTGTTCCAATAGCCAATCAATTGGTGTATCAGTTTCAGATTCTCTCTCCAAAAATCTCAACATACTGCCAAGATCCTTTCTCTGAATTAGCACACCATTCAGACCGAAGGAGAATCGATAACCAACCCAATCCTTTCCACTCGATTCCAATTCATGAATCTTTTCAAAAATCCTACCAAAATGATAATAAGCTCCTTCACACATTATAAAATCATCTTCCATGATGGCAATTGGAGTATTATCCTTCACTCTAAAGTTTGAATCAACCGTCTTGATCATATCATAAAAATCATTGGATTGATGTTTCTTCCGAGGTGATAATTGTGAATTATCAAAATTATTACTTTCCCATTCCTTCTTCTTGTGATAGATTGTTACTTGTGCATCGAGAGCTGAACCTCTCACCATAAATTCAACTTCTTCTTTAAAAGCTTCTCCCTTGCTATTGAATATTACAATACATGGATTGAATAATCGTTGTTTTAATTTAGCAATACTATTAATTGTTTGTCCTAGATAATAAAAACTATTGCCATCCATTTGACGTGGAGCTGTCAATATTAAAAAAGAAATTGAACATTTTTCATTGTTTTTTGATGATAGATATAATCGAAATGTGAGTGCTGACAGTGCTAGAAACAGTGCCTGTGAACATATGAATATTATTAAAGTGGACGATTTCATTTTTTTGTATTTTGTTTTTTATTCGAAAAGTTCAAAGAGTAATGATGATGCAAAAAGATATCTTTTTGTAAATTGTTACTGATTCAATAAACAATTCTTTCATTATTAAACCAAATAGTAACCAATAATATTCCGATATTTCCGAACAATATTGTTATAATTATCATCAAAATTACAATTTCTCTCATTCCTAAGAAAAGACAAAAAAAATGAACGGAAGAATATTAACATCATCGGCCTCTTCTGTTGCTGCTTCTGCTTCATCGAGTGGTGGAGGATCTGCTTCTTCCGTGATGATAACAAATCATGAGGAATTATATTCGACTTTTTGTTGTGATATTTACGATTTTTCTGATGATCAATTAGTGAATAATAATAGATCCGATCGAGGCGAGAGTAAAAACACATCATTACAGAACACTAGAACAATTGTAACAACACCCTTCACGTTGAGATGTCTTCCATTGGAGGTTATTTCTCTTGGTGATTTGATAGAGTTTCCTTCTTCCTGATTGGAATTCATCAACGAAAAAGACTTTGTTCGGGTCAGTGGAAAGTTATTGGAGGAAATTCAAGGGAGAATATCAACATCCCTATCCATCAGGTTATACAGCAATACTCAGGCTGAGGAGAAGGAGAAGAACTAAAAAACCAAATGAAAAAGATTGGTCCACTGATAATGCTATAGAATTAATACAATTTCAAATCGAGGTGATAAAAGGTTTAGTTGGACCACAATTTGTGGTTACTGATGTTTCGAGTAGGAAAGGTGTCGGAGAAAGATTTATGGGAAGTTGCTGCTCTCAACCTTTCAAACAAGCATTTCAAATGTATCAACCCGAAATGGTTGAAGATGAGAATGCAATCAATAATACGGATAAAACTATCGTGGATTATGTATATATAGGAGTCAATACAGAAGATTTAACAGGATTGAAAGCTTTTGGATTTTGTGAAGACTTTCTGAAAAATCTACTCAATTCTATAGCCAAACAAAAGAATTTACACTTACCCACAAGGGTTAACTATTTTGGAGGAAGAGACAGAGAATATTGGAAAGACATTTTGGAAAAGGAAAAAGCAAAGTTATTGGAAGAAATTACGAGTTTAGAAAATACTAAAAAACGGCTCCTTGAAGAAAATCAACAAACAGATACAATGACAGATGATACTGTTTCAGAGGATTCATCATCAACAATATTGACCACAGCTGTAAAAAGACGAAAGAAGAGAAGTAAGAGAGTAATCAAGGATGTTGAAGATGATTCAATGAGAGAGAATGGAGCTGACTCTGAATCTTCTCAAATTTCTCCAAAACCTTCTTCATCAATAATTTCATCAGAAGAAATTACACCACTCAAAAAGCTCAAAATGGATACTTTAGAATATGATGTTACACCTGTTTCTAATACCTCCCCAACTAATGCAAGAGAAAATCTCGATTTCATGCTTCTTTCGAGACCCAATGCGGATGAGCCAATAGTAACACCAACTCATTCTGAGTCATCTCATATTGTAGTTGAAAAATCAAACCAAGAGCAAGTAATTTCTTCCTCTCCACCCAAAATACCAAGCCAAACTTCCAATCTTATCAGTCAAGAATCCATTGCTGAAGAGAGTGACAGTGAAGACAATTCTACATCAAACACCCGTCTATCCCTTGTAAATATGCCAAAATCACCAAAAGTTGACAAGCTCAAAGTTATTTCTCCTTTGCAAAATCGAAAAATGCCAATCGAGAGACGAAACGAAGAATTTGCAGTACCATCCCTTCCATCTCAATCCAAGAGGTCAACCCAAGAGAGCAGTACCCAAAAGTCCAGTAGTACTAGTTCATCCTTGACAGCCTCATTACCATCTCAAAATATTCTTCCACCACCTACTCCTCCAACTAGTAGTACTATCGAGGAAACCATTAAGCAAAATGAAGACAAAATGATTGTAGATATCATAGAAAAACCTTCTGAAACTACAGTACAGCCATTAATAGAAATAACTATAGCAACAGAAGAAGTAGTCAAAAAGGATCCAATGCTGGATGAGGGAGAAGAAATTCAACCACTGGATAACAAGAAAAGTACACAAGAGGAAAAGGTTGAAACATCTTTCAACTCTCCTCCAAAGGACACATCTTTTACTGAACCAGCCATCATTGAAACCATTGAGAAGAAACCACCCATCACAAGTGAACAAATTGTACAAGCTGAGGTTGAAACAATTGTGGAACAAGTGAAACCAATTGAATCCACAACAAAAACTTGTGAACCAATCGAAAAGCCAAAATCTCCCCTCAGAATTAATACTGATCTTCCAAAATCACCAACACTCGATTCTCCAAGTAGTACACCTGATTCTTTGCCTCCAGGTGATGATTTATTATTTATGGAGGATTTGGAACCAGCCAATCATCAACCAGTTCCCACCAACAGTTCTGCAACAACCACAATAACAATCATAGAAGCCAAACAAAGTAGTCCTAACCCGACCACAAAACCCTCACCAAACAAACCTGTTCTCATTATGCCTACTGTTGACATTAATTTCAATACCAATGACAGTGCTGACTTGAATTCACCATCATTGAGTACACCAACCGAGCTTCCGAATCTGGAAGAGAAATTAGAAACCAAAACTGAAACAGCACCATCACCTCCTCCACCAACAGTTCAGAAACCAAATATTTCTCTGGAAAAGACATCTACCGATAAATTAGATGAAGACGATGAAACACCTCAAACCCTTCCATCCATGAACTTGGATATTACACCACCAGCTAAAGAAGAAACTACAAAAGAAGGAAATGTGAAACAAGCTGACACAATGATTGATGATGAAGAAGTTCCACCAACCCCAACTCCAATTAAGCCAAAGGAAAAGGCACAATCACCACAAATTGTAATTCCTCCAACAGTCTATTACGATCCACTTGAATCTCAAGGAGCAAATGTTAGTGATGATGAAATGGAAGAAGATAATAATCCACCACCAATGTCTACACCACCACATAATACCAGTAGAATATTGTCATATACCACTCCTAAATCTGATGTAATTCTTGAAGAGGTGGAAGAGACACAATACTCTGCTGTAAAGATAGTTTTGAATCCAGGCGATATTTCTCCAAGCAAAAAGAAGAATCCATTTATGCAAGTTCAAGATGATGAAACAGATGATGAATTGTCACCAAGAACACCTTCTCAAACTTTTGAAATCAAAGATTTCAGTTCACCACCAATCAACTTTTCACCTATTCTAACAAAAGCTAATTTAGGATCTCCTCCAATAGTGAACAAGGGTGAAACTTTGGATGTTAAACCTAAATATGAGCTTGAGCCAACAATCGCTGTCAATTTTAGTTTGAATTTTGAATCAGAAGATGAGGAAGAAATACCTTCCTCACCTGTGCTGGCTTCATCCAGTGCCACAAAACCTGTTACATCTGAAAATGATGCAGACAAAAGTAATCTAAGCACACCTCCACTTTCCAGTCCTCCACGTGCCAGTTTTGCCTCTCCTATGCGATCTCAACCTGTGCTATCACAAAATTCTCTACCTAGACATCCAATCGAAAAAATAGACAAGCAACATCCTCTCAAGTCCTATAGTAGGATCAAGATTAAGGGTCCAGTTTTGAACATGATATTTTCACCAGTAGGTGATCCCAGATTAACTATTTGTACAAAGACTCAAGTATCCTTAATTGAGCTAACAGGATCAGAATGGATTCAAACAGAACTTTTTGGTTTAGAAAATGAAGAAAATGAGGAGTTTTATTCTTCCAAGTTTACACCTGATGGAGAAATGTTGATTATTGCCTCTTCCTCATTTGAACCATCAATAACCATGACCATGTCCATACTGGATGATGAAAATCCTGCCCAAGCTGATGGAACTCTCTCCTATCATATCAGATTCTTTGATATCGATGGGTCATCAATCAGAAGTCAGTTGGGTCAAGAGAAAAAACCCCTATTAAGCTTGGATGATGTAAGATCACCAATATCTTGTATGGAAGTTTACGACTCTACTTTGATGGTTGCAACCAATAATGGAGAACTTTTAAAATACATGCTCACAAGTGATTTTACGAGTAGGGTCAAGGTTGTCACATTCCAAACCCTTAATGGAAAGGAAGCCATCAATAACCTTCAGTTTGTCCCTGAATTGAAAGATTTTGTAATTGGAAGTACTAATTCATATATTGGCATTTGGAGAATGAGTAGTGGAAAATTACTCCAAAAAATAGCTTTAAATCCATACTCTGTTATTTACTCTTCTGTAATTAAGGCTGTAACCACTGGAGCAAACCAAGGAATATTTTTGGTTGCTATTCACAAAGAGAATGTTACTGAAAATGCTCAACTTTGTGGTTTGTTCTTTTTGAATGAAGCAGCTACAAGATTACACACATACAATAAGAAGGATATTCCTAAACTTTCTGATTCTTCAAATGATAATGTGACAGCGATTGGAGTTTCTGGAAATGCAGAAATATCTCCATATCTTGTCACTGGAACGTCTAAGGGTTTGATTATCATCTTCAATTGCAGAACTGCCCAGTGTGTAGGTATTTTACAAGATATAGAAGGTGAAAAAGTTGGATCGTGCTGCTTCCATGACAAGTTCCCTCTCTTTGCTGCTGGTGGTACAAGAAATGTTGTAATCTATTATCAAACAGAATAAATTATTTGTTTAGTTCTTCATTTTTCAGTTTCCTCCTTAAAACGAACAGGTCTTCTTCTGAGTTTTCTTCATCTGAATTGAACTCTTCAATCTCTATTTTGGGTTCTGAAATTCTAAAGTCAAAGTGCCTTGATGTGGGCGATGTTCTTGGCATTGGTCTGAATAAGGTTGGTTCACTTTCTTCAAATGATAACTTTTTCTTTACCCTATTATCAACCAAACCTTCATCTGGAGAACCTCCCATACCTAGCTTTCTTCCCTTATTTCCTAGTGGTGTCTCAGTAGTTTGCTTCTTCTGCATTATTTTACCCATTACCTTACCAACAAATTTAGAGTCTAACTGGACTGAGGATCCAACACTCACCTGGGAAGAGTTTACATTTGGTGTTGATGGAGGATTGGAATTCTTTCGTTTTTGTTTTGGTGTGTGTTCAAGAGGAGCATTGCCATTGCTCTTTGGTCTGTGAACAGGTTTAGGGCTTGGAGTCTTTGGAACTGCATCGGTTCGCTTTTTAACAGGTGTTGATGGTGCTGATCGAGCTTTCTGAGCATTAGGACTATTATTTGGTTGTTGTTCATGGAACATGTTATAGAGTGAGTTGAACTTTTCTTGTACTACCTTAGTTGTTTCAGGTTTATAATATTTACTGTCGACCTTTCTCTGTGGTGTCCCGTGCTCTTTCACAGGCGAAGTAAATGGCGATGGTATGCTTGGTGTGATGGTGGGACCAATCCCAGAATTTGGTGTTGAAATAATAACATGCCCATGTTTTATGAGCTCATTGAGTTGGTGTTGCTTTCTCAGCAGTTTTTCCTCGAGTTCTCTCAGCCCATTCTCTTTCTTATCCAGCTCTTGAGCTCTTTCTCTCTGTTGTGAGATAACAAATTATTAGATTCCATGTTAAGAATTATTTACGTACAATATTTTCTCTTTCCATTTGCACTTGCTCCTCCTGGTATCTGTAATCAGAGAGTTTCCTTTCGAGCATATCAATTTTTGTCTCATAATCCATTCTCAATTGTTTTTCCAAAGTTAAAAATTGCTCCTTCAATTTTAACTCCTTGTGTCTAAGCTTAGCCTTTTGAATTCTCAACTTTACAGCCGAATAATTCAATATTTGGTTTATATCTGGTCTCTTACTTGGCTCCTTTTCTAACATTTTAAATATTAAAAATTGAAGTTCCATAGAATAGATTTTGGGAAGACTGTTTGGTCTATCACCAACAATTTTCCTATTATAACATAAGTATATTTAGTATAACAAAGAGACTTACTTTGCTAGAGCTATCTGATTTGTTGCTAAGAATGGAGGTGAAAAAGCTGCTAGCTCATATAAAAGACATCCAAAAGCCCAAATGTCACTCTTATGATTGTAAGGCTTTTCCTGACACAGCTCAGGGCTTTGATAAAGAGGTGTTCCTACATTTGATGAGGCGAAAGAGGATTGAGGTCCTAGTATTCTTCCTAAACCCATATCTCCAATTTTAATATTATCCTCTGCATCTAGAAATATATTTTGAGGTTTAAGATCTCTGTGCTATAATATGTGATCAGTTTAATATTTGTAATAATTTACAAACTTACCAAAATTCTCTTGTCATGCAAATATTTCAACCCTTGAGATATCTGTATCAAAAAGTTCCACACTAAATCTTCCTTGAATGGTTTTCCCTGTTGTGCTTTAATTTTCTTTGTCAGATCCCCTCCAGATGCATATTCCATAATAATACATAGGTAGTTATTCTCGATGAAAGAGTCCAAATATTTAATGATATTGAAATGTTCACACTGGCTCATTAAACGAGCCTATTCAGAGTCAATGCACTGTATTATAATTACTCCTACGAACCTCATTTAATGTTTCTTCTCTATCCTTTTCATCAACTCCATCTAGGCTAACAATTTTCTGAACACAAATTTCTCCAGTTCTTCGATCCCGAACAGTGAAAACTTTTCCGTAGGAACCAGATCCTAGCTCTTCAATAATATCATAATCCTGAAAACCCATTATATTTATATTCATTCACTATTTACAATCTAGCTTCCTAGCACAATTACTATACAACTGACTCGACTCGTGATGGGGTTTCTACTCGAATTAATCTTGTTGTATTTTTTTTTAATGTTTTGGCGCCAACTTCTTCCCACCAAAAAATGGAACCTTAATACTGTCTATTTTATTTCAACAGGGAGAGATTCCACTTTCAAGATAATATTTAACATAGCAAAATAATCACCACCAATCTTTAATATTCAAGATTCGGTAGATACTAATTTTAACTTGATTTTTCGAAAACGATGTTGTACTCTGGAATAACAAGACAAGTTTGTTTCATCCGAATAAATTTCATCAAAATCTTCGTCCATTTCTTCGCAATATTCTATTGGAAAAGTTAATGTCAATATTGATAGAATAGAATATACAGAAGGTGATCGATCTATCATGGTTTGCAACAACTTCAAAGATATAAATATTGCTTTCTTTCTAATGATTGATTTAAATGTTCTCATGAAAATTAATGCATTAGATAGGGAAATTAAGGGTGTTTTGAATGAGAGAATGGAAGATTTAGAGCAAAACATTAAAACATTGGTTATCTTTGATATTTTACATCCTATCAAAATAATCACCAACTCTATAATTTTCGACAATGTGAAGAACAAAAATTGTTGTATGTTCCGAAAATAATAAATATTATTCGGAATGATCTTGTTGTTCTCGGAATTTAATCAAATACACAATTCTTAAAAAAATGTCTGTACATGTTCCTCACGTTTTGTGGGCTCCAAGAGCCGATCGTGTCTATGTGACTGTTGAAGTCCCAGATGCTACAGATGTCAAAGTTTCATTGGATAATAGTATTTTAAAGTTTTCAGCAACAGGAGGTGAAAACAAGTATGAATTGGAATTGGAATTGTTTGGTGAAATCAATACCGAAAAATCAAAATGGAAAGTGTCTGGTAGATCTATTGATCTTAACATTGAAAGAACCGAGAGTGGCGAATTCTGGCCAAGACTCACTAAATCCAACATCAAGAATAGAAATATTGCTGTTGATTGGTCAAAGTGGATTGATGAAGATGATGAAGAAGAAGATAATTATGATTGGAATCAATCTGGAGGTGATGTTAATGATTTTGGTATGGACAATTTCTATCCACCACAAGGAGATGAAGATGATATGGTTGTCGGAAATGATGAAGACGAAGAAGATGAAGAAAAGCCAGACCTTTCTGATTTAGACAAGTAAATCCACACCTATTATTTATTGCCATCAAAAATAAATCATTAAATTATTATTATTGATCCTTTTCACAATTTTTCACTTCCAACTAATGCAACAAATCGGAGCAATATTAAATAGCATGCCTGAATAACTTTATCCTCACGAATTCATCAATGCTTCATCGCCTCAATCAAATGAGGAGAAATTAATTAAATAAAAAATGCATCCTCACGTCGAAAATACCTTAAATGGGTCGATAGTCGCAACAACAAAAGATTCAAAAAGTCACTTTGAAACCTTCAGCTTAGCAAACAAGTTTAAAAAAAATTGTAAGTGTTGTACCAAGAAGTATCAACTCAACATACCAACTATTATCACATTCATCATCAAATTACTTTAGTCAATAACAAAATGGATAAACTCTACACTACACCTGGATATATTTTCCACGACAAGGAAACTAATTTTACTTTTAATATTTCTGGATTCTTGTCTCAAACAGCATCACCAACAACAACTATTCAAACACTATTGAAGGAAAATTATGTTCATGCAGTTAAAGTTGCTGCTCAAAAGATTAAAGAAATTGAAAATGGACAAATTGTAAATAAGACTGTTATTGCATCGGAATCAGAAAATCGTAGTGTTGATCACTATAATTTACGTTTGGCTTCATCAACAGTTGCTGGAAAATCATTGGATGATAGTTTAAAGTTATGGAATGATATTAATGAAAAAGTTGGTAAAATTATTAGTGGTCAATTAAAGAATGAACAAACAGGAAAGGCTTACAAGAATGTCATTTTCAATGGTATTGGTGGATCTTATTTGGGACCATTGTTGTTATGTGTTGCCATGAAGGGTATTTATTTCAATGATTTGCAAGAAAAAGAAGGTTTGCCAAAGTTATACTTTGTCAGTAATACTGACTCTGATAGTTTTGATCAACTTTTTGGAGAGAAGGGTGTTTTGGAGTTGAGCGAAAGTTTACTTGTTAACATGTCAAAGAGTGGTGGTACTGCCGAAACTAAGGGAAATATGAATACTTTCAATAGATTATTATTGGACAGAGGTATTGCACAAAATGGTAATATTGGTTCATATAATATTGCTATTACTACAAAGAATAGTAACTTTGACAAGTTTGCTCAAAAGAATCACTTCTTACATACATTCTACATGAACGAAGAAACTGGTGGTAGAACTAGTGTTGGTAGTGCTATTGGAATGGTTCCAGCTGCTTTTGCTAAATTGGACTTTGCTGGATTCTTGCGTGGTCAATCTTACATGGATGAAATGACCAGAAGATTTGATACAGTTGAAAATCAATTGAAGAATCCAGCCTTAGTTACAGCTATTCTTATGGATCATTATCAAAAGAGACATGGTAGAAAGAATTTGATTGTTCTTGGCTATTCTGATTCACTCCGTGAATTTGCTCACTATTTACAACAATTGTATATGGAAAGTTTGGGTAAACAATTCTCTGAAAATTCTGGTGTTGAAAGTCCAGAAGGTCAAACTGTTTTTGGTGGTGTTGGTACTGGTGAACAACATGCCTTCATGCAACAAGTTCAAAAGGGTATCAATGATTGCATTGTTAAATTTGTTTACTATTTGAAGAGAAACTCTGATTATTCAGTTCTTGACCCAACCGATAAGCAAGAACTTGCCGGTGAAAAGGTTGCTGCCAGTGATTTGACTGAATATTCCAAGAAGGGAACAAGCTATTTGAGTATGGGTAGACAAATGCTTGGTTTCATTAAGGGTACTGAAAATGCTCTGTATAAGAATGGTAAACCATTCCTCTCATGTACATATGAACAATGTGATATGTTCAACATTGGTATGATGATTGCTTTGGAAGAAAGAATTGTTTCAATTTTGGCTGCTTTCCGCGCTATTAATGCATATGATCAACCAGGTGTTCAAGATGGTAAGATTAGTGCCAATGACATGAACAAGTTCAGTGATGTTATTGAAAGAAAGGTTGCCAGCATTGTTTTACAAAAGGGTGGATGGCAAGGAAGTGCATCTTGTGCTATCAAGGATTTCGAGAAGGAATTGTCAACTGCTCCAATCTGGTATGTTGACTCCATCTTGAGTGATATTTTCGGAAACTGGCAAGTTGATTGTGCCTACCCAAGATTGAAGGAAGTTGTTTCAAATGTTCAAAGAGAATGGAAGGAAGAAAATGGACAAAGCCAATTTGTTTATCAATTCGTCTCCAAATTGTAAATTAAATATTTGTTGATTATTATTAAGTACTTTTATGTTTCACATTCTCCCTTTATAAAAAATGCCAAGAAAAAAGAAGGAAGAAACAGAGAATGAAGATGATGAATCTGCTTCAACTCCACCAAGAACAACCCGATCAAAGAGAACAAGAAAACCACGAGCTT